GAGGGAGAAGGAGAGGGAGAAGGAGAGGGAGAAGGAGAGGGAGAAGGAGAGGGAGAAGGAGAGGGAGAAGGAGAGGGAGAAGGAGAGGCAGAAGGAGAGGGAGAAGGAGAAGAAAGAGGCCGAGGCCAACCGAATGCTGCGAAGTGTTTTGTAACTACTCTCCACAGTTCCTTCGTTCGTTCGTTCGTTCGTGGACTCTACAGCACATAATATCTCGAAACGATGTTCACTGGGACTATTCACCCGGTCTGCACTCCCATCCCATCCCATTCCACCACTCCGCCCTCCTCAGACGACATTCTACCAGCTAATACAATACAATACATCTCCGTACCGCAATGCATATCGCATATACACAGATGGCTACATAAATTCTCCCCCGCACCAGACTATGCCGACACGGCGGCTGAGTTAAACACCGCATGTCGTCGTCGTGTGCTGCTTGTGTTGTGTTGTGTTGTGTTGTGTTGTGTTGTGTTGTGTTATACTAGGCTGGACTAGACTATGTCAGAGTCTGGAACGTGTATATGAGAGGTGAGGTGAGGAGAGGAAAGCAGGGGCAACTTTCTTTCCGTGATGTCTACATCTACATCTCCATCTACACCGGGCATTATGTCTGTTCAGCATACTTACTTACTGGCTTGGACGGACGGACGGACGGACTTCGCAGTAATCAAGCAAGTAAGCAAGCAAGCAAGCAAGCAAGCAAGCAAGCAGACAAACAAGCAGCTAAAACAAAGGAAAGAATATCGCCACATCCCAACCAAGGATACAATATGTAATATGCATTGACAGGCATTAAGAATGAAACATTACCGGCGTGGGGAAACAGCTAAACCCCCAATCCTATCCCATCTAACAAAGTACGACGCAAAAGTGGATATATACGCGTAAAAAAAAGCAGCAGCACGCAAACAACAGCAACCCCATCCCATCCATCTCATCACATCCCATCACCCCCACCCACCCCATTAAAACCCCCAACCATCTACCGCCAAATCTGCCACTTCTTCTTCTGTTTCGGCGGAACAAAGCTCTCCGGACTCCTCACCCCATCCCTATCCCCCCTCCTCCCACCATAACTCTCCCCATCATCATCCTCCTCATCATCATAGCTATCCGAATCATCCTCATCAAAGCGCCTACCCCCCACGCCCGCGGAGGGATAACTAGGATACGCGCGCCGCCCCGCCTCGACACCAGCAGACGAATACATCGCGCCCCTCGACGCCGTCGAGCTAGCCACCTGTACCGGTACTGCCGCTGCGACGACTTCCACAGGCGCATGCCCACTCGCGCGCACGTCGCGGCCGCCGCTCGCGAAGTAGTCCCCTGCACCACCACCTGCACCCGTGTCGTCGCGGGCCTGCATGTCGAGGGACCCGCGTTTATACGGGGAGTTTGGGCCGGCGCCTACGATAGCGGGGTGCGGGGGGTAAGATTCGCGTTTTGAGCGCTGGTGGGCGAGGGCTGGGTCGAAGTGTGCGTCGTCGTCGTGTTGGGTTAGGATGGCGGGTGTGGGTTTCTTGTAGATTTTTGCTTCGGATGGGAGTTGGGATTGGTGGGAGGAGTTGTAGCTTGGTTGTCTGCGGGTTGTGTGTGAGGAGGGGAAGATTGTTGTCTGCGTTGTTGTGTGTGTTGTTGTGTGTGTTGGGGGTGCGGGATGGGGCGCGCTGACGTGGCGTTTTCCGCCGATGGATTCCCAGGCTGAGGAGCGCGAGGTGTGGGATACGTCGATGCTTTGTCTGCGGTCGGTTTGCGCGCCGTCTGTTTGGGGCGGGTTTATGTACGCAGGGGAGTTGCTGTGGTAGCCTGAGCTTAACGCTTTATTCGGGTCGGGGATTGAATTGCGCTTGTTCTGCGATCCGAGGCTTGGGGCTACGACTCTGGGCGCGACTTGGTATCTTTGGTTGGCACGCTGTTCGTCGTCGTCAGACATCTCGCCTAGTTCGCTCCCACTCCCGCTGTCGCTGTCGCTGCCGTTGTGAGAGCGTCCGTCGTCGCCTACCGTGCGTTCACGACGGCCTCCACCGAAGATGCCGCCGAACATTGGCTTGTGATGCTGCTTCTCGGCGTGAGCAGGCGGCGAAGCAGTGTAGTCAAGTGCAGGCACTATCAGTCGATAGGGCATAGTGATACCCGCAGGATCATGCTGTGAAACCTCCATGTTGAGGCAGATGTCGAGACCGCCCTCGAGGTTGACGTAGGTGCTTTGTCCTCTCTTGGTCAGAACACTGGGTCTCCGGTGGAAATTGGAAGGCCGTTCATTGGAGGCGCTGCTACGATTGCGAGATGGTGTACTCGGCGAATAGTCACGACTGGCAGCGTCGTCGACTGACGGTCGGCGGCGGAAGAGCGACGTCAACGAGTTGCGACGCGTGCGAACGGGTCGTTCGGTCTCAGATCGATCAGGCGAGAACGATGACTGTGGCTGGTGTTGGGTTTCAACTTGCTGTTCATCTGCAGCGGCGTACGCAGGGTTGTTGCGGTAGGACAGCGGCGGTCCACGACTCCTTCCAGGGCGACTTGTCTGGTCACCGCTGAGGCGCCTAACCATCTGTCGAGGCGTGTAGTCTGAAAGTGTCCTGGTGAGACCTGGAGCATTTTCCACAGACTCAGGCGGCGACGGTGTGCCTGGTGGAGTGAATCCTGGCTTCCACTCTCGAATGCTACACCAGTTCCTGTGAGGTAGCAGACAGTTGTTGTTTCTCTTGCTCCCATTCACACCATGCGTGAAGATGGGTATCAAGTCTTCGTCCGTGTTGTCGTCGAGATGGTGTATCTTGTTTCGTTTGTTCAGAACGTCCGCCATGACATCCGGCGGGGGTGTGTTGACGATGGCAGAAGAGATGACATTCGGCATGTACCTGTGGTCCTTGTCTTTCGGAATATTGAGCTTCTTGTTCGAGTAGAATTGACCCACTGCCGCAAGATGAACATCACCTCCCAAAATCGTGATGCGAACAGACTTGGTAGCGGCGATGTGTTGCAGTTCATTGATGAACCAGTTCCGTTCCTCCTTGTGGTGTTTAGCTGTCCAGTGGTCGTCGAGGTCGTCGAGAATCTCCACACCACCGTCAAACTTGTTGAGGTAGTTGCCAAGCAATCCAATACGCCCGAGCCACTTGATAGGATCCATCAGTCTGCTTGTCAGAACGTTTTCGAGGAAGTTGAGGCGAGGATAGGCAATAGGCACTCCAAGAAGGACGATCAGGTGCTTGGTCTCGCCCTTGATGATCTCATCCTCCAGGCGGTCAAAGATGATGTCGTAGGAGTCTTCAGTGAGGATCTCGTCGCGCTTCCTTTCGGTGCGGCAGTCCAGGCCTAGGAATGCAACCTGCCGTCCAAGATGCATGAACACGCTTCGAGACTGCTCTTTGATGTACGGACCTGGGGACTTCCCGAGTAGCCACGAGGGCTCAGTCTTTTGAGTTTCGGCGGGGACTGACTGATGCTGGAAGAGCATGTAGTACTTGAACGCAACGGCACCAATACCGGTGAAGACGGGCGTCTGCATGAAATGGTGAGGGTAAGATCCGTAGCCCTATCGTTGTCAGTACGCGAATTCCACATGTTGCAGCCAACTTACATCGATGATGTCGTGATCATCCCAGATGTTGACCATCGGAATCTGGGAGTTTGCCATTCCAAAAAGGCCCTGCGAAAACCACATCGAGTAGCGGTCCAGATAGAACTGCTCCAACTCGTTCTGCATCTCTTCGGAAAACGACGCGTTGTGCTTTTGCAAGGGGTTCTTGTTCTCCGTCCACTGTCTGAACAGGGTTGTCTGCCTCATCGCAGCATCGTTGTAGATCTGATCGCCTCCACCGAGCATGACATGAAAGGGCCGGGAGCTGTGGTTGTTCAGGACATCGCGCCACATTGGATCGGGGCCGCAGAACTCATTCGTCTCGACGCTGAACGAGAAGCCATTGCAGCTGTGGAACATGATGTTCATGGACTCGCCCTTGGCCGGGACCCAGAACCCGGTGGCAGGGCCAGAATTGATTCGATAGGCGATGCGGGTCTCGCTGCTCCCGAGTTCAACTTCCAGATTGAAGCGCCAGAAAGTGACTCCTCGTTCGGCATGGAGCCTGACGCCGGGAACCTCTCTCACTTTGCCGAGCTTCTCGCCGTCTCTCTTGTGGATTCGGCTGGACTTACCACCCAACCCACTGCCAGACGGGCTCCGCGTGGAAGAGAACAGTCCTGTGTCATCCTCAATGCGCGAAAGGTCTTCGTTCTCGCCAAGCTCATCGACTGCCTTGACGTACAGGGTCCTTCCGGTCCGTGACACTTTGCTTTGGCCTTCGATCGGGTCGATGTAAGCCGGGTCAAGATGGTCATGGTCAACCTCAGACGGAGGCGGCGGGAGGATGTCCATTGGCTGCTTGAACAGTCGTAGCACGGGCGGCTTCTGGTAGGAAGACTGCGCATCGGTGGTCACGATCATGACACTGCCTCTCCATATTTCGCGCTCTTTGCCCACCACACTCCGGTCTCGACGCAGACCAGTGTAGCGCAAAAGAGGCCCACATTTGAGGTACAGCGGGGGGTTGAAGGCGGTTGGCATGGTGGGCTCGTCCGCGTAGCCATCGTATGTGGGCTCTGCGTGGTTGGCGGGGCGTTTCTTCTGAGAAGCCTGGTTTTCTTCCCACCAAGCCTGGTTGCTGGTGGCCGGGTTGCCATTGGTGGATCGTATGGGCGCATCCAGATCCAGATCTTCCGAGACGAGGGCAGCGATGGTGGCGTCTTTCCAATTCTCCAACATGGGCGTTTTCACGTAGGTTCGCTCGGGCACGTCGTGATGTCTGAAGTGATGGTGGCTGGAGTCGGGCTGCTGCAGTTGCAGATCTTTCTCGGAAAATGTGACGCTCTTGCGGTTGGCAGAAGCTGTGGTGCCGTCGTAGGAGGGCGGTGCGGGATAGCCCACGCCGTGCGAAGATATCCTCTTGTTGTCGAGGAGCTGCTGCTGCATCTCCATCTGCGCATCCGTGATGCCTCTGCTGTCCCTCCGCTTCTCGTGGCTGCCAGGCTCTCTCGACGCCAGAGAAGCCTGCGAGCGCGCCCTGCTGCCCGAGCGAGCGATGTCGGCCACGGACGAGGTGTCGTCCACGCCCACCAAGCCCAGGCCCGAGGGGCTGGCGACTGGTTTCCTGTGGATGCTCAGCGGTCTCTGGGCTGGCGAGGCCGTTGTCCGATCGCGGAAGCTGCCCGACCCCCGCGAGCTCCCAGCGGGCTCTTTCCCCTTCAGACTGGGGTTGCGCGCGACCACGGTGGTGTGGTGCGCCTTCTGGTAGCCCACGGGCGTGCGCTGGTTCTTTCGCGGGGCTGGCGTGGACCGCGCACCAGCAGACTCCCACGGCTCGCTCATGTCGTAGGTATAGCCATCGTCCGACGCCACATCGCTGATGGGCGGAGAACGGGGCTTGCTGTGCACCGGCACCGAGACGTGGCGCCTGCTGCTCGTGGTGCGGCTGGACACGCTCGACGCCTTGTCCGAGCGGGCGACGGGCTGCGAGGTGACGCGCTGCTGTTTCCCCGCAGCTTCTCGCGCGCGTCGGGCGCGGGCCTCGGCCTCGACCTTCTCCTGCGCGGCCAGCTCGGCATCGAGTATGCGCGCGCGCCGCTCCTCCTTGCTGATGTCGTCGAGCTTGCCCTCGAGCTTCTGCAGAGGCGAGCGGTCGGGCACAGACGGCGCAGAGGGGGTGTGCAGCGAGCTGCGGCGCTCCACGGTGCCCGAAAGCGGCTCGACGGGGGCGTAGGGCGGCGAACGCAGCTCGTACAGCCTGTTGGCGGCCGTCTGCACCGTCGCCTGCTTCAGGCTCGCGTTGATCTGGATGGGCGGGTCTCGCGAGCGGGTCGAGGCGCGCGGCGGCCCTCTTGCGCCTGACTTGGAGGCATACGGATCCTTGTACGAGGACGGCGGGGCGCGGGGGACATCGGGGGCCGCAGGGATGGACTCGTGGGCTGGGCCTGAGGTCGGCGGTGGGATGTTCTGGCTCTGTCGGCGGCGGTGAGCGGCAACTCGAGCCGTGTTGCTTGGGATGGACGCGGCCATGACGATGGTGGGCTGTGCGTCTGCCGCGCGCCGTTGCGACGAGCGCTTCTGTGGATACGGATCGGAGAGGCGTTGCAGTGCAGGATTGACCGCCCTACTGTTCTCCATGTTGCCACGCAATCATGGGCGGACGTCTGGTGTGGTTCTAGATGGGATGGCGAGGTGTGAGGGTTCTGATGAGCTATGCGTTACACTGTCACATCGAGTCACTTTAGATTTGTCCGTGTGGCGTCTGCTGGATAGCTACCTAAGAATACGGCGATGGAGCTCGCGGAGGATTGACGCGGCCAAAAAGCAAAACACGCACAGCTACGTAGGGTACGAGGGTAGTCGGGGAGAGGGAGATGGAGGTAGAGGACCGGCGCAGGTATATTTTCCGTAGACGGTCAGCCCCAGCCAACGCATCGCAATGAATGATGCATCAATCCATGAGGCGGGCACCAGCCTCCTTCCGCCTCAGCGCTTCGCATTTCAAGCTTGGAAGACGGCCCCACTCAGTCTTCGATCTTGCCGAGTGCTACTTCCCTGCCGATCTTGGCACTGCAAGGTCCGCTATTGAGCTATTGACATGTGGCTTGGGTGAGGGCGACGACGCGCAACGCCTCTATCATGTCCGTGTTTCACCGCAAGATAGCAGAAGGGAGGTGGTCGAGTATACTCAGCAGTCCGAGATGGCATTGCATGTTGATAAAATTACTATCTACCTGTTTGAAAATGTAGAAAACTACATCAATGCTCGAGCAATTATCGTATGGCTGAAATATGGTATTGTGAAGAGGACGTTTGGCGCGTGTTGAGATGGACGAGAATGAGCAGCTAGTCGTGGCATGAACAGATGCGATTGTTGTGAAGCACAGCAAGAAGATATCCCATGGATATTTCAGAGCAGCTCTCAGTCAATTGAAGAAACGTGAAGTAAGCTGCATTCTTGGGGCGGGAGATTCTTGTCATGAGCTTAAATGTAGTCGTCAATTTGCAGGATTTAAGACAGGTATCCGTGGGATACCAGGCGGATATATCTGTGAGGTATCCGCGGGATATCAGGCAAACTTCAGGCAGAAAGTATCCTCGGGATATCAGGCAGAAATATCAGGCAGAACGTATCCCACGGATACCAGGCGGAGACATCTCGAAAGGCCAGATCTTACAACAGCCCGACAACTACATGCAAGAAACTTGTGAAGCCGATACACCTCGAGTATCATCGATATGCACCCACCAGTGTGTTGTCTCGTAGTGTTTGATCTTGCAGTTTAGAGTTGTTATTTGCTGGAAGGATAGCAGCTTAATCCCGAGTACTTCGAGTAAGGGCACGTATCCCGAGCACACGTACTCCACGACACACAACCCCGTATTGTTTCCCAACGCTGCGCATCGTTCGCAGCTTCTACCACACACATCCACCTTCCCTACGTCGCCAGATATCAACATTCTCTCCAACCATTTGCAGTCACTTCATAAACAGCCCCCGGCGCACTCGCCATCGCCATCGCTATGCGCATCCTCACCATCTGGAGCCTGCTCTCGGCGGCAACACTCGCTGCAGCAGGCACACATCACCTGCCCGCGCGCAACTACACGACCCACGACTACTATGCCGTCCACCTCTCGCCATCGGCGTCACCCACAGAGCTCGCGGCGCACTTGGGCCTGACATACGAGGGCCCCTTTGGCTCGCTCGACCACCACCACGTCTTCAAGGCGCCCAAGCACGACCACGACATCGTAGATGACGCACGACAGGAGTTGAAGAGGCGGCGGCGGAAGCGACAAGTGGGAGACGAACACCACCCCCTCGACCACATTCGCTTCACCCAGAAGCAGAAGCTCAAGCCACGGCATTGGAAGCGCAATGTCATACCCAAAGCCAAAGCCCTCCCATCCGTTGCCGACGCCATCAAGCAGCAGCGCGAGGCCGCCAAAACCCTCGACATCCACGACCCCATCTTCGAGGAGCAGTGGCACATCTTCAATGTCAAGACGCCTGGAAACGATATCAATGTGACGAACGTGTGGATGCAGGGCTTCACCGGCAAAGGCGTCACTACGTGCATCGTCGACGACGGCCTGGACTACGACAGCGCCGACTTGAAGGACAACTTCTTCGCCGAGGGTTCCTACGATTTCAACGACCACGAGAACCTGCCCACACCAAAGCTCTCCGACGACCGACACGGCACACGCTGCGCTGGAGAAGTCGCCGCTGGGCGCAACAACGCGTGTGGTGTTGGATTGGCCTACGACGCGAAGATATCCGGCGTGCGCATCCTCTCCGGCGAGATCACCGACATGGACGAGGCGCTCGCTATAAACTATGAGATGCAGAAGAACGACATCTACTCGTGCTCGTGGGGACCTCCCGACGATGGCAAGACGATGCAGGCTCCAGGCATCCTCATTGAGAAGGCTATGGTCACTGCGGTTCAGCAAGGGCGCGATGGAAAGGGCTCTATATATGTCTTCGCTGCAGGCAACGGCGCATCGAGCGACGACAACTGCAACTTCGACGGCTACACCAACAGCATCTATAGCATCACGGTTGGCGCAATCGACAAGAACGACCAGCACCCCTACTACTCGGAAGCCTGTTCTGCCCAGCTCGTAGTGACGTACAGCAGCGGTGGTGGCGATGCAATCCACACCACAGATGTCGGCGCAAACAAGTGCACTGCGCAGCATGGAGGCACTTCGGCTGCGGGGCCTATTGGAGTGGGCGTGTTTGCGCTCCTCCTGCAAGCTCGCCCCGAACTCACATGGCGCGACGTGCAATGGCTTACCGTCCTGACGGCTGTGCAATTCGAAGAGACGAGCGACTGGCAAAAGACGGCCCTGGACCGCATGTTCAGCCATCAATACGGATACGGCAAACTCGATGCCTGGGCCATTGTCGAAAAGGCCAAGGACTGGAAGCTCGTCAAGCCCCAAGCCTGGTTCTGGTCGCCCTGGATGCACGTCAAGAAAGACATCCCCGAAGGCACCACAGGGCTCGCCAGCACCTTCGAGGTAACAGCCGACATGCTCAAGGAAGCAAACTTCGCGCGCGTCGAGCACATCACCCTCACCATGAACGTAAAGCACCAGCGCCGCGGCGACCTGAGCGTCGACCTCATCTCGCCCGCAGGCATGGTCTCGCACCTCGCCACCGCGCGCCGCGACGACACAGACGTCTACGGCTACGCAGACTGGACCTTCATGTCGGTCGCGCACTGGGGCGAAGCAGGCGTCGGAAACTGGACCGTCCTCATCAAAGACACACTCCCCAACAACTCAAAAAAGGGCGTCTTCACAGACTGGAAACTGCGCCTCTGGGGCGAAAGCATCGACTCGTCAAAGGCGAAACTCCTCCCCATCCCCACCGAGCACGACGACGACGACCACGATAAAATAGACGACCACCCCGCGCACGAAACTAGCGTGTCTATCCCAACCGGCACCCGACCAACAATGACAGCCGTCCCATCAGACCACCCCGACCGCCCCATCAACCAGAAACCCTCACAAACCCCCTCCCCCTCCGCCCAAACCACAGCCTCAGAATCCGCAACCCCCACCTCCGCAGCAGAAAACTTCCTCCCCAACCCCTTCCCCACCTTCGGCGTCTCAAAACGCACGCAAATATGGATCTACGGCGCCCTCAGCCTAATCCTGATCTTCATCGCCGGCCTCGGCGCGTTCCTCTTCGTCGCGCGCAGGAAACGCATGCGCGATTCCCGCGACTCGTATGAATTCGCGGTGCTGGATGATGTGGAGGACCGTGAGGATGCGGGGATGTTGGCGGGTGGGGCGAAGAAGAGGGCGAGGAGGGGGGGCGAGCTGTATGATGCGTTTGCGGGGGAGAGCGATGAGGATTTGCTTAGTGGGGATGAGGAGGGGGATGAGGGGCCGTATCGGGATCGGGAGAGGGGGGGGTTTAGTGAGAAGGGGAGGGGGAGGGGGGATAGTGGGGATAGTGGGAGTGAGAGTGAGGGGGGGAAGAGGCAGTAGATTTTGGGGCTGTTTGTGTGGTTTGTTGTTTTGTTTTAGGTTGGGGGGTTTTCGCATAGAAAGGGAAGATTTGTGTGGAGGGGGGGGGGTGTTGGATGGGAATACGATACGACGGCGTTTAAAGTTTAAATCCTATCATTTTCACAAAAGCTGGACCGTTTATCAATCGTCAATAAAAACAGTTTTGAACGATTTCAGTGGGGTATCATTACTACAAGTTATCCATCTACGCAACCTTCCTCCCGACATTCCCCACGCCCCGCCCCACAACACTAACAACAACCTCCTCCTTCCCCTCACCCGCATCTCGAAACCCCCAGCCACTCCCGCCAAACACCTTAGAGTCGCGCGCGAGCTGTATAACCTCCTCGGTAGCGAGCACATCTCTACCGAGACCAACGCGGCCGACATCCTCCGTACCCATAGCCATGAGCATCAAGATCGTCGGCGCAGCAACGCTCTCAACACATCCGCCCTGTGAAATCTTCTCGAGAAGCTGGTACGCGCACTGCCTCCCGATGTCGTCCGCAGGGACGCCGCCTTCAGGCGGCGAACACACATCAGCCGAGTATATGCATCCCGTGCTCGACTCAGCGACGAGGCTGAGGCCGAAGCCGACCGCGCCTTTTACTTTCTGTGCGGGCGTGCCCTTCTGCGCGGGTGTGGGGATGAGGGGCGCGGGGGAAGCGTCGGAGAAAATGTACGTATCTGGGACGAATTTATTAAGGATGCCTCTCGCCTCGAAGATCATGCGCTCGTTGTTTGTCTTGGGGACTTCGACGCAGTACGCCACGCCGCGGATTTTCTTGACGCGGCCTGGGTTGAGCAAGTGCAGGGTTTTGGGCAGGCGGACTTGGTGGTTGAAGACGAGTTGGACTTCGCCGCCTGCGCTTTTGGCGGGGGAGGGGGCGCAGGAGCGCTTGAGGATGCGCAGTTCGATGCTGCGGTCTATGCCGAAGGATTTGTAGAGCGGGAGGAGCGCGGTGCGGACCGTGTCTGCGGAGACGTCGCCGGCTTGGGTGCAGGAGGTTACGCAGCCTTCGCCGTGGAAGATGACGTTTACGTTGCCTTTGCTGAAGGGCGAGAGTAGGCAGAGGGGGATTAGCCACCAGCTCACACCCCGTTTGGCGCATTCCCGTGGAATCTCGTGCCGTATGACGCCGCCCGATGCGCCGAGGCCTTCTGCTGAGCCGGTGATGAGTCCCGGGCGGTAGACGAGCGTGGTGCCCGTCATGCTGAACTGGATCTGGGAGCCGTTTGTGATGGCGTCGAGTAGGCGGATGAAGTTTGTTTCATGGCGTGTGAGGCCCGGGTTCGTCGACGAGGAGCGGATGGCTGTGATGCGAATTGGGCGGCCGGTGAGGGTGGAGAGGAGGAGCCGCGTTATGAGGTGGCGGTGGCCCGAGAAGTTGAGGGGCGCTTGGAGGGATTCGTCGGCAGCCATTTTGCGAGGTTGCTGGTGGGGAGAGGCGGGGTGGTGGTGGTGATGTTGGAGAGTTGAAGATGGGCGTGCGATGCGACTGGAACTTTCAGAAATTTTGTGGGGCAGATCCTTAGCGCTTGTTCGCCGCGGGCATCCAACATCCAGCAAGTGTTGTAGCAGTTACTTATTCCCAGCGAAACTAACTCTAGACGACAATGGACCCGATATATGGACAGCTATTTAGATCGAATGGGCGTAGAATTTGTCTGTGCTATTTGAGAGTAAATATGTGGTCACCAGGGTGGATGCAACCGTGCGCGACGCGGTTCCGCGTTCTCGAGTCCTGGGGAAAGCGCGTCTCTCTCAGCCCTCACTCACATCGAAACACCGACTTCATGCTGGAACCTCAACTCCTCCCCACTCCACATCGATACCGGTCCTAGTCTCCTCTGAATACATCTAACCCACCACTCAACCACACATCCAATGACAACATTATCGAGAAGAAATGTCCCCAAGCTTCTATCCACGGTGGGCGGGAAGCCGCATGCAAACGACAAGGATCATGAAGAGACATACCAGCCGGAAGGACCAAAGAAAACCGTGAATGGAAAGTCGCATACAGGCGACCAGGATCCTGAATTATCAAATGTACCACGCCAGAAGGGGACCACGCAATCCAGGGAAGCATTGGATGTAATTGAGAAGCTCAAAAAAGAAAGGGAGGAGGAAGAGCGACTTCTCAACGCTGAACCTGAATCTGAGTCTGACGATGATTTACAAGCCCCGCCACCTCCACCACCCACCAAAGACGTTACAGGCGTGTTGGACAAGCTGCGAAGAAACCAAGAGCCCTCCAAGCCTGACAACCAATTGACAAAACCTCCAACCCGATCATCGTCGTCATCATCAGTGACCCAACTATTCATGCAAAAGAACAGTCAGAAGATGCCTGATACTGCACTGAAGACTGCACCGAAAGCATCCAGCAGGAGAAAGCCTACTCGAGTACAGGCTCCTCGTCAAGGCACATACCAAGCTGGCAAAGCAGATAAAGCCAAGAGAGAACTCGAGGAAGAAAAGGAAAACTCGACAGCTCCTCAATCTGACACAGGCTTCGATTTTGACATCATGGCATTCCCAGAGAAAACATCGAAGGGGCAGAAGACACAATATGGCGCCAAGGCCAAGCCTGTCCGTAATCTTCATGGCAGAGCTGATAAGAATCGCATTAATACACAAGAGAAGAAAGCGAATGTTTACGGAAAGACGAATCACGTTCAGAAGGCCGAAATCGAATCAGACAACGATGATGATAGTGACGCATGTTCCATGAAAAGCAACAACGATGCAGGGAGAGAGACGATTTCAAAACCTCCCAAGCGCACAAGACCCTCCACTCTAGAAGATGACGAACTAAGAGATCTTAGCGATCCCACTAACAAACGATCCAAGACGTCTTCCAATCCTGCCCGACTGCTTGAGCAGCTCGGTGATTGGAAGGAGGGTCAGTCATCCCCGCCTGACTCTAATACCCCACGGGAAGACCTCGATAAGATGGACGCATACGTGGCTGAACTCAAGGAAATGACTGAAGTTACACAATGCGTGATATGTGAAACACCGGTCGACGAAAACGTTTATGCGGAGTTTTGGTACGGGAAACCAACTACCGTTAAAAATCAGACCGCGTTCTGTAGTACGCACAAGAGGATAGCGGCAAATGAAGAGTATGAGAATGCAGGCTACCCGAAGATTGACTGGGATGCACTGCCTCGGCGGGTCAAGAAACACAGAAAGGAGCTTTACAAGGTGCTCACCAACGACCGATCAAGCAGGTACAGGGACCGCTACGAACCCATCGCACTGACTGGAAAGGCCGGGGCAATACGCTCCAGGCGAAAAGACAGACCACAGGACGAGCAAGACGAAGATACATCCTTTGTCCTTGATGACTGCAATACTTACCCCGGCTACTACGGACCCCGCGGTCGACGTGCAATCACCGAGACCATCATGAAAGAGCTGCGAAATGAAATCAAAAGCTGCACAGACGCCGTGGTTCAAACCTCCGGCCCAGCGGCTTTCGTGCAGGCTGTGCTTGTCCCTGAAGTTGCCGTCTTGCTGATCATGGAGGATTGCATGGTCGACGGAGAGGAAGCCGAGCAGATTAGAGAGAACACGTACGACATGGGTTTGCATCTGCATGAGGAGATTGAGGATGAGGTGGATGTGCAGGATGAGAGCGATGACGAGAACGAGTATCGTCACAAATGAAGAGATGGTTCTGGCAGCAACCATCCGTAAGAAGACTAGGGGAACGGTTGCATTTCGCATTTTGAACGCCATTTTGACGAGCCTGTGGCATGTCTGCGCGTATGGGCTTCCGCTTTTTTGATCTTTCGCGTCTCAACACTTTTATTCACTCGGAACAATTCATTGGTATCCACGGCATATTCTGCTTGGTCGTTTTCTCTTCTTTGCCTTGCAGAAGTCTCTCGTCTGAAGATTATAATTTAATACCCCGCTGACCAAGCTCTTGCTCGTCGCCGCAGGTGAGCACTGTAGTTCAACATATCCGAACCACCGTCCAAGTCAAACCACACATCAACACATCGCACAGCCAGAACAACCCAATACCATCACCAAAGCGGCAAGCACTCAACCACTCACCTATTCACAACAACACGATCAATCTTCCCACCATACGACGCGATATCCTCACCAAGCAACCCCTGAAATACAACATCGAACCTCTCCTTCGACGCCAAAAACCGATCCACATGCAACAAGAAATCATATGTAGCATAGCGCATCTTGAACGCCGCGCTCTCCGCGCCTTCCTCACCAATCGCCCACACGTATGAGCCAGCATCAACCTTCACCCACACCACCCGCGTCCGCGGCTGATACACCACGTCCTGCTCCCCCTCGCCCTCAACGCGCACAACATAATTAACACGAACCGCAAAATCAACCGTTGCACCCTGCGTATCATCAAACACCACACCCCCAAGCGCAGCAAAGAATCCCCTCACCATCCCATCCAGCTCACGCAGCGCCCCCTCCCCCAATCCAAATCCCCCAAACACCTCCCCCAAAACCGCACTTCGCACATCCCCCCGTGCCAAAACCCGCTCAATCCCCCCCTGCCCTCCCGCAACCGCCTCGTAGAAAACCCCCAGCGGCCCCGCCATCGCGCGATACCCCGCCGCCGCCATATCGGCAAACGCACGCGTCGCCTCGCCTGCAACGCCGAGATCGAAATGCGTTGCTTGGCCCCGGCCTACGCGGAAATCCTCATTGAAGATTGCAGTTTGCAGCGCTGCGACGGAAGATGTGGAGGTTAGGTAAGCGAGATTTTGCGCCGCTTCGGCGGAGGCGTTGGGGGGATGGATGGAGATTGTTTGTGGAAGGGGTGGTCTTCCTGCGTTGAGTTCGGCGGAGGGACTTGTTGCTGCTGTGGAGAGGGCGGTGTGCGTGTTTTGCTGTATGAGGTCCATTTTGGGATTGGGATGGGGATTGGCGAGCTGTCGAGTGTGAATGTTGGTTTGCTTTTATTGGGTGTTCATGCTTGAGAAGCAGGGGAGCCTCTAGGTAAACTATCTACCCCACACTCAATCATAGACCCTGCCTTCTTACCTCTACAACCCACCACGCGCGCCGACAATGCCAAGCCTCGAAGACATTACATACTCGCGCGACGAGACCGTCGCCGCCGTCCGCGATTATTACCAGTTTCTCACCAAGATGTACTTGGATGAGACGTATATCATTGAGCCACCTCCAGAAGGCTGGGCACACATCACCAACCGCCATTCCACTTTGGACAAGTCGAAGGAAGTCATTAATCTGCTCCGACATCTTCCCTACATCAAATCCACCCTTGACAGCACCGTCGACGCAGAAGGTGCTCCTGATTGCACCTTCGCCGACTGGCAGGACATTTTCCAGCGCGCATCGGATCGCAGGACTATCACAATAGGCACGGAGGACTCTGCAATCAGCCACTACATTCCCAAACACGTCGTCGGCCTCACGTGCGGTGGGCGTCACAGCCCCAGGTTCCTACTCGATGTCAAGCTCGGCATTGTGCAGTGGTATGAGTGTCCCGGACAGATGAGCGACAACGCGAGCCGCGAAACCGTCGACGATGATCCGTACGACTATTGCGCCGCGGAAGAAGAGGCGGAGTGGCGCGCAGAGGGCGAGACCTGGTCGATTCCAGACTTCTTTGAGGAACTGAAAGAGCAGTTTCGGCGGCTCAATTTTATCCCGCTCAGCGGCAGGAAGGTGGTTCATGTGTGGAAAATATCTCCTCCCGACTACGAGGCTATGCTTGTCGGGGTGCAGGACATCTACCGTCAGCATGCATGGCCGGATCTGGAGCGGTATGATAAGAATGAGTGCCTGAAGGCTGTCGCGAAGTTTATCGAGGAGGACTACGCTCAATTCACGCCTTAGGGTGGGGGTCTGACTTGGTCTACTGTGGTACCCCCCAGAATTTACTCAAATCGCCACCTCGCGCGGACAAATCTTAGCGAATTGGAAGGACTGTTGTATTCTCAAGAGTTACCTACAACGTATGGTGGGTGTGTTTTCAATGTGGATCTGGGAGGGGATGGCTGGACGCTGCACCTCTTATTCGAGGTTGATTTGACAGCAGAAAATCTTGGCTGTGGCTGCTGGCTTGCATATGCAGGCTCCACATCGGAAATACACCCACCGTACGTTGTAATTGAATGCGTCTCTTATTCTTAGTATGTTCACCGGTTCGCTTAGATAAATGGCAATATGGGGGCCGGAATAGCAGGTTGCAGAAGATACCCCTGCATAAGCATCAAGTACATCCTGCGAACTTTAATGCCTATGCTGGGTTGGTTCTTATGTGGAAGCGGCCTTGGCAGCTGGTCAGATCCATGATCAGGGCTGGGTACTGCTGATCTGTTACGGAGAGTGAGGGACTATACCCAAATAGGCAAATGCTTGCTAATATAGGCATAGATTCATGCTTAAGCAGGTATATGTACCTAAGATTCACTTGATGCTTATATTGGGGTGATTTTATATTGGGGTGATGTTCATGATGGGGTATCTTATGTACAGGGATATCTGGGCAGCCTTACCACTGCATATATTGGACTGCAGACGATCGATCCCGAGGTTGCAACACTTGCCAAATTGAACACATTTCTCATGCAGGGGAGCATCCTTAACGCAAAATAATATGCTTCCAATCAACCATTCACAGACCATGTCATGACATATGGATGTGAGGCTGACTGCATTGTAGTTGTGAAGGACTATCGTAATCACCTACGATTGCCTTTGTCTGACACTGCTCGACACGACCTCTCGCCTTCTTACTCAGACTCGTACCTAACACACTTCTCTGGTCGTCTTGAACAACAACTTCGAAAATGCACAACTCAATCTTTCTCAGTGTTCTGCTCGCTTTTCTCATGAAGGCTCCCCTATCAACCGGACAAGTCTCAACAACCACTGCCAGCCCGCCATCAACCATCTCACCACCTGCATTAACGACTCTGTTTGTACCAACCAGTACCCCCCTACCAACGAGCTCCCAATCACCAGACCCATGGCAATGCGCAACCAGAAACCTAACGCAATACTTCGACGTTCCAAGACCTAGCGCCGTGCTCCTCTCTGCTCTCGAATCCTACGGCGACAAGCTGATCAAACCCTGCCTATCTACCGCCACCGGGCTCAACAAGCTGTCCTGCTCCGTATCCGAGACGACGCAATGGTGCGGCTTTACAACCGACGCTACGCCTCCCATGAAAACGAGATATTCCGCCTACGGCAGCTCTGCAGCGTCGTGGTACAGTGCGAAGAGCGCCGCGATTCAGAGTGTCAGGGGAGACTGCCCGGTTACGTGGGAGAAGTTTGGTCCTCTTGATCATGCGTGGTTGAATCAGACGATTGCGCATGCGAAGTGTTATGATGGGGCGTATCCGAGGGAGAATTCGAGTGCGGTTTCCGCTTCGTCTACGTCGAAGGGGGGGTGAATGTGCAGAGTTGGAAGCATTCCAGGCACCTTGATATACATACAGTAGCTGCGGTAGTATCTGAGCTTGGTGAAGTGTTGCTGTGGCCTTTTCTCGTACGAGTAGTGAATGTATTTTCTAGAGTAGCCCGTTTATTTGAGAATTCACTCAACACATACTCAACTCCCATCGCCACAAGCTCATTGCTGTGCCCACAACATTTTCCCAATGCGGTTACTATCCCAGCGCTCGTCAAAGTGCTTCGGGTGACTGAAACGGCCCCCATTATCGCCAAGACCTGGTCAATATTCATCCGAGTCTGACATTTTCATGCACGTGGCTATGTAGTGCGATCCACGAAAACCTACCTTCCGTTCATACATCGGCGCTTACTTCAATCTATCCCCAACATTTCTTCCATCAAGTCGGGCCAATTGACGACTAGAGCATCTGGCAAGGCTGGCTCCTGCATTCACTGCTTATGCAGGAACACCACGCAATTGGACGCTTCAGGATTGCAGTAAGTTTGTCCACCGACTCATCGGCTTTGAGTTCGTGTAAGCACTACTGCTGTGCTTGCCTTGCAATATGGTAGGTTATTGATTGAGGGTGTTGCGGTCAGAGTAGGATTGTAAAGAGGACTGGTCGGCTGAGTTGGGCTGACCGACCTCGAATGCAGCCCCTGCATGCTCTCCCGATGGCCCGCCATTGACGTCAAAACCCATCGTTATCATACCACCACGGCCAGGCTGAGATTGCTCAGCCGTGAGAGGGTGAGGTCTAGGGCCTGCTGTTCACATGTTCTTATATCTCAATCAGTGCAAAGCTCAAGCGGCATCTCGTCCCTCCACCAGTCTTTTCCGGTGTATAAATTCATACTACCATCCATATGACGGTTCTCATAACCATACCATATCTTTCCTGAATCCATGTACTTGTCAAAAATGAGATTCATAGCGATCGTGATCGCCTTTGGAGCCCACCTCGCTCGTTGCGCGGTGGACATCAATGGCAACCCGGTCACTGAGCCTCTTGATGGGGATGACCCATCACCCATCAGCGACCCAAGAACCTACTATCCCGATCAACACGACTGTCCACTTACGTGTTCCGACTACACGAACATCCACAGTTGGACGCCATACATCTCAGTCGAACGCCTCCAACGTTGTGAGGAGCCTATGCTTCTTCAGTTCTCCATCTCGAATCCGCTCGACGATCCCAAGACAACAGTGCTCATACGAAGCTGCACGCTTGGAGGGCAGCAATCAGAGATCCGGACGAAAGTTCAGTCGGTCGAGAACCCCAAAAAAGACGAAGGCCTCCTTGAAAGCAGTCTCGATACTGCGCCAGCATGCTTCTCCGACGGAACCCAAACCACGAGAGATCTGAGCGTCTTTACCGAAGGTAGTGCGAAAGCGAACTTGACCGAAGCTGTCAAAGTCTTGGAGGGTCTGCAGAATTTCTTCGAGGCCAAAGACAACTGCGACGAAAACGTCGTATTTGCGTATTACAAGAAGACAGTGGCAAGCATCTATGTCGGCAAGGGCTATGGCAAGGCGACTGCATCGTCCTTGTTGAGCGCCGTGAAGTCATCGGGGATAGGCTCTAATAGCACTATTGCTCAGGTCTGTGGTAGCGGAAGCCTGCCTGGGGGCGCACTCGGCCTGTTCATCGACGGAAGTGGTGATATTGTGGCTGCTCAGAGATCAGCTGCCGTGTGGAGCAAGGGAGAGTGCGTTGAGACCGAAGGACTCAGCAATGCCAAAAGCTTGCGGAATGTCAAGACATGGGAAATTTCAGGGAGAAACGGTACTGCCAGCAATAGCACTTTGTCGGCTACTAACATGCCTCTTCTGAGAATGGTAAGCAAAATCTCACTTACGGCACGATTACAACGCCATTCTCAACCCATACACATCGTGAATTCCCCTATGATAGATAACATGGCAGTGGACTGTAATAAACGTCTTGTCTGGAAGCTGTACTAATGACCCCCAGGTGCGAGGCCCATCCTCCGATGTACAAATGCACAAGCGTGCAGAATGTCGATACATCAGTGTTATCAGTGGTGACGGTTGCGCCTCGCTTGTATCCAAATGCGGTATATCTGCTGCCGACTTCACAAAATTCAATCCGAACCCCAATCTCTGCTCATCGTTGAAAGTAGGAGACTACGTTTGCTGTTCGGCGGGCGACCCACATACTGATCCCAAGCCTGACCCGCCGAAGCCAGGATCCGACGGAACTTGCGCAACACATCTAATCGTTCAAGATGATAGCTGCGGCAGTTTGGCTAAGCAGTACGGAATCACTGTTAACGACATTGAAAGATTCAACAAAGGCAAGACATGGGCCTGGACTGAATGTAAAAACATGCTGCTCGGTTACAATATGTGCTTGAGCGAAGGAGCAACACCACTGCCCCCTCCTCAGCAGGGCGCTGAGTGCGGACCATTAGTGCCTGGCTCACAACAACCATCGAACAAGTCTGCATCAATTGCTGACCTCAACCCCTGTCCCCTGAAGGCTTGCTGCAGTAACTGGGGCTTTTGCGGGCCATTTCCAGAACATTGCGACATTCACGCTCCTGAAGGTAAGCTCTTAAGAAACTGTCGATTATAGGCCTTACTTTGCTGACTTGGATACTCGCAGGTGGGGGTCCAGGTGCGAAGCTGCCTAATTTCAGAACTACTTGTGTCTCAAACTGCGGCAACGAGATCAAGAAGAATGGCGGCCCCCCTACAGCATTCCAGCGTATCGGATACTACGAGTCGTGGAATCTGAACCGTGATTGTCTCTGGCTGAAGGCCAAGAATGCGAACACTGACGGTAGTTACACGCACATTCACTGGGGCTTCTTAGAGATTGACAGCAAGACTTTCAAGCCAGTCGTTGTTGACAAGCATAAACAATGGGCAGACTTCAAGAAGCTGAAGGATGTAAAGCGCATTGTCTCGTTTGGCGGGTGGGCGTATTCGACGGAGGCCGCTACTTACAACATCATTCGAAGCGCGATTATCAACAATCGGGAGACTTTCGCCACGAACATTGCGCAGTTTCTCAACGATGAGGGCCTGGATGGCGTGGACATTGACTGGGAGTACCCGGGGGTAGGCAATACATGACCTTCTTCCATGAAAAGACAGTGACAGTTGCTAACCTTGAAATTCACAGGCTCCGGATATCCTGGTGGGCGGTCAACCAATTGGTCAACCGAGCGATGGTGTGAACTATCTCAAATTCCTCACAGTCTTGAAAAATAAAGTTGGAACCAAGTCGGTCTCGATCGCTGCCCCCGCATCGTACTGGTATCTGAAAGCTTTCCCTATCGACCGTATCGCTGCCGCCATTGACTATATTGTATACATGACGTATGACCTGCACGGTCAGTGGGACTACGGCAATCCCAATGCCTTCGATTCCTGTGCGTCTGGAAAATGCATTCGAAGCCACGGTAGGCTATTGGAATCTGATCACGGTCTGCATTTTCTGACAGTGAACTTGTAGTCAATCTTACTGAGACGCGAAATTCGCTTTCTATCAGTACGTCCGAACAATACAGTACTGGGGCAGAAATCTTAGTACAGCGTGTTACCCTAAGATTGGTAATACGTTGATTAACTGTACTAAGAATGCTGCCCCTTTTCTGTAGCTTCAAACTGCAAGTCAATTACTGACCAGATCCTAGTTACCAAAGCCGGTACACCAAACAACAAGATTTTTGTTGGGGAGTCAAGCTATGGCCGATCATTTCACATGGCCACGGACGGGTGCTGGCAGCCTATGTGCGAGTTCACTGGCTCACGGACAAAATCAGATGCAACACCTGGAAGGTGCACCGGAGAGAGCGGCTATATTTCTCTTGCGGAGATCAATGAGGTTCTTGGGCGCAATGTAGGTGCCCGGATTTTCCACGACGGTGCCTCCAACTCGGACATCATACTCTACAACGGAGACTATATCTCCTACATGACCGATACGACCAAGAACACACGACGTAATGACTGGAAGGGCCTCAACTTTGCTGGCACTATTGATTGGGCTGTCGACTTGCAACAATTCACTTCCGACGACTTTGACGCACCGCCCAAGAACGGTGCTCCTGGTACGCGAGGTTGCGTCGGAGGTCGAGACATCAACGTCAATACCGGAGACCTCTGTGCATTCTCCTGTTCCTTTGATTTCTGCCCTGAGACTCTCTGCGAATGCAGGGTTGAAGGCAAAATCAAGGCTCTACCCGCAGAGGTCGGTGGCATGGACGATATCATTGCATGGGACGAACTTGACGTGGATCTCAATCGTCTTTGCAGATTTGCTTGCAAGCATGGCTACTGCCCAGACAACGTCTGTACGCACCCCATTGTCGAACCAGATGAGGATGGCATTGTGATGTACGACCCCGAGAACGACCCGACCCAATTCGACTATGACGCAGCACGGAAGGCAAACGAGATGAACTGCCTGATCTACAAAGATCCGGAGTTTCGAGATGCCAGCGTGAACCAGTGCTATGCTCCGTGCAAGCCTGCGATGGACGAGGCTGAAGCGGAGGGTCGAACGACCAACTACGGTTGTGTGGGGTTTTTCCCGACAGCCCAATATCCGGACGGAATACCATGGCAGAAGTATCCAGGGACAAGCTATGAGGTTGCGCCAGCCAAATGTTCGTGTGACAATTGGTTACTCAATGAGATCGCGGACACCATCATCGAAGCATTGCCAATCATTGCCCAGGTACGCATAACTGAACAGGATCCTGTAAAGAACATCGCTGACGTTTCAGATCGGATGCTATATCCTCATGTCTTCGCTAAAATTCGTCCTCGATGTTGGCGTGAATTTCCTTACTGGAGGCGCCGGGAAAGCTATAGACGCTGGTTTGGGTACGTTATTGCTCTCCATTTCATCAATACAACAGCCTATTGAACCAAGCTTTTGCTTGTGTACTGTACGCATAGACTGACGAGATCTGTAGACATGGCCGCCACTGCTGCGCAGATGGCCTCTTACTTCTATCCAGAGGAAGAAGACCCAGAGGGCGCATTCTCATGGTGGCTAAGCCCGTGCGGAGGAACTGAACTCGTCCCAGATGAGATCAAGAAGGTCTTCGACATCCTTAACAGCATAACAGACGGCGTGTCGAGTTTCAAGAAACCGAAGGACGACAAAGGCAAAGGTAGTGGAAAGAAGGGCGATGAAGCCAACCCTACGGACCGGAGCAAGCCTAAAGGCGGCACTGGAAAGGGTCCCAACGGCACTGGTGGTTCTTCCACGAAGAAAAAATGCAACATTCGCCCGGGTGAGGACCTCAAGCGAATGGGTGCAGCGAAGAACACACTACGAAGTCAGAAATGCGTGGCCGACAAAACCCAGAAGAATGACATGATTGTCACGTCGCTCAGCTATAAAGCCAATCCAACTCAACTTCCGATTATAAAGAACTGCGCAAGAGAACACACACAAGCCTGCTACCACTACAGCTCGGTTATACGTGGCAATCCGGCATGGCAGACGCTGACCTGCCCACCTGAGGCCGCAGCAACAGCCCATGAGATGAGGAGACTTGCACCTACGTCCTGGAGTAATCAACATGACGGCACAGGCTGGCAAGATGAGCAATACCGGCGAGAAGAGTTTTGTGACAGGGACGAGTACCCTCCGTTGTACCTTCTGGGTCCACAGAGCCCCGCGTACCTTAACAGTGGACAAAACGTCAATGGCCAACTTATACGCTGGATACCCTGGAATGAAAACCAAGGTGCGGGCAATAACTGGAAAAGTACATGCTTCATACCACCGTTGGAAGGGTCTCGACTGAGCGACGCCGAATTCGCGAGAAGATTCAATGCTGCGAACAATAAAGTCAATCGCGTCAAGCAGATGGTGACGCAGACGTTTGCCCAGATCGAAGTCGATCATCGACCGGAGTTTAGCTTTGGCTCTTGGGGACACACGGGACAGGCTGATAGGGACGATGGACTGTGGGACAACCCGTGCTGGCCGAATGTGCTTGCTCCTGAAGACCCCGGGTTTTGCATCATGAATTTCGATCCGTGGTATAGGGGCATTCCACCGCCATACAACTACAGAGCGGCCGCGCCACCGCCGTAGGTGGAAAGAACCCGGATGGATTGCCCAAACAAGGTGCGTCTATCTTCTAATTCAGGCTAGCTGTCTGGTGTTGCTTACTTTTAAATATCTTTGTTGGTAGCATATTGACGGGTTTGAAAGTAGGATTCCAGATCTCCCGGATGTGCGTAACACGTTGCTCGTCTTGGCTGGAGAAGTTTGGACCGTGTTCCTTAGGTATCCAACAATTGCTACTTTTTGTATTGTGAAGACATGGTGCAAGCGAAGTCTCTGCTGGAAAGGAGAAATATCAAACTTAATGCATAACTTGACTAGAAGAAATGACAGACGAATAGTGTCAGATTGACAAAACAAGCCGTATATTTACTAATTACATCTACTCAGTGAATTGCAGATATGCCTACCACGAACTCTATGAAAATCAAGGGGACGATATACCAACCCCCAGCACACACACCAAAGAAAATCGCTAAATCCAAATATACATTACATTACACAGCACCAACCTAGTCCCTCCCCACCTCACCCTCCGCACTCCTGCGCTGATAAAACTCCGCAACATCCTCACACCCCCTTGGTGTCCGACACACCTCCCTCGCTTCCTCAGGCGCAGTTTTCCACAGCACTTCTCGGACCTCCTTCCCCACCTGCTCAATAGCGTCCATAGCCCAGATGACGTCAAGATGCTCATAACCATCTATAACCTTAGAATGCACCACATCAACAAAAGGCTCGCGATTGCGCTCAAAGCGGCGCAGCAGCCGCCGTCCGTCGACGAGATCATCTGCGCCGCAGACCCAGAGCGCGAAGGGAGGCGTATGCGGGCCGTACCATGCGAAGCGGGCGCGATCCTCATCACCACCGCCATCTTTTGTCTTCCTGTCGAGAGCAGCGGGAGACAGTCGTTCGTCGTCATCAGACTGTTCGTCCGGAGACCGAGATCGCTGGTCCTCTTCCTCGTCTTCCCTCTCCTCGATGCTCGTCTCCTCGCGCGTGGATAGGATGCATTTCTGGCGCGCGAAACACTCGCGGCCTAGCCACCAGCGCATACTCTCCGCGCTGACATAGACGGGCGCAAATTGGAACATGCGGTCGCGCAGGGCGCGCTCCCACCGGTCGTCGGTCCAATTGAACAGGAACGAGAAGACCTGGTACCCCATCGCGCCGTAGAACTTCGCCGGTAGAAGCGCGTGCATGCTCATCATGAACGGGATGAAGGCATGTATACCGAACACGGCGCGGAACATGCCCGGGCTAATCAAGCTCATGAACTTCAGGTACGCTTTCTCGATAAGCGGGCCCGCGTACGCGGCTGGTGCCAGTGCGCAGAAGACGGAGATCTTGTCGCCGATGTCGGGTCGCTGTTCTTTCGCAAGGGCAACGAAGGATTGTGTTGTGCCTTGGCTGTGCGCGATGAGGCCTAGTTTCTCAAAACCCGTTTCGGAGAGCACGCGTGAGATGAGGGCGGGCAGGTCCATGACGCCCATTTGACGGATGTTCCAGGCCCACATGCGGGGATCGTTGTATTCGAGCATGACATGTTTTGGGTTGAAGCCGCAGCGGTTGTTTCCGAGCCAGACGTCGTATCCGCTCTTGGCGAGGAAGAAGGCGAGGCTGTCGTCGTCTTGGGTGCAGTATGCTCCGGAGGACTGCAGGAGCCCGTGGATCATGAGGACGGGGTACTTTTTATCGCCTGGTGCGTACTGCGAGCCTGCTACGCCGGGCTTTGAGTTATTATCCGAGAAGATATCCGGGGAGTGCGGTGTCCGTTGCGAATCGGCAGATCGTTTGTAGTCTCGTGGGTTGTAGATGTGCCATAGCTCGATAATGAAGCCGTCCTCGGTCTGAACCTCAAAGGCCTCGCAATCGAGGCCCACGCGGCGTGCGTAGTATCGAACATCGCATTGGATTTCATCTGGACCGCCTTCCAATGGAACAAACTCATCCGCATCCTTGCCTTCCTCTTCACTATCAACCGTCTTCTCCGTACCTTCTGCGTGCCGTCTCTCCCACGCTCTCTCCGCCGCACTTCTAGCTTTCCGCCGTCTCTCTTCTTCCTCATAGAACGGTCTCCGCTTATCCGGATTTCCAGAAGTCACGTGCAGCCACGCACGCTCAGCCACAATAGGAATACTCGTGAAGAACGCGCCCAAGATGATGATCAGCAAAAAGCACAGCGACAGCACAGACGAGGAAACGCGGAACATCCAGCAGTGGACCTTCCTCAGTGTACTCGGCGGGCCATACATTGGTAGTGGAGGGAACAGCGGATTTGTCCTGGAAGAAGGCTTGGAATCTCCCAATGGCGCGTCTTGTTTCTCCTCTTCTTCTCCGTTTTTCTCCTCAAAACGGACTCCGTGTATGGTTCCGTCTTTTGACTCACGTGAACACGCCTCCAAAGGCTTTTCCTGAGAAAGATCCCGGTCATCGATGATGGCTCTCAGCTTGTTGAGCTTCCTTGCTTCATCGATAGGCACGGCTGGTAATCGGTGACCATTTGCAGTTTGTATTACCGGGTCTTGAGCCGTGATGAACAGGGCTTCCACTGCTTGCGTTGACCCGGTCGAATCATCTTCCTGATGTGGCGAGTATTGTCCGAGACGCTCTGCCTGTTGCGCAAATTCGATTGCTGCTTGCGTTTTAGGAGTTTCTTCCTCGCTGCCCCCATGTGTTAGGTTTTCAAGAGTTGTGATTGTGGTGGCCATGTTGTTCTTGCGGGTTCTCTAGTGCAACGACGGCGCAGTGGAGAGATGTCATACGAGTGGGGGGCGCCAATGGGGTGGTCGACCGAAAGTTAGCGATAGATGTGATATGAGTTGCAAACAGCTTTGTTCGTAGCAGAGAGACAAAAGCGGGAGCGGAATAGAGGATGTAGAATCCATGGTGCTTGCATCTTGCAAGGTTAATTGCTCACGGATCAACATATCCACTTCCACGAAGTTGGTAGAAAAACGTAAGTTACGTCAGGATCTTCCTGAGCCGTGGGCTGTGTGGAATGCACAGCCAATAGTAAGACTTGAACAGGAGTGTGCATCTCAACGATATTTCCAAAATGGTGGTTCAAGGGTGGATCAATCAGGGGTGGCCGCCCTTATCCGATTTTCACATGTTATTATCGCGCGCTTGTCTGACTATTCCCGCGGGGACATGGTGACATCGCGCGATACTGTAAACGTCAGCGAACGCCATGGCTTGGGAACATGAAGACTTCCATGCCTCCGCTTAACAAATATTATTTAAAAAACTACAAAATCAAGAATACAAATCGTCGTCCTGCGCTGCATCCCCAAATCCGCCCTCGGCAATATCAAGGCTGTTTTTACTCGCGTGATTCGCGACCGGGGCCTTTCCCTTTCCTTTCCCACCGCTACTTCCACCAGCCGACCCATTCAAATTCATATTGTCAGTGCGAATTGACATCTGTCTGTCGTCTGACGGCGCTTCAGCCTTGCCCTTCCCCTTGTTGCCATTCAAAAGCACCTGATTCTTCTTATCGTCCTCCTTCTTGCCGGTACCCTCAAAGGACTTACGCACTGTATCATAATGTCGCAATTCATCGGCACTAACACTAGGCACGAGCTCGTTGTGCGCCTCAATGAAATCTTGCTCCGTGACCATGACCGCGGTATCCTCTTCCGTGGCCAGGTGGTCAAAGAAGTATGCAATGGTGATGGTTGGTGAATGTGCGGCATTGTACGCCTTGACTTTCTCGTCAACGGCGCGTGCTTGCCGTGTGATAGCTTTGAGCATGGCGTCCGAGCAGAGGGCGTACATATCGGCACCAGTGTATGTAAACGGAAGGCCTTGGGAGACTCTTTGGAGGGAGAGTTCAGGGTGTAGTGTGAATCTGAGTGAAACGTTAGCATATGCGATATGAGAGGAAAGAGGATGAAAACTTACTTCCTTGACAAGGCTTCTAGAATAGTCTGCTGCTTCTCGTGGGTATCCGAGACACCAAGATACAGCATCTTGTCGAATCGACCAGGACGTAGCAATGCTTGATCAAGCAAGTCAGGTCTGTTCGTCGCACCGATGACGAAGACACCCTCTCCGCCATCGCTCATACCATCGAGCTCAGCGAGCAACTGACTGACAATACGGTCCATGACACCACCGCTGTCACCTTGGTTACCACGCTTGGGCGCAACAGAATCCAACTCATCGAAGAACACGACGCAAGGGCGAGCGTCACGAGCCCTCTGGAACACACGTCGTACATTGGCTTCAGACTCACCAATGTACATGTTCAGTAACTCGGGACCCTTGACACTGAAGAAGTTGAGAGAGAATTCTGTAGCGATGGCCTTCGCAAGCAACGTCTTTCCTGTTCCTGGAGGTCCATAAAATAAGATACCACTGCGCTTCTTCATGCCCTTAGCAAAGAGCTCAGGGCGGGACAGGGGTAGCTGGATAGTCTCCATTACAGCGTCCTTCACGTGTGTAAGACCCCCTACGTCTGACCAGCCAACGTTGGGAATCTTAGGTGCCCCAATTGCGTCGGCGAAGTTCTTGCGTGCCGCATCCACAGCGCCATCAAGATCAGCCTTGGTCAAGCTGTTACTGAAGTGACCACCCGCAAGCTCGATGTCTCTTGTGGTGATCTTTTCGGATGAAGCCAAGGATTTGGACGCAGACACCGCGAGCGCTTCCAGGCGGTTGCTCTTTGCAACTAGTGCGCGATCTACCACGTCTACCAAATCACCAGCAACCAAAGCTGCGGTCTTGATGGCGACGTTGCCCAGTTCGACGTCGGGAGACAACCTGATTCCAGTGTCTTCGATAACGCTGCGCAGAATGCCTTCTCTTTCGCCTTCGTCAGGTGCCATCATTTCGATTTCGTGAGTGAACAGACCCCGGATACCCTCAGGCACCTTGTCGATCTCTGTGGTTGTTGCGATCAACACACGGGAGTCAGCCAGTATCTCTTTCAGTGCTGTGATCATTCGATCAGCATTGAGTGCGTCGACATGCTTCAGGAGCAGCGCGGTGAACTCGGCACCACACGTGAGTGCTCGCTCTGCTCTGGCCTTCAAGAATCCTTCGGTCTTCACGTCACCACCTCCTGCGCCTCCTTCGGTCACGATGTCGAATGCGTCTATCGAGAATGTGTGCAACCCGAGATCTTCACAAGCTTTTGTGGCCACAGTGGACTTGCCGATACCTCGTTGCGTAGACGTGATCAACACCGCAATCGGTGGCAATCCCAGGTGAATGGCCCTTGGACTAGTAGCTACTGACATGAGTTCTCGTAACCGCCTGCGAAGCGAAGAGATGTAAGGCTTGGGAAGCTCGTCTTGCGCCATCATCTTTTGAGAGGCCGAGATTGGAGTCCGCTTGGCACCTAGGTAGTATTGCCATGCGTTGTTGATAGGTGCAGGTGTTTTCCCCTGTTCGCTTCCGTTCATCTCCATCTTTGTGCTTGCGGCGTCCACTGTGACAGCACCACCCCAAGGATCCTCTTCTTCGTCATCACGAGGCGCCTGTGATGAGCTTGAGACATTTCCAATCTTGAACCAGGCTACCACCTTCGGATTGCGGCTTTCCACACTGGCGCCCTTCTTAGATCTTGATAGCAGTTCATCACTGCCAGCATCCTCCTCTGTTGTGCCTTGGAACACTGCCCGTCCAAGTGACTCGTCGATTGAAATACCAATCAAATCACCACCTTTTACAACTCGCCGTTTCTGCTCGAAGTGTTCTTTAAGAGCAGCAAACAAGCTTGGTTGGAGTAGCCGGTCAGACGAAAGAGGTGTTGAAAGTTTCAAGAGCGTGACGTCTTTGGCGGGTGGTGGCAGCGAAGAGCTGTTGAGCCGTGGCTTGACAGTGGCGCTTCGCGGAAGATGTGACGATTGATGGGAAACAAGGGGGGTGATACGAAGATGTGAAGGGCTCCCAAGATTTGCCAACAATACTGGCGAGAGATAGGCTTGTAGAGGGGTATTCATCTGAGGAAATCCAGACATACTACTAACCCTACGGTTTTGATTCTGTGTTTTGTTGAGGGGGTATTTGGCAGTCTTCTTGGACATGTTCTCTGGTAGTCCGTAGACTCTGACCGGACGCCAATTGGAATCATTGTCTACATTAACCCCTCCAAACGCTCCGAGCCCCCACAAAGGATCAGAAGAGGGTTCCTCAGTAGCTTCAATCTTGACCCAGTCGCCGGAGAAACACCCGACTTTGACCAGTGTATTTATGTCGACGAAAACTCGAGCTTCCTCGTCGTCTTCGCTTCCAGGTTTTGGGTGCATCAACTCGTCGGATATACTCTGCAAAAGCCCATGTGCCTTGAAAACCTTGCTCTTCGATGACGGACCACGGGCGGTGCTTGCAGTGAAGCTCGAGTAAACCGATCCGGGACTGGCAATGCCGTTCGTTCGGTAGTTGCCAGCTCGAGGTGTAGCGGAAGTGAAGGATGAAAGAACGCCTGATGATTGAGGTGGTAGCATTGGCGCATTTAGGGAAATGAAATCGTCTGGATCGTCGTCAGATAGGTCACCGCCATCCGTGCCAGACAGCTCAGAGTCTAGAGTATCCATCGACTCTTCATCTGGTGGAGAGGTGTTGCGAGACTCGGCTCGGTCTTCTGCGGCAGAGTAGAAGGTATCGTTCGAAGTATCGTCCGTTTCGTCGTCATCTCCGAATCCGTTCGAGATGGTGGCCCGCTTCACAGGCGACTGGACAACGGCCGTTTTGGGGCTGCGATGCGATTGTAGCACGACGACTCTAGTAGTGGGTAGTAGCAGACCTTGCGACACAGGCTCACAGGCAGTGATCTTTGCTGGCGGAGGTGGCATGTGAGTGATGGGATGGGCTGGGAGCGGAAGGGGGAGCAAGTCCCCTGTGTGGAGCACTGTTGGCGACTGGAGAGCCTCTCGCACGGCAGTCCTCCAAGCTTGCTCTTGGGCTGTATGGTCTACACTCGCCTTCGCCTTTGTCCCGTTCGAGTCGGGATAGCGACTCCTGGGCCCCTTTGCCGCGCCATTGGGCTGGTTCACAAAGCCACCGCCGAACTTGGCATGCACGTCGTCCAGCTTCCTCAAGGCTTCCGTATCCAGAGTGACGTACACAGTCTCCAACCCCAACGGAACGACATCATATATGCGGACCTCGATCGGCGCATCCCTTCTCTGCGTCTTGTGGGGAGCTACACTGTGGAGAAGCTGCGAGAACGACTGGAACGCGAGCGACGATGTGGGGACATGGAGGGATGAGTGTGGGCGGGCAGTCGCGCTTCCCGTCTTGTCGGCAATGCGCACAGGAAGGATGGTCCACGCGACGTCTTGGGAAGCCACGAGGGAACTCGGCTGCCATGGGGTAATCGCGACGTGATGAACGCGGTTCGGGTCTTGCGCGTCTCCATTCACTGTGAGTATTGTTAGCCAAGGTCAAGCAGCGCATGTTTGTTACTAACCAGCACTTCTGGAACCAGGAAAGAGGTCGTTGAAGAGGTCCTCAGACAGTATTCCTACCTCTCCCTTCAGACGGTCATCACGCAGCAGGCGCGCGGAAATGGCAGGCCGGTCAAGACGCCTTCTCCGCCGTCTTTTGCGCGGATGAAGGATGCCATTTTGAACCTCCATCATCTACAATATGAGGACAGATTCCGAATGGGCGATGTTGTGAGCAACAGAGGCGCCGCGCTCAATCGCATGGACTTGATGGTTACGGGGAGTCCTTGGCGTGATGGAACCTCGGCACTGCATCGACCATCTATGTCTCGGTACGACGCGTTAGGGGATGCTTGTTACTAACCCAGATAGTTCATTCCCGAAGCTTGGAATGCGCCCATGATGCAGAGTCGCTTGTCATTCTCAGAGTGGGCTGTCCTGAGGCCTTGGAGCCAGAAAGTCTACGTTTTACCAGAAATGTGATTCACACTTCGACCTAAACGTGTGCCTCACTGACAATCCTTGTAGAACCGTCGTATCCAACATACTCGACCTCCTCAAGTCTCGACTGACTTTCTTACCTATCTTCTTTCACATGATGTTCTTATTTCTGTGTTGCCCGAATCTCTAGCGTTCAGAAGATCAAGTAAAATCTATTCACGCTGTGGTTACACACAGGATGATGGCAGATGGTAGAAAACCAGATGTCATCAGCAATTGCTGCCGTATAAGATGGAATTAAACATGAAACCAGGAGCTGCAGAGACCATGGCGATGCTTGTAAGTCGTGTTGTTTAAACACATAGCAACGTCTGCAAGAGGTTTTTACCTCGCGATCTTTCTGCAAAGACTCTTTCAACATTTTATCTGTCCCTAACCCTTCTCTCTGTTGTCGAAGATTATATCATCTCAACAGAACTACTACCGACTGTCTGTCTCAAGTATTGAGCGTGCAAGAAAGACTAATCGACTTGTCAATCTCTATATTGTGTCGAGAGTATATGCACTTCAATGGGATGAAGACATGGTTTGCAAGACATAGACAATGTTCACTTTGAACTTCAACAGGGCTTAGCATGTGCTCAACGAACGTGGGAGAGTAGTGAAGTGGTGAGTTGATAGTAGGACGGGGTCGGGCAATACTTTCTCCGTAGCGTGCCAATTGTTCCCCCACCAGCAATTTCATAGGCGACAACAACGTTGAACCCGAGTCAACCCCACGATAACCCGCAAACATGGCTCCCGCATCGCTACTAGACCTCGTGTCCGCGCTGCCCGCCACCGAGGCATGGGGACCCGATGTCTCGACCGAGACGATGCTCGATGGCATTCCATTCGCGCCATACTCCAAGGGCGACAAACTAGGTCGCATGGCCGACTGGACAGAGGGCAAGGACCGTGAGAGGGGCGGACGCCAGCAGTACGGCAACCGCAACTACCGAGGTATGCATCTTCTGTGTAGCATGCGCATGGACTGTGTCAGCGTCTAACAGTACCCCGCAGACCAGCAGGTGTACGGTGCCAACCAGCAGACCAATCCCTTCGCCATCCAGGCCGCAGAGGAGGAGGCCACTTTCTCCGTCGTCGACAACACACGCACATCAGCCCGGGGCCGCGGATTCGGCCGAGGCGGCGGCACTGTCTTTGGCCGTGGACGAGGGCAGCGCGGTGGGCCAGCACAGCGCGGAGGGCGGGGCGCCTTCCAGCGTGTTGGTGGTGGCCGCGGTGGACAGCAGTACGACAACCGTGGCGGTGGCCGTGGCGGCCGGGGAGGACGTCGCTTTGGCCGGTGGGACGACAAGCCCCAGCGCAACCGTGATGCGTCTGTTCAGGTCAAGCCTGACTGGAACGTCATGGAGGAGATTGACTTCTCTCGCCTGGGCAAGCTGAATCTGGACACTGGCGACGGCGAGGACCTCGACAACTACGGATTCCTATACTACTACGACCGCAGCTACGACAAGCAGCCGGGCGCGAAGACCTCTGAGCGAAGACTCAACGTCCTCGAGCGCGCTGCCTACAGCGTCACAACCTCCAGCGACCCCATCCTGCAGGAGCTTTCCGACAAGGACGAGGCGACTGTCTTCGCCACGGACAACGTCCTATCCATGCTCATGTGCGCCACCAAGTCCGTCTACTCCTGGGATCTCGTTTTCACTCGCAAGGGCAAGCAGGTCTTCATCGACAAGCGCGACACCTCCAACCTCGACATGGTCACTGTCAACGAAAATGCCGCCGACGCGCCTCTCGAGATTTCCGAGGGCAACAAGGACTCCATCAACAGCCCTGGCGCACTTATGGCCGAAGCCACCCACATCAACAACATCTTCCCTCTCCAAGTCGTTGTTGAGTCAGACACAAATAAGGTCACCATGCCCAACGAGCACCCATTCTACAACGAGGAGGTCGAGAGCGACCCGCCAGCCTCCAAGTCATACAAATACCGCCGATTCGATCTTTCTCTGGAGAAGGACGACGAGCCACTTCATTTGATTGTCCGAACAGAGCTCGACGCAGTGATCAAGAACAACATCAACGGCGAGGACCAGTTCTTGACCATCAAGGCTCTCAACGAGTTCGACAACAAGGCGCAGGGTGCCGGTGGCGCTCTGGACTGGAGGTCGAAGCTAGCCAGCCAAAGGGGTGCGGTCCTAGCCACCGAGATGAAGAACAACTCCTGCAAGCTCGCCCGATGGACTGTGCAGAGTATCCTAGCCAAGGCCGATACCATGAAGCTTGGGTGCGTATTCCCTTCCCATCCCCACACCTGCAATCAATCAACAAACACCTAACTAACACACTCAACAGTTTCGTCTCCCGCACCAACCCAAAGAACAACAACGACCACGTCATCCTCGGCGTCCTCACCAACAAGCCCCGCGAATTCGCCTCCCAGATGGCCCTCAACCTCAACAACGGATGGGGCATTGTCCGCACAATCGTCGACATGGTGCTCCGCATGGACGAGGGCAAATACGTCCTCGTCAAGGACCCCAATAAGTCTCTGCTCCGCTTGTACTCGGTCCCCATCAATACGTTCGAGGAGGATGACGTCGAGGATATGCAGGCCCCGGCCGAGGATGATGAGGAGTAATTTTATGAATAGGGGGCGGGTAGGGGCTTTTGGGACGATACCCGTGTGTTCATGGCTTCACACGATTCTGATGCTGGGATGATAGATAAAATATTATGATGGTGTTGCATGTGTGTTTTCTTTTGTGTTTGGTGTTGATGATGTTGGTTTTCTGTACTGTCTGGATATCGTATATGTGAGGTAGGTAGGCCTCGGTGGGAGAAGGCTGGTATATCTGGGGTTATATGTTTTGTATCTTTCTTTTCTGTGATGATTGAGAATAGGAAAAGTGAGATGAAGCCGATGTGAAGGTTGGATTGATAGCTTTCAATTGTCAACTTGAAACAATGGAAAGATAGGGAGATTCCTTATAGTATGACATGTTCAGAGTGAGACGGGAAGGCGGTTTGGATTTCCGAGGCCGTACTGAAAGATACAGAATCCCTCCCTTGATGCCATCACCCATACTATGCCCTCAACCCAAATCTCTCTCTCTATTCATATCCGTCATCATATCCCCTCGAACTAATCGACGCTCTACCCCAAGACAAGAATCCCTCCCTTCCTCCCTCAAACAACCCCACCCCCCGCAGCATCCTTCTTCTTCTTCTTATCCTCAACAAGCTCAATATTATCCTCGGGAACATTCTCATACTTCTCGACCAAAAAGTCCTGAATATCATCGCTCAAATCGCCCTGGACCGTAATCTCCTCGCCACCGCCAGGGATCTTCGTCACACTGGAGCCCGTCGCGAACTTCTTGCCAAAGTCCTTGGCTACCTTCTTGATGTCGAGACCAAATGCTTCTAGCCCCTGCACCGCGGTCACGTACTTGCGCTTGTTGCGCTCGATGCGCTTGATCAGGATCTTGGATGAGGCGCGTGTTTCGGCCGCCCGGGCTTCGGCTGATGCGGCTTTTGCGGCTTTCTTTTGGGAGTCTTTTTCTGCGCGTTTTTGCGCTTCGAGGGAGAGGGAGGAGAGGTTTTGTTCTAGCGTTTCTGGGGGAGGGAGGCGGTTAGCGATGTTGCGTGTAGGCTTGATCGACTAAGAGACTGGTATGGTGTGGGGGCGTTTGGTACCTTGCGAGTATAGCTTCGCGTGCATGTCGGGGTGCTCTTCTTCAAGCCATTCTTGGCACTTCTTCGTCGTGCCGCCGAACTCGCAGTACTGGTGGGAGGGCCTGTTAGCTTGCTGGTGGGCTTCGACGCGTTGCTGGTGTCCTACCTACTTCGGGTGGTAGACTGCATACTGCGTGGTGTTAGGTGTTGCTAAAAGAGGGTGATATAGGCGGGACTTACCTCCGCAGTAGGTGACGCTTCTTGGTAACGTGTCGGCAGACATTGTGTCGAGGAGGCTTCGGTGGGTGGTTTAGAGTCGTAAGAAATGCTGCGTCAGAGTTGAGTTGTTGTAGGAGACGGAGTTGACGCGAAAGGTATGGTGGGGCAATTCAAACATGGCGGGGTAAACGTGCAGGGTGCTGTTCTCACTCCAAAACTTACATACAACGAAGAAGCGAAGCAGCAGGCTGTTTGTCACTATATCCGAACGTAATCATGAACCTACTGGTTAGATAGTCTTCATAAAACGCATATTGAGCGGCCACTTTCTCAGGTCAAACATCATTTCTCAAAGGACGAGGTAGATGTTTGAGAGCAAACAGACAAACAGTAGCAACAATAGTGAAGTGGCGTACTTATTAGCATTAAGAATGAATAGTTGGTGCTATGCTATTCGGAATAATTGTGGATATCATCGCGAAACAGCAAACTCTCTCGACAAGATCCCCTTAAAATTCATCCTCGTTAGGACATTCCGTCACATCATGACCTTCATTCTCGCAAAGCGCACACCACTTATCCGGATCTGCTATCGCGGCGCCCTTCGGAGGCACTAACGACGAACTGGAGTTGTTGAAAGCAGGTATGGGTAGGGGTGCGGTGGGAGCATTGCCTGGTGGCTTTGTTGGAGCGAGACCAGCCGGCCGAGATCCTGACGAGATGGAAAGGTTCCGCAGACCCTCAATCACTACGTCTTGGCCAGTAGGAATACCGTCCTCTTTATAAGTAGAGTCGGCTCCCATGGCCGAACAGCTGAGGATGTCGTGCCCTCCAGCCTCGCAGATTTCACACCACAACGAACTACCATCGATTGACGAGCGACCGTCGGACTCAGCCATGGGCTCAAGAACTGGAGGATCGCGTCGAGCTAGTTGGGGCGCATCTCTCCAGCTCACAACTGTCCCTTTCGAGTCTCGTCCTGATGATCGCTTCTCTTGCACTGCGGTGTGTTCGGAGGGACCATGGCTGATCACACTTGCACGCTGCTCAGCAAGGCCAAGCTGGCTCTTCAACTTCTCCAGCTCGCGTTCCAGCTCCTCTTCCTTGTCAGCCTTTCTCTCTACAAGGCTACGCAGTTCCTCTTTTTCGCGCTCCAGGCGCTCTGTGGTAGCTTGTGCAGTTCTCAGCTCCTCAGGGTTGACCCCCGAGTTTTGTCGTGACAGAGGAGAGCGGGCAGGTTCTTCTAGGCCGACGGAGCTCAACGAATGGATAATAGCTTTGAGCCCTCGGATCTCATCGTCGCGCTGTTCAACCTCTCTTTGCCCAGGCGCGTGCGGGCCATCTGCCGTCGTACCTGCACCTTTCAACGCCACTGCAGCCTTCTCCCGCTCGCGACGTAGTTCTGATCGGCCGCGCTCGACTTCACCTCTCAAGAACTCCACCTCGCCTCGTGCCTCTGCTTCTCCCCTTCGTGCGTCTTCGAGACCTTCTTCCAACTCTTGAACAAGCTCTTCCAGTTGTTTGAGCTGCATTGCCACAGTCTCGACATCCTCGCTGCGAGCCTGGTATTCTCGAATTTCTTCATGCAACTCTTCGACCTTCTTCTCGTATACCCGTTCAGTCTCAGTGCTTGCCAGCTCCAAAGTATCGATCGTGCTTCGAAAGTCCGCTCGATGTGCATCGAACTCAGCTGTGAGCATTGAGATCTTCTCGTTCTTCTCCTTAAGAAGTATCCGTAGTTGTCCAACATCGTTAGGCTCCGTTCCGTTGCCGCGAGTGGGGAACATGTCCGGGCCGTCCTCCGGGAAGAGAGTCTGGATTTCTGACAAGCTTGCCTCCATCTCACTCAGTGAAGATGCTTGATCTCTGAGTTGTTGTTCGCGCTCTTCCAGGAGTTGCTTTAGTCTTTGGACCTCTTCAGTCTGATGTGAGCCTGCTCGAGAGGCAACCCGGCGACCCTTGAAGTTTGCCATGGAATCGTTGCTGCTGCGTGCCGCACCGACTGGTGTCAATTCACCGTCTTCGTCAATCGTATCGTGTGTGGCAAGACGAGAATTGGCCCGCGGGTAGGGTCCTTGCGGGCCAGGTGTCCGTGGTTTCTGCATTCCAACTACCCTCGGAGGAGCAGGGCTATTGAATCTTGGTGGCGCCCCTATGGCGCTCTTCGAGAAACCAGACGGCGTGAGTCCGCCATTCCTCCCTGGTGTCGCTGACACGCTCGGTGATCTTCGGTAGGGCGACTCTGCTCGTTGTTGTAGAGACGCCGTTCTCCGTGGACTGGTGCTAGCGCCAGGGCCGACAGACTGCGAGAACTTGGGTGCTGAGGGCGTACTCGGGCTGAAGGTGGGCTTTGCATTGGTGGAGAGACTGAAGTTGGCGTACGACGACGGTGTGGCAGGGGCGGGAGAGAACTCGTCCGACGTCCCTGACGAGCGTTTCGATGCGCGATGCACTGGCAAGAAGATGCCTGAGCCAGGAACAGAAGCAGTGAAGTAACGCGTGCTAGAGCGCTGTCAGCGCATGCGCAATGTACTACCCAGGCGTGGGAACTCACCCCTCTACGTCCCCGTTGTTCTTTCCGCGCGATGCGAACTCTCTGCTCAGCTCAACCCCCGCAAAGACGCCCTTCTTCCCACGAATACTGCCAACAAACTTGACGACGCCGTTCATGCCGCCTGGCACGTCCACGGCATCGCCTACTTCGATATCCATTCCGTCTGGGCTCATTGCGTTCGCGGGAGGCGATGCCCCTCCAGTCAATGCGTTCAAGGAGGCCTTTCGCGCGCTTGCAGTGCTGGCGTTGAGGAATAGCGCAGGACTCGACGCGGTGCTATTTAGCGGAGGGCGAGGCGTATTAAATCTGCGCGGCGTTTGAGAAGCCATGATCCCGACTGCCAACGGTCGATAGTGTGGGCGGGAGGGGGAGGGGGATCCCGTACAACAACAAAAAGCAGGATTGTTTTGGTTGTGTATCCCGGAGTGAACGTAGGGTTGTCATGCTGTACACAAGCAGGGGTAGATGGATTAATAACCGATTTCGCAGCCCAATCAAAGTCACGAAGATCGTCCTGGACTCGCACGAGGATGCGGAAATTACTACGGCCATTCACGTTAGACTCCTTTATTCATCTAGACACTTTGGCTATTTGTAGATAAAGGTAACTAGCCGCGTATGTTCTTCGAGTGTTGCAACGCATGAGACTTGCTGTTTCGTGTAACATGACAAAGCTCAGCACAGAAAAGCGACAACAACAACCACGATAACAGGTGTGACACAAAGTGCAGAACACACTTATGCGCGGCCATCGTTTGGATAAGACATACGAACTACTGAGAATCACGGACTCAACGAAGTCGAAACGCGTACTCGTCAAGGCTCCGTATTCTCATTGTTATTGACGTCAACTTGAACACACGACTGCTGGTCCCATACGCAAGCAGAACCAAATCCAACCAAGCAGAGCGGTACAGAGAGCAGATGGTCTGTACTGAGCCGAACTGTTATTCCTTTTGTCTGAGACGCGACCACAGAACATACCGTTGGGTACGTGCAGCTGTAACGCGTGATCACGTGTGGACTTGTTGGCTTTTTCATGCAGTGTCTAACCAGCGCCACAATCCTATGGATCCCAAAAGAACGAGTAGCTACCAATGGGAGAATTGCGTTTGATGCTTCGAGATCAAGTTCTTAAAACGGATCCTGGAATGTGATCTCACTAGCAATATGCGAACGTTGTTGGAAACATATGTACAAATCTTGCATGGCTTTATCGAAAGTAATTCCTTAGTATTGAACCTTAGCAATTACTGCTCCATGGGCGTTGTCCTGGTCATGTCTGCTTGTTATTAACTTTCAGCGTTCACCGCATCTCGACCCGGAGTTCAGGTCCTCGACATCTCCGCATCGTGTGGTTGCCTCGGCCCGCGAACCACCCCATATTTACTCGACGCGCCCGCCATGCGTCGCATCTGGAGCTATCGCAATGGCTGGAAACGTACGACAACCCATAGATGTAGCCTCTTTAGAGCGCTACGTCGAGGCCAATGTCCCTGAAATCACTTTGCCAATCGACGTCAAGCAGGTACGTGGTTCTGGTCCAGATACTTATCGCAGACGAATGCTAACTGAAGGTAGTTTGGCTATGGACAGTCGAATCCAACGTATCAGTTGACAGACAAAACTGGAAAGAAATATGTTATGAGGAAGAAGCCCCCGGGCAAGCTTCTATCAAAGGTAGCTACAGTCTAACACAGATGTATTTTGATCGAGCGCAGCACTGATTCGCACTCTGCAGACAGCTCACAAAGTCGATCGCGAATACCGCATCATCCACGCGCTGGAGAAGACCGATGTCCCAGTCCCCAAGGCATATAGTCTTTGTCAGGATGAAAATGTCATTGGCTCTGACTTCTACATCATGGAGTTTTTGGATGGACGCATTTTCGAGGACCCTGCGATGCCAGAAGTAACGCCAGAAGAGCGAACGAAGATGTAGGCCAGCTTCTTACCTGTTGTCACTACGTTTTGTATGTACTAATCAATCCTCCAGGTGGCACTCCGCGATAACAACTCTCGCAAAGTTCCATCGCGTCACGCCCAAAGATGTGAACCTCGAATCGTTCGGCAAGCCATCCGGCTTCTACCTCCGTCAGATCAAGACATTCAACTCCATTTCCGAGGCTCAAGCTGCAGCAAAGGATAAAGAGACCGGGGTGCCAGTTGGCAAGATCCCACATCAAGACGACATGGTAGCGTTCTTCAGCGACGCGAAGACGCAGCCAAAGGACCGGGCGACTTTCGTGCACGGCGACTACAAGATCGACAACGTCGTCTTCCACAAGACGGAGCCAAGAGTCATTGGCATTCTAGATTGGGAGATGTCGACGATCGGACACCCATTGTCTGACCTAAATAACCTGCTCCAGCCGTACTTGACAGCGAGCTCAGAGAAAATGGCTTCCATTGGGCGTGCGAACCGACAGTTCCAGCCGGGTGCGACAGAAGGTCTGCCATCTGTTGACCAGCTCATCGCATGGTACTCTGAAGTCGCAGGCTGGGATCCAAGACCTGACTTTACCTGGGGCAATGCGTTTACTTCGTACAGGAGTGCTATTATCATGCAAGGAATTGCAGCACGATATGCTCTGCGACAGGCTAGTAGTATGCAGGCGAAGGAATATGGACAGATGATGAAGCCGTTTGCAGAGGTCGCATGGGAATTAGTGGAGGACGCAATGAAGGCATTTGAAGGAAAGGCAAAGCTATAGTTGAATCAATGTAGAACGTAGAACGTAGAATGTTTGGATGATTTGATGGTTATAGCTTGTAATCACTCGCACTTTTCGTCTACAGACTTGTCTCCCGAATCCAAAAGGTCAAGTCGTATGCTGGTATCATATTTCGACCTATAAATAAGAAGATGTCAACATTTGTTCCGTAAATCCTTCGAGGGCTTGGCTGTCGATATCGCCTGGAGTATTTCGAGGGTCCGGGAGAGGCATACCCACGCTGTTGCGCCAGAACGCCGGTACCGCTCTATACTCTAGAGTCTGCCAATGTTGCCCATGTTGTTCCATCCCGCGTACTCGCGCCATTTGTGTTTTCCCTTCACCGTCCGATCTTGGGGACATCCTGGTTAATGCGGTCGAGTGCCTAGACCGCGAGTTAGTGACTGTTCAGAACCGAGATGGTGATTCAATGCATACCTCCAGCATGACAACCGCGTTGCCCCGGATAACAACCATGCCAATGCGTACTTTCTCTCCGCCAGCCTTCTCCTCCAAAGCGTCGTCGAGGACAATGTTCAAGTAGACCTACAGCTCGGTCAGCTATTTGGAGACAGTCTCAAGAGAATCGAGATTCGTACGTCATATCCTCGGAGAATTCCCATGACCTTGCGGCTCCCGTTGAGCTGTACAAGCACCCGCTTCTCGAGATACTGCAGCTAGTCAGGTTTCCGTACTTTCGGTGAGAACAGTGCGGAGCTCACCTTCTTCAATTCTGGCTGTGCTTGCGGCATTGTGATCGCGTTATTCTGGCTGTAGTTTTACAGGTGTTTATGAATGTAGCTGTGGAGGAAGTTGTTTTGTTGGCTTCGGGCACGATGCTTGAGCGTGGTGAAGCTCCATGCGCGGCTGCATGTGGTTTTCGAGATTCTTGGCACGCGCTAGTGAGCTCGTGAGGAAGGAAGCCTGGGAACCTCGACTTTACCTCACTTCCTTCAGGTTTCGCAGGTGACGAGCATTCACAATGAAAAGATCGGGCTCCAAGCGCGTCGCGCGCAAGATCGGCGCGTTCGACGAGGAGTCGGCAGATAGTGCAGAGAGCTCGCAGAACGAAGCGCCGAAGCCTATAGGTCAGTTCTCCTCTTGTCGCAATCGTTCCGCTCCAAATTCTGACCGCAGTAGGCATTCCGTGCTAACTCACGGCGTAGGGTCAGTTGTCAAGCGCCCGACGTTTGGCAAGGGCAAGAAGCGCTCGTCATTGCGGGTATCATTTGGTCCTGGAGAATCGGATGCGAACGATGGCGACGAGTCGAGCGATGCAGTCGTGGCTACGCCCAAAAAGTCGAATCTGAGTCGCATAGCCCTGGAGAAGAGTGCTCAGCTACGAGCGCGATCACCACTCGCACCGGATGCATCTCGTCCTGCAGAAGACGACCGACCTTCGTACAGCAAGGACTACATCGCGGAGCTGCGAAATTCCACTCCAACAACGCCCAAAGACTTGAAGCCCTCAGCCGAAGAGGAAGACGAGACTCGAGCCCTCGACATCGCCTCCAAGTTCGGCCCAATCGCGCCGTTTCCGGCAGAAGCTTTGTCTGCGATACCCACAGATGCCGAGATACAGGAGAAGAAAGCGAGACGGAGGCGACTGGCGCAAGAAGAGAAAGCCTACGACGACGAGGAGCGGCCGTGGGCGTCGGACGATGAGGGCGAAGATGACTTCCGAATGAGCAGAAATGAGGTTTCATTGCGACCGAAAGAGAAATACCCCGAGACCCGTCTGGTTCGCGACGAGGAGGATATTGCAGAAGGGTTCGAAGATTTTGTGGAGGATGGGAGGATTTCACTTGGTCGCAAGTCTGAACGAGAGGCTCGGCGAAGGAAGCGCACAGAAATGGCTGAGCTCATCAACGATGCAGAAGGAGGTTCAGATGAAGATGGCTCGGACGATTCAGAAGAGGAGAGGCATGCTGCGTTCGCTGCAGCTCAGGCACGCGCCGGTAGATACGGTCAAAAGATCGAGGACGAAGATGACGGCGCAAAGACACCACCGCGAACCACACCTCTGCCGGACCTTGATGAGGTTTTGGAAGGTCTTACAATCGATGTACGAACCAAGCAGCAAAGAAAGGACTTGATACTGCAGAAGCTGCAAGAACTGAAGGACGACAAGGTCAGGATCGAGGAGAGGAAGAAATACCTGCAGGAGCAGCTGCAGAAGACGGGCGAAGAGTACGAGAAACTGCGCCAGGAGGCAGGACTGCCAGCTCTACCTGCCAGCGGTGTAGACGGAGGCAGACTCCTCACTGAGAGAGGCCTGGATAGTCTCGGTACTACACCCTTGGCCGGTCGTTCGAGTGAGGACTCGGATGATGAGTAGTGTGTATTTATATCAAACAACGGCTTAAAGAAGAGTTCATCTGCCTTGTAATAGTATCATCCCCAACCAAATCATGACCCCATAATGCTGTGATGTCTGCAGATCCAAATCCATATAGTACAAATGTACAAAGCCCAACACTCAGTAAACTCCATGCACCGATGCTTCCCAAAAATGCAGACGTACCCCCTCGATTTTAATGATACATTCCTCCTCTTCTCACGCTCATTTGTCTGCATCCAAGTCGGCCCACACCTTCTCTATATGCGCCCGTTTCTCCTTCGCATCCTCTCGGTTCTTCCGCGTCCTCTCGAGTCGCTGTGCGCGCAAGCACATATTCACTTTGTACTTTGCTTCTGTGCAGTTCCCCGAGACTTTCCAGATGAAGCCGCGGGCATGGCATTCGTCGAGGGCGGCGACAACATCGGCGCAGTCTAGGCAAGTAATGATCAGTCAGGTCCTCAATTCTGTAAGAGCGAATACAGCATACTCTTTTGCACCTCTTGGGTATGCAGATGGGGATGCATTTTGGGGGGATCAGGAAGGCAATTGGTGTGCGTACTGGGGTACTCCGGGGTTGTAGTGGCGTTGGATCTCGGTCGCGCGATCGAGTGGATGGGATGATCGGGAAGTCACAAGATTTCGCGAACGGCGTCCGAGCGCCTCTCTACCACTTTTGTTCCCCGCGATACTACCATAACTTTCAAACAAACCGAAACCGTGCCATTTACCGCTTTTCGTATTCTGTTCTAGTGCTCATCCTGATTAGCCCTGGATTTGAATCTGTGGTCGAACTGCAGTATCATTCCCTGATAGAATCTCAGCGATCGGCCTTTGCTTTGATATTGCCTTCAAGGTCACGATTTCGAAGATGGCAACACCTGCCCAGATGAGGAAGCAACAAGGTGAGTGGACAACCATGAATATTAGTGTGGCGGGTGACTGACGGTATTCAGAGCTTCAGACAACTTATCAAAATTACAAGACGACACTGGAAAACATCGCCCGGAAAATTGGCGACGTTGAGGGAGAGACAGAAGAGCACAAGTAAGTAATACTCGTCTTTCTTGATTTTAGACTCTATCAAAGTCATCTCGTTTCTACACCCTGTTTTCCTCTGCTCCGATTTTGGATATTTTCTCACGACTTGGTCACTTTTTCTTGCGTATTTCACAGCTTCATTCAGTTACTGTACCAGACTCGATATTGACGCATGTCAGACTCGTGCTAGAGACACTAGAACCACTACCAGGAGATCGGAAATGCTTCCGTATGATCAACGGTGTTCTGACTGAGCGGACGATCGAAGAAGTTGTGCCCATCTTGAAGACGAACTCTGACGGCTTGAAGAAGACGCTAGAAGAACTCGTCAAGCAGTACAAGTCCCGGCAGGATGAGATGGAGAAGTGGAAGGTAAGCATGACATGGTGCTCTGTCATCTGCTCGATAGTTTTGCGATGGGTGTTGCAAATCAAGCTGTGAGTATAACCGCTGACTTTCGATTACAGAAAAAGAACAACGTTCAGGTCGTTCAAAAGCCCGAGTAGAAGAGATCAAGTGCTACTCAAGCGGTCAGCCTTTGATGGGACGGGGGCACAACGTATGCTCGAGTCCACATGGTCTCGCGCAGCGGAACACGACAACAAAGTTATGACAACTAACGATCAAGACCTCGAGGGATGAACCCTGGTGGTGTCTGAGCACTCTGAATCATCTCTCTACGCAGCTTCAACACTTCAGAGCTTCTTGCAGGAGAACGAACCTTCTTCAAGACTCTGACTCTACGTCATGCAGTAACAGACTCACAAGGAGTCTTACAGCTCAGCTGTCACAATTAGATAGATCAGTATAGATGGCCTTCGTCATAGCAGACTTCAATATACAATGTCAGGAGCGTCATTGACCCATGAGCATGAAACGACCAAGCTTTTGATACCCCACTAGCATGCATTTCCTGCATTTCCACGTACTGTGTCAGACGCCCATGAAACCACTCGCTCACACCTACCACAAACAGCCTGACCGTTCTACTGGGATCTAGTGAGTCTTCCTGCATGATGTGTTGGCTGTTAGGATACGTCAGATCGACGCCGCAGCTCCCGTGAACCTGGGCAAGTCGCTCATAGGATACCGGGGACAACGAAGTGGAGGACGTTGAACTGTGCATGGGAGGAACGCCGAGTGGTCAGCTTCAACGTCATCTGGGACAGAGAAGTAAGGCTGCCTGCGCTGCGCCCTGAGGAACGGCTGAGATGACGCTGGACGGCGAGACAACGCATGAGCTTGAGAGCAGCTAGCTGTTCTTGTTACCCCACACCCACGTTGAGGAACACGGACCCAATTCAGCCGGATAGTGTGTGAGAAATATGGCGTGGACGCGATGACGAGAGACGTGCGGGGGTCCGGAATAATACTGATAGTGGAGCGTGGGCATGATCAGGCGGCAGATAGATCTGTTTGTCGTACCTGGCTGATAGCGAGACCTAAGAGTACCAGAGTGTCGAAAGCTGCTCCAATAGGAGAAAAAAGAAATCCGCCGCAAAAGGCACATAGGGCAGTCGAATGGGGAGCCAAGCTGCCCACTTTCCTGCATATTGTAGCTTCGCATCCAAAATCCGCGTACAGGTAGTGGCCGTGATCGTGATGTGAATGAACGATCGTCTTCCGATTGGGGGCCGCGTTCACAGCTCTCCTCCTAAAGACGCGCTATACGACCCGCGCGTGCTCCCATTGGCCAGACGCGTCTTGTTGACCACAACGTACCTTCTGCGAGAGGAGCACAACTCAACGCATTACCCACGACACCTACATACTATTTTGCGCCGGCCGAACTGTCACGTCTTCGCTAGCTCTGCGTCTGTAAGGGGTCTCACCACTAGTCGCTGGGCACTGTGATAGCGTTCCAGCACGTCACACGATACTCCGTAGTTGACAACGACCTCCTGTGCGTCGCAACAGCCCCAATCGATCTAGAGTAGTTGCCCGCCCGCCGTAAGTCAACTTTAGCTGCGTCCTGACGACAACCAGGCTGCATGCCGCTAACCATTCCCCCCGTTAGACAACAACTTGTTACACAGCCAAGTGACGTGGACGCCAGCGAATTATTGAGCAAAGCGCCAGCGCACACAATCAATCCAAGCTGGTCTCCGCCCCTGCAGGCGACCGTTAAACATGTCTTCCACCCCTCCGAAAAGAGAGGGCGTGGAACCTGCTCAGTCGCCTGACGAGGAGCACCCCATGGATAGGAACGCTGAGGAAGCACAAGTGCATGGACTCGGGTACGAATTCGAAGTCAAGGAACAGGATCGATGGCTTCCAATCGCCAATGGTGCGTCTATTTCCCTTGATTATCTCCGCTGTTTTGATTTGCGCATTTGTTTCGTTCCCATCTGCACGTCGACAGATTGCTACCAACGGGCGTCGCTGGATGCCTACATACTGCCCAATCGCGCGCTTGAGTCGTCTCTGCGACGAATCATTGTCCACGTCTTAGGCCTGTCAAGATCTTTGTGTGTCTGGAGAACGGCCGACTTGCAGCCGACATGTCATCCTCATCTCCACAATCCTCCACTTCGCCGCCTCAGTCGATACTCAAGAGCACAAATGCGACTACAACTACGTCGGATGCTAACATTCGTAATTTTGCTTTAGTCGCCCGAATCATGAAACTTGCACTGCCCGAGAACGCCAAAATTGCAAAAGAAGCAAAGGAATGCATGCAAGAGTGCGTGAGCGAGTTCATCTCGTTCATCACCAGCGAAGGTCAGTTCCCAAACCATAAGCCTCGAAACAACCGCTAACATGGTCATGCAGCATCCGAAAAGTGCCAGCAAGAGAAGCGCAAGACGGTCAACGGCGAGGACATTCTCTTCGCTATGACATCCCTCGGCTTCGAGAACTACTCGGAAGCGCTAAAGATCTACCTCTCTCGGTACCGCGAAGTGAGTCTCCAATTTTCCCATTTCCCCTCCCGTTGCTCTCTTTTCTTGCCTACACTTTGGCGAACGCGTATCTAAACTATTGGTATTGATTGGTGGTACGAGACCCTCCTCGCAAATCAGAACAAGCCATCTACCGGGCAGTACAATGCAGCCGGGGCCAGCGGGCCCAACGCAGGCCCGGAGAATGCCCAACATGTACTGAGCGGCGACGCCGACATGAACGAGGACGGCAGCACCGCCTTCGGCTACACCGTTCACAACGGAAACGGCTCCGCCGAGTACTAGAAGTATCCCGAGCTTGTGAATTACGGGCAGTGGGGATATCTTTTGGCCGGCAGAGTAAGCGAGCACTACGTAGGAGTGACGTGGGAAGAGGAAGAGAATTGGAATCAGAGGCTCAATTTGGATCGAAAGGAGTGAGTGGTTTATTGGTGGGTCAAAAACTGCGAGATGCAAAACAGCTCGTGATTTCTGACCGTTGGAATCGTGCTATGGAACAGTGTATGCTATGGTTGGTTAGGCGGGATATGAGGACACTCGGATTGGGGATACTTTGCTATGATTCTTGTCTGGGTTATGGGATTAGACTTATTTATCAAACACGCAAGTCTTTTGGAAAATGTGCCATTATCGTTCTGTGACCACAGGTGAGACTCACTCGTTCTTGCATGCAAAGTTATGTCAATCTGGTGCAGTTCACTCGTGAACAAAGTTCGTGAGATGAGACATGTTTGTGTACACTCCGATCAGATGTAGAAACACCATGTCGTTGCACCAAATGCATGCAGTTCAGAAGGAAAAAAAGCAATAAATTGCTTGTTAACAAAGATGAGCACACCCAGGCATCAATGCCAGCATGTTGTAAAACAGCATTTCGCCTAGCAACTCCCAACCTCTCCGAAGAGAGCCCAGTTTGTTTTCTACTCCACAAAGACCAGAGGTCAGAAACAGGAAATATGAACCGCCATGAATCCAACAAGCTCAAACCCCCCAATCATATCGTACCGAGCATATATCGCTACAGCGACACTCATAACCCATCAATCTAGTAGTCCCAGAACGATTCCTCATTCTTTCGTCCACCCATACCATCACCATGCTGCGCCCGTCCAAGGTTCTCATTCTTCTTGATCGGCGACTCTTCGTCATAGAGCGAGAACTGTGTGCCGGCGCGGTTACCCATGCCGTTACCAGCGATGTTGATACCACGGTTGCCGTCTTTGCGTCCACCCATGCCATCGCCATGCTGTTCGCGCTCAGACTGCACGTTCTCCTTCTTCGCAGACTGGTTTGTCGAGTACGACTCGCCCCTGCGACCGCCCATGCCGTCGCCATGTTGTTCGCGGCCGAGGTTGACGTTCCTGACGGGCGACTCCTCGTCGAAGAGGGAGAATTGCGTGCCAGCGCGGCTGCCCATGCCGTTGCCTGCAATGTTGATGCCGTTGCCCTTTGCGGTTGTGGAGGCTTCTGACGTTGTTGTGTCTTTGCGCCCGCCCATGCCGTCACCGCGTTGCTGGCGGCCGAGGTTAACATTCTTCACGGGGGTCTCTTCATCGTATAATGAGAACTGGGTACCCGCGCGGTTTCCCATACCGTTGCCTGCAATGTTGATACCGCTACCCTTGGATGTAGTAGGGGCTTCCGATGTGGTCGTGTCTTTGCGTCCGCCCATTCCATCACCGTGTTGCTGGCGACCGAGGTTGACGTTCTTTACAGGGGACTCTTCGTCGTACAGCGAGAATTGTGTGCCGGCACGATTTCCCATGCCATTGCCTGCAATATTGATACCGCTGCCCTTTGTTGTGGTGGAAGCTTCCGATGTGCTGGTGTCTTTACGTCCACCCATTCCATCGCCATGTTGCTGACGACCGAGGTTGACGTTCCTCACAGGTGATTCTTCGTCATACAGCGAGAACTGGGTACCTGCGCGATTGCCCATGCCATTACCGGCGATGTTGATGCCATTGCCGCGGGTGGTCTTGGGCGCCTCTTCGCCAAATTCGAAATGGCTGTCCGTGGCCTGGCGGGCTCTCTGGGAAGGCTGTCGCCTGTTGTTGTTGTAGTCATCGTCGTCTGCATCGTCGGCATTTCCAGTTACGTGGTCCTGGTACAGTCCCTGTCCAGCGTTCGAAGAACGACCCTTGGTGTTGGTCGACTGCTTTTGCTGAGGTTCCTCATCCTGTAGCACATTCATGTCAGCAGTCGTTCTGTGAGCGTGAAACATAGACGCAGGAGCAGCTGCGGGCCTCTGTAGGTAAAAAAAAAAGTACTGACATCGGAGTCGCCAAAGCTGAAGTGGTTGAACTTGTTTGCGTTCGTCTTGATGCCTGATGTCGCCATTGTTTCGTCTTCTTCAGTATCGTTAAATAATCGGTTGCTCTGAAAGTTCTTGCCGCCTCCTATTTTGACAGGAATCTTGTCTGTGGAAGGCGAGGAAGACGTGTCATTCTCGCCAGCAAACAGCTCCGAGTACTCGCGCGGCGGAGGTTTTGCCGATAGCGCGCGCGGTGCCATTGGGTGCGCATTGTGCACGTCCTCGTTGATCTCGCGAGGCTGGAACAGCGACAGAGACGCATGTGGGTCATTTGTGATGTTTGATGCGGGTGCTCGCCCACGCGAAGTCACCGAGACCTCGTCGGCGCCTCGAGAAGCAGTCGACGCACGTGCAGACGTTGCCGAGCCAGGCTGGTCGACTGTCGCCGAGCTGGTCACGATGAGCTTGGTCTGATCCTTGCCGTCGCGGATGGGCCAGTTGCGCGAGCGCGCGCCGATGACATCTATCTGTTTGAGCAGCGAGCCCTGGTCCCAGTACTGGCGGATTTGCACGATCCTGCCATCCTGGTCGAAGTGCACCATGTGGACCTGTGCGTTGTCAGACCGAGTACATATGTCTTTCCGCACTCCGCACTCACCATGGGGAACGTCACGATCCGGTCTGCCACGAAGTTGTCATCCAGGCCAGGCAGATACGCGCCGCCGCCTGTGTTGAACTCGATTGTCGTCTCCACGTCGACGCTCAACCCTTGTTGCCCTTCCACTGTGCTCAGAATCTTCTGGCCCGTCTTCTTCAGCAGCTTCTCCTGCGCAGACATGTGCTTCATGATGCCTGCCGCATTATGGATGCTGGTGAGCGTCGAGATGTAGTGCAGCGACGCATTCTCTGCAAGGGCGCCCGCTGACGGGTTATCCAGAAACCTCTGGTAGCTGTCGCGAAGCGTCATTGTGTAGAAGTCGCTGAGCTTGTGTAATGTTCGCAGTATAGTTGTGCTTCTAGTTGTACTTTCGATATAGATAAAACGTTAGAGGCGGGGATGTTGTTGTTGTTGTTGATCAAAGTGCAGTGGTATGGTATAGAGAGAGCGGGACCAAACAAACGCGTCACAGTAGAAAGGGAAAGAAAGTCAAAGGGCAAATGTGGAAAGTGAAAGGGAGACCAAAACAAAAACAACCTCGTCCCGTCCCCTGAGGAGCAACAACAACCCTGATGCACCGCCCGTAATCGTGATGCGAACTGCCTTGCCTGCAGGGGCGCCCCATACCATCCCGCCATTGCATGCGTCATTAGCTGCATCCCACTTGCCCTGAACGCCTAGCTAGTGCGGGGGATCTCAACGTGGAGAACATAGTTCAACGGTCAATGCAGATCAGTAGGCCAATCTTCTGTAGCCCATCGTACTGCTGTGAGCAATGTCTTATCCTCGGAATATTTCGTGTGCGTGCAATGGAAAAAGCGGTTTTTGTGATAACGGCTTCGGTGTCATGTACCGTCCGCAGGATTGGCGCGTTTCAGGTCGCGTTAGAGGCCAGGCCTATTGAGATGTCCTTGGATATTCCTTCCCTTGCCTTGCCGTTCCACCTTGGTCCTCCTAACGACTAAGCCTACAGATGAAGTCCTGTGTCAGCCAAATCGTATTGTTAGAGTCTCAAAGGAGCAATTCAAGAATATACGGCGCTGGGACTGTAATGTGGTATAAATCTCGATTGCTCTGAAAAATAGATTACAGGACAAGATAAACACTACCTACTTATACACAAAGGAATGTAGCTAGGAAAAAACATAAGAAATAGATGCAACGCCATATTTACAAGCCAGGATATCAACATAAAGAAAAACCGCATTCCCGATATACTCGCATCAAATGTCATCCATACCCATCTTCTCAGCATCTGCGTCGAAGCACGTCTCCCAGCATAGAACCTCGTTGGGAAAGTCCTTTGCCACACTCGGGCGCTCATTGACGAACCACGCCAGTCCTGCGCCAACAGCGCCGAACAGCGCAAGGCACGTCCAGAGCGCCAAGTTTGTTGTCTGTACGCTCAAGTCACCGCTGAAGTAATAGCTCGCCCCGCTGACAGCAACGGCAAAAGCTTTGAACAGGTTCGCGACCTGCATCATGCCGACAACGGTACCAGCGGAGAAAGCATCAGGTGTGGTGTTGAGGACGAGGAGTGCGACGAGAACGGATGCACCGCCGGTGAGGAGGTGTTTGACGAGAATGGAGAAGACGGAGAGGACAGGGACAAAGCCAGTGCAGGCTGCAAGAAGAGCCAAGAGAGGGGTGGCGATGTAGATAGTCGGGAAAAGAAGCGAGACAGAGCGGTAGAGCTTGAGGAGACCGTACTTGTCCATGGCGCGAGGAATTACGTAGAAGATTACTACAGCAGCGATGCCGCGGACGATGAGAATGACAATGCTAAGCCAATCGCATGAGATGCCCATCCCACCTTGCTTGGTGCTGCTTTGGCCAAGATGGGGAAGCAAGACATCGAAAGTTGAGGCGTGGAGGGAGAGTAAGGAGAAGGAAGAGAGAAGGACAAGCAGCGAGGGAGCCTGGAGGAACTGAGTGATTGTGATAGGATCGGGGCGGACGAAGTCGACAAGGGTGATGTTTGTGTCCTCTGAGCTGCGGGTAAGGAAAGCAGCCTTCTCGCAGTCAATGTCGATGGACTCTGATGAGCTGTTGGAGTGAAGAGATAGAGAGGGAAGGGGCAAGGTCTGCAAGAATTGTCAGCAAACGAATACCCGAGGTATCAGTATTTCGGGACTCACCTCCTTCAGCATGATCGAGGCAGTGAGTGCGATAGCAAAAAGCACACTTGCACAAGCCAGCTCTGATCCCAAGATAGGGAACGTCTGCCAAACCATGCCATACGCCTGCAGACTCTCCGAGACCATACGCTGAAACAGCGGTCCCACCGATCCACACAGCGAGATCAACGGTAGTCTCGCGACATTCTTGGCGCGCTGCTCAGCCGTGATGCTCAAGTCTCCAATCATGGTCAAGGTCGTGCACACAATCGTGGAGCTGACCATTCCAGCGAAGAACCTGAAGATAGCGCAAGCTCCCAAACTCGTAGCGAAGCCAGTGCACAGGCAGCATATCAGCATGCTCCATAGTCCAAGGAGCGTCACGCGTCGCCTTCCCACGCGATCCGCCATGTAACCCCAGAAAAGGCCCGTTGTGCCGCCGAATGCATATGCGCAGTCGAGGATGCTTCGCAGATACGACGAGGAGAGGTTGCCGCAGTAGTCGGACGAGGAAAGCAACATCTGGAGTTGAGGCTGAAGACTGGAGGCCATGACGCTGCAGGGTCTGCATTAGCTCAGGGTTCAGGAACATGCAGCTGTGCCGGAATGTGAGGAGTGAACTTACGCTTCTGCGAAGAAGACAAGGTACACCAGCATCAACTGCCTCGACCGCGACTTGTTCGTCGCATCTGACGCGCCGCAAACTTCGATTAATTCGCCTCCTTCATACTGCTCCTCATCCTCCTCTTCCAACGATACCAGATCGTATTTCCCGAGGTCCTTGACTGGAATCAACGACCGTGTCCTTCTGTGGAAACCCAACATTCTGTAATAACCTCAAGAAAACTGAATAACAGTTTAGTTTAGTTTCGTTTCGACTCGATTTCAATACGACGCGATAACCGTGGAGGTTTCGAGGTAGGCACGACCGGCGCGACCTGACCTGTGTGTAAAGATTGTAACGGCCGCGAAGGGACCTAAGATATGCTGAGAGAGCGACGAGAAGTATCCAAAGACGTCAAAAGGAACGACAGACTCCGCCTCAGGAAAAAGGGCAGGGTCAAGACAACGACGACATTGTGGATGGAGAGGGGGCACGGGGTTTCGGGTTTGGAAACGCCCATGCCCTCCGAAGCCGTTTTTAGTCTCAGATCTTCAGCGCTAACACTACAAAGTCGCCTGGAGCGGATCCATGTGGCGTGCATGGCTAGCCGCTGGACGAAGCTGATCGGGTTGCGCGGTATTCGTGTTGTGTCGACTTCGAAGCTGTGGGAGTCATCAACGTCGGACGAGTGCGTCAACAGCATGGGGGTATTCAAGATTCATTGGTGAACAGTAAACGAAGCGATGTTGAGAGGGTGTCACGAAGCTTGGAGGAGAGTATTTGCATTGCGATACTAAAGTCTGGGACCTAACACTAAGCTATTTGCATCGTAATCTCTCATTGAACGTCAATCAAGGCATTGTCACGAAAACCGTCAACAGCACGCAAGGTTATCCTCCACAATTTTTTATTCTATTCTACACTATCTGATGACTTCAACCCAGCCTTGGACTCCATAAGTGAAAAGGGAGAAGGGGGGAAATCAAAATCAGTCGCGAGAAAAGAAACCCATTGAAACAAAGGCTGTTTGTTTTTTGTGGTTTTCTGTTCTGTTGTGGGTGCCGTACCACTCTTGAAGCAGAGAGAAGATGTTCGTATACCATATCCATAAACCATCTCTTTCGAGTTTCGTCATGCTCGCAATGTGCGAAGATCATGTCAAATTTCCAGCTCAGAAAGACCATGGCTGTCAAAGCAAAAGGTAGGAGAAATGGCTATTCAAATGCCCGCTCGTATTGATGTATGAAACCACCTGGGAATTACTACAAATTTGAGAAGTTGTTGCCCATCAGATCATCGGTGTTACCCATGAATTCGTCAAGAGCAGTGGGGTAGAGGTTTGAGAACTGTCCTCCTAGTGAATTGAAGTCCGGGAAGAAGTTTGTGGTGTTGCTGTCGAGTGCGATATTGTTTGACTGAGCCCCTCCAAACAGCTCAAAGTCTCCGACTGGCCGGCTGAAGGCCTGCATATCCATTTCCATGCCATCACCAAAGCCTTCGTCGACGTGCATCTGCATCTGAGGAGAAAACAGTGTAACGTCAGGTTGAGCTAAAGGAGAAAGGTGCGGCAGGCCAGAAGCCAAGGTGGGATTGGTAGAGAATGCAAGAGGTTCAAAGTCGAAGGTAGTGCTCAAAGCCGGGGTAGGCTGTTGGAAGCCCAAAGCGAAGTTTGTTCCAAATCCGCAGTTGTTGTTGAAAACGTCGTTGTGGTTGATGGCAGTGTCTTCTGGTGTGACAGCATCATCGAAAGAGGTCGGCTCCGGTGGTGAGTATCCAGAAGAGTATGTAAAGGGTGATCCATCAGTCGTGACCGAGTCACGTCGGAAGTCGTCTTGGAATCCCTGAAGACTCACAGCTGGTGTTCCAAACTCATAGTAATTGAACGTATCGACCAAGGGTAATTGTGGCGAGGGCGCGAATGGTGTGATTGGCGTAGTCAGGTTTAGTGACTGAGGTGTATCAAGGAACGGGGTAAGTGGAGTAGTAGGGCTGCAATCGCTGTGAGTAAGCGCCTTTTTGCGACCATTGCTCTTTGAGCGAACGTATTCCCAGCCGTGAGCCTTTTCCATGTGCTGCTTGCAATTGGACTCTCGCTTCGAGGCGTAGGTGCATGGTGGGTAGAGACACTTGTACTGCGCAGGCGCAGCCGAGTGTTTGTCGTTGATGTGGCGATCACGTTCCTTCTCGGTCGGCCAGCCGAACTCGAAGTACTTGCACTTCGCTTCTGAACACTTCCATGGTCGGGAGTGAGTCTTCTCGTGCTTCGTCAGGTCGCAGGGCCGCTTGAATTCTTTCTTGCAGTCACGGCAAAGATGTAGCACATCTCCAGGCTTCTCCGACTTCCTTCGTCGGGCCATGGAGCGTGTGGCCTCATCCTCGTCCATTTCGTCGTCAGTCAGCGCACGCTTAGTCTTTCCAACACCAGTGGCAAGAGAAATGACCTGGCCGTTCTTTTCACGCACCAGCTCGACAGGACGGCCGTTGTGGCTGAGCCCGCCGCGCAGAGTGATCTTCTCATCACTGTTTAAATTAGTCGTGCGTGTGAAGAGGAACGCAGCGGCGCGATCATACCGTGAGTAGTCCATGTTGTCGAGGTCCTCGCCGTTTGCTTCCTTTTCACGTGTTGCGGCCATGATTGCAGCGTATCGTCGAATCTGTTCCATCAAATCAAGGAAGTAGTTGTTAGTGTACGGTCGGTCGGTCGGCAGTCGCTGATCTTGTTCGGAGAATCGGTTGATAGCCGTGTGCAGAAGCGTAATTGATCGTACGCAGAAGCGTTCGTACGATGACGGTGTAGCCGAGAACTCCTTGAAGCCGCGAAGAATGCAATAAGCTTTTGCACTCTCAGAAAGATAACGGATACCACTTACCGGTGCCAGAAATATCAGGGTCTTTTCGAGGTCGCGGAGGTTGCAGATGTTCTTCTCACCTATGCGTCGAGGAACGTCCTTTATCAAGGGATGAAAGTCCTTCAGGTCTGCTTCTCGCAAAATGGGGTCGATGATTGATTCGCGGATCTGTCTGCAAGCATATTCGCCAAGAATATGCTTGTCCTCGGCAGGATCCATGGCTGAGAATGATCGGGTAATGGCAGAATGGGTCGAGCTGACCGAAGTACTGATGGATTCGCGAGAAGTTTGGGTGCTAACGTTGTCTTTATGAGCGTTAGAAAGCGGGGTACTCATGGCCGGTAGGTGCGGTAGATCCTTACCGTCTTTCAATCCACTGATGCTGGTACCCAGACCGCTGTCTGAGGCGTGATCATGCGGGTTCCGTTCGACTGCAGATGGCTTGGAATCAATGTCCATTGGGGTGCTGCCCAACGTAGCGTTCTCGAGAAGGAAGCTTGGTACCGGAAGTACCTCTGGGTCGTTAAGAAGGTTGGGTTCCGTGGTTGAGGCCGCCCTGTGGCCAGCAATCTTCTTGTCGAAGTCCTTCAGGAGGTTGGCGACTCGGCTGACACTGGGGTCTTGAAGGAGTGCTTCAAGAGACTCGGTGCTGGTTGGAGATCGTCGGGGCATGAATGGTTGATTCTCCAGGTCGCAGATGTCGGTGGACAATGACTGTGGTGAAGAAAAGGTGCCGCTCTTGCGAAGCTGCATTCCTAAGGCGCTTGGGACTCTCGTGGAGCGCCTCCGCGGGTTTTGGCCGATTGGTGCGGACATTGTGTGACTGGTTCCAGATGCACTTGGATGAGTGGGAGACGTATGAGTCACGAAGACTGCGTATCACAGTCTCATTGACCGAGAGACCGAAGCGTATTGCTGGACGCCTTGAAAGTTGCGGAGGAGAGCGATCCAGAGTACAAGAAGGCGGTAAAACAAGCGGAAAGGGCGGGGTTTAACGGCGTTGAAGATAGAAATGGGGCCTGAGGAAGCAATCTGAAAGCAAAATCGAGGATGAGGCGTGGTTTTGGTTGGGGGCTCAGACCACAAAAGAGAAGACGTCGTGGTTGACTGCTGCCTGGAAATAGCGTGCTGACTAGCGCGCCTTCTTATTATCTGCCCATCCGCGGGCAAGGGCGACTTGAACCACAATTTTGCTATTGTCTGATTATTGCAATAATTCACCCGCTATCCACTTCGCAGATGCGCCTTGTTCACCGAGTGGGGATAATGCAATCTGGGTGTAGACCGCCAATTCTGCACCTGCAGTTTCGTGAACACTGCAAAAGGGCTGTCGAAAAGGCGGGACTTTCGTTCCCGCCTCTGTGACCCTGACGCGATCTAACCTTGATAAGCTTCCACTAAACGCTCACCGGAATCTTGGCTGGACGCCTTGTGTGGCTGTGAACCAGACCGGTGTCCTCTACAACCGCGTCGTCATCGGCTTCATGCGTTTAACGCCGACAGGAGGGCTCGCATACAAATGCATACTCTGCCCCTTCTACTGTTTCATCAGTTGACGCAGTTGTCTGCAGTGAGTTGATGTATAGGGTGAGGGCGTTGTATGTCAAAGTTGTTCGGTTAGGCGAGTGCAGAAATAGGCTCACCGGAGTTTTGGGGGCCAATATCCTGTCGAAAGATTGCACATGTGATTTTGAAGGCTGTCACAGGATGATGTTGAGGGCGCGCTTTGAGCGATGGATGGGTGACATGGCTTAGCATGTTCCCTTACCAAGCAAAGGCTCCATGTAACGTGTCCAACTCCTCCCTCTTGCCATGTTGTTGTTGTTTCTTCCACGCGTCTCCACATTCAGAATCTGGGCATCTCTGGGCATTTCGTCTGACGTTTGAAATCATTCGCCAGTGTCCAGAGCACGTGCTCCAACTACCTAGCTGCATGAGAATGGTGCCTGTATAATAAACGCGTTTCTCTCAATACTCTCAAGATTAACAACAAAAGCAACTTGTAGTCGTGAATTCTTGTTGTTAACAGCAATGTCTGTGATAGGCAGACCGTATCTCTTCGTAGCTCCTTAAAAAAAAAGGAACAGCACAAGGTCACTTCACACACAGATGCTACGAACATCACTTGAACATTAATTTCAGAAGCAGATTTTCTGCAGAACGAATATTACTAATGTTGTTTAGACACAAGCGCTGAATACACCACACCTCTAAACTCATTATACGGCAGACCTCTTTGATCGTCATTATATTGCAAAGCAACTCTATTCTTTCCCTCGTCACTTCCTCTATCCTCCTTAACTCTAATCTACACAATATCTTGTTCACTTACACATCTCTCTGCATGCTCGTCCAGTAGTAGAGAAATACAAGGAGTATACAAATTAATAGTCGAGACAAGGGATAAGACCAAAGTTTAGCAAACAAGAGATGGTAAGAGAAGATGAAGAGAACGTTATCATTGTACACTACATAAACCTAAACAACTGCTTTGCTCAGCATATGGCCAAGCATGCGGCGTTATCATGAAAGCAACTTTTGAACCGTGATGCGCCATTCTCATAGTGAGAAACCATTCCATCCATGTGTCGTAGTATCATCAACAGATAGCCGAAGCTCGAATCCGAAGATCAATACCACTCAGGTATCATATACAGCGGCACATTACTTACCATTCAACATGGTCATTCAGATACACACAAGACAAGATGCTCCAGACGTTTAGTCGAAGCTGACCTTGGAGCCCTTGAAGTCACCAAAGCCACCGCGGTTGAAGCTTCCGCCACGGCCACCTCGAGCGCCGCCACGACCTCCACGACCACCACGGTCACCGAAGCCGCCACGACCACCTCCACGACCGCCGCCGCGTCCGCCACGGTCACCGAAGCCACCACGGCCTCCGCCACGGCCACCTCCGCGGCCACCGCCGAAGCCACCACGGGGAGCGCTGTCGTCACGGGGTGTAGCATAGTCGATACGGATGGAACGGCCCTCGATATCCTGTCCGTTGAGACCCTCGAGCGCGGCAGTAGCCTCCTCAGTGCTGCCGAAGTCGACGTAACCGAAACCCTTGAGGGACCCGGTCTCACGGTCTGTTGGCAGGGAAACACGGGTGGTGGTGCCGTACTCGCTGAAGATCTCCTGGATGCTCTCGTTGGTGCAATCGAAGGAGAGGTTACCAAGGAAAAGAGTGTTGCTAGGAGCGCTCTTCTTGTCGCCGTAGCGGCTGGCACGGTCGTTGGTCTTGTTGCCGTCAGGCTTCGCGCGGGGAGTGCTGAAGTCAACGTTCAGCGCACGGCCATCAAGCTCGTACTGGTGCATCTCGGCTTGAGCCTTGGCTGCAACCTCAGCGCTGGCGAATTCAACGTAACCGAAGCTGAAATAGTTAGTATATGATTGTGAGGAGCTTGATAAGGCGTCAGCTTACCCCTTAGCACGACCAGTCTCACGGTCAGTGATAACACGAGCACCGGTGATCTCGCCGAACTTTTCGAACTCGCGGGTGAGCCAGTCCTCGTCGATGTTCCAGCTCAAGTTTCCGACGAAGAGGTTCTTGATACCCTCAGCGGCGGCGGCGGGAGCCTCAGTCTTGCTCTTCTTGACGGTGGGCTCAGCTTCAGCATCGGCCTTGCGCTTCTTGGAAGGAGCCTCCTTCTCGCTGTCGGAAGAGTCGGAGCCGGAGTCGGAGTCAGAGTCGGAAGACTACAATAATCAGCAACGTACAAATAAACACAATGAAGTTTTACGTACATCAGCCTTAGCAGCAGTCTCCTTGGCGTCGGCCATGCTTGTGTCGGAATCGCTGTCAGACTCCGAGTCGGAGCTGGCCTTAGCAGCAGCCTTAGCAGCGCCGTTGGTCTTCACACCGTTGGCCTTAGCGGCGGGCTTCTCCTCCTCGCTCTCGCTGTCATCGCTGTCGGAGGAGTCGGAGTCGGCTTTGGCGGCAGCCTTTGTAGCGGCCTTTGCGGGGACCTTCTTCTCGACCTTCTCGTCCTCGCTGCTGTCGGAGCTGTCGTCCTCACTGTCGCTGGCGCTGGACTCGGACTCGGGCTCAGGGGTGGGAGCCTTCTTGGACTTCTTGGTGACGGCCTTGGCAACGTCCTTGCTCTTGGACTTGATTGTCTGAGCGGGTTTAGTGACACGACCGGCTTTGACGCTCGAGAGCTCAACCTTCTTGTCCTTCTTGGACGACTTGTCGGCGATCTTGGTCTTGCCCATGATGACGGTAGTGTGCTAGATCTATGACGTATTAGTATACAGAAGAGAGTGATCATGCAAAAATGAAGCGGCGGGAAGAGGTAGAAAGACGAGAATGATCTCGTCGCTCATGCGCCGACTCCCGAAAGAGGTCGTATGCGCCGAAAGCCTGCATCGTCTGGATGTCTCAAATTGCGAAAAGCCCACTGGTATCTCTCGAGACCGCGCGAAGCGGAAATCCCTCAAGCCCACGAAAAGCCCACAAGAGCCCACAGAAGAATTGGCTTCAAGGCAGTGTGTTCCCACAAGCGCCGAGAAGACAAGACAGAAACCGTCATAGAAGCGAAATGCCATCTGATTAATCTTGTCGTGCTCCAAGGAGCGACAGATGTGCCCGCTGCATGTGTGTGTTAAGGAAATGCATCTCAATTGCCCACTGACTTGGTAGATATTCGGTTACTCGTTGAAGAGTTGTAGTCCCTCGATGCCCGCTTGTATAGAAGAGCCCTCTGAAAAGATTCGAACTGAAATAGTTCGAGAAAATGTGGTGTGAAAGGTGATGATGAGGAAGGAACGAGGTGGCTGGCCGTACTTTTATGTCTCGGCGGAAGGCGCGAAGACTTTTCAGTGGAGATCGGCGGCAGAAAAGCGACTAGCGTGTTATCAACGCACGCTACCCCAGTTCGTTGCAGGCGGTGAACCCTGAGTTGGATCGATGGCGTCGCGTTGTGAGAGCTGGAATTGAAACGTCTTTTCGGTGATCTGGCCTGTATGGCCTCGACAACTTATACACCTTCAGAACGGAAACTGGAAAGGTAGTTGCGGCGTCTGAGCCCTTATCGATCAACTGTTGCGACGACGCTGCTTGGAGAGACCACGAATTCACTCTGCCAGTACTCCAAAAGAGTGCATTGATCCCAATGGCTCCGCCGGCGGGACACAAACCGCGAAGAAGGAAGATCGAGGAAGGCTCACTGGCCCACGTCGACCATGGTACGCTTGATCTCGATCAAAGCACAAATTCTCGCAAGCCCGCTTTTCCCCTCGTCGCCTTTCTCTGGCCTGCAAAGGGCACCGTATCGCAATGGGTGACAATACCCTTAATACTGATGGCCGTTGGCCTCTTTCGATGGACCGTCAGCCTGTGGGGTTATTCTGGGTACCAAACACCCCCAAAGTACGGAGATTTTGAAGCTCAGCGACACTGGATGGAGATCACGAAACATCTTCCCATGTCGCAGTGGTATTTCTACGATCCGCATTGGTGGAACTTGGACTACCCTCCTCTGACTGCGTACCATAGTTGGGTACTGGGTATGATGTAGGTCCAGACGCTCAAATGCATGGTGCAATTGCTAAACTCCCCAGTGGCTCTGCCATCGACCCAGAGTGGTTCGCTCTCGATGCATCGCGAGGTCTTGAAGATCCCCCTCTGAAAGTTTACATGCGCGCCACCGTCTTCGTTTCCGAATACCTCATTTACGTGCCAGCACTCGTCATCTTCCTCCGCCGATTCTCTCGACTCGAAGGCGTCAATATCTGGGAGTCATCTATTGCGCTGGTAGCTATACTGATGCAGCCTGCCACTATCATGATCGACCATGGACATTTTCAGTACAACACGGTCATGCTCGGCTTCGCCGTCGCGACTCTGTCGAGTATGGTCGCTGGGAGGCCGCTGTGGAGCTGTGTCTTCTTTGTTGGAGCCCTTGGTTTCAAGCAAATGGCACTCTTCTATGCTCCTGCAGTATTTGCATACCTTGTAGGAATCTGCCTTTTCCCTAGGATTAACGTTGTTCGATTCCTCGCCATTGCATTGGCCACAGTCGCAGCGTTCGCCGTACTGTATCTGCCATTACTTTCGGGTGTTGCTTACGAAGTATACAACGGGGCGTCTTATGAAAAAGTTCCGATTCCTCCAATCATGGAATCTTTGCCTATTCACTGGGATGCGGACGCCTGGTACTATCCAGTGGTACTTCAATTGACCCAGACCGTTCATCGCATCTTCCCGTTTGCTCGGGGATTATTCGAAGACAAGGTCGCCAACGTTTGGTGCACTATTCACACCTTTCACAAGCTCCATCGCTACCCGATTGAGCTACTACAACGGTTGGCTCTGGTTGCTACCTCTGCTGCCATCCTTCCGCCGTGTCTCATCATCTTTCTCAAACCGAAAAAACAGCTTTTGCCACTTGCTTTCGCCACAGTCTCTTGGGGTTTCTTTCTTTGCTCGTACCAGGTTCACGAAAAGAACGTCTTACTTCCTCTCATGCCGATGACCCTGCTCCTCAGCGGGAAAGATGGCCTACTACCGTCGACCCGCGCTTGGGTAGGGCTTGCCAATATGCTCGGGGTCTGGACCTGTTTCCCGCTATTGAAGAGAGTCGAACTGCAAATTCCGTACTTTGTCATCACTCTTTTATGGGCGTTTCTGCTTGGTCTACCCCCTGTTTCGTTCTCTGCGTACCAAGAGGGTAGCCGCAGTAGCCTGAGTCTTTCCAGCAAGATCCTTCATCTAAGCATCTACGCTATCATGGTTGGATGGCACGTCGTTGAAGCTTTCTTCAAACCTCCAACGGACAAGCCGGATCTATGGACTGTCGTAAACATGCTTACCGGCGCTGGTGGATTTGGCATTTGCTATCTCTGGTGCTTGTGGCGGCTCTTAGTCAAGAGCGAGCTGCTTCAAAAGGCAAAAAGCAAGACGCAGTAAGAAGCTGCACAAAACTTAACGCTGCGTTAGAGAAATTCTCAAGATACCCATGCTGGATTTAGAGGGAAGATTCAGGTCTCATTTATGTATTTGTACACCCAATAGATTGCCCTGGCCGATATCTAATGCTTGACTCCATTGCATGCCGCCTATTGTACAGTGTGTTTTCACGTTCGCGTCGTTATCATACAAGTCCCCTCGACTTCATCATATCTTAAATCCGAAGCCAGCCATGCACTCGCGGTATTTCGAGACCATGTCGGCGCATTCTTTCTGGGCGTCGTTGGATGTCGAGAACAGCATGCATTCGTCGCGCTTCGCCTTCTCTTCGTTGCAAACGCAGCACGGCTATATTTCCGTCAGTCCATGCGTTTCAATCTCAGGCGCATCGAGTCGTACCTTGGGCTTCGCGGGCGGCGCGGCGGGAGTCGTTTTGAGGTCTGCGCCCATGTTGGCAGCGGTTGGTGGAGCTATCATGTGACCAATTAGCTATCTTGCGTCGCACGTACTACCCCAGAGCCTGTGAGCGTACCTGATGCCATTGTGAGGTTGTGTGGTGGTGAATTGGTTGCTTAGCAATCGCAAAGTCAACTCTGGGAGATGCCGCTCATGTCATCAATCGCGTGCGTGCTGGGCTTGGCACTCCCGCGTTCTGGCCGCCACTCGGAATTCGATGCAGGGATCTAGCCCACCACAAATAACCCCCACCAAACACTCACTGCAAAACATTGTCACACGCACCCCCACAACACCCTGTGCTTTCAACCCGCCTGTCTTCTTTTTGAACATCTTTACTACTATCAGGCCAGACCCCTCATACGCGAAAAATGATACTCAAGGTCTTCTCCATCGAAGGCAAGGGCCTCAAGCTCGACACTGCCGAGGACATCCAGCCACACATCAAAAGCCTTCATGATGGGATAGAGGAAGTGCGCATTCTGGGGAACACGCTGGGAATAGGAGCGAGTGAGGCGCTGGCCAAAGCGCTGGAAGGACGCAAGGCACTGAAGGTATGTTTACCCCCGTCTGTCGCACTTTCACTAGTCGATATGAGTGACTAACCCCCTGACAGGTCGCAAACCTCGCCGACATCTTCACATCTCGCCTACTTTCGGAGATCCCACCTGCGCTATCGCATCTTCTTACGTCGCTCCTCACGTGCCCGAACCTCCACACCGTCGACCTTTCCGACAACGCCTTCGGTCTCAACACGGTTGCACCGCTTGTCGACTTCCTCTCGCAGCACACACCCCTCCGATACCTCTTCCTGAACAACAACGGCCTCGGTCCTGCTGCTGGTGTCCTCGTCGCCGATGCGCTCACCACCCTCGCCGCAAAGAAGGAAGCCGCGCGCAAGGAAGGCAAAGATGTCCCCGACCTTGAGCTCGTCATCTGCGGACGCAACCGTCTCGAGAACGGAAGCATGGCTGCTTGGGCGAAAGCCTACGCTGCCAACAACGGCGTCAAGACCATCAAGATGACACAAAACGGCATCCGTCAAGAAGGCATCACACACCTCCTCACAAACGGCATATCGAACCTCTCCAAGCTAGAAACACTAGACCTCCAAGACAACACATTCACCGCCATGGGTGCAAAAGCACTCAGCACCGTCGTCGGCCGCTGGCCTGAGCTCCGCGAACTCGGCGTAGGCGACTGTCTCCTCAGCGGCCGAGGCGGCGTCGCCCTCGCCGCCGCCCTACAAAAGGGAAACAACAAGAAGATCGAAGTCCTGCGCCTGCAGTTCAACGAGATAAACGCAAAGGGAGTCGAAGGCCTTGCCTCGGCCTCAGCGTCCAAACTTCCCGCTCTCCGCCGCGTAGAATTAAACGGCAACAAGTTCGACGAGGAGGACGCTAGCATCTCCAAGCTCCGCGACATCCTCGACGGCAGGAAAGACGAGTCTGGCGAACATGAGGATGACGAGGAATACTGGGGTCTTGACGAGCTGGATGAGCTGGAGAGCGACGAAGAGGACGAAGAGGAGGAGAGTGATGAAGAGGGGAAGCGGGGCAGTGATGACGACGAGGAGGGCGTCGAAGTTGAGGAGCGCGCTGCGAGACAGATTGCTGAGGACCAGCGGACGGAAGAGAGCGATGTGCCGCAGGACAAGAGCAAGAAGGTCGATGATCTGGCAGACCAGCTTGCGAAGGCAGAGATCAAGTAGGAGCTTCAAGTGTGAGATTTTCTTGACAACATGTGGTTTGGAGACTGGGATTGGCGTACAGCATTGTGCGGGCATGGGGGTTTTGTGTATTGATAGATGATAGGTTTTCGGGATTATAGTTCAGGCATTACCGTCGATGTTCTGTGCACAGCTCATCGTGACATGGTGATTTTTGTTATACTATATGTTTATACTGATTCGTTGATCAGTATGTGGATCCCAGCCAGCGTTCACAACACATCCTATGGTTCACGCACGACACGACCCGGGGTTCACGACCCAAAGTCTCACGACCCAAAGTCTCACGATCCAAGTCTCACGATCCAAAGTCTCACAATCCAAAGTTTCACAATCCAAAGTTTCATAATCCAAAGTCTCACGACCCGAACCAAACTTCGATCAACGGCTGCCAGGGCTCTCGAACACACGTCCACATCGGTACATCGAACAGCCAATCGTCAAAAGACGATTGATCAGCGCTGCTTCTGTGTTAGTACCACTGTGTACTCTCACTAACATCTACTGTGTGTAAAGGGGTTGGGTTTTAGCTCCTGTACTGTGTTGCGTCTACTTGCTTCTATAACGAGCTTCAATACGCTAAAATCCCAAAACAATCAGTACGTCGAGATTGAATGTCGCAGTTTCTTCCCAAACTTGATCAATACTGTCTGTCAGTGGTTGTGAAATATGAGCACCACGATACAAAAGCGTAAGCCGAACCACGAATGACCAAGATCTGTTGTATTTGCAGATGCGCCTTGCTGGCAGCTCATTTAAGTATACATATTCATGATATCAATGCCACATTCGTCCACCTTCCCTGAAATCCTTCGACTTCATTGCACAGCTCAAGTGAGCTAATTGGTCTCGATAGCAACCTGGCTATTCTCACGCTTGTGCGCCTTGGGCTCCATGACAAGCTCTGCCATCTTGCTGTTGAAATCCTTTCCATGCTCCTTGCGGCGCTCGTACTCTTCCTGAGAGACACGAGAGGCGTTGCTCTGATCGCTCAGTGTTTGTTGACGTTTCGTGGAAGCGAGTGACTGCGAGCGAAGAACATCCGTGTCCGCTTGAGTGACAGTGCCGTGCTCAATCTTGGGCTTGACAGCAGCCTCAGTCTTGTGGAGACTGGTCTCCTTGTCATGGCGAGATTGTTCTTGAGGTGTCAAGCTCTTGCTGCTGGCACGGGATCGTCCGTTGGTGGAACCGCTGCTCAGTGAAAGTTGACGTTCACGCTTAGCTACAACCGACTGGGCAATGGCAGTCAAACCGCCTTTCTCGGTATGGCCGTGGGCTCGGGCTTCGAGAGAGTGGAGATGGTCGGCCTCAGCTTTGGTGACGGTACCTTGCTCGATTTTGGGCTCGATTCTAGCGTATGCCTCTCGGAGCTGGGGTTCTAGTTCAGGTTGAGGCGCGGTGTGCTGACCGACAGCTCTCTGCATCTCTGTGAAAGTGTAAGTGATAACCAGGTATACACAGTAGATCAAAACCAAGTCATCTTGTAGTTCAGATTTCGAGCCAAAGGGCGAGTCTGAACATGAAAATCGATGAAGTTAAAGGAGTGTACTTACTGCTGACGATGCTCTGAGCACCTCGAAGAACGTCAGGAGTGACATCTTCAGGACTGCGAGCCACAGCAGCATCCAAGTCCCGAACGACAGTGAGGAGGCTGGTGTGAGGCACTTGACCCAACTCGGGATTCTTCTCGTGAACCTCCACATTGGCAACAGCAAGAGACTCCACGGCAGAGATGATTCTTGCGGACCTCTCATCTTTGGCCTCCGTATTCTCAGAGAGACGGCGAGCATCCTCCGTAGTGATACTACCAGGGTCGTTCTTCAGCTTGTGGAGTATCACTATCATCTCGCGCTCGAGTTTGGCCTCAGAAGGCTGTTCTTGCTCGTTGGGAGTGCTATGCTCCTGATCTGGAGTGTTGTCGACGAGCTTCTGCTCACCGCTGGCGTCGGACATGTTATCGTCGTTGGTCTGGGAGCGAGTAAAGAAGTAGCTGAGGGGATTGTATCGCATCTGGGGGTTGGATTGGGGTATGGTTTGCAATGGAAAGGTTAGTTGTTGATGTCTCGGTTGACGTGAGACACGCTCTGTTTATATCGGTGACGTTATTGTTTGCATTGAGTTTGTTCTTGAGAGGTAGGTGCGAGCCCCAAACCAGCTTCACCCACTCTTTCCTGTTACAGCCACAGCAGCAGGCACCATAGCCTTCCTACCTCGTAACGTATCAAACCCGTCCATTGCCACCGTAATATGATACTAAGAGAAAAGAAACTTAAAAACAATGGATGGTAAGTACGAGTGAGAGGGCTGTGATAAACCTCATATGAGAAAGGGATATACCTGTTCAACCGTAAAACAAGTGGTCATAACCAACCTCCAACATCTATACTTTTTCCTCAGCCGTTGAGAACTCAAACCTACCTGAGAATATATGACGGGCATTGTATCTTCCGATGCTAGAAACACCAGTACAACATACTGCTCAAGTCAAGCGTCTACATCATCGTGTCCGTCTTCATAAGCATCATAGTTGTCTGCGTTACCTTCTAACTCTTCTTCCTCGTCTTCTTCTATTCGACGCAAATCGATGCATTTATATTCTTCTTTTTTATTCGCAGTCAGGAGCGTCAGTGTCCCCATCCTGCTCCCCTATCATATCATAACCCATATCCTCAACATTTCCATGCCTACCAGCACACATCTCATCTGCCATTATCCCGCAAACATGATACGCGAGAATGCCAGTATTTACGAGTTTGTAGCAAGTTGCAATCCAAACCAACCTTAACATCTAACTACAGTAATCAAACCTAAGCACCGATGAAAGCAGTACAAACCAGCAACAACAAAGTCTTCTCAGCTCCCCCACGCCCACCCAAAAAGGCATCTCCCCTCCCGGAGTCGAACGCGGGGACCTTCCGAATACAGCAGATATGACAGTCGGAGCGCTTATATGGACGTGTGTTGAAATGGTATCCGTGCCTTGTTGGTCTTTTGGTGGTGGTGTCGGGAATGGAGAAGAATACGGAGACGTGAATGAGGACGTGAAAGGCAAGAGCGATGTTTTGTGGACAAGCCAAGATCAAAAGATGGGACTAGGGAAACGCAAGGATAACAACTGGATGAGACGATTGGCATACATTCATAGATCATAAGATTTCATATTGATAGTCGACTCCTCACTCACAGCTCATGGCTTACAACTCATCCCTCTGTCTCTCACCCTGTCCTTCTGCTTGAGCCTGCTCATGCTTCTCGCTCTCCACATTCTCCTCCCACATCTTCTTCTTTGGGTTTCTCGGCTTATTGCTCTCCTTGAGCACTGTCCCATCACCCCTTACGACCGGTCCATCTTCACTCTCTTGCTGCTTCTGCTCCCTCAACTGCGGGTGATCAAGTACCTCTTCCTGTTGTTGCTGGTTTTGTTCTGCCATCTTGCCAACTTGCTGCGATAAGGATTCCGGTGGACTGGGATCTTGCATGTATCCTTTTCCTCCACCACCGCCGACGCGTACGTGATGTTGTTGTTGGTTGGGATCTATGTTGAGACGTGGACTACCACCTGTTGCGCTGGGTTTGACGATAAGGCTTGTCGTAGGTTGTGAAAGGGAGGCAAGGCTGGACGTTACTGCTGCAGACGCAGTGCTACCACCAAAGACTGCGAAAACGACGCGGAAGAAGAGTTTCCAAGGCCAGATCACGAACCAGGTTAGAGGGCCGTATAACCAGCGTCTGAAAACAAGCCAGATAACGGTTGTGATGAGAATGTAGAACGTAGTCTCGAGGTACCACGTATCACTTTTCGTGCTCTTCAGGAGGGTCGATACCAAGTTCTTGCTGTTTGCAAGCAATGTGTTGAGGTCTGAATATCTTTCACCGAGATCTGCGAGCGCGGCTGTGGACTGTTCAAGTGTTTCTTGGGCGAATCGAGAGCGCGAGAGCTCGTTTTGCATCAACTGGTGTGTTCGTCGCAGAGCAGAAGTCACGTCCGACGATGCCTGAGCAACAACTTCTCCTTCTGCAAGCCCCTGGTTCTGCTTCCTTTGGCGGTATGTAGATGACGGGGTCGAGGCGCCAGATTGTAGGTTCGAGAAGAGGAGTTCACGTTCTTTGAGTTTTGCGCGGTCGGCGTTGTGTTTGGCAGTCAGTTGAGCTTTTCGGTATTGTGATCTTGATCTGTGCATGAAACAGTCAGTAACGCAGTTCTTTTCTCCCCAAGTAATATGACGGGGATTTCTTACGATCTCAAGTCCTCTGTCAACCTCGCTAGCAGTACCGCAAGCCTACTTCTCTCACTCTCCTTTGCGCTATCTTTCCTCCTGCCTACACTATTCCCGCTTTGCAAGATATCTTCAGCTTCCTGTCTCAGCAGCTCAAGTTCTTCCTCGATTCCTTTCAAAGTTTCGTGTATCTCGGCACTCAGTTCCAGGCGCACATCCCCCTCGTCAGTATTCAGTGGCTGCGACCCGGGCTGGAACTCTAGTTTCGCGAGGCGCTGGATAAGCTGGCCAACGTTCTTGTTCGCGTCGGAGAGCGCAGTGAGACGGGTGGTGAGTGCTTGCACGGTGGAGGGGAGGGGCGGCATCGTGTTCGGAATGCGGAAATGTGGTTCGAATGCAAGTAAGTGCTATGACGAAGTTTGTACGGCGGGCTGTTTGTGCACCAGAGCTGCGGTAGCGCGTTTATCACAATGCGCTATTTGACAGCGCATGGACCACCCCAGAGAGAGACTGAGCGTGCGTGAGAGGAGTTGCTTTGAGCGCATTGAGCATATGAACGCGTTTGCGCCATTGCCTAATTGTGTACGCCCAATCCCCAAAAGAACCTCTGGTCTTTGCTAATAGTCAACAGCTTTCTCTGCTCCCTAAACCCTACCTACCACCCCACCCGCCTCGACAGCCAAAATGATAACCCGTTTCCTCACCGAAGTCCGCATAACCTTCAACCCCTTCAACGCACGCTCAAAACCCGCACGGCTCTTCCTCTCACTTATACCCCCAAATGCGCGAGCAGAGGGCGTGAAGATTGAGTCCAAAATGTTGCCCCGCACAAGCACAGAGCCTGCAAGCCTGGGCGTCAAATTCAGTGCGTATTTTATATTCCGTTAAGCTGGAAATATGTAGTCGAGCGGGCACGGTGAGAGCAGGGTACATACAGACAGAGAGAGATTTGCATGAGATATACAGAGCCTGGGCTAATCGATATGTACAGAGGACGGCAAAGAGATGAGCCTCGATCTGAGCAAGATGAGAATAACTCAAGTAGTCGAGGAAGTTGACCGGCATTCACGGCAGCTTGCGAGGAAAGAGGAGTTGACCGGCAACTGATAGCATCATGGGTCGAGGCCTGGCTTCTCACGGATTGTACCAACATGTATTTCAGAAGCATCACTCGGAGTCAGGACATTGGGTTGGAACGTTTGCAAGAAAAGACTACTTTTTACGAGTCTATGCATTATCGGCTTGGAGTGCCACCCTGTTCATATGCATGTTCTGTTCACGATAAACAATCAATCTGATCGAGACAATCGTTGTTGCACCTCATGCAAGATCCAGGCAATCGACTCCTACTCATCATCAACAAGTGCCCCTGATTCCTAGTTGGAGGGTGCACCAGAGATGTAGAACCACTTGTCAATGCTGGGATCGATAGGTGCAGGGGAGTGGTTCTCGCCGCTGGCGATTTTGATCTGGCTGGCGTCGGTTCGGTCGGCAGAGTGAGAAACGGTGGTGTTGGTACTGCGCTGGTTAGTTTGAACAATTGCATGGATGTTTTCTACTCCACGTACAGGTCATTCTCGTCCTTGTTGGTCTTGCCGGTAATGAGCTTCTCCCAAGCCTCAGCGCACTCACGGACAATGTCCATGGCGTACTTCTTGTTCTTGCACTCGCCGGAGAAGGCGAACTGGTTCTCGGGCTTGCCATCTGGGATCTTGTAGATGCGGAACCATTCGTTGGTGGCGCGCAAAAGACCAGGCAGGTGGCGCTCGACGTCCTCGACGTCGTTGAGCTTGGGGGCCAATGGGTCGTTGACGTTGATGACCATGATCTTCCAGTCCGTCTCGCCCTCGTCGAGCAGAGCCATGACACCGAGGACCTTGACCTGGATAACATCGCCAGGCTTCGCGACGAGCTCGCCAATCTCGCAGACGTCCAGCGGGTCGTTGTCGCCCTTGGCCTTGGTCTCAGGGTGGGTCACATTGGGGTCCTCCCACGTCTGCAATGGCAGTTAGCACCTCTGCGTCTCCGACAACGGGCTCACGTCGTATCATCGCACCTGAGGCAGGGCACCGTAGTTCCAGAGGTAGCCCTTGTGGGGGAAGCAGTTCCTCACGAAGCGGAGCTTGCCCTTCTTGATGTCCTGCTTGATGGGGTTGAGCTTCTCCTCCTTGGAGATCTGGTGGAATTGTCAGCCAAAAGTCCCGTGCTGCTTGCTGGCAGAAAGAGCAGGAGCAGGGAGCGCATCAATCAAGAGCACGCACCTCCATCTTCGCGTTGGTCCAGCGAGGCACCTCAACGACCATGTTGAGGATCGTCTGCTGCTCGTTGGCGTAGAGCGGGATGTCGTGCCATGCTGAGATGGGCTGGCCGTCCTTCTCGATGAAGACGCGGTGCTCGAGCGTGTTGGCCGGCGCGACCTTGCGGGTAGTGTAGGCCATGGTGTTTGGAGGTGTGGGTGGGTGTAGGTGGCCTGCCAGCTGTCGTGCACGAGAACTGAATTTATCGAGGGGTCTAGTGGGGCTGGCAGGCGGGGAGGAGCGGCTTCGGGAAGGCGCCACGGTGAAGAACGTCACGGGCGACGGTCTGCAGGCTACAGACGTCGGACGGGGAAACAAAGACTGTACACGAGGAACAACTCGTCTGCCTGCGTTGAGGCGCATTTAGTCAATGGCTGGACATGTCGACACGACTAGTTATTGTTCAGTAGATGGCCCGGCTAGAGAGCCGACCGAGGATCACAGAGACACAAGCGAAGCGGAACTTTTTCGGGTCTCGAGGCTGGAGGCTTGAGCGCACAGACTTCAGGATAGCTGATGTGCAGGCCAGGATGGCTCCTTTAGCTTCTTTCATCTCAGTACAATCTGTGAGGTCGCCAAAACCCCGGCTTGACGACGTTATTGTCTGGCACCCGCTGCTGCTCACCGCCTTCCGCTGCATACGTGTTCTCTTCCTGGTACGCTACAGGCTCCCCTCCCCCATATTCGTAAAAGTCTGCCAATTCGTCCCAAATTTGGTCATCGTAAGCCACCTCGTCATGTTCATCCGTATGAATCTGCTCGTGGTCATAGACATCCTGAAGAATTCCGTCTCCTTCCACAACATGCTCTAGTCGGAGTTGTTGTCGTTGCATTTGCTGTTCGTATATGCTGGGCTTGGAGAAATTCGGCACCCCTGGAGAGTGGGCTTCTACCCCAGAGAACCGTACAGTCGGTACGCGTTGAATTGGCGGGTGCGGACTCGTATCGGCTCGTCTCTCTGACCCTCTCGTGGGATGCGATATATTCATCTGTGCAGTATAACTCCTACGCGGCGCAGTGGCTTGATGTGTTCCATGGCACACATTGTTGCAGTCCTGCAGAACTCTGCCCAAGCTTGAGGAGGTCCGCGGACCTGTGTCGCGATCGTTCTGCTCAACATTTTTCTCATGAATTTGATGAGCTGCGACAAATTTTCTGCCGGAGAATGAAGTCGCCTTGGACCTCACGTCCTCGGAGATACTGGCGGGCATGTGTTGTTCGGCCTCAACAACACCTCGTACTGGTACAGAAGGTGACATCGATGGTGGAGAAGCGGCATTATCAGTGCTCTGGAATCTCTGAGCTCGATCAAGCAGATTCACGCGTTGTGGCAAAGGAGTATGCTGCGGGTACGAGTGGGATCTAGAGATTCTTTGATGCGTTGCGGGCAGTGAGGGCACTTTAAAACGCTCACCAGGATCATCTGGTTTTTGCCTATTTATCGAAGGAGGCGCAGGACGTTGTAAGGATGCATCTCTTCCATCAGTCATAGGTTGATGTCCTTCGTGATTTGCTGAATGGAACTGACTGTCATTGATAGCGGATCTGATTCGAGAACGTCCCGGTGTCACGCTTGAAACACGTATAGACTCCGACCACGACATGTAGCTTGTGCTTTCATGGTGAGGTCCTCTGCTTCCAAAGCCCAGATATGATGCCTTGTCTGGCAGCTCAACTGTGGGTACGGCAGTCTCATCTACTGATAATAGTTCTACCGGACAGTGAGAGTTAGAGACGCCATCGTTCTGATGACCCTCATTCGGCTGGGTGTTTCCGCTCTTCTCTGCGAGTACTGGTCGTGCACAAGCAAAGAATGCGGATATTTCTGCTTCTTTGGTAGGTGCATGCTCTTTTTTGCGTTTCTTCTTGGACGTCACTTGTGGAGGAGTGGACTCAGTCTGGTCTTTATTCTTTTGCAAGAACCTCATCTCGGAGAAGACCAGATCTGGCACTGCGCATGCATCAGCTATGGGCCAAATAATTCCGGGCGTTGCGAAAGGAGGAGCTTACGGCCACGGCCTTTAACCGCTATCGATGTCTTTCCCTTATTGAAGATCCCCAGCTTCTCGAGAGGCTTCAACTGCACCAAATATCAGTACACCAGGTCACTGCATGCGTGACAATTCTCACAGTCAACCGATCTCCAGAGACATTCTTGGCCTGGAAGCTTTGCACTATGCCCCCACCTGACTTCTTGCTCTTCTTGCCCTTGGTCTTACGCTTCGACCTTTTAGCTTCGTCCTTCCGGTTCCCATTCGTAAGCTTTCTCTGCTCTTTGCAGTTGTTCAACGGGTGCTCGTATCGTTCTGGGCGTGTCTTGCGGCGAGGTTTTCGCGCATATCGCTGGCTCGAGGCGCTACTTTCCAAAGAGTCGCTCCGGGTGCATTTGGGTACATCGCTGTCTGTGTCCTCGCTTACACTTCCCTCAATGGGGGATCTGCGCTTGTTCGGTGGTGTTTTCTTGCGTTGGGACGGGGGATCGAGCAGTGAGCTGTCTGACTTGCTTCGCTTCCGTCTGCGTTTGCTCTTGGCTACTGGATTAGGCTTCGTCAGACGAATAAAAGGTTCGAGGCCCAACTGCTCTGGAAGACTAGGAAGAGGGTCCGGCTGCACAGTTTCGTCCAGCCATCTTCGAATGTCCATGATAGGTCAGATGCGGCGCTTGAGCAGGATCCAGAGCTGAAGCGGGGGAAGCTCGTCCCGTCGAAGGGTCTCAGAGACACGACAATATCAGGCTCGGAGAAGCATTGCCCGTCGAACAGCAATGCATAGGGCAACGAATCGCAGCTTCGTTCTGTTCAAGGCTTGACAAGGGTTGGCTTAAATTGACGTCTTGGACCAAGCATGACGCGATGATGAGTGAGATAATTGAGGTTGCCTGTCCCGACGTCCTGCTGAGGAAGGCACGATTGTTACGTGACGGATGTTTTCCCCATACCGCTCGTCACTCGAATTATATCTGCCATCCGTTACAACAGATGCATGTGGGTTCCTAAGCCTCACTACATATCCAATGCTCAAACCGGTGTCTTGAACCTGTGAACCGCATACCAGGATTGGACCATTATTCTCTCATTGGCCGAACCACTGTTCGTGGTCGAAATCGGTAATATGACAGCAGGACCAACTGGGTCATAATCTGCCATAGCTGACTGGCCGTGATCGACAGATGTTGACGTAAATATACCAGTAGACGTTACAGTCGAAGCTTGTAGGCTTCTGGCATCACCAAATGAAGGAACGTGTCCAAGGTCTCATGCTGGGGCTCTCTGTTGTAGCATCGAGATATCGTGAACCATGGTTCGAGCAGAGCTGCCAAATATGAAAAGACAACCTAGAGGTGGTGAAACAATGGTTTGCAGTATGAGGCGGGAACAACAGCATCGCATACTTCATGGGAAACAGTCGTCAAGAGCATAGGGCATGCACGACGTGATGCCAAACTTACACATACGAGCTAGACTCAGGCAGCTAGTGACATCGGCGACAAGCTTCGTTCGAAGTGTTGTCCATCGTCCAATTGACTTATCACCGCAAACTTGGCTTCCAGCACCTTCCCGAGGGTTGCTCCCTGCAAGCACGCAACTGCAGAGCTTTCACAGCAATCAGATTCTCGCAGATCACGCATCTTTGTCAATGCACCTATCAAGTAATTCAACCTGTGTTTTTATTCGTATTAGCCCGCATGCCAGTTACATCACGGGACATGCCCGCCATCGTCGAACGCATACCATCGGGATCTTTGTGAAGCGTGTAGCATACAGTACTCTAGAGTAATCACTGGCTGGTCAGTCAGCCCGAGTCCACTAGCTTCAGCTGTCGTCTCGATTCCCTGCTACAAGTCCTGCATGTGCGCCAATAATTACTACCGTAGTTAGCGCCTTTTGCTTCTGCCTTGGAGGGGTCTAACTTCTCATGCCCCACCAACCCAACCTGCAACACCTCACTCTACCTCGACTTCATCACAACTGGATTACTTCCTTCTCGACACACGAGAATCATCAATTGCGCCAACGACACCGTTCTAGCCAGGTGTAATCAAGACTAAATGTTCGTTCCGTCACGTTGCTGCCTCTTACCTGCCATGAAAGCCGCGATGGCTTCCCCGCGAGCTTTTTCTGCCCAAATTCCTTTCTTTTTGCTGTAACTCTTCTCACCAGCCTGTCATGAGGTTGTCTGTCTTGCGCGTGTTCTGTTCAGTTGCGAGAGTGTGTATTGAGACCGTTCAGTGTTCCGTCCAGCTTTCGCCATGTCGAAGCTATTCATTGGGTAAGTGCCTCTACAGTCTTATGCGGTAATTGCGACTCATTCTTTACAGAGGCCTTGCGTGGCACACCGACGACCAGGCTCTCCGCCAGAAGTTCGAGGAGTTCGGCGCTGTCGAGGAAGCCGTAAGTGGCACACGTCATAGTGACGATCGACCGCCCCATCCAGCAAAATACTCACTCTTCCGCAGGTCGTCGTCAAGGACCGCGACACCGGCCGCAGCAGGGGCTTCGGCTTCGTTCGTTTCGCCAGCGATGAAGAGGCTTCCATGGCCCAGAGCTCCATGAACGACCAAGAGTAAGTGCATCTCACCCGCTCGGACTCGCTTAGCTCGTCTGAAGCTTTTGGGTCCGGGAGACGTTCAGTGTCCAGACGAGACATAGTCGTCTTCATGTACCCTCGATTCATGACGCTGACTATCACAGGTTTGATGGACGTAGGATCCGCGTCGACAAGGCTTCCGAGCGTGGTGGCGGCGGAGGCGGCGGCGGAGGTCGCGGCGGCTACGGCGGAGGAGGAGGCGGCTACGGTGGTGGTGGCGGCCGAGGATACAGCGGCGGCGGTGGCGGCTACGGCGGTCAGCAAGGAGGTATGTTTGATGATCGATGGTCGATGTCCTCCCGTGCTAACGAGTTCTCCAGGCTACGGCGGCGGCCAAGGTGGTTACGGTGGCGGCCAGTCTGGCGGCTCATCTTGGGGACGTTCCCAGGGTGGCGGCGGCGGCGGTTACGGTGGCCAGAGCCAGGGCGGCTACGGCGGACAAGAGGGTGGTCAGGGTGGTGGCCAGCAGTACTAGACTCTCTTGACGAACCCTGTCCCACGACTCATGATCTCATGCTTCATCAGATAACGGAACGTACGCATTCGGTAGCGGGAGGGGGAGATTTGCTGTGGTCTGCATTTTGCCTTGGGCGGCAGTGGCCGTTGAGGCTTTTCTGACTCGACCGGACACTGGTATTCCCATAGGCTTTCCGGTTATGCGTTGACCTACCTAAGGCAGTAGGGGTGGGTGGTACTGACGAGATGATTATACCCATGAATCAGGATGTGCTGCTACTCTGTACTAGTCTCGCGTTGCTTTACTCGACACTCTCTATGGCTTTCTTTAGTTATTGCGTATCAAAAAGCTGTGTGCACTTACTTATATTGCCATTGGTGCTCGGACTTATCAATCACAAAACTACGGTTATATGACGACGAGCCAACAACTGAGACTTGTTACTATTCTGTCTATCTTGCCAAATATGTTGCGAAAGTCTTTTCTTGAACTTATCAACTCAGACAATCAACTAGCAGACCTATAGTCGGCATTTCACATGAAATTCCCTATAACTCTAAATCCCAAGAGGCCACTGACAATTGAAAATCTAATTTTCTGCAGATGAGAAGTGCGGGAAAAACCAGGGGACTCGGCCAGCGCATTGTGACAATCCCGCATAACGCACACAGCATCTAGCCGCCGTGTGCTCGACGCAGTTGAGTGCAGCATATGCAAGTGATTGCCAAGTTTGCAGCAGCGGTAGAGCGGTCCACACTTTAACGTTCGCTCGTTACAGCCACACTCACACTTCTAGCTGTTAGCTGTTACTTTGAAGTAGGAAACGTTTGGTGGTCATTAGATCGAGTTTTGACGAGGAGCATTCAGTCCACGACCCCGCTTCCAACTATCAACACCTAAAACGTTTGATACATGTTAGACTCGAGGACATGATGAAGAGCCGGACTGGGTTGGAAATCGTTGCGCCCTCTGCGCCTCCACGGCCCACCGAGCGGATGAAAGGTTTCTTGACCGCGGCTTTTGCGACAGGTGTCGTCATCTGGGGTCTGGAATGGATGTCTCCTAGTTTGGTACTTCCCAGTTTGGGTAGACATTCGAACCCTGTAGCAGAACCTGACTATACGGTGAACTCCTTTGAATGGTCAAAGGTACGTTGATTAAACGTCTCTTGTACTTGAGAGGTGTATACATATGGCCTTGGCCATCTTCAACACGCCACATATTACCGGGTTTTCCTGATGTTGTTTTCATCAAGAACTACACGTAAGAGAATATTTTCGTGAAAACCTCAACACGTCGTTGGAGGCTCTATGTGTGCTGCCATGCAAATCTCATAACATCATGTTGATACAGACATCCACACGTTGCTCACCTGATGAGCTGGAAATGAGATTATCGACTTTCGTTAGCCAGATCTCAGGTCGGTTCATCGAAACTGATTGCCAGTCAGATAACGCCTCAAAAGCACTTCGACTTCCATCCTTGCTACGATGGCTTCGAGTGCGCAAAACTGAGTGTACCACTCGACTACTTCAACGGAGAACATCCGAATAATACTGTGAGTATTGCCATCGCAAAGTTGCCAGCAAAGGTTCCAGTCGATGACCCCCGTTATGGTGGACCTATCTTACTCAATCCCGGTGGTCCTGGTGGGCCCGGAGCACTTTTTGCACTGCAAGTAGCGAAGTCACTGCAAGTTGTCGTCGACTCAGATGTAGATCTCGGCGTTTCTTCTTCGTCTGCAAAGTACTTCGACCTCATCGGATTCGACCCTCGAGGTATTGGCGAGACAGAGCCGGCGGCAGAGTGTATGCCAGATAGACCCTCAGCCTGGTCTTGGACGCTACGAGAAGCTTCGGAGGGCATTTTAGGAAGCTCGGATGCAGCTCTTGGTCGGCTTTGGTCCATGTCTCATGCATTCGGTACTTCATGCAAGCAAGCACTGGATGCTGAAGATGGTCCCGATATCAAGCGGTACATGACTACAGCTTTTGTTGCTCGGGACATGCTCGAAATTGTCGAGAAACACGCTCATTATGTTTCTGAGAAAGCTGCCCAACTCCTTACACAAACACATCCAGGGCGACGACCTCGCTGCCGGGGACCTGCGCCCAGAGAAGCCAAACTGCAGTATTGGGGTTTCTCGTACGGGACATACCTTGGGTCAACGTTTGCCTCCATGTTTCCTGACCGTGTAGGCCGCCTCGTCCTTGATGGTGTTGTGAGCTCCTACGACTACAATAATTCTCTGGGTAACGGGAGTCTCACTGATACCGAGAAAGCCATGTCATCCTTCTATACGTTTTGCCTGTATTCTGGACCAGAGATATGCCCGCTAACAACCCCAAACTCAACCCTCAGCGACATCGAACTCCGTTTCCAAGCAATTGTCAAATCTCTCTATCACACACCCCTCGCACTAAACTCTCCCCAAGGTCCAGAAATGCTTACCTACTCAGACGTCAAGTCAGCGATCTTCAGCTCCATCTACCAACCCCAACGCACCTTCCCCTACATCGCCTCACTGCTCGCTGCCATAGAAGCAGGCTACGGCACCATTCTCGACGAACTGCGCTTCGACTACCGCCCCAACCACATCTACAGCTGTCCCATCAACGGCTCCCTCCCCGCAAAAACCTACACCACCACCCCCGAACACGCCATCCTCTGCGCCGACGGTGCCGACCAGTCACACATGTCCAAGTCCGACTTCGCCGCCTACCTCGCGCTCCTGGAATTCCTCTCACCAACCTCCGGCGCCATCTGGGCAACGCTCAGAATGCACTGCACATCCTGGCTCATCCGCCCGAGCTACAAGTTCTCCGGCGAAATCGGTAGCCTTACAGACCACCCTATCCTGTTCATAAGCAACACCGCTGACCCCGTCACTCCGCTGCGCAGCGGCCGCTTCATGCATGCTAAGTTTCCCGGTAGTGCGCTGCTGCTGCAGGACAGCGCCGGTCACTGCTCGGTGGCGGGACCCAATCCGTGCACAATCACATATGTGAGGAGGTACTTTCAGACGGGGGATTTGCCGCCCGAAGGGACGTTTTGTATTCCGCCCCCGAGTGCGTTCTCGCTCAATTCGACGGATCCGAACAGTCCGTTTTATGACCCGGACCTGGGGGGAGCGCGGGTGTATGGGCTGGATGAGGGAGCCGAAACGCAGAGGTTGATGGATGTGGCGGTTGGTGTGCACAGGGCGTTTGCGGAGAGCGAGGCGTTTGGGTTTGGGAGGATGGTTAGGGGCGAGCGCGTGAGAGGGCTGATGAAGAATGTAGGGAGGGGGTTGTGAGTGGTCATGGATGCTTTGATGTGACATATGTTGACTTGCGGCATCATGGATGGTTGTCTTTTTTTACATTTGTCTCTGATATCCTTGCTATATTAGACGTGTAGCCACTTCTACCATTTTTGGCAACGCGAAAAATACCTACCAAAATTCAGTCTAGAACCATCAAAATCATGGCAACAAGATGTCATAGCAAAACGAGATCAAGCAAACAAGAACAGAAAACACATCTCAACACATTATTCATCCAACTAGAGACTATGATACACGAAAGTCCACGTACACACAACTCCACGAAAACGCCACAAACCCCAATTTTACGACACATCAACCCGTTCTCCAATAACCTATTCTTCCTCCTCATCTTCCTCCTCACTATCCTCCTCCATACCCTCCGCAGCAACAACCTTGAAGCTCGGCGCCTGATCAACGCCCAGATAACTATCGCTAACCAGCGAAAGCGTAAGCTCATGCTCGCCAGGCCTCTCGAGTGTAAACTCCAACACCGTCTCCAATTTCCGCGCAATAGTAACCTTCTTGATGGCCAGTAGCGTGTGCTCCTTCTGGTCGCCTACGACCAGCCACCAGCTCTCCGTCTTTTCGCTCGGGTAAAACGGCGCGTGGACCTCTGTCTTGAGCTCCTCATCCTCGTCGATGTTGCGAGTGACACGGACCTTGATCTGCGCGGGGGAGTTGGACGCAATATTCTCTGGGTCGACGAGCTCATGCTCAAGCTCGATGTTGGGGTAGTAGTTGTTTGTGAAGTTTGCAATGTCTGCGAGTTGGCGTTGGTCGACGTCGAGCGCAGCGATGAGCTTCTTGTAGTCTGGGTTTTCGTCTTCGTCCATGGCGTTGATGAAGTCGTCGACGTCGTTGATGCCGAATTTCTGACTCGCTTTGATGGTGTCGGCATCGAAGTGCGGGATCTGCTTGAGTGCTGAGTCCTTTTGCCACATCGCTTGGACGACCATCTGGGAAAGCTCCATGGCGGACATGGCGTTAAGGTGCGCCTCCGAAGAGAGGACGTCGACACTCGCACTAAGGATGTTGAGGACCTTGCGGATAACAATTTCTTGGTCTTTGGCGAGATCGATGGGTAGCTGCATGCGGGAGAAGTGGGCTTGAAGCAAAATGAAGGCCTTAAAGTGGGGAGTTTCGAAGTTCGCGTCTTGCATCTTGAAGGGGACGCGGTCGTAGATGCGCGACAGGATGTGGTTCTCGTGTCGACGGATCTGGATATCTTCGAACTCTGTGGCAGCTGTGATAATCTCCAGTACACCCTTCAGGCTGGTTCGGCCATTGAGCGACATCATGAGTGTTTGCATCGTGATGAAGGAAATGTTGTAGTATGCTGCAATCATGCATGGGTTGAGAGGCGTGATGGCGTCCTCTTCTTCATCGTGCTCAATGAGATTGGCGTCCGACAGCTCCTTCAGTGTCTGCTCTACAAGCTCAGACAAATGTGCGCTGAGACCTTCATGTGATGTGTCGTGAAGGTTGTAGTAGCTAGGGTTGGCAAGGAGACGACGGTAGAAGTAGGTGTAGGTAGACCAGTCGACAGCTTCCTGCGTAGACTCGATCGTCTTCGCGCTGATCTCTGCAACGAAGGCATCATGCAGGTAGTCGTGAAGGTAGCTTTCGATTGGCAGCGCTTCGTTCAAGAACTTCTTGTAGAAGTCACGCTTGACCGCAGGCAACATAAGAACACCCTTCGCCGACTTGTCTTGTCCCACCCTACCTGCCTTGCCGAACATCTGTAGGATTTCGCTGGCCGGGTAATCGACGTAACGGTGTTCACGACCCTCGAAGAACTGTGTACCCTGAACGATGACCAGATGAGCACTGCTGTCGATCTCCCAGCAAGCATCACGAGACACTATCAACACTTGAATAGCGCCAACCTTGAACAGATGCTGAACAGCTTTCTTGTCGAATGGGTTCAAGGCCTCGTGGAAGTATCCAATACCGTGTGAGAGTGATTCAGAAAGCGCGCGCTCATTGACTTTCTCAAGGATAGGCTGAATCTCATCTAGTGATGCGTTGAGGAAACGATCGTCGTCATCGTCGGCAACACAAGCAGCATACAGGTCAACAGCAGACGAACGAGCTTGCTTTCTGCTTGGCACAAAGATCATCGCTGGCTTATCGGGCGAAGTCTGGGTGATGGCAGAGTAAGTAGGCCTAGCCATTGCCATCATCATTGAGGGGAAATGAGGAATGCTGAATGCCTGGATTTTCAATTCCAGCGGTACTGCGCGAACACCAGGGCTGAAGTTGTAGATGGTGTGCTTGCTCGCGCCAATCCATTCGCCGATGTCTCGTGCGTTCGAGAGGGAAACGCTGAGACCGACAATACGCAATTTGGATTCGAGTTGAGCTGCCATAGCCTGCATACGAGAGACAACAATCTCGTAGACATGACCACCGGCACCGCCGAGCATGTGCAGCTCATCAGCAACCAGCAGCGCTACAGATTGAACGTTCTTTCGTCGTTGCCATTGACGGGAGAGAGAGTCCCACTGGGATGGTGTAGCAAGAATAAGGTCGCCCTTCTCGAGCAATCGCAGATCTGCCGTGGTCTCGCCAGTGAGCTTGACAACATCTTTGCCTCCACCAAGGCCAGACAAGCGCGCATTCCAGTTCTTGAACTGGTTGTTTACGAGTTCCTGGAAGGGAGCCAAGTATACAATCCGACCTTCGTTGCCGCTAGACCAGTGTCGTAGAATGGCAAACTCGGCACACAAGGTCTTGCCAATACCTGCCGAAGCACCAACAAAGACGTTGTCGTCCGTAGTGTAGAGAGAGTTGAACACCTGAGTCTGTACCTTGTTGAAGCGGTTGATATCTTCATACAAGTTCATGTATTCCTTCTTCTTTAAGGCAGAGACAGGCAATGACTGGAGGTCCAAAACAGGGGTGTGAGCTGGGAACTTGGCTGGCAGGATGAGCTTCTGGAAAGAAACGGCTAGCTTAGTCTCAGACGCCATCCATCGGTCGGAGAGGACAGTAATGAAATAGTTCGGTGGCATTGGCTCGTCGATAGGCACAGTCAACTCGACCAGATGCTCGTTCATATCCCCCTCAGCATAATCCTTACGAAGGATAAACTGGTCATGGAACAAAATCTGCTCGCCATCGCAGTCTTCAACAAGAATCCAGAATGCCTCAGAAGCACCATGCACTGAAGAGTCCCAGACAAAGTTCGGCCTGATTGTGAGCTCCATCTTGAGAAGAGACCTCGTAATTGGTCTAGGAGTTGCCTCAATCTCAAGACGTGGGAACTTCTCAACAAGCTGGCAAACAGTCCTGCCCGCCTTTGGCATACCCAGAAGTTCACCCATGCTGGGTGGGTCGAGACCGAAGTAGCTGGACCAAGGCACATCAATTCGTTCAGCCTTCTGCAGGACATCTCTAGGGCATAGAGGGAACTGTCGAAGTGGTGTCATGGTCGGCCACATTCGCTTCTCCGCCATCTTGCACATGTCGAGAGCTAACTTTGCGACCTGAGACCAGCCCTTCTTCAGACAAATCTCGAAGATCGCACGCAGAATACGTCCAGCAGACTGAGTGACATACACCAGATCGGCCATGAGCGCCAGGCCATCCAATTTGAGTCGAGAGATGTAGGCTTGGAGGAGGACATTGATCTTGGCTTGAGCTTCTTCGACGCCCTCTTTGACAGGTATTGGTACGCGACCGAGAAGTTTCGCGAGTTCCAGCTTCTCATCTTGTCGCACAGGAATGTACTTGAACTCCTCGCTGAGGGCGAAGACTCGGAACAGCTCGATAGCAGTGATACCGGGCTGGATATGCATGTTGTAGGTCTTCATAGAGTTGTGGGTGATGTAGTAGTGAGATGCCACTCTGCCCAGTTCCGTTGGCTGTAAAGATCCCGTCTTCTTGTCGTATTTAATAAGACTGCATTTTTCCAGTTCGTGTGCTGCCGCGTGAATAAGGTCTACACGTCTCTGTTCCAAGACCGTGTCGTTTTCGTACTCAGGACCAACTCGGTAGAGCCCTGGGGAACGAAGCATGCGCACGTACAGATAACTGTACCCGAGCCAGTCAACACCTTCGTCTCTGGTGCGGACATTGCCCAAAACAATCTCGGCATTGAGATTGTCTGAAAGTTTGCTGATAAACTGAGACTCGATAGGTAGCTGTTGATTCAAGAGAGACAAGTAGTACTGAATCTCGGCCTGAGTGGTAATGATGATACCTTCTCCGTAAGTATCGTACTGGGGTCGACCAGCTCGACCAAGCATCTGCAGGACATCTTGCGGACTAAGTTCGACCCAGCTACCCTTTTCAGGAGAATATACCTGGGTGCCCTTGATGATGACGGTATGCGCCGGCAAGTTGACACCCCACGCGAGTGTTGCTGTGCAGACCAGGACTTGAATCGAGCCATCGGCGAAGAGATCTTCTACCGAAGAACGGTCCGCTCGTGACATACCAGCATGATGGATACCGAAACCATATGGCATGAGATCCTTGAGATCAGCATTCTGAACAGACTCGGCTTCCTCCCTCAAAATTTCGCGACTGGCAGCATCCGATCGCAAGATTTTGCCTATTGACTCTTCTTCAAGAGCCTTGTCACGAATGTATTTCGCCGTCTTTGCCGTCTCCTTTCGCGAATGTACGAAGATCAACATCTGGTTACGATGTTCGCCGACCTGTTCGAGGACTTTCGTATAGCAGACATCGTTCATCGTCTTGAGCTGCTTGATGGCCTTCTTGTCTGACACACCAATGAACTCTTGCTTCAGCGGACACGGTCGGAAAGTCGCATCGAAGTGGAAAAGACCCTTGTCAGGGTCTATGCGGAGGAAGCTTGCCACATCGCGGTAGTTAGGTAGTGTGGCACTCAGACCTACGATACGGACTTGGTCGCCAGTCTGCTCGCTGCGTCGAAGCGTCCTGCTCACGATGCTCTCAATGACAGGGCCACGGTCGTCGTGCAGAAGATGGATTTCGTCGATACAAATGAGGCGAACGAGGTTGATGTAGCTGGTGTCCGTAGCCTTGCGGGTGATGACATCGTACTTCTCGGGAGTGGTGACAATGATCTGTGTTTCCATGATTTGCTGCTTGGTGAGTTGGCGATCACCCGTGAGCTCAGCAACCTTGATTCCGTAGGGTTCGAGACGCTTGCCAAAGTTACCGACCTGCTCGGCTACCAGGGCCTTCAATGGAGCGATATAGATGATCTTGAAGTCATCGAGGGCAATCTCTCCAGTCCGCGCGTCTCGATGCTTTCCAATCTCGCGAAGCATGGCCAACATGGCAACGTTGGTTTTACCGGAACCAGTAGGAGCACAAATGAGCATGTTGCCGTCGTCGTTGAACGCTGTGGGGAAGCACTTCGTCTGGACACGGTTGAGTGCTTTTGAGTTGCCGAAACCTGCTCGCGCCCAGTCGGGTAGCTCAGAGGTAGGCATATTTGGCGGTTCATTCGCATCGCGTTTCGCTTTCGGTGCGGGCACATGAATCTCTTCGTAGCCCTTGAATTGGCGACGTGTGGACCCCTGCGGCAGCTTGACACTTGGGTTTGTCATGAGATGGTTGCCCTGGTCAAAGACGATGTTCTCGAGGTTGACCATCCGACTAGATGGCTGCAGTCCACCGACCACGCCGTCGGGCCTTGGAGCGTCAGACATGTCAACGTCTTTCGAGTCTGGGAGGTTGATGTTCTCCAGGTTGAACTTCATTTTTCCAGATCCAGAGCCTTCCTCAGCCTTGACACCTGTCTCTCTTGCGCGCAGCTCTTGCAGAATCTGTTGCTGACCTGCAGCCCTCATTTCCCGCTCGACAGCCGTCCGCTCATCGTTGTCTTCGGCTGCCCGTCTCCATCTCGTGACCCAGACAACTCTGTCACGGTTGAGGACGAGTTTCGCGACGAGCTCGTGATGTTCATAGTCGAAGAGTTCCATAAGGTCGTTCTCAATCTCACGCAGGGGCTTCTCTTCGCCGTCTTCCGAGATCCCTGCGAGCATGTTCAAGGCATCCTGTGTCTTCTCCTGTTGTGTGTGCGCATCTTCATAGACCTGTCCTATCTGCCGTTGCAACCAGTAGGCGTCGATTTCATGTGCGGGTATGAGTTGGTCGGCGCCGTCCTTGCGGTCTGCTGAGACAGTTGTGTCGCCCTGGATGATCATTTCCTCCGTGTCTGCAATACCTCCGTCTGCGGCGTCATCTCCTCCTATTTGCTCCACGGCCGTTTCTTCCTCGTCCTCTTCGTCAGAAGTATCGGCGTCGCGCACCTCGAAGGTCTGGGCGCCTTCTTCATCGTCCTCCTCCTCGTCGAATACCACAGCTACACCCTGATTGTCGCCATTCTCAGCACCATCAGCGTCCGCCATGCCTTCGTCGCCCTCATCGTCGTCGTCCTGCGCGTCGAAGTCGGTGATCTTCTTGCCCAGGTTGACCAGCTCGTTGAACTCTTTCGCACCCATTGAGCTGCCCAGAAGGTCGTCGACCTCCTTCTTCTTGTCAAAGTCCTTCAGGCCGTCGTCCTTTAGGTATTCGAGCACCGCATCGGCGGCACTTCGGGTGGTCGCCACGGGCACGTCCCCGAGAGCCTTGCTCACGATGGTCGTGATGAGCTCGAAGGTGGCGCGCGTTGCAGGCGTCCTTGGCCTGTACCGCAGACCCTCGATGTTGAAGTCGACGGCGGCGGTGGCCCCAAAGGCGCTGGTGCCGTCGTCCCGCTTCCGCTTGCGCTGCTCCCGCTCCAACACATCGCCGCCCTCAGTCAGGCTCCCCCGCTCGAACCCGAGTCCCTTGGGCTTCTTCTGCTGTGTGGGCGCATCGTCTCGCGCTGTCCGCCCTCCCATGTCGCGGATGTTTATGCGGCCTGCCAGCGACTCGGGATCGCCAGTGTGCTCGTCCGGGCGGCGCGTCGTAAACCGACGATCCGCCTGCAGGACCAAATTGGACATGGCCGCATATTTGAACTGCGCGAGGTTGTTCTCCTTGTTCGCCATGATTGCGGTTGATGTCGCGTTGTCGTGCGCCGCGCGCGATTATGTCGAGGCGAAAGGCACGGCTCCCGCTACAGTTCGAAATATGAGCGAACGAATGTGAACTGAATGAATTTTGCGTGTAATTAGGGGGGAAGTGTCGAGGGGCAAGTAAGGATTGGGCTGCGGACGCGGCCTGCAGACAGTGAAGGAGATGGACACTGGTCGCCGCACTCGAACTTTTAGAAGCTTTGACGATCCGTGCAGGCAGCTATGGCACGTGATCTCGAACCACCACTTGAAAATCTCGTGGATCAACTTGAAATAAATTCTTGCTATCTACAGTGTATGCTTCATCTGGTTGAACAGAATGCGGATCTTGGGCTCCATCCGCACCTCGACCCAATACCCGCGCAGCACCTGGTTTCTCAGCAGCCCTTCCAAGTAATGCCAGGCCTTTGCAACCTCTGAGGTCCAGTCCTCGCCCATCCTCACCCGTCTGCTATCATCACCATACAGTGGCTCAACTGGCGAGCCACTCTCCTGCCCAGGCTTCAGCAACTTTACTCCCCCAAACCCGTACACAACGTGGGCTACTTCCCAACTCCCTATAACCGTTTCCGGGCTCTCCGCGAGGACATAGTCAAATTTGGTCCAGAACATTGGATCCAGGAGGGCCGACGGGTCTTCAGTCTTGTCATACACCCAGGTCCTCTTCTGAATAGTAGACTGTGCTTCTAACACATCAAGCACTGTTTGCGATCCCCTGTGGCTCTCGAGGAAACGTGTAACACCTGTCTGACATGCGAGGTTGCCAAAATGGACGTTGAATTGCTGGTTTGATGGGTGGTAGAACCCATGATGGAGCACACCAAGTGCCTCGCCTCCGGGGTAGTTCAAACTAGAGATGGCAAGGATTGCGGTGGAGGCGGCAAAAGAGACCAAGACTGATCCTACAAGGGCAAGACTGAGAACAGCGTAGACGAGCGACTTCCCTCTTCTAGTCCAGATCCAGGATGCTCCAGCCGCGGCGATACCTGTAAAGCCAGGAATCACATAGATGATGAAGCGCCATTCCTTGTGTGGAAGGAAGCTGTACAGTCCAATGAAGGTCAGCATAGGGACGAGCAGATCTAGGCTTCGTCTTCGAGTTGCTACATTGAGAAGAGCAACTGGTATACAGAGTAGATATGTTGCCGGGTTCAGAAGTAGTCGCGGCAGTGCGTTCAGGAAGTAGTAATGCCATGGTGACACACCCCAGTCCGCCGAATGTCCTAGAACGGTGTTGTAATAGAACCCAGTCCATTCAGGCCATAGTGGAAAAGACTGCCAGAAGAAGGAGTCCAGTGGTACGGTACAAAGCAACCCGATGACCACACCTCCAAGTCCTGCTGGAATGATGATCCTTGTAATGGAGATTCCCCGCGTCAGAAATAGGTAAGTTGTAATGGTGCCGACTAGAATAGCAAGCTCAGAGCGAAAAACGATGCCGGCAATGGTTAGTAGATATAGACCCAAACGGTACCCTTTCCGGTCATTCCAGGGAAGCGCATACGCGTTGAGGAGACTCCGTAACGCAAGATTACCTCCTCACAGTCAACATTTGATGAGTTTCCTTACACAATCTCTTCTACTTACTGAAGATAAAAGCAAACATATTTGGCAGCGTTCGTGATGCGTAGTAAATGACATGAAACTGGCTCGCCTGGAACAGAGCATACCAAATGCCCGCACTCGTCCCGAAGGCCGTCTGTACGCTTCTGCCAAAGGCAATGAGGGCCGCTGCGTTGAGTAGACCAAGCACACCTCGAACTAGTTTTACATCATTAGTACCAAACTCGGATTCCTTCATCTTCGTGCTACCTACCTAGTAGCTGCAATTGAGCAGTGGAACTGAACAGGCCAACCCAAGGTCTCGACAGTCCACTCAAAACCAAGGCTCCAGCAAACGTTCTCGGCACGCTTCCAGGAAACGAGACATGATCATAGTTTGCGGTAAGAAATTGATCATAGTTCTCTGTCGGAATGCCGTGGATCAAGATATCGTGAATTGCCTGAATATTGAACGATTCCTCGACTTTCGTGTACGGCGAGACGAAAAGATGGACGAGAATGAATGTTGGGATGAGGAGGTAGAAAGGCCACGCAAGGAAAGGCATAGCTTTTACAGTTTCAACGGACTTTGGAGCCCTAAACCACTGAGATGGTGGGATGACGGTGTTGTCGACGATGAAACAACAGTTGAGAGAAGTCCCCGTGTGGAGCTCCCATACGTCAGTCAGCCAATCACGTGTCCTCTGCTCCGACCCATCTGCCATCTCAACCCCATCACCCTTCCCTCCCAAATCACATCTCTGCAACATGGAGATTTCGGAATTAGCCGTCCCCTTCGTTTACGCTTTGATACTTTTCCTCGGCTACCCGTCACAATGGATGTTGATGTACCTCGAGCCTGGACCCTTGAGCAAGAACGAGCTCATCATCTCCAATGTACTCCTAGTGTTGATCTTCATCACATACACGAAATCGGTTTTCGTAGATCCTGGCACTATACCAAAAGACTGGGCTAAAGAGGAAGAGAATGGGAAGCAGAGTAAGAGCGGAGAGGGTGTTGGAAAGAGTAAGAAATGGTGTCGGAGATGCGATGCTGCGAAGCCTCCGAGGGCGCATCATTGTAAAGAGTGCAAAAGGTGTGATGGGTTTTCTTCCTATCCATTATATTTGGGCTTTGTTGAATCTCATGCTGATGAAGATGTACAGATGCATCCCAAAAATGGATCACCATTGTCCCTGGACCGCCAATTGCGTTTCCCACACTACTTTTCCGCATTTCCTACGCTTTCTCTTATACACCACTCTTGGTCTTTCGCTACTCGAATACTTCCTCTTCGTCCGAATTTCATACGTTTGGAGCGCCCGGGATCTACCCTCTTATCTGGGTCCCAATATATTCCAAGTTGCGCACCTTTTTGTCACCTTGATGGCAAATTCCATCACGTTATTTGCAATCGCCGTCCTGCTGATCAGGAATATATGGGCTCTAGCCGTCAACACAACGACAATTGAGGGTTGGGAGATCGAACGACACCGCACCCTTGTACGCCGCGCCCGGCATTTCGGGGGGTTTCTGGAGGGACCAGATGGCGCGCAAGTGTACATCAAGAAACAAGAATTTCCCTACGACGTCGGTATACTAAGTAACATAGTACAAGGCATGGGGACTGCAAACGTAAGCTCGTTTCCTCAGCTCCTTTGCTATATTTCTCCTACGAATGTTGTTAATAGCCATAAATCTAACCAAAGCAGCCGATTATGTGGTTGAACCCTCTCTGCCCCACACCTACCATCTCATCCGCCCTCTCCTTCCCAGTAAACGGGTTTGAAGACGCATCTACTACCTGGCCGCCCCCAGATCCTGACCGCTCCTACCGCCGCCACGCTACAGCAGTCAATGCCGACGCGTTCACGTACCAGGACTCCAGTCTCTCAGCTGCTGACACCGTCGCGGCTTTCAAAGCACGGCAAGCAGACGACGTAGTGAGGAGACGAAAACCTTTCGTGGAACGCATAGAAGCAACGCTATCTAGGGAGAAGAGCAATGATGTAGACGAGTACTACGGCGTTGATGAATACGCGGACGATAGCGAAGTCGAAGATGAAGTGAGGAAGAAGTACGTCGACGGCGAAGGCGAGGAAGGATGGCGCAATTCCGAGGGTGAGCGATTGAAAGATTTCGGTGTCGACGAGGATGTGGAGTTTTACGATGAGCAGGAGGATGAGATTCCGCTCAGCGAGTTGATTGCTAGGAGGAAACTGGCATCAACGTCCACGCCAGCGTATGGCTATTCATAGTGCAAAGCGAGTGGTTGTATGGGGAACAACTCAAACGTCTCGAGGACGCAAGATTGCTGGAGAATTCAAAATTCGGGATACCTATGTCTGTTGTCGTGGCTAGATCTTCAGAACAACTTGCAATTGCTCAGGCGGAAACGGCTACCGATTGATGCGCATGGAATGGAGTCGTCTTACAGCATCGCTCCGACAGCCCATTCTCGACGTCATTCCACCGCACAATCCGATGACAAGCCGTTTTGATGCACAACAAGGGGGATGGTGATCGCACTGACAGTGGACAAAAGTACACATTGAAATTAGACAGGATAGTAAAGGCAGAGTTGTCAAAAGCAGCAATGTAGACGACGAAAATATACATATAGCAATACAATCCAAGTCTATACTATCAAAAGCCATAGTACCTACGTACGTTCATATCCAACCAAGTATCATCAACACTCAAGGTTGTACGTTGGGGAGGGGGGCTGTGCGGCTCTCCACCCCCCTCATGCAAGGGGAGCACCGAAACGCTCATAGCATGCACGCATTCTAAAAACACTGCCCCCCACCATCAAAAATGGGGCTGAATAAACGTTCCAGCATTCCGTTTCCAATCACTCATGACCTCCAAGCAATACCCAAGCCAGAAATGTCGTACTAGAATGTCGTACTAGAATGTCGTACTGCTTGGGGACGTTTTACAACCCTGCCTGACCAACTATTGACCAAGGGCCCATGCCGGTTAGTTAGTCTAAGCCACGCGACCTATTCTTCTTTGTTGGGGACTTGGGTATGCGGAAATACACTGCCGCGATGCTGTATTCGGTGCTGGAAACCGCATGCCTGGGCTGCTGCCATGGGGACAAAGAAACATGTGCGTGTGTATGTGTACTTCATCACGTCTACCTCTCTCCGGCGAGCCACCGAGTCGTTTATACTTGGGACTTTGCAACAAATTTTCATGGTCGATAGTCAAGATGGAGTGCAAGGCGGAAGACTACTATGATATACCCTACGAACTTCTCCCGACGCCAAACTTTGCAGGTCGACCGACGAGCGAAATTAGTGATATCGGCGGAGTGTTGGACGGGTTTTGGACGTTCCCGAGCAGCGAATCTTCGTCTTCTGGTGGCGATGACGATTCAGGTTTGACTCCGACGGCACAAAGCCCAGCGAAGTCGTTGCCGTTACGGATCCATGTGGAGCAAGAAGCGGCAGAAAAACTGGGTATCAAAGCCATATCACCCTCGAGCAATCGCGTACAACGGCATACAAGATACTGGAGCGATCTGGGACCGACGAGCGAGATCCCCCGGCCAGGAAAGAAGGCAGCCACGGCTCCACCAGGTGCACCATGTCTGCTGGACTTTGCAGCGCAACCACCGCGACGAGCCCTCAGTGCGGGACTAGGCCGATCAAAAACTGTCAGGAGGAGGACCACACATCGGCAGAGCGATGTGGAGAGTTTCTTGGTGGCCAATGGTGCTCTTGAGGGAATGAAGTCCGAACCACAGAAGCCATTGCCCCAACCGCCACACACAAGCGAGTGTGAGACCACTGCTCAGATGTGGAGTACCTTACAACCGTTGAGCTCAATCTCTGAAAAAGACAGGGTGCGAAAAGCGCTCAGACGTAAGAAGTTAACGATGTTGGATACGAGTTTTGTGGATTTCCAAGCGAGGAGATATTTCGAGTCGCCAATCTCGATGACGAATACACCGCGAGAGCTGTATGGTGTGTCTGCGCCGGGTTTCCCAGGCATACCTCCTTGTCCGCGGTCTAGTGGAAGTTTGTCGATACAAAGTTTACCACAGACGTCGTTGCACCCTAAGCAACCTGATACACTACATCCCGAAACGTTACAATGCAATGACGATGTAGTCGGCGCATATACAGGGGAGCAGAGCAGACTCTATCTACCTGGCCCTGTCGTTCTTGAGAAGCACTCTATGTTGCTTCGGAAGGATTCTGTCGCAACGATGGACGTGTTTGACAGCGGTCCGGAGCCCAAAGCGAAACGCTTCTCCGACTTGATGACAGCCGATGGGATCGTGACGTTTTTTGCGGACTTGGGGGTGATTGACGAAACATCAGACGATTCCCTGGACAAATACTGGGTAGACGAAGAAAGTAAACAGCGATCGTCTGCATGGTCCAAATGTACCAGCATCGTGAGCATCATGGAGCCAGTGCTTCGAAGTCCCTTGAGTCCTCCGAGTCCTCCAAGTCCTCGGAGTGCTCAAAGCGGTTGTGAGATGACAGGTCTCACGCGCATACCCTCCAGGTTCTCTTTCTCATCGGCATCGTCCAGCGCTTCGCTGCCCCGTGCTGGGACGCCAATAGGCAAGCGCCTAAAGTGGATAAGGTTGTTGACGCCGGGTATTCCTGGCTCAGCCTTTCTCAAAAGCGCTGGAAGCTAGGCAGGATAGACGAGATTGTTGTGATAGACTGGGAAATATCTTGGGTGAAACTCGGAGAAACGAGAGCTTCGTAAGACGTCATTTCCATAGTAGAGGTCCGACCAGAGCCGGAAATTACCATTTTAGGCAATCTGCGATACACCAGAAGTTGTTCGACTGTGATGTGACTCCTCCGGTGGAAAGCAATTGGACGTGTGCGATATTGTAACGGCAGGAGGGCGTTGTTCGATTGCGATCGTGGTCTAGAACACGTTGATCTCTTGCCTGCTTTCTGCCTTGCGGAGAGCCACTGGGGATGAATGACGAAAAACAAGTGGACGCCAACACCGTGCCGCTGACAGCAAATTGTGCCAGATCCAGGAGGGTGCAGAAACTTGTTGCCCTCTGTCGAGGTGTGAGCTGACGATAGGGTCGATCGTTGCCAAGAATAGTGAGCTAGACGCATGCACTTCCGAACAAAAGTGAGGCAGCGAATCACAGCCACACGCGCCACGCGCCATCCAATCAAATATCGGACGAAAGACAACGATCAACAACGTGGATTGCCCTGTTCACCTCGTCTTGGCCCCCTTGCCCTGTCGCTCAACGCGGGCCGCAGTCGTCAGAGGTCCTCCGAAACGCCAGCGCATCGTCCATCATCAAAAGCCAGACTCTCCCCATCTTGACCCGCCCCTTTCTCACCTATTGCTTGCCTTGACATTCCAAACGTCTTCCATTCGTCTTCTTCCCCACACTCTTGACAATCCTGACAATCCTGACAATCATCCACATATCATTGTAAGATCTCCCTACCACAACAGGCAGATCTCTCGACCATCGTTGCTAATCACCATCATCGTGCAGTTAGCCACCTTGAGCATCACTATTCTTACTCTCAAACCACACAATACCATGGATATGGCTTTACCCTATGGTGATAATGCCTATCCCTACACGCTCGAACAGGCCCAGCAGGACCTCTGGAGTGGCAATGTTCATCTCTCCGGGGAGCAACAAGACTTCAGCTTCCAGGCCGCATCTGCAACCGACAATGCATACAACAACGCACAAGCTTCGTTGGCATGCCAAATACCACGGTCAATGCCCTACAACGCGTCGAGTTTAACGCAGTTCCCAGTATGGACTCCAAGTTTGGTACGCGTCTATCCGTTCTAACTCTAGCTAGATGTCCAACATCGGTACCATGGATCGCACCCGTTCCGCCCCCACTATGGGAGTCTCCGCCTCAACCGCTTCTTGGGATGACAGCAACCTCCAGCGATCAGCGACGTCGTTCCCTGCCTGGCAACAGGAGCCTGTAACCGACTACGCTCTCTTCTCGGGATCCTCGATGCGGAGAATGTCGAACCTCCAGCCCATCGCCGACGTCACAGCCTTCCCTACTGGCAGCATGGTTGAGTACAGTCCTGCTGAATACATCGACAACTGCATCGAGCAGAGAAGCTCACCTCTCCTTCCCCTTGCCCTTCCCCAGCAGTCACAACAGCTTCAAGTTCAACTGACACCCGGATGGGGCACATCTTCGGATGGCTCCATCTCCCCCAGCACACCGTCAACTGCTCTGACGACGCCTGTTACTCAGACAAGTAACCCTATGAGTCGTCAGGGTAGTTACACCCCCAATTTCTCAGCTGTTTCCATGTTACGTGCTCAGTCTTCATCTTCAATGTTACCTATCCTCTCTGAGGATAGCTCTCTTTCTTTTCCTTGCGAGTCAGAAACCATCAGCGCCTGCGTTGATGGTTCTTCTTTCTTTCCTTTCACTGGCCCTGCCAGTGAAATTTTCCTTTCCACTGTACCATCTGTTTCTGCAAGTGCGCAAGGACTTGCCTCTTCTCAGAACGAGCTGTACCTGGCGGAGGATATGCGGAGGTCAGCTTCGACAACATCGAGCGAGGGCAACGCGAGCGACGTTTCAGTACCGTCCTCGAGTTGCTCCCGCCAATCGCAACGCGAACGAGAGATCAACGCGCAAGCAGCCTCTCGCAAGATTGCCCCAAAGGCAATCCCAAGTAACAACGACGAGACCACGTTCGCGTCATCCAATGCTCAGATGGCGCGGATACAGTCCTCGGACGGATCGTCCAAGACTGTCGGTATCCTCACTAAGACGGCGTACGTCCGACCCAGCCATCCCAAAATCAAGTGCGTGTATTGCGACGAACGGCCCAACGGCTTTCGCGGAACGCATGAGCTCGACCGCCACATTGCGCGCGCCCATAGCTCTAGACGCAAGGGCTACATCTGTGTCGACTTCTCCTCGGACAAGAAGTTCCTTGCCAACTGTAAACACTGCCGCGGCAAGAAGGTATACGGCGCGTACTACAACGCAGCCGCGCACTTGCGCCGTGCGCACTTCCACCCCCGCAAGCGCGGAAGGAAGGGCAAGAACGACGAGAAGCGCGGGGGCATCGGTGGCGGAGACCACCCCCCCATGGAATACCTCAAGCAAAACTGGATCAAAGAGGTGGAAGTCGACAACAAGCGCACCCCTCAATCGCCCGAGAGCGCATCAGACAGCGCTCCCGAGCCCTCCTCTTATGACATGCACTCGTACGCTTCGTCGTCGTCGCAGCAGCAGCAACAACAAGCGCCCGACGTGATGGAGATTCAACCCCCCATCAACCAGCCGTACATCGACTTCGGCCTAGACTTAAATGCGAGTGAAATGATGTACGACGCCAATGCGTTCGCCGCCTACGAGCTGAACGACGCCAACAACTTTCAATTCGACGCTTCGTATATGCCGCAATGAAGGCATATATATTCATTCCTTTCGTTTCTTATCTTGTATACTCGTCGGTTAGGGAATGGGGTTTCGATGATCGTGACCACCAACCATGCTTGGTTGAGGTAGGACCGCATCGTGGTGTTTTTGTGCTTTTTTGGCTTTATTGGTTTGGCGTTGGGTTTGGCGGACGTGTCCTATGGGCAGGCAGTCAAGGCGTTTCTTACCGTACATCATCGTCGTCATCATCATGTATCATCGCTTTTACTTCTGCGACGCACCGTCACTGTGATGGGGTATGCTTTTCCTTGCATCGACACTAGATGTAGTCATCCTTGTCTACGTACAACGTTAGTATATGCATTATGAATATTACTATCCATTGTTTACTTTCTTGCTCTTGCTGGTTTCATGTGATCATTCCTTCGCGTCATTACATCTACCCTTGCCTAGCTTGTTCATCAGTTACATGGACTACGCTCACCATCACCGCGGTCTGCCTTGTATGTAAAGGCTTGGTCCATCGAGCCAGTTTGGCACAACATAGGACAAGACGCTCTCCCCTTTTTCTCTCTTCTCTTTTCTTTTTCTGTGCTTGGTTTGTTCTATAGTGGAGCATGGCATGGCACGGTATGGTACACTGGTGGGTGGGATACATACACACACATACAGGTATAGATATACAGACAGCTTGTGAGTTGGTACGTGAGTGAGCGCCGTGTCGATGTGATATGATATAGCTTTGCACATACGTACACGGAGAAGACAAGTCTAGGCAATTCAGTTCAGTCCGGGCACCGAGTGGGAAGAGAATGAGTGAGTGGCAGACTGCAGCAGATAGAAGCCATCAACAAGCATCCTTGTTCTTCCCTGCGATTTATCAACTTCATCCATTCTTATTTTGCGGATCGTCTCACAGCTGCCGAGTATACACATGTATATGTGTGTATTTGCGTGATTCAACCAAGTATGTATACATCCTCCTCCACCTCACAGCTTGTAGGATCCTACTTAGAGTAGCCATCATCCTGCGCATTACCAATAAGATGCGCAGGACCACCCTGCTGTCCCAACGCCCCACCATCCTGCGCATCACTCCTCGACTGCTTAACCGCCTCTCTAGCCTCCGCCTGCTCAGCCTTCTTCCTGTAAAACATTAGCACCTATCACCACACCCCCCCATACCCAGTCATAAAGACCACTCACCTATCCAAATCACTAGCCAAATCCGGCTCAGCACCACCCCCGCCCATCCCCTTCCCCCCCTTCGCAACCGCGTCCGCCACCCGTCCCTCCCCGGGGGCAGCCATCTGCTCGCCGTCGAGCTCGTTGTGGCGGCCTACATCTTCGTGCGTCTTGCCCTTTGCCTCCTCGCCTGCGGGCGCGCCGTGGATGCCGCCGCCGGGCGCTTTGGAGTTTGCCTCGCCTTGCGCGTCGCTGGCTTGCTTGGTGGGGACGCGCTTGTCGACTATGGCGCTGTTGTCGCTGGCGTTGAACTCGGATTCGGATTTTTCCGTGGGGTCTTTGCTCGCGGGGTTGCCGGGCGTGGTGTAGGCTTGGTTGAGGGTGGGTTGGGAGGGGCCTTGGGGGTCGAGGCCGGACATTGTGGGTGGTGGTTGGGGTGTTTTGGTGGTGGGGTTGTGTGGGTAAGGGATGGTCGAGGCGATTGGGTTGTGTAGTGGTTGGAAGAGGGCGAGGGAAAGTCGTGAGATGTGTGGAGTTGAGTTTCCTCGTCGGCGTGCTATGGGATATTTCGATGGGATGACGTAGGTGGGGTATGGCCGTCATGTTTATTCGACTTGCCCCACCTTTGCTCTCTCATCATGTGAGAACGCGACTAGCTAGTCCTGACGATGTGGAATGTAGATGGACAAGATAGGTGACGACGTGGAGTGAGTAAAAGACAAAAGCAACCTGCCTCGTGTATTCAAGTATCTCATAAGCCGGGTGCTTCCCTACACTCAGCTAGATACCGAAAAGCCTGGAATTGATTCGTTGATTGATAGTAAAAATGCTAGATTCGTTGGCCTTGAAGTTGGACCGCGACGCCTAAAAATGACCACGACCATGACCAGAACGCCTTCGCTATGCTTTGACAAATGCACACTGGGTATTACTCCGTCTCCATGACTATGTCTTCTGTAGATTCTTTCGTTTTGACGTGGTTCGTCGCGTCGTTCTCTCGTTTTGATTCGGCGGCTTTGGCTGCTTGTTCGCGTGTTTTGCGACACCATTCTTCAATCGAGTCTGGGCCGCCTCCTTCGATCTTGATCGTTTTGGGCTCTGCGGGGACACCGAGCACAGTTCCCTGGAAGCGAGACTCGACGCCGGTCTTGCTGTGCTTCTTCATCAGGGCTGGACGAGTGTTAGTGCGTGGTTTCGAGACATGGTGCGAAAGACGTACTGTTCAGGTAGTCCTCCATCTCCAGCTGGTCGAGCTGCTCGGTGGGGTTTATGGCCACAGGCTTGTATGTGCCTGCGATGCGCCTGATGTCCTTGTTCTGCTCGCCCTCGACCCAGGCGATGAATTCGTTGACATCAGCCGTGTCCTCGGCGTCGCGTCGCTTCTCCTCGTCTGCGCGCGCGCCTGTTTCTGCATTGTAGTCTTCCAGCGGCTTGCGCAGTATCTCCTTCCACAGCTCTTCTCCGGCCGTCATGGTGGGCACAAGCAGGCCGCAGTCCTGCATGGCCATGCGCACGTCGGTCACGTCGGGGGTGAGGTCGTTGTGGTTGGAAAAGGCATTGTAGGCGGTGCGCTCGGCCAGCAGAGACAGGTAGCGGGCAGTCAGATCGACGACGGTGTCGACGGCCGAGGGCTTGCCATAGTGGAAGCCCGTCGCGCGCAGGATGTGGAGGACGGCCGGGCGCAGGAGGTTGAGGAACAGGTCGTGCTGGGACATGGCGGTGCGGTCGTATGCTGGGCTGGCTGCAGAGGCCCGGTGGTTGTCGCGTGGTCAGGGTGAGCGCAGACAGCGCATCGTCGAGTGGAGTGAGAGAAGCCAGCCGTCGAGGAAGCGACAGAAAGCAGTTGAGGAGCTCGGGGCGCGTTCACCACGGAACGCCAAGGCCGCTCACTCATTCGCAGCTTCCCTTACTCACGCCAGCTCTCTCACATCGCCCGCGCAGCTCGACGGATGCAGCGCCTGGAGGCGCATACCCAGCACCGTCCACCGCCAACCGCCGTCTGTTTCCCTGCCACCGTCTATCCTCACCCGTCGCGTGCACAATGAAGATCAAGCTCAAAGCCCCCGGCGCCGCCGTCGACGCGCCTGCCCAGTCCCCGCCGAACGACGCCCCCAGGCTGCCTGGCCTGAAGCTGAAGCTGAAGCCCTCGGGGCCGTCGCCAGTCGACTCGGCCGAGAGCCAGAACGGCGATGCGCTCAAGCAGAAGCGCAAATACATCAAGAAGCCCAGGCTCGACGACGGCGGGAACGCACCGCCCGCAGCCAAACTCGGCCCGAAGAAGAGGGCGCGTGAGGATGGCGAGGAAGGCGACCCGCCAGCAAAGCGCAAGCCGAAGCCCACGGCAAAGAGCCTGGCCATGGTGGACGAGGACGAGGACGAGGACGACGTCGTTGAGCCCAAGCAGCCAGCCCCGCGACTGCCCCCTGTGCGTACCCAGTCCATCAAGCTGTCCATCAAGCCCAAAACACCCCAGAGATCGGGCACCGCACTGCTCAAGGTCAAGGGCGCGGGGAGAAAGCCCGTCAGGCCGTTCGGCGTGGGGTACGACAGCGAGGCCGAAGACGCAGAGGACGACCCAGCCATCGAGTCGCAGTTCGTTCTGCGCATGCTGCCAGGCCCGGACTGCGATGTGCTGCGCAAGTCCATCGAGGAGAAGACGATCGGCAAGAGCATGACACAGGGCGGCCCAGGCGTCTACTTCCGCTTCTTCGACCGCGAGGGCCGCCGCGCCATGGTCACCATACAGGGTCGCAGCTACGCGGCTTCCATGGTCGAGCTGCCCAGCGTCATTGAGTCGATGAAGAGCTGGAACAAAAAGGACTGGGTCAAGACAGCAGACGTGTGCCAGATGCTTCTGGTTCTGGGCCCAGTCCAGAGCGAGGACGAAGCGAAAAAGTACCCTCGTCCATCCTACGTCGACCCAGATTCCCACCGCTTTCCTCACGGCCTGACGCCGCCCATGCGCTGGGCTCGCAAGCGACGCTTCAGACCCCGCAAATCCTATCTCGATGTGGAACGAGCTGAGACGCAGATGAACGAACTGCTAGCAGCTGACGAGAATGCCGAGTCTTCGAAATATGATCTCGTTGATAGTGACCACGAGTCGAGTGAAGCAGAGTCCAGCGAAGAAGACGAGGAAGACGAGGAGATGGCAAACGCTTCACAGATAGCACAGACGCCTGTCGAAGAAGTCGACGCCGTCGATCTCGAGCAGATGTTCATGGAAGATGACGACATGGAGATACAAGGCAATCCCGAGGACTTGAATGCTCTGTTCGGTGGCAGCGACAACAATGCCTTGTTTGGTGATGGCGGTAGTGTTACTATCAACGTCGGGACAGCAGCCACCGCCCACGATGTCGCCATGCACGCTCTCAGTCACAACAGCAACATTGTAATTGAGACAGATACTGCAGCATCTACCCCAGCAGCAGCTACATCCGCAGAGGACGACGACGACGATGACGATGCCGACTCAGAGGATGACGAAGTCGACGAAGCTGCAGCAGCTGAAGAAGCACGTAAAGAGCAGCTGCGAGCCGAGATTGTCGAGTTGGACAGGGCCATCCAGCAGAGCATTGAAGCACGCGACCGGCAGAACAACCACATCTTCAAGAAGCGTATGCAGATCACCATCGACAAGCAGGTAGTGGATCGCGACATCAAGCGCAAGCAGCTGGGTGAGGATCCCGACGATTAGGCATTACGTCTTCCATGTGTTTTCCTCGGGCTTGAGAGACACGCATATCCTGTCTGCGCGATTTCAGGAGTCAGTCTACTATCATAATGGAGTTCTTGCATTGCGTGGAGTTTAGGCTATGGACATCGGAAACTGAGGGGACCAGCAACTGGTGTTTTGGTAGGCGTTACTTTCTAGTCGAGTTATTCTATCAATCATAGTCTTGTAGATGTACAGTCTTCCCAAGGTTCTGTCCACATGTTTTTCGGCTGTCTACATGTTATAATGGGTATCGAGTCTTGCTCCTAGCAGCCTGGCATAGTGAATGATATCGGCAGCCCAACTTTCACCACTGTACCTTGTTGTGTCCCAATCACGTGTCGACGCGCACGGTTGATAATCAATAGGATTCTTTGTGTCCCCGCGATCTTGACTACGCTCATTTTTCCACTTGCGCGCTGCACCAACAAAGGTCGCCTCCTTCAGACAAAACTAACCCTGACTCACTAGACGAGTAGTTCTTAGATTCCGGCTCAAAACTACCCCAAACATGGCGCCACCGGGTCCACCGCCTTACACACTGGAGCAGATCAACACGATGACTTCGCCCGAAGAGCGACTACGAGCCCGCGCAGAGTTGTCCAGTATGTGGAAGAGGAGGTCTAACACAAGGAAGATGTTGACGACGTACACTCAGGCTACATTGCACGCATGAAGAAGGAGCAGGAGTTGCGACTGGCCGGCGAGACACAATCGAATACTTACTCTGGCCACGGTCCTGCCTTTGGATTCAATGCCTCCCAGCGTCCTGTTGTTGTTTCCAAGCGTGGCGGGGCCAACTACAGTGGCGGCGGGCACTCTTACCATCCGTATCAACGTGCGCCGCCTCCACACGTCGCCCAGAAGTTCAAGAACAGATCCGTCACCTTCAACAAACCCGATCCTTCTGCTGTACCTTCCAAAGAAGGAGAACCGTCCAGGCTCGTTCCTGGAGCCGTGGCCAACACTCACTTACAACAGAGCAGCCAGCAGCAGACCGAGACCAAAACCCTCTGCCCGGCTCTCACATCTACAGGTATCCTCGACGCAACACCGAAACCAACAGTCCCCCTCCCTCATACATGTCTAACGCTTGTGTAGGCGTGTGCTCTCGTCATGGATGCCGACACCTCCACGATCCGAACAAACAAGCTCTCTGCAAGCGGTGGCTTTACAAGGGCAGTTGTCCAAAGGGGAACTTTTGCGCGCTGTCCCATGAACCCTCACCACACAACATGCCAACATGTCTCCATTTTCAAGACGGACACTGCAACAACGATGACTGCCGCTTTGCTCACATTCGTATCAATCCAGCTGCTTCGGTTTGCGAGGCTTTTGGGCGTCTGGGCTATTGCGAGAAAGGCGACCAGTGCGCCAACTTTCATGCATATGAGTGTCCTGATTTCTCAAACAAAGGCGTCTGCCGTTTTGGAGACAAGTGCCAGTTGCGCCACGTTCACCGTGCCGCTCGGATGAGGAAAACTAGTCGCCGCTCCTCTGAAGGCCCATCTTCTCCGTCGGATGATGCCGAAAAGGATGTGGTTGACATTCCAGAAACTGAGGAATGGTTCCTGAACTCCAAGAATAGTGCCTCGCACACCCCCCATCAGTTTACTCAACAGATGGACTTTGTTCCACTTGACGCTGACGAATAAGTACCACCTCGGTGCTGCGTATGTATGTTCTCCTACCCCAGTCTTCGTCGTGCTCTGTACCTAATCATCGGCTGGCGTTCAAGTTCCGGTTTTCACAGTGTTACAACCTGGTAGGTCCTTTGTTTGTTCTGCAAGAATGTGTCTTGACTGCAAAAGGTTTCGGAGTTCACGGCAGGGTCATGGTGCGTATTGGGATCTTTTTGGTGATACCCTTTTGATGCTCTCCTGTCAAAACTTTCTCTCCATATTTTGTCCTGTGAAGCATTGCTGGTACATACAGCTCTTGAGCTTAGAAAGAACACACAAGCATGTACCAAAGAATGAAAAGAATAATTATGAATACGAGCTTCTCCTTGAATAAATGTGATGATCACGCTACCCGACAAGTACATCTTGGGCACGCGCAGTTGTCAGTTCTCAGCTTTGCTAATTCCGACGGCGCGGTGGGCTGGGGCTGAGGCAGAGTTGAGGCTGTGTGCCCTGGACCTTGTCTCTTGTGCCTCTCACTGGCACGATCTACAAACCGCGCCAGGGTAGCTATTCTTGATGCATCCAGACACCTTTGCTGAGTGTGTTCGAAGATATAAGACGACGCTCAGAATTCAATAGCACAAGCAGCGCAGCAATTAATCGTGCTGTGTGTGTAGTAGAGTTGTCGCGACGTTTCCTCAGCCACAAGTCCCCCTGGACACACACGCGCGCGCAACGCGACGCCCAATTGCCCAAGATGCCCAACTTCTCGCACCTGTTGAAAAAGAAGGATAAGATTAGGGATGAGGGCGCCGTGCCCACTTCTCCAAGGGGCGCCACGCTGGCTCCTCCTGCCCCCGAATTCACTTTCCTCCGCACCACGACCTCGACACAGGAGGCTATCGAGCCCCCCAGCTTCCCCGGCGACCCCACGCGCGAGGCGCCCCCTCTCCTCTCCCCAGAGCCACAAGGCGTGTTTGGCAGGTTCAGGCGACATAGCAATGCATCCACTCACTCGCACTCGGGCGCAGACGATGGGAAGCAGAAGAAGGCGGAGCGCATACACTTTGGTCGCACCAGATCGAGCACCTCGGTCAACGTGCCGGATAATCTGCCAGAGGTTGGGGGCGACGGGGTTGCAAGGACGCTCGAAGATGAGGAAAAGTGGGAAAAGAGGGCTACGGCTTTGGTTACGGGCGGTGCTTTGAATCAAGGGACGAGTGCGCCGCCGACTCCTGGGCTTGAGATTACGAATCCGATGTCTACAGCAGGGAGGAGACCTAGTAGCAGTGCTCCTGCGGATGAGGTATGTGGACTGTAGGGGAAGAGTTGGATAGGTGCTGAAGTGTGAATAGGAGAACATCCAGGAGGCTATTCGACTGCACGAAAAAGGGAGTAAGTTTGTCTACTGGGTGAGTTTGGGGATGAGGCTGATCGTTGCCATCAGATCTCGAGGCTTCTACGGCATTGTTTGGAAGACTAGCAGATCCCAACGGTGCAAACAACGCTCTGGCACAAGTCCTCTACGGCCTCGCATTGCGGTAATGCTTCCCGTCCCCCCAACACCACCACCCCCTCCTCGATTCATACCTTCGCCGTTTGCCACGTCCAACACATCATCACTAACATGTATGCCAGACACGCCTGGGGATGCGAGCCCCACCAAGAACAAGCCGTGCACTACCTTTCGCTGGCAGCCTCCAACAGCGCCGAGGTTGAGAAGCTGGCCCTTGGAGCCGGCATGAAGAAAGGCGGCGCGGCGAAAGGCGAGCTCGTCCTAGCCATGTATGAGTTGGCAAACTGCTTTAGAAACGGCTGGGGTATCAAGAAAGATCCCGCTGCCGCGAAGCAGTATTACGAAACTGCTGCTAATTTAGGAGACACGGATGCCATGAACGAGGTCGCTTGGTGCTATCTCGAGGGCTTCGGCACGAAGAAGGACAAGGTACGTCAGCCGTGTACTTTCTTTCTTGCTTTTCTTTTGCTGTCCAGTGAACGTGTGCGCGCACCTCCGTTATTTTGCAAACTCATCGGTAGGGGAGAGGGAGAGAGAGCCCTGGTAATAAGCATTTCATGCAATGGTTACGCAAACGGTGAACTCGGGAGGTTCGAGACCGACGACCTATCATGCGGAATGCGTTCTGAGACAAGGAATACCCCCTCTACCGCCTCATTGTTTGGGCAGCATTTTTCTCTCACGTACGGGTTCGGCTGCTGATGCGGGATGCTTACGCCTCGCAGTTCAAAGCGGCGCAGTTCTTGCGCCTCGCAGAGTCAAAGGGTAATAAGACGCTAGGCAACACTTGGTAAGTCTACCGATTTCCCTTCCATCTTGCATTCCATCTTTTGCCAGTATGGAGATCCTCTCGATTTCCGTGGGATACAAGTGCAACGCACACGCACACACGCACGAAGCTTGCTTTCACGTTTAACGAAATTATCCGCGCCATGCCCATGCCATGCCATATGCCCATCGCATCCCTCGGCACATGATTCCACAATACACACACACCAAAGCAAGGCAAACACCGAACCAAACCAAACCAAGCTCAGAAGAGTCGTCCGACAAACGAGAAGAAAAAACTTCTGCTCCTCTCAGCCAACCAGTTTTTCGACGCGCATACGCCAAGCGCGATCGATTGGCTCTCCGCGCTCGGTTTTGAATGTTGGTCGCTTACCCGGGTGCGGCCCTCGCCCTCACCCGCAGCAGGACTCGTCACGTTTTCCTGCGCGTTCCCCCCCCCTCCCCCCCACCGCACCATGCTTTCTCTCTCTCGCTCGCTCGTTCTCGTGCAGCTGGCCTAATCTGGCGCTGGGCCGGATCGTGTTTGGACTTGCGGTCATGCCGTCCCGTTGCGCCGGGATTTTCATTAGCTCCTTCCACGCACACCATACACATTCCCCCCCCTCCATCCCCCCAAGCCGGTTTACAGGCGTACACGTGGCGCGCTGTTGCTGGTCTCTGTTTCGGAGACGCGATAGTAGCGTGCGAGTGAGGTTGTTTACCGATGACGGAGCTGAAGTGTCAGATGGGCTGATTGATTGCTTGCTTGCTTGATTGTGTGAAGGAGGGGGGAGGGGTGGAGGGGGGGGAGCCGTTGTTTGGACGCGCTCAGATTCAACCGGCTACGGCGCCGATTGCAAGTGCATGAGAACGTTCCCCAACTCGCCAAACGCAGAAGCCGACAGCATTGCGTCCCGTGGGAGGGGTTTTTTTTTGAAACCGCATCTGGGATCTTCCCTATCTCTCCCGGACTGGACTGGACTGAACTGGACTGGACTGAACTGGACTGGACTGGATTGACTGGATATCCACCCCACACCCTCTCTTTCCATTGTAAAATCCCGTCGCGTGCTGACTTTTACCGCGTGGTAGGATCTGGAAAGACAAATATAACCCGAAATAGCCACACACTAGCCTACACCCACACGACACGATCTAACCTATCCCCATGCTTATCCCAGACGGGGTGTGGCTCGTTGTTGCTTGGCTGCAGCGAACTAACGCGAGCGCGGCATGCCTTACACAGTAGGTACACGGGAACGAGATGGTGTATTGTATTGTATTGCGTATGTGTAGTGTAGTGTAGTGTAGTGTAGTGTGTTTACTTTTTTCCCTTCACGGAGAGTTTCTTTCGCGCGGATGGCTTGAGCCCTTACCCCCCTCGTCGTCATCATCGTTGTCAGCGTCATACATTCCCCTCTGCCCACCCCCACCACTATCCTGGCTATTATCACTACGTACGTTGCTTTCCTAGTATGTCTGTGTTCGCCAGTGAGGTGGAAATGTACGCGCCGCTGAGGCTTGGACCGACATGGCGCCGTCTGTCTGTCTATACGTGTGCACATGGGGGCATTACCTAGCAAGAACAAGCCACTCTTCCCCCCGATAGGCGGCGGATCTCGGATCGAGGCTGTCATGTTTTCTTTCTTTCTCGCTGAACGCTATGGATGGATGGCTGGGTGGTACGACAGCAGTGCTCTGGGATTAGTTTGGTTCGGTTGGGAAATGGGGTGTGGTAGCACAACAACGGACGCATTAACCCCATTTAATTCCCTACCCTGGGTAATCTATGCGTCTTTTTCGTTTTATGCGCCCAATTACAAGGCCCCGTGTGCAGGATTAAAAGTACCCGTGCAGATGGGCATGCGTTTTGCATGTTCAGCCACAAGGTGTGGTTTTCCGGTGGGTTGGCCGGTCGGTTACTTCGGATCGCGATGGGGTGCTTGTTGCGTATCTTGTTCTCTTTGATGTCTTGTCGTGCGGTGTAGTGTGGTGTCTGGTCTGTCCTGTAATGCCATGTCATGTCATGTTGATGCTTCTACTACTGCTTCCCCACTGCACACTCTTCACAAACACACCCTATCACGCACACACATACAAGCATGGACAGATGGAGATCAATAAGCACAGCCAGCCAGATAGTAAGACGCGATAAACTGTTTCACAACGCCGGTCCGTCCGTCGACTTGCGCATGCAGCATGCAGGCAAGACATGTGCATGCTATCCACTCCACACCAGCCAGCCAGTCCAGTCCAGCGAACCGGGGTTAGGGCTGAGGCCATCCGCTCCACCACGGCAGGTAGGTATGATGTGACATGATCAGATATGGTATGATGTGATGACCTGGCGAGTAGGGGTCCTGCCAGGCCGGCGCAGGGTAGTCGGCGCCGACAAGGTCGCTAGCTAGTTGCCAGTCCTACGAGGGAGTGAGGTGGTGATTGTTGAGGAGCTGGAGGTGTGGATTCGCATGTCAAATACAAACACCAACACCAGCATCGTGCGCATATGCATGGCATGGCATGACAGGACATAGCATGGCATGCTGTGCATCGATGTATGTACTTTACCCACCTAACCCACCATGTCAGCTATTTTTCAACATGCCGACTCGTCGGATGGGCTATGCATGGCGTGTAGCGAGTCGGCACGAGGCATTGTGGCGTCGCGCGTGGGGATTGCGAGTCCGAGGGCGATCGTGTCGCGTCGCGTCGCGTCGGAAGGAACGAAACGGTTGGTATGCGAGGTACGCGATGGGCGATGGGCGAGCGATCCGCAGTGCAGTGCCGTGCAGTTGCAGCAGGGTCAAGATGAGATGCAGAGAAGGGTGGCGTGAGCGGGTAGGACAAAGGGACTATTTCGGCGGGAATAATCATGGGAATTGGAATAGCAGGTGCAACGGGAAGCGGGATAAGCGCTGGCAGGTAAATGGATAGATGGGTTTGATAGATAGATAGAAACTACTACTACTGAGAAAACGCAAGCTTAGATACAAAACCGGCTATCCAAGAAAGCCGGGGACGGTAACCAAAAAAACGGTGGGGGAATCATTAAATGCAAAGTCGTGAGAAACGTGAATGTAACAAAACGTGAATAATCGTGATCGTAAGAGGGGAAGCCTCAAGAACTCGTAAGTCTTTCTGAATAGAACTCGCTCGCTCACCAAGAGCAAATCAATGTACTCATCCTAAGAAGATAAAACATGATCCAAATTTGCGCGTCATCTCGTTGCCGTCATTTACAGTTTCGTCGTAGCAAGGTTTACATGTCCTTCATCATCGTCGTGTGTAAAAGACAAAAGAAATCCAACGCTCGCTCGCTGTAAATACAGAAGGAAACAAAAGCGGATATCCATCCTGATGTGCTCGCTGGGATAACATCTCCAAAACAAAGGAAACAAGTGAAAGCAGATAAAGTGTACCTCGGGACAAACAATATCTTCCAAAGCGAAATCCAAACCGCCATATAATGCTCATCGACGTTGCCGTCCGAAAAGTGTAGAAGATGGCAAATCTCGAGCCAGAGCGATGAAAGAAAAACAATGATGGATGCATTGCTCGTGACGAGCGTGCAAGGGAAACGCGTGAATAACGTGATTCCAACCCATGATGCAAATTGTCCCTAGAGGTGCCCCGGCAGTGGGGTAGAAGTGAAGCGCTATGCTGAAGAACAATCGATGCAACTTAAAAGCGACGGGCAGTTAACAAAAGAAATTGGTTTTGGTGATGAAGATCAGAGTTCGGTCTTAAGACCGTCAGATGTAGTGGGTCGTGACATGGCGGCAGATTCCTCGACGATACGCTTGAACTCGTGGACGACCTCAGGTGCGATCTTGTCCCAGAGCAGGCTTCGTGTGTAGATCTCGGCAGCCGAGTCGCCCTTGTTCTGCTCACGCATGGCAGCGAGAGTCTCGGCAAGATTGCGACGGTGCGAAGGTTGTTGTTGAGAGCCAGGTGACAGTGGGTCGGTGAGGTCATCACTTGTCATGCTGTATCGTCCACGAGTGAAGTCAAGAGAAGTCATGCTGTTGTACTGTGCAGGTGTGATGGAGAACAACTGCTCGTGCTCCTGTTCCTTTGTTGGTCCAGTGAGTTGAGAGTGCAGTTGGTCGAAGTGTGATCCAGAGATGCCAGCGAGTTCAGAGCCAGAGAGGGTGGTCTTGGGCCAAGCGATGCCAGATGGAGTGGGCTCCATGCCGGTTACGTGGCTGGCGATGACACCCTGCTCAGTGAAAGCAGACGAGACACCAGCATCCTTGAGGATGCTGTCGAGCACCGTAGCGGATGCAGCACGGACCTCATCAGGCATGCGAGGAATAGGTGGGGCGGCAGAGCCAGACTTGCTTGCGACGAACGCACCGCAGAGAAGCAGCATAAGCAGGAGACCAGAAGCGACAGGCTTGTCCTCTTCCTTTGCACGGGGAACGACGGCGACGGTCTGTTCTTGGGGAGTCTGCTCGTCAGAGGCAAAGTCGTTGACGAAGATGTAGTTGTCCCAGTCGTTGTGACCCATGTTGAGGTTGTCCATCTCAGACGCGAAGTCAGTGTAGGTGGAGCTGGGGGCGACGGCCATTCCGTTGCCAGTGGCGTTCTCGAGCCTCTCGGTGAGGACAGACACCTTCTTGCGAAGGTCACCCGTCTCCAGAGTGTGGTTGCGGACGAGCTCTTCCTTGTCGAACTGCAACTGGTTGATCATGTGGTGCATGTCCATGGACTCACGGTGCCAGTTCTCCTTCTCGATGACGAGGGAGTCGTATTCGATCCGGATCTGGCCAAACTCCTCTTGCATGGCACACATCTTCTCGATCCAGATTTTCTTTTCTTCCTCAAGCTCCTCGGTATGTTTCTTTTTGCGTTGGCGGGAATCGAGACTGCGGTGAGGTTAGCACGTGAAGACGGGAAGGACAAACCAAAAGGCAGATTGGACCAAACGATGAACGCCAGACCAAGAACCAAATGGGATTACGTACGCGGCCTGTCTGTTGCGGAGGAGCCGTTTTTGTTGCTTGAGCTCCTTCAGCTCGTCGTCGTTGGTGGAGCTGGCGATGAGCTGGTCGATGTTGAACAGGTTGCGTTCGGCGGGGATGTCGAAGCGGGCGTTCTTCTTCCTGATGCCACCGTCCCGGCGAGGGGAGAAGGAGCGGGGAGGGGTGTTGGGCCTCATACGCTTGGGTCCAGGGCGTTGGTCCATCTCTTGTTGGTTGAAGGCCATCCAATCCGAGTGTGACTGTGGCGACATGGGCTGCTCTGGGGCAGTGAAGACGGCACTTGGTCGGACGTTTGTGTTCATGGGGAGTCCATGGTACTGCATCTGCTGGGGCTCTGGCACAAAGGATGCTGCACCAAAGTCACCAGGACCAAAGGGGTTCAGAGGCTTGGGGGCCGTGGGCGTCCTGGATCCGGATGTGTCCATGGGCCATGACTGCTGGCCGTATGTGGCGGCCTGGTTGGGTGGTAGACGGGCGAAGGGGTTGTTGCTCTGCTCGGTGAAGAAGGGGTTGTTGCCGTTTGTGTTGACGACGGAACTGGTGGCGGTCCTGTCGACGAACTGGCCCTGGGAGAAGTCCTCCCAGATGGATGTGTCGGGCGAGAAGATGCCCTGGGTGCTGGTGGTGGGCGACATCAGGACGGGCGTGTCCAGGATGTTGGCGTCGAGGGTGTGGTTGTCGTCGAAGGAGAAGATGGAGGGTTTCCGGTCAAGATGGCTCAGTGTGGACGAGGGCCTGTGGAAATCCATGTGGCTTGTGTTGGACGAGAAGTCCATCTTGTAGCGAAGTGACGGTGTGGGAGCGGGACTAGCGGTGTGGCTCGGTAATCTCTACTCTTTCCGATCCCAGCGGGAAAACAGCTTAGCTACACAGATGGAGCGTTAAGAATGGGCCAAAAACAACAGAGAGTCGAAGTGCGTCCCAACGAGGAGCGGGTGCAAAGTGCTATGAGGCTACGCAGCGGCGGCGTAGAGGGAGTGCAGGGAGGTGGTGGTGCTGAGGTGGGGAGGGCTAGCAAGTAGATATGGCTGGGGCCAGAATCAGAGTCAATCAAGGTTATGGCGAGGGGGTCGCCGCTGCACCGTGGGATTGGACGCCCCAGAGGTCGGGTAGACGTGCATCACAGCAGCACGCTTCCCAGCAATGATAGGCCCTGGCGCACTGTCAAGCCAGCCATGCGCCATTCACTCCTCCACACTACTCTTCACCCACTGCCACTGCCACTACTGGCCTGCCCACTCCCACTGCCCACTATCCACGATCCACTGCCCACTGCCCACTACCCACTGTTTGCCCTGCGAGCCGTCTGCCGTTTGTGGCCCAGCGCCTTTGTCACGGCTCGCGCGCGCTGCACTTCACAGCCAGGTCACTCTCGCCTGCGCTGCACTCGCCTGCACTCACGCGCCGTGAGGGCACTCTGGTACGACAGCCGGCCGGTGCTCCCGTGCCGCCATAGGCCCTATCGACACGCTCTCCGTGACTGGCCTAGATCCATGCGCGGCCCGGCCCTTTCTAGCCAGCTTCTGCCGCCATGGAGTCGTGATTCGTCTTTGCCCGTGCTTGGCCGGCCGCGGTGAAAAACTCTGCTCGAAACAGTAACGAGGCATGGATTCAGTCATCCGCGATGAGCGACGGCTCGTGATTGCTTCCATGGGCAGGCTGGGTAATCATGAGCACGAAACGCACCTGCTGAGTACGGCGGGCCGCCTGCCTCCGACCTCACTTCACCCTCAACACAACACAACACCATTCACAGCCTGCTGCGGGCAATAGCCTGGCAATAGCCGCGTTGCAAGTCCCGTCAGCCGACTCCCATCCAACTTTCCCACTTTCCGCACCCCCAAGGCGAGTCTTTTTGCTGTTCTCACCATGGTGTCATCTGTCCAACTTCCGGCTCCTCTTAGGCGAGCACGAGTCATTTCACCGCTCAACCTCGCGCATCGAGCTTCCTGGTCTATTTTGGACACTTGATAGTCATTTCTGTGTCTCTGTGTGCTCTCTTGTTATCGTGAGGAGCGAGCCTGGTGTAAGGTACCAAGCCGCCGTCGCTCCATCTAGCCGGTGCATGCCTGTTGCAGCGATCAAAGGCAAACACCGCAGCCACCGTGCTGCCGTTTTGTGCTACGCTCGCCCATCCGACAGCATTACCGATACGATGGGATTCTCCTATGCGTCATTGGTCGTCTTTTGCATATTTCAAAACTCTTAGCTTGTTTATTTTTCCTCCCGTCTGCAGCAAGATCGGAGGTTTGTGTCAGGTCTCGCTTGACTGCCGTAGCCGTCAAAGCAAAGTGACAAAGCGTCAACCTCTCCAACCGCCAGCTCCACGCTCGTATCATGTCTCTGTTTGTGGTCGCTACCCGCGATTGTGCAACACATACTGCCGCGACCTAAGACCATGCACCCCAGACCGAAAAAGCCTCCAGATCGCGTATCACAAAATTGCGCACTGTTGCTTTTCCGCAAGTCATGCTTAGTCTGCATCCGAATTCGATCGACCGTTACATGTTGATCTTCCTTCTGCTTCGGCAGGCGCGTACACATACGCGTAACTCCATCATGGTCCGAGCCAAAGAAAAGAGTTGAGCAAATCACAACAACCACCATGGATGCATAGCAACAAGCCTGAGAATGGCTCGATTCCACTCAACACAACAACCGCTCCTGCCTCCGAAACGCAGGGCTTTTTTCTGACCGGAAATCTCCCCATCAATAGCATTGCATTGCTGAGGATTCCAGCCCAACTTGTAAGGCGCAGAAACTTCTTCAGCCTCTTAGATGCTGTCGGTCGATGCAGTCGACACACGCGCCATCTGTGGCTGGATGGACTACCTTCCCTAGAATCGTGAGGCTGTAGCGGTGAATGATCGTGGCCCACTATCCGACATCCGCGTCTACCTACCCAAGTATTCTCACTACTATACCCTTGTCTCCACTACGTCTTGCCTATTCCAGTCGCAGCCTCGCATCGTGACGGCTGTGAAAAAGATTTGACGACTGGGCTTTTACTTGGGGTGTGAGTCACATCGGCAACTCTTGCTCGTTGATTCTAGGTATCCAATTCCAACGTCTAGTTTCGTATCCAGCCTTGCGTACCAAAAAAACCAAGAACTACGACAAAAGAAACCACAGCAAAAAAGAAACATCCAAGTAGTCAAAAACTTGACTATAAAATGTAGAAAATTAAACGGTAGGGCTGAAAGAATTTCAACCACCTATGACATGACGTACATTCTACCATTCCACCAGCCTTCCATTTACCTTCTTCTTCTTCAATCAATCAATCAATCAACCCACTTTCCTGTCCTCTCGTTCCCTCCCCTCCCCCCCATCAGAATCGAAATCAAGACCAAGACCAAGACCAAGTCCAAGATCAAGATCAAGATCACGCACAAAGTGGGTAAAACACCAAGACCCCACACCACACCACACCGCACCACACAAGCGGTGAGTCCCAAACCGCAAAATCAGCACTCCCGTTCCCGTAACTCGAAACACCACCCCATCCCATTACCATCCCATCCCATCCCATACTATACCATACCATTCCATACCATTCCATACCATTCCGTCACCACATCTCTCCATCCCATCCCCGATCCCCCAAAAGCGGTGAACAAGGCGAAACACGGCCGGACACGCATTCCTAAACGCTCTAGCTATGCATGTATGCGTGTATGCATGTATGCGGGTTGGCTTGATCCTTCCTTCCTTCGATTCTTCCCTGATCGTCGTATGGCATGGAATGAGACGGGATGGGATGGGATGGGATAGGGTTGTATGTAGGGAAGGGAAGGAGGTGTGTTTGATCATCCTTCCATCCTTCCTTCCTGCTGCTGCTGTGGTGGATGGATGGGGAAGTTAGGCCGTTGGGGGTGTGTTTCGGCGCTGCGTGTGGGTGGGTATGTATGTGTGTGTGAGGCACGGCGGTATGGTATGGTATGGTATGGTGCGACGAGGCAGGGCAAGTTTGATGGGCGCAGGGAAGGGAGTGGGTACCTATGTGCATGTACATGTGCATGTGCATGTGAAGGTTAGGGACGTAGTGTGGATAGAAACTTGCATGTTGAGTGATGAGTGAAGATTGTTGAGTGAGTGCGAGGTGAAGGCGCGGTAAACGCAAACGCAAATGCAAACGCGGGTAGGTGTATGTGAAGTGTTAGAATCGAAGCTGGTGATGCGTTGCCGTGAAAAGTCCATTCAGTGCAGTCGTTCGAATTTTTCAGTCACAGACGCAGACGCAGACAAACGCACAAAGCAGACAAAGAAGGAAGGAAAGGAGGTAGGTAAGCGAAGCATACTGGTCCCCATACATTGGAGGCCAAGTGCATGTGAAGTATGAACATTGATGAGGGACCGTAAAGGAAAAGTCAATTCAAACACGGTGGTGTCACTCGATTCTTTTCTTCACAGACACAGACGAGCGAATAAAGCAGGCAAAGAAGGTAGGTAGGTGAAGTATACCGGTCTCCACGACAAGAAGGTTATGCAATGGGTATTCTCTTGCGGATCTATGGACCAGATGGATGCGTTGTGTACGTCGTCCGTGTTGTGTTATGTGCGGTGGGAGTTAAGTTTAGTTTAGGGGGGAGAGTACGGATTTTCCATGTACACTCATACACGCTCCCTTGCACGGCGAAGGCGAAGGCCAACCTCTGTCCACCCCCCTATTTGACACCCTAAATTCCACCCCATCCCAACCCATCTCCTCCAAAGAAGAAGAAAACGAAGAACCGCCCACCCCTCATATCCCCTCACCATCCTCCCTAGCCCACAACTTCACCGTACGATCCTTCCCCCCGCTAACAATCCACGCCGCATCACTCGTCACATCCGTACTAAACACCGGCCCAGAATGACCCTGCAACGTCTTACAATGCGCCCAGTCATCCGCAGAGAAGATCTGAACATTCCTATCGAACCCACACGACACCACAAACGAGGAGGATTTCTTCGGTATCAGGTCCCCCTCCGCAGTCTCCTGTAGGGGAACACCACTCGTCGGCCCATCGGTGCCTTTAAACCAGCGCAAGTCCGTGACGCCGCCGGTGTTTGCGGCGATGGAGTTAGTTTCGCGCATGGCGCGCACGTCCCAGCACTTCATGAAGCCGTCGCCGGAGCCCGAGAGCAGGCGGTGGCCGTCGGCGGCCCAGTCCAGGCCGTAGATGGGCTTGATGTGGCTTTCGAGCATGTAGATGACGCGGCCTGTGCGGACGTCCCAGACGCGACCTATGCTGTCGAGGCCGGCGCTTGCGACGAGGGAGCCGTCCGTGTTGAAGGCTACGGTGTAGACTTCCTTGGAGTGGCCCTCCTGCATGAGGAGCTCTTGGCCTGTGGCGACGTCCCAGAGGCGCCAGGTTGTGTCGTCTGAGGCGGAGGCGAGGTAGCGGCCTGAGGGGTGGAAGGCGAGGCGGCAGACGCGGTCGGTGTGGCCTTCGAGGGTTCGTAGTGGCTTGTCGTCGTCGAGAGACCATAGTTGGACTTTTCCTCCTGCGCCGCCTGAGGCGAAGTTTACGCTTGAGGAGGAGACGTTGCTGCCTGGTAGGGTGGAGCCGGGCATCCAGTCTATACCTGTAGCGCGCTCTGTGTGACCACCGCGATATGTCTTTTTTGGCTCGAGGGTGGGGATTTCCAGCAGCGCAACCTTCCCCCCCCATGTACCGTATGCGACGTACTGTCCATTTGGTGATACCCTGACGACGCTCACGGGGCGATCTGCCGTTTGCGACCCGTACAGTTCGAAGCCTTTCAGACGGTCCTTTATTTTGTTGCGGAACTCGACGTGTGTCTTGAGCGGTATTGTGGCTTCGCGGCGCTGGTAGGCGACTCGCTCCTTTGCGCGCGGGAGCGAGTACTTGGCCATGTCGCGTCGGGCGTCCAGCAAGGCGTGTATGCCCTGCGAATAGAACTCCTCCTGCTCGTCTCCCGGCGCCTCGCCTGCCTCCTGCATTTCGACATCGGGCAGGTCCTCGCCGGCTTCTGCAGCGTTCGCGAGCAGTGCTCGAAGTCGGTCGCGTCGCTCGGCGGGCCCCTCACCAAAGAGGGTGACGGGCTCCTTCAGCGAGCGCAGTCGCAGCTTGACGTCGCGGTTGGCCGTGGGCACAATCAGCTGGGCGGCGCGTCGTTTGCGGTCAAACTCTGCGTAGACATCCGAGGCCTTCTCGTCGCCTCCGCCGGGCATGGCGTGGTCGCGGTCGAGCGGGACATTGGCGAAATCAATGCCGTCCATGGCATCGTCCTAGACAGGCAAATCAGCTTGAGCAGGCAGCTTCGGGAGCTACACAGGCCCGTTGTTAGACAGTGTCTCGACGTGCAGCAGGAGCCTCGGGGACTTACTGCGCCATGCTCCTCCTCGACGTAGGCCTGTCGCGCCGGGTGCATGCTCATGTTGGCTGGGTTGGTTGATCCCGCGACGGCGCAGGGATTGCTCTGGGAGTGTTGATCTGGAGAAGAAGTTCCCAAGATGCGTCCGTAGGGCTGCTAGCGTGGATTATGTCATATTTCCATGCATGAAACGCGTTCGCGCATGGCCTCTGGCTTGGACGGCCGAGGGAGACGAGATGGCCAGATCATCCCCTCCGAGACCCCTCCAAGGTGCGTGACGACCGTCTGATAGTGTATAGCACCGCAATGCTCGCGATAGTTGTAAGTACACAGCCAGAGCTAGCCGCATCGGCGTGACGCGGGCCAATGCATGAATCTCATCCCTACCACAGTAGTCGACCAAAAGTCATTTTCCACCTCTCTCCCGTCGCAAAGGTAGTGCACCGCCGCCCGTCTCCTTCACCTGCTGACTCCCCTCCTGCAGGCCTGGGCTGCGGCCATGTCACTTGCCATCACCAGCATGGGAGGGCTGGGTCGGCTTCAACCCACCTCAGGTCGCGCCGGGCTCTTCCTCTTTGCCCTGTCTGCATCCTCTCTAGTCGCCCCCGCGCACGCTTCACGAACCGCCGGCTTCCACTCGCTCCGCGCCCCAACATGTCCACTGCACAGAGACACTTCGCCGGCGCCGCTAGGCCTCCGATCCTTCCACGCGACCTCGCACAGTGCGAGCACCACGCCGCACTTCTCGTACCATGTCGCCGCCTCGTACTCCGCCAAGCAGGATCGCTTCAACGCAGACGCCAATCTGTTCACGCGGCCGCTGTACGACCCCGCCAAGAGCAAGACGACCGATCTGAAGACATGCAAGCAATCTATAGACCAGCGAAAGCGAGTACGAAGCGGGCAGGACGCCCTGTTTTTCAGCCAGGTCGGGAACACAGAGGCCACGACATTCGGCGTCGCAGATGGCGTAGGGGGGTGGGTCGAGTCTGGCTTGGACCCCGCCGACTTCTCCCACGGCCTCTGCGAGTACATGGCTTGTTTTGCGCGATCGTGGCCGCACGGATCCAATGCAACGTCGTTACACCCGAGAGACCTGCTTCAGGTAGCGTACGACCAGGTCACCGATGACGAGACCATCGAAGGCGGGGGCAGCACGGCATGTTTGGCTGTAGCCGAGCCCGATGGGAACGTCGAGGTAGCCAATCTGGGCGACTCGGGATTCATGCATCTGGGCTTGAACGCCGTACGACATTTCACGCAGCCCCAGACGCACGCCTTCAACACGCCCTACCAGCTCTCCAAAACACCCCAACGCATGCTCGTTCAGATGGCTATATTTGGAGGCTCCGCCAGCCTTTCCGACATGCCCAAGGAGTCCAGTGTAACGCACCACCGAGTGCGCCATGGTGACGTCCTTGTCTTTGCAACCGACGGCGTGTGGGATAATCTGAGTCCACAAGACGCGCTCGGCATCGTAAGTCGACAGATGGTGGATCTTGGTGCGTGGGTGGAGAAGGACGGCACGATCGAAGTCGGTCAGGATCTGGCAAAGCTCGTACAGTCTGGTTCAGGTCGCAGGGCCGACAGCTCGTCTCTCCAAGCCAAGGTCGCCACTGCCATCGCAAAGCAGGCCAAGGTCACGGGGCTTAATACTCGCCGCGATGGACCGTTTGCCAGAGAGGTGCAGAAGCACTACCCTGGAGAGAACTGGCATGGCGGCAAGCCAGACGACATTGCCGCTGTGGTTGCTATCGTGCTTGAGGGGTCAGCTTAGGGGCGCTGTCCGTGACGGGTTGTTTGGCTGCATGGACGGGGCGTTTGGAGAGGGATATTTCTGCAGATCGGACGGCGTACTTGCATAGACGTGGTGATCGAACGCTTGGTTAGAAGTTTTCGCATATCCTGATCTTACTGCCCTATGAATGGACATTTTTGGGGCTTTAGTTGGTAGAATTTGAAGATACGTTATGCATTTATGATATCAATATTCAGACAGCAATTAACGCATTCATATTTCCACATCAATCGATGAGTATGTATATGTATGGTTAGCTTCGACAAAACTCGCACGTCGTATTCATTTGATATCCTAAACCAGTAATTGACAACGCTCTTCCCTGAGGTTGATCGGATGTCGGGGATTTCTTTGTTGTCCATGCTCAGCCGTTGCCATGGCGACGGCGGACGCGAGAAACCAGGGATTGGCGGCACGACTCCAGAACCTCGACCACGACCAACATCCCTACAGCGAACAGCCGCCCACCCTCCGGGCCTTATGTATGCGCAACTAACACTACAGTCGACATTCGCTAGCCCGCCAGCCTTCCCACCGACGATATAGCGACGCGCCCACTCCTCGCGACGCAATGGCTACCGCATCTCCCACGCCCATGGGCGGCTCCTCGTACGGGCGCATGCGTTCGCACTCGATGCTCCGACCGCGACGCGACTCGCCGCTGTCGGTGCTGGGCCAGTCGCAGGGCTTCTCGGCCGACGCGCCCATGATGCAAAACATCAACATCGGCGACAGCTCTGATGATGAGATCCCCCAGCCCATGAAGCTCAGCGCCCTCACCACCGCCCTGCTCGCACAGAACGACAACGACGTCTACTCGCCTGAGAAACGCAAGCCCAAGCTCAAGATATCGCGCAGTGGCTCAGGCTCAAACACACCTGTGCAGGACACGGTTACGCCTGCGCCTAGCCTGCGCATCAAGAGGGTGCCGCTGAGGGGCGCCCCTATGCGCAGGTTCCGCAGGACGCCGCAGAGCGATGAGGAGCATCCGCCCAGCCAGGACCAGGAGAACATGCCTGCGTCCGTCGTCAAGGTGGATCCGCTGAAGGTCACGGGGTCCGTCATGAAAGTGGCAGAGGACCGCCATGTGCGCTCCCCGCCGCAGACCCAGTCGCCTATCCAGAGGCAGCAGCAGCACCAGGAGAGGCCAATGCCCCTGCAGGCAATGGACGCGAACACACCGCGCAGACCAGCACCGCCGCCGCCGCCAAAAATGTCTGTGCTTGAGACTGCCACTGCTGCTGCTGGCGCCGCCACGACAAAAACAAGAGAACGCAAGAAGAGGAGCACTCTGGCGGTGAACGGGAAACACTACTCGCAGATGGACAGGATAGGGAGAGGAGGCAGCTCCGCCGTGTACCGCGTCATGGCTGAAAATTTCAAACTACTCGCACTGAAGCGGGTGAAGCTCGAGGACGCAGATGAAGCCGCCGTCCGAGGATACAAGGGCGAGATCGACCTCCTACAGAAGCTGAAAGATGTAGACCGAGTAGTCCGTCTCTACGACTGGGAAGTAGACGAGCAACGGCAAGTCCTCAGCGTAGTAAGTCCCCATCATTTCCCCCCTCCCATCTCCCACACCCACACAAGCCTAACAACCCCCCAGCTCATGGAAATCGGCGAATCAGACCTCGCGCGCATAATCCGCATGAAACTCGACCCAGCCGACATCTCCGGAAAACTCGACCTCTCCTTCACGCGCTACTACTGGAAAGAAATGCTCGAATGCGTCGCCGCCGTCCACGCCCACGAGATCGTGCACTCGGACCTCAAACCCGCAAACTTCCTCCTCGTCTCCGGCCGCCTCAAGCTCATCGACTTCGGCATCGCAAACGCTATCGAGGTAGATCATACCGTGAACGTGCACCGCGACGCGCACATCGGAACCCCGAATTACATGTCCCCCGAGTCTCTGGAGGATTCGTCTGGTGCGGGCGCGCAGGGCTTGCTGTCGAATGGTAACGGGGTGAAGGACATGGCGCTGGGGAAACCGTCGGATGTTTGGAGTCTGGGGTGTATTCTGTATCAGATGGTTTATGGGCGTCCGCCGTTTGCGCATATTCCGAATCAAATGGCGCGCGTACTGGCGATTGTGAATCGCGACTACGCTATTTCGTTCCCCGACCTCGGCGTCGGCGATGTGCGTGTACCCCCCGGCTTGAAAACTACGCTCCGTCACTGTTTGGAGCGCGATGCTAGGCGCAGACCCACGGTTGCGCAGCTGTTGGATGAGAGGGATGCGTTTTTGTATCCTGATGGCGGGGAGGATTTAAGGATACCGCAGGAACTGTTGGGTCAGATTATTCAGCGCGTTGCGGATCGGTTTCGCGATGGGAGTAAACCTGTTCCCACCGATGAGGAGATTAGACAGTATCCGGCGAGCTTTTATGAGAAGATTAGGCAGCTTTTGGAGAGCGATTGAATGGGGTTTTTTCTTTTGTAAGGTTTGGGTTGAGGGTTTTTTTGACGGGTTGATGAGGGTACGATGGTAATGACTGGCGTCTTTTTTTTGCGATGGTGTTTCGTGGGAAAATTGCGGAGTTTTCTTTTTCTTTTTTTGGATTGTTTGCAGAGTACCCCCTTTTTGCGCTTCAGCGATTGCTTGGTTACTGTAGTATGGCGCTTCTTCTTCTTTCTCTTTTCTCTTTTCGTTGGATGGCGGTTTATGCGGATATGACGGCGTTTTTTGTTGTTGGTATATATCCATCCCTTCCTATCCCATTCGATTCGCCGTTCTGGCTGGAATAAAAATTCTCTTGCTGCTTGAGTTATCGGGTTATATATGTTGGGTGATTTGTGGTGGAGAGAAGTGAAGTGTTCTATGCACTGTGATTTTTTACCTGTGTGGAGAAGTGTGCTGATGTGTTGTGTCGTTGCCTTACTTTGCCATGCCTTGTCTTGTCTTGCATGATGAGGAATCAGTGCGTGTTTTGCAATGTTGGGATGGAGGGTGGAGGGTGTTGGAGGGGGGGTTCACGGTGGGATGAGATGGGTTGTTATGGGAAGAAGGGGTTGGAGAGTGGTTCCTCCTGTTGTGCTGGGTATGTACTAGAGAAGGGGGTGAGAGTCTGGCGTGGTGGGGTTTCAGAGTGGAGCTATTTGGGCGAGATATCTTATGGACTGGTGTTGGGCATGGTTGAGCCGTGTTGTATGGATAAGGTGGGCTTTTGGTACTGATTGGTACTGCGTGTGAAAGAAAGGTGTTGGCTGGGTTGGGATATTGCATGTGTTGGTTTCCATATCAGCTGCTTTTGTGTTTTGCGTCTGTTGATTCATATGTTGAGCGTGCATGAGTTGGGATGGAAAGTAAAATGGTGGATGGGGCGAGATTGGAGATTGTATTCATAGACGTTTATGGTGGTTTCGAGCACTATTCAGCATTGTGGTATGCGACGAATTACCTGCGAGTGTTCTCGTTGATTTTGGGAATAATGATATCGACTCTCTGATTAGTTGTACAGCTTCGTCTTATAGCTTATTTGCCGTTCCGCATGATTCAAAGTCTTCCTCTACTCCTTCTTGAACGCGCCGCTAAAGTCCCAGTTGTTCAGGTGTCCTGATCCAACCTGTCCACACAGTTAGCCTTGAACTCTCAGAACAAGTACCATGTATTTACGTACACAGAGATAAGTGGCAAAGCTCAACCATCCCAGGTATGGGGCGAGCAGCCATCCACAGGCAGGATCGACCTGTCCCCAGGTGTAGGCGAGATAGCTTACGACACCACCGAGAGCGAGAATGTCAGCCGTTGCAGCCTTGGGGCGGCCCATGCCGAAGTAGAGAGGCGTCCAGATGAGGTTCAGAGCGAGCTGGATAGTGTAGAGGGTTGCTCCTTGCTGGGTGGTGTTAGATCAGGTGACACATGATACGTTGAGAATAGTTGGTACCTTTGTCAGAGCAACGGTTTCAGGGTTCAGAGAAGACGTGCCAATTGTCCAGGCACGGTACGCGGCGTAGCCCATTGTGGCGTAGAGAGTTGTCCATGCTGGTCCAAACACCCAGCCCGGTGGGTGGTAAGGTGGTTGCTTCAACTTGCTGTATGTGCTTTTCGTCATGCTTGCTGATGGAGTGTTAGCAGACATATTGCATGTTTTTTGTTGGACATGCGGCTCACGGCTGATGGAAAACCCAATTGCTGTACCACAGGCCACAGGCAGCAGGATGGAGACGGCGGGATTCTCAAAGATGAAGGTGGGAAGGGTCAGGGTGGGGATGTAGGTCGTCATGGCTGCGGCAGATGGTGTCAACGGGTACCTGCGTCAGAGCACGTAGAGATGGAAGAATCAACGGCAAAGCCAATCGAACGAAGCAGACATGTGCTGGAGTTGTGCATCTCACGATGCCCTGCCCTACGTAATCGCGTGCCCTCCAATCACGTCCCAGCATCCGACGAGTGCGCGTTCGGCGAGTCGATCCACTTGCCGCGACTCCGTTCACTCCGTTGCAGGTCGCGCTAGGAAGCACTGACCTCGTTTCACTGCACGGTAGAGGTCGGGGTTTGTGCCAGCCGCCGTGAGCCTCACCCTTCTCCCTCTCACCAGCTGGTGTCTGCCACCAGGAATACATTCCAGCACATCGTGAGTGCAGCCGCTTTTTCCACTTCTACAAGCCCCTTGTTCGTGCCCCCCATCCTCTTGTACAGCTATCTTCATAGCTCCAGCAGCTTTGTTCGCGCAGCCCAGCGCCGCGCCTTGCTTCAGCTACCTCTCCACGCTTCCCTTCTCGCGGCGCTGCTCGACTGCGATCAATCGCATCGGGCGCTGTCGTCGCCTTGTCTACTTCTTCTTGACCCGCACCCTCCTGCCTCCTCGTCGCTTTTGCTACTTGTTGTTTATTTGTCGTCTGTCTAACCGAAGCCATCATGGCAAACAGTTACCCGCGTCGATTACCTGTCGACTCCAACACGTCGCGTCCACCAGACAGGATTGCGCCTTGTAGCAAGCACCCTCGCTGCCACCCTGCGTCGATGAGCGGTTCATTGCGCCCTCTCCGACCCTGTTGAAACGCGCCGGCCTTGGCTCTCTGACCGTGCCATCCTACACCGTAAACAAGGGACTGTTCATCACCTCCGTTCGCGATAATGGACTCCTACACGTAGGTTCTGCTGTGTTGCGCGACACAGGACTATGCTGACAGCTTGCAGTGCCCGCGAGGAATCGAGGCCACCTGCGGATTCGTACAGACGGCGCTCGCCAGGTAAGATACATCATCTTTCCTCCATCACTCGAGATCGCTTTACCATGTTGCGCCTCTTCATATTAGCACCGTCTGTCTCTGGCTCGAGCGTTCGCACTCGTCCTTCGCTCGTCTTACTCTAGCGCAACCCAACTGACCGTGTCTTCCTAGCCTCTGGAGACCGTAGACCTCGACGACGCTCGCGATCACCCCAGAACATCGACAGATACCAGCCCGACCGAGCTCGCGATTACGACCACCCGCGTCGCGATGGGAACCGGAGACGCTCCTCTCCTCCACCCGTCCAGGGTGGCATCGATCGTTACGTACCCGGTCAGGACAACTTCACACCGACTTTCACAACCAACCCAGTCCCCAACCCTATGAACCTCGAATACCAAGTCGGCTTCAACTACTTCGCCGAGTGGTGGCGCGTCGAACAGACTATGAAGGAGGAGAAGGAGCGCGCAAAGAACGGCGCCAGGAAGCCTGTGCTCCGGGGAGAGCGCGAAGCTCGCGAGGAACGAGGCAAGGAGCGTGAGCTCATCCAAACCGCATACGACGAGTACAAGGAGAAGCTTCAGGTGCAAATGGCCAAGACCTTTGTTGACAAGCACAAGGGCGAAGAATGGTTCAAGGAGCGCTACGATCCGGACTACTATGTGGCTTTCAAAGACAAACTGAGGGAATACCGTCATGGAAGCTATGCCGACTGGGAGCGACAGTTGGATGAAGGATACTTTGACGAGTTCACCCTCGAAGGTATCTACAAGAATGATTCCAACGGTGCTGGTGGCATTGTGGAGAAGGAAGAGGGTGAAACTACAGCTGCTAACGAGGTTTTGGGTGTAGGGGATCTTCTACCCTGCAAAGGCGGCGAGCTACGTGACGAAGCTACTTTCCAACCCACGCTCCTCATCAAGACTATTGCGCCCACTGTCAACCGCGTAAAGGTTGAGGAGTTCTGCCAGGAGCACCTAGGCGAAGGACCTGGTGGATTCAAGTGGCTCAGCATGAGTGATCCCAATCCACTCAAGAAGTGCCATCGTATCGGCTGGGTCATCCTGCACCCCAGCGATGATCAGCCCATGGTCGTTGACGATCGCGGTGACGCGCGTGATGATGATGATGATGATGCTGAAGATGGCGCAGTCGACGAGAAACCCCAGATTGGCCTCCAAGGCACCGCCCAGAAAGCTCTCGAGTCTATCAACGGCAAGACTGTCAATGACGAGGTCCGCGGCAACTTCACATGCCACGTTGGCGTTCATGAGCCACCCGCGGCCCCCCGGAAGAAAGCGCTGTGGGATCTCTTCTCTACTCCTGAGAGGATTGAGCGTGACTTGGAGCTGGCTGAGCGATTGGTCAGGAAGATGGACAACGAAATGAAAGACGGTCACGAAATCGACTTCGCAGAGGTTGATGGTGTTGGCAAGATTGAGCAGCGAGTCGAGGACCTTCGCTCGAAGGGTTGGCTTCAACCTCCCGCAAACGCGCCAGCTCCCCCCAAGAAAGAGAAGGATCCTGAAGACCTGGAGGAAGGCGAAGACGAAACCATGGAGGACGATGAAGGTGCATACGATGATGAGGTCGATGACGAAGAGCTGCTGGCCAAGAAGAAGAAGCTCGATCTGCTGATTGAGTACTTGCGACGTGTCTACAACTTCTGCTTCTTCTGTGTGTTTGAGAGCGACTCGGTTCACGAGTTGATTCGCAAGTGTGCAGGCGGGCATCTTCGCCGTCCTCGTGCTAGTTTGACGACCGCTGCAAAAACGACAGCTAGGGCTACAGCCTCTGGCCAACCTTTCCCCTACAGGAAGCAGGAGTCATCAGGCGATGGCGAGAACATTGAAGAGGGCGTTGTAGAGGAGAAGAAGCCTCTGAGGTTGAGTGGCAAGACCCAGCAGCAACTTCAGCGAGCATACAACTGGGTGAAGACTTATGAAGAGAAGATACTGCAGCTGCTCGAGCCTGAGAATGTCGACGTCAGGAAGCTTGGCGGTAAGCCCTTGGAAGAGGCTATGGAAGACGAGCTTGCCAAGTTCGTCAAACAAGAAGACGAGTCCAAGTGGCGCTGCAAAGTCCCGGAGTGCACGAAGTTATTCAAGGGACAGCATTTCTGGCGCAAGCACATTGAGAAGCGTCATCCGGAATGGCTCGAGAAGTTGGAGAAAGACGTGAGTATCATTATGTGCAATCTACTATGTACCTTGCTAATCCCGATGTAGCTCCGACTTGTCAACAGCTACGTTGTTGATCCTGCGCACATTGCCCCGTCGCGAAGTGATGCCAATAGTAATGGCCACTTCCCCATGGGCAATCACATCCAGGCCACTGGCACACCGCGAGGCTTCAACCTGGCCAACATGAACATGACCATCAATGGGATGCAGAGTGGTATGAATGCTCAGGCTCTCTTCAATCCTGCTATGGCAGGCAACTGGGACCCAACCCTCGGCAACGATGACCGTCACCAATCCGGAGCAGCTCGACGAGGTGGTCACCGTTTTAACAACAGAGCTGCTGGACCCTACGATAGACCACCTCGTGACGGTCGCAGTCGTCCCAACGGTGGTGTTGGACGCTTGACACCTCCGCCACGAGGTGGCCGGCCTGGCGTCCAGCGCTTCGGTGATGGCGGGCCAGGTCCTGTCCAGTCTACCCAAGGCCGTTCCATCAAGAGCTACGAGGATTTGGATGCTGTGGGCGGTGGCAGCAGCGGAGAGCTCAACTACTGAGCGCAGCTACTGGGTGTTGGTTGCTCAGATATATATCTGGGGTGTTAAGTAGCATTTGATTTAGTACTGAAGCTGGCGTTAGGATGGGTGGTTATTAATTTGCTTCATCACGGATCGTCACTCACTGCCTTGGCAATGTGTCCGGGAGGATCCCAAGGCTAAGTGGGTTGGCGTTCTTGTCAATTTTACTCATACTTCGGCTCATCAGTTTCTGTGTTTGTAGTGTGCATATTTTCTCAAAACTAGGTCCTCTCCCAGAATACAAAATTAAAATGAACTATTTGCCTTTTGTGGAATTGTTATCTTGTCCTGTGTTCAAGTATTGGTAAGCTCTCTGAAGAGCAACTCACATCATGAATTCCAATTATACTCGAGTCGGAATCCGGAAAAAGGTAAATACTGGTGTTAAATGTTGGCCTTGGCTGTTGGTCAGAACGCATTCTGACCAACAGCCAAGGCCTAGGTGAATATTAGTCAATATGCTTGCCAAGAAGTAAAGCCTAGTCGAAGTATCAAAACTTCAGAACATAGACTGTTCGCGTTTCGTAACAGCTTTTTTGTCATCCTCAAAGAGTGTTCCGAGTGGTGAGCACGAGCCATGCCTCAACCTGTAGGGTGCGGTTGCGGTTCTTTTCGCCGTAACCCCAGCACAGGGCTGAGAACAAAGCAAAATTATGGTACCAGCTACATCTGCAGCCAAGTGGCTGAGTCTGCCGCGTGTTCCTTCTTTGCCTGCTCTTGTTCGTGGAGCTGTGGTGGAGCGCAGATACGCTTGCTGACTGCGCTATTGAGTGACGCAACCGAACTCAACTGACGCAACAAGCCACACTTTGCTCCACGCGCTGCGCCTGCTTTATGGCTGACAGGCGTCAAGTATCCCGTTTAAGGAGACGACAAGGGACTTCGCCTTTTTCCATTTGTATTCAACCATCTTCAACCTCAACGTCTTGATCCTTTTTTTGGGTGTGGGGTCGCAGTAGAACCTCAGCACGTCCTCCCACCGTCATACTATACGCGTTCAACGCTATTTGCGGTCCGAAGGGTGGGAGCATTAATCGATATAACCCACATCCTGCGTCTTCCGGATCGCGGCTTCTAGCTTTACCCCTCCCTCACATTATTTTATCATGCAACCGAATCGGTATCCTCCCTACCAGCCCAAGGGTTCTGGGATGCCTGCGACCATGGACAACCAGCCCTCAGTTGTCAACTTCGGCGAGCCATATGCCTCGAGCGCGGGGCGACCGTCCACAGCACGACAAGATACGACTTATTCCAAATACTCCATGATGTCGATGCCGCCCGAGGGTTCCATTCTGACGGGGAAACAAGAGCATTGTGAGCGGGGCAGCAATACCCAGTGCCCAGCACGGTACTAACCAGCGGGACAGATCTGAAGCGCGAACTCATCTCCCAGCAGACCAACTTTGAGATCGCCGAGCTCTCGACTCCCACGGCTCTGAAGCGCTTCGGCGCACCCTTCCACTCAGATGCGGGCGAGGTTGCGCCAGAGGACTCAGAGCTCCCCCTCCTCCGCTACATATTCGTACACCATGTTCGGAACTTTCCCTTCCTGGACAAGGCCAAGGAGAAGGAGTTTTGGCAGGATAAGCTGCAAGTGGTATGTTGGTGACATCAAGTTGCTTGGGGTCCGCGGCTGACTCGGGCTGGCACAGTTCCTCGAATCCTTCGCGAGCAAAGATATTTCTTCCTCGGAAGATCGCCTCGAAGAAACAAAGAGAAAGAAACTGGCGCAAAAGGCAGAGAAGCTGGTCGAGCTCATGATGGTTTCAGGCATCCCTACCGCGTCGGGCTATGAGGAGAGGATACGCTTCGCGGAAATGGAGATAGTGGACACAAAGGCAAACGAAGATGGTCTTACCATGAATGCGCCTAGTGGGCATTTTATCAATGGCTGGGATGTCAACGTTGCGGGCGTCAGGACTACGTCAGTGAAGAAGCACCTCCGTTACCACACACATGCGGTAAGTACAATGTATGAGAGATATGTCAATATATGCTAATCGGTATATGTGTAGGAATACCTCATCCGAGTCAAGCAAAGCGGTGGTCGAGATTTCTACGTTGGGCGACGGTACGCGGACTTCGTCCAGCTGCACAAGCGAATACGTTTGGAGCTGCCGGGCAAGGTGCTACCTCCACTTCCTCGCAAGAACACGAAAGACTCGCTACTTTCATCGAGTAAAGCCGACGATGACGATGTCAGCTCCATCTCGTCGGGGTCTACACAAGGTCCGCCAGCGGCACCGCCGGAACCACATGAGACCAGCGGAGGTGGAGGTATACGGAACTACCTCTTTGGCGGCGGCCACAAGAGAAATGCCTCGCAACCTTCCTTAGCACGGTCGCGCTCTCCCAGAGCGTCGGGAGAGCATCATGCATATCACCCACCAGCACGAACGCTCTACCGTGAAGAGCAACGTGTGTCTCTGCGAGCCTTCCTTCGATCGTTCTTAAATAACGAAAGAATCGCGCGGTCAAATGCAATGACCACTTTCCTAACGGGGAATCATGTCGATGTAAACGAAGAGGAGTCGGAAGATATCGAGAGACGAGAATACATGGACGCGAAGCGCATAGAAGAACAGAGAAAATTCTACGAAGTGGCGCGGCAACGAGCGGCAGAGCTTGACATACACATGGAAAAGTTCCGAAGAGAGATTGTGGAAAGTAACGGCCTATCATCCCTTTTCCAGGAGATCAGGGTCAAGCGAACCATTGCAGAGCTCAAGCCCGAGTACCAGAGGTTCTGCGAGTGGCTACGCATAGAAGTAGCAGCTACCATCTACCATCTCTTCCTCGCCGAGGACAACTCGCCAGAACTCTTTGCGCAAGCCAAGCGTATACATTCGCTGGTGCCGTATGGTATGCTCAAGAACGTTATCAGGATTGCCAATCCTGCTGCTGTCATGAGCGGAGTACTGGATCTTTTCCTCGCTCAGCCTTTTGGTTCTCGGTCGCTGCTTCAGCGGATCTTTGGCATGGCCATCAATGACGGTGTCAATTCTGTACAAAAGACCATCGACACGCTTGGAACAACGAAAATCCAGGACGACGTTCTCTGTGCCAAAATCAAGGCCTTTGTCCAGGCAGATGAGAACGTAAAAAACTTGATACGGCGGGAAGCGAGAGACGAAAATATGGATGTGGTCATCACAATATTGCGCTCCGAGTATTTCGCGCCCCAACTCGACAGTAAACGAGTGGAGAAAGTGTTCAATGCTTACGTTGCCTGGAACAACGCTGTCGAAAATGTGAGACCAAGTCGCTTGAGCAGAAATTCCAGCAGTCGCAGCAACGTCAATGCACAGACTAATGCCTTTGCTCAGATTGATAAAGAACTACGGCAAGGTGCCGAGCTCTTCGCACATCTGAAGCAGTACCTTAAGCTCTGTCTGAGACAACGGGACAAGCAGATGATGCTTCAGATCATCGAGGAGGTAAGCACACAATTATTCTGTACTATGGGATAGCGATAACTGACTATATGCCAGCCTACAACCCTCCAGCTCTTCAGAGATCTCTTCACCATCTTCTACGAGCCTCTTGTCCGTGTCTACAAATCGGCAAGTGTCTACAACAGTATCACCGACTTCGCCATGTTCGTTGATGACACCATCAAAGTAGTCGAAGCCTGCCAACGGCAAGAGGTCTCGGCAGATCCCAACCAAACAGTGCAAGCCTTCATTGACCTGTGTGCTCGCCATGAAGACAACCTCTACAAATTTGTTCATGAAGTACATACCCACGACAATGGGCTCTTTGACCAGCTCATGGGCTGGCTCGAGGGTATCCTTGAGTTCTTGCGCCATGGACCCCGGAATGGTAGTAAGCTGGATATGAACGCGCTGTTCCAAGGCGGTATGGACTCGAACATAGTAGACAGAAATAAGGCGATTAGAGAAATCAACAGCTTAATCAGATGGCAAGCGGCGAGGAAGAGGTGGCACCAGGACAAAACAAGGCAGAAGATGGCGAGTGCCGGGGATGAGCCTGATACGATACCTAACGGGATGGCTGGATTCAAGTCGAGTGACTTTGGGCTTAATGCGGTATGTCTATCATTCATTCATCCTCGACCATACAAACGCTAATATTATGTCAGCTTGATCTTCAAGACCTTGAACTCGATGACGACGGCTCTGACTCGACAGACTCGGAAGAGTACGATGACGACGATCTTGACCCTATCGAAGCAGAACGCAAGAGCCGGGCCCGTGCTGCAGAGAAGCTGCGAAGGAAGGCCGGCGAGCCGATCAAACCGCCGGTCGTGGAGTTACAGAAACTGGCGCCTGGGTTCGTGACTATGCTGAGGAGTGTTCTTGCAGAGTAGGATGAAAATAAGGTCATAGTTTGGGGGTGTGAACGCTGGGGTTGTAGGATTGGGTGAAGTAGACGTATAGAGGCTCTTCAGCCGGCTTATTGATATCGAATACATAATTATTTCCACTTCATCAATTCGCATTCTTCATCAAACTGCCTGAGATGGATTCGCAGATGTGGTGACCCTGTGGGCGTTCGAGGACCTATTTCCGTATGCAGCCTTAACCCCCATGCGGGCTAGCGTCCTGCAACGGCCCATGCTGGAGGTCCGATCGCATAGCTGTCCTTTATGCAAGGCCGAGATTCGAGCGTCGTAACGCAACGTCGACGCGCCTGTCTTCTCTTCCCCGAGACTGGATTCCCTTTTTCTTTCTTGTGTGCAATGATCGTACGGATTTCACAGACTTAGTCATTCTTTTGGAGCCAGTGAAAGAGTAGGAATTACATTCCAGCAAGAGACAGACCCTGGATTGCCGGTCACAAGTTCTCGACCACACACTTGCTACGCACACCGACGACTCCCCACTTCAACCCCTCGAACCCCTCTCACCAACTCAACTACCCAGCAGCGGTAGATCGCCAACATGCCTGCGAAATCCCGCTTCACGCGCTTGGACGCGTTCACAAAGACGGTCGAAGATGCGCGCATCCGCACCACATCCGGCGGCATTGTCACGCTTGTCAGCTTGGTGGTGATTCTATGGTTGACATGGGGCGAGTGGCAAGATTACCGGAGAGTGACGGTGCGGCCGGAGCTGGTGGTGGACAAGGGGAGAGGCGAGCGCATGGAGATTAGCTTGAACGTGACGTTCCCGCGGCTGCCCTGCGAGCTGCTCACGCTCGATGTCATGGATGTGTCGGGAGAGTTGCAGATGGGCGTCTCGCATGGAGTTAACAAGGTGCGACTGACCGCCGAGGCTGAGGGGAGCAAGATGATCGATGTCAAGGCGCTGGATCTGTGAGTACATCCGCATGTCAATTGCTGGGCGGAAGAGGACAATGAGTGCTGACGCATGTTCAAGACACGGTGATGAAGCCTCGCATCTCGCCCCCGATTACTGCGGCCAATGCTACGGCGCACCCGCCCCCACCAACGCTATCAGATCCGGCTGCTGCAACACCTGCGACGAAGTCCGCGACGCATACGCATCGATCTCATGGTCCTTTGGCCGCGGCGAGGGTGTCGAGCAGTGCGAGCGTGAGCATTACGCCGAGAAGCTCGACTCCCAGCGCCAGGAAGGATGCCGTCTTGAGGGCAGCATCCGCGTCAACAAGGTGGTTGGAAACTTCCACATTGCGCCTGGAAAATCCTTCTCGAACGGCAACCTACACGTGCACGACTTGGAGAACTACTTCAAGGACGAGTACGCGCATACCTTCACCCACACCATTCACGACCTACGCTTTGGGCCCCAATTGAGCGAAGCTGTCGTTCAGGATATGCAGAAGAAACACCTCGTTACTGGCCCTGGTGGATGGACAAGCCACCATATCAACCCCCTCGACAACACGAGCCAGCACACCGATGAGAAGGCGTTCAACTACATGTACTTCGTCAAGGTCGTGTCGACGGCTTATCTGCCGCTCGGCTGGGAAAAGGAAGCCGCGCGGCCCAGTAAGCAAGACGAGGTCCTCGGCGGTACCATCGACGGCAGCTACAAGGGCAGCATCGAGACACACCAGTACTCCGTCACGAGCCACAAGAGGAGTCTCGCAGGCGGCACGGATGAGTCGGAGGGACACAAGGAACGTGTCCACGCGCGTGGTGGTATCCCCGGCGTCTTCTTCTCCTACGTAAGTCCATCCCCAACCCGTCCTACCTCGTACGATTCAGAAACTAACACCCATCCCAGGACATCTCACCCATGAAGGTCATCAACCGTGAAACACGCGACAAATCCTTCTCTGGCTTCCTCGTCGGCCTGTGCGCCGTCATTGGCGGCACGCTGACGGTCGCTGCGGCTGTTGATCGCGCGCTGTACGAGGGCGTCAACCAGATCAAGAAGATCCACTCGAACTAGATGGGTGTTTCGGATGGTTTGGTTAGGCAAATTTACCGAAGATGCGGAGTCGCGCTGTGCTGCATTGCTGGGGTTTCGCATGGGGAATTGGAGTCTGGGCGTATCTGTGGGTTGGTGATCTAGGGATGGGATGGGATGGGAGGGGGATTTAGGACTTTTCTTAGGGGGGGTGTAGGTATTGTGCTGGGGTTTTTGGAAGAGGGGCGTGTGTATGTGCTATATCGAGGTGAGGTAGAGGGAAATGAAATTTATCAAGTTTAAAACTGTTGTGCTTATTATTGCTTGTCTTTGCAAGGGAATTTTCCTTCTGGATCATGAACTATCGGGCGAGTCAAGTTTAAATGTCAATACTAGGCTTCTGTTTGCATTGCTGCCTAGATGCCCGGAACGGGAGCCTTCCAGCAGTAAATATTAAAGTCTGCTTTTTGAGTGACACGTAAACAAGAACAAAAATTAGTGCATTGAATTGAGCCACTCATGTCCGCATAGTTTGAAAGAGTGGTTACAGATGGAGTACTTTGGCTGCAGTCCAATTCCAGCGTCCACCAGCCAATCAGCGCCCATAGGAGAAAGTGGGCGCGCACGGACGTCCACGATTAGTACTCATGCTTATATAAAAAGAGTAGATCCCTACAAAGCTTGACTCTGGTTCACATGACAACTTCAATCCACATCACATACCCCTTCGTTTTCGAAACACCTTGACCCACTTACCGAATAACGCTGAAAACATCCGCCAAGGCACCTCCACACATTCAACTCCGACATCACATTTGCAAAGACACTCTCTACACCGCTCGAACAATCACTCAGTCAACTAAACTCGGAACCCCCAGCCCCGAAACACCACAATGTCCGCCCCAAGAGGCAATCGAGGCCGGGGCCGAGGGCGCGGCCGCGGCCGAGGAGGAGGAGGACGCGGCGACCAACCCGCAGCAGCCTCCCCCCCAACCGAAGACCGCACAGCAGCAACAAACAACACAGTCCAACTCCTCAAAGACTTCCTAACCCGGCGCTACGACGCACCCAACAAGCTCCTAAACCTCTCCCACATCGCCACCGACGACGAGATCCGCAAATCAGGCATGTTCGACCGCGAATCCACACAGCTGAAGTTCTTCCCCGCGCTCATGATCATCTGCGCCGACCTGCTGCCCACGCGTGAGGAGAAAGAGGCTGCTATCCACAGCGTTACGTTGGCGGGGAATAATCTGCCGTCTATTCGTGTGATAAGAGATCTGGCTGCTACGCTGCCGCATATTAGGAATCTGGATTTGACGGGGAATGCGTTTGAGAGTGTGGGCGTGCTGAAGCCGTGGAAGGGGCGGTTTAGGCAGCTGGAGCAGTTGCTGGTTGATCCGTTTGCGGGCGAGGCGTGGGAGGAGGAGCTGGTGTCGTGGTTTCCTAAGTTGGGTGTGCTGAATGGGAGGGTGGTGCGTGGTGGTGCGGACGCAATGAATGCAGGTGTGGATGGAAATGCTGCGTTGCCGCCTGTGATGCAGGCGCCGGCGCAAGGGATGGGGCAACCGGTGACGGATGAGCAGAGGCAAAAGGAGGAAATGGTTGCGTATGTGCAGCAGGCGACAAATCTCAAGCGGGATTATGCCGTGCAGTGCTTGGAGGCGGGCGGTTGGGATCTGAATAAGGCGGGTGAGCTGTTCACGCAGTCGCGGGAAACTCTACCACCCGACGCGTTCAACTAGGACTGGCGCGCCATGGAGAAGCTGATGGAAGTATGCTCGGGATGAGATTTGACACTTTTGCGGCATCTACCTACTCCAGGCACAGGCGTTGGGTCACACACGGGGTTGGGTTGTCTGATTTGATGATTTCCATGCGGCGGTAGTACATATACCCATTCACGAACGAGCACATTAAGCTTGAAGTTCAGAAATACGAGTTCTTGATTTCTCAAGTTACCATATATACAAAAAATAGAGATGCTCATTACATGTGTATGTGCTCATAGTAACCATTACAAACGCCAGACATAAAATTCCCCTCAGTCCCCTCTAGGACATGCAGCCGTAGCTATCAATGACTCTTGCGCGACGAATTCGCCAACGCGCTCTCCAATGCAGAAGTAATATCGATGTGGAACAGCGGTCTGTTCAGGCCCTGCACCACGGCAATACCTCTGGCCTTGACACTTGCGCCCTCGTACGCCTTGCTCGTTTCAAGGTTCTTATTGAAAGAGCCCGCATCCGACGAGCTAGAAGAATGGTGCGCCTCGATGTCGTTGCTTCTCGCTTGAGAGAGGTCTTTGCGCTGGGCTCGTGCCTGTGCTTCTGCAGCAGAGGAGTTTGCGCCGGCGAGTTCGGCAACGGAGAAGATGGGCTTCCAGCGTGTCGGGTTGTTTGCATCGTGCTCAGGGGTGTAGTAGCCGAAGCCGGAGGCGGCGAGAGCGCGCTTGGTCCAGCGGTTGCTGACGTGGGCAAAGTGCCAGTCGACGGTGTCGGGAGCGGCGTACTTGTCGAGTTGATTGCGGACATCGATAAGATTCTGGATCGATGTAATGTCGATATTGTTTACGGCAGAGAAATCGAGGATGATGGCTTTCAGGGTAGGGCGATTGTCGTGTTCTTCCTTCTGGCCGCTTCGTGGGCCGGGATCATTCCATGGTCGATCACCGGGTCTGCCGTAGGCAGCTGGGTTTGTGCGACGTGTCTTCCTGAAGACAGTCTCCGTCAATTGATCCAGATAGTGATTGGCGTTGGGGTAGTTGAAAGCCTCGCTGAATCGGTAAATGAAGATGCCAGGATAGGGATCTTCGAGTTCGATTGAAGGGTTTGTACCATCGTTATGATCGATAGGCAAGAAGATGTTGCGAACGGACTTCTCGCCTTCAGTAGGGCTCTTGCGAGTTGCAACCTCCTCCTTGCTGTTGTTTGATCGGTCGAGCAAATGGTCACCAACGACGGAGTGAATCTTGGCTTTCCCGAGGAACTTACCATCAGCCTTGAACAGACGGAAGAGGTACAGTACAAAGGAGCAAACGACTGTGGTGTAAATGCCATTTTCGATGGTGGAGAACACGGTAACCAGCACACCCGCGAAGAATATTGGGACTTCTATGGGAGACACTCTCCAGAACTGATAAACAACGTTTGGTGGTGTGATCAAGTCACCCACTGCGTGAATAATGACAGCTGCGAGGGAGGCGTTCGGAATGTAGAAGAACATGGCTGGGAGCGCATAGATGGCGAGCAAGACAATGATGCCAGTAATGACACCTGCGAAAGGAGTACGGACACCGGCTTTCGATTTGATGGCAGTACGCGAGAAAGAACCAGTTGCAGGATAAGCTCCGAGGAACGGGCCAATACAGTTGGTCACACCGATAGCTACCAACTCTTGCGAAGGATTGATGATGTAGTTATTGACTCTACCGAAGGATTTGGCGATGGAGATGTGCTCAATGAGGAGGACGATAACAGTCGAAGGTAATTCGGACGCGAAAGCCGAGATAATGTCCGTAGTGATGTGAGGAACCCGAGCATGTTTGAAACCTCTGGGGACAACCCCCAGAACGGAAACCTTAGGCTTCGATCTGTGGTTACGGTTCACCAAGTAGCTGATGAGAATGTACAATAGCAGAACAAAGGCCGTTCGCAAGGTGCTCAAGAAGAAGAACAACTTGGACTTCTTGGGAAACCTTCTCGCGCAGAAGCTGCAAATATATCGAATGAAGTATAGGAGGAACAAAGCGGTCAAGCCAAAAGCTGCGTTGAGGTTCGACCGTCCAAGGTGCTTGAGAATATTGATGAACACCCTGTAGGTTGGATCGCGTGTGGAGAAACCAGTGATCCCCATCATGGTTGGAATTTGCCCAACAGCGATACTCAGTGCGGATCCGGTCATGAAGGCCGAGATGGCAGCAAGTGAGATGACATCGACGATGAATCCGAGCCTTGTCAGACCCATGAAGACAACGATTGAGCCAGCGACGATGGCCAATGAGGATGCAATGACATCTCTGGAAACTACGCCTTTACCGAGTTTCGCTTCTGCGCTCAACACAACGTTGCCGGTGACAGTAGACAAGACGGCAACCGGGCCGATAGTGATATCCTTGGAAGTCGCGAAGAACCAGTAGATGAGGACTCCCATGAAAGAGGAATAGAGTCCGAATTCAGGGCTGAGGTTGGCCAACTTGGCGTAAGCCATACTCTGAGGGATAACGACACAGCCGACAGTGATACCTAGAAAGTCAGCAAGATCTTTATGGTGTGAGATGTATACATACCAGCAACCAAATCTCCAGTTAACCATTGCACGTTGTATCGTGTGATCCACTGGAGAAACGGAAACAGCGAGGAAAAGTAGCGGGCGATATCTCGCCCATTGGGAGCGTACTCGCGAAGCCATTCGAGGGTAGTTGGCTCATGCTCGACATACGTATCCGCAGAGTCGATGGAGAACAAACTTTCTCCTCGCGTTACACGGTCAGATCCAGTTTCGTTTCGGTAGTTGAGGTCGATCCCTAAAACTTTCGCGAGGCCGTGACCGATCTTGGTCGATGTGGACGCCATATTGTTGTGTTCGATGGTGAAGTACAACGGTTATTGGCAAGTTCGCCCACAAGGAGGGGGTGTTTCAACACCAACAAGACGCAGCGTGTTTAGGTTTTCGCCCAGTTCGATAAGATGTGACAAGACTGAACAAGCTCCGCAAAATGTTTACCAAGAACAAGGGACAGGAGCCTGGGGGCTTATGTACCACTACCAAAGCGGGGCGAGTATGCAGGAGACCCGTGCGGCAGATCCGATCCTCTGCTGCAACAATGAGATTTTGCAGCTCTGTGAATGACGGAGAAACCTCCGAGACCCTTGAAGACCCAGACTAGAGAACTGGTCTCCGAGAAGGGAACTCGATCTTCAGGAAGTTGTGTCTAGGCCGAGATGATTTCAGTTTGAAATGGTGGGAGCGGTAATGGGCGTCGTCGTGTGGTGCAGAAGACGTGCTGAATATGGAAAGGTCTAATGCTTGCACGACGCCTCAAAATTGCTCGAACTGGCGGTGGAATTGCGTGACTGAAGCTGTTTAACCGAGACGAACCAGAGGGATTGTAATTCGAAAAGAAAAAAACAACGCGAAGTCTGGGCTTCTGTCAAGGCTCATGAAGAGTAGACAAGTAAAGCATCTTTCCGGAACCACGGACACTTGTGACTAGGTTTTGACAAGTGACATAATCGTGGATACGCATACCGGTCAACGGTTTTTTTTGACCTGGGCAGCGATCTGGGTGACGATGTTCGCCGTGTCGGGGTCCGTTTAATGGGAGATAGTTTAGAGCTTGCAGGGGTCCCGGCTGTGGCGACAGGGATGTCTGCATGCAGGATGTGATGGTCGGTCGTGGTTCGGCCTAGCATCCAATAGTAGATGACGAACTCTCAATTGCGTGCTCCCAGGGCAAGATGTCGTTTTGCTTGGTTGCGGATACCTTGGAACGCCCTAGGCACATTCGCGATTCGATCGCAATGTTGCCACCACAGGCAAAGCATCCGCGCTCTGGGCACACAATATCGATCGAAATCTTGCAATGCCGCGGAGTCCAATCGCAATGCAGCTGTGCTCACACGTTCAGGAAAGCGTAGATGATGCAACGCTCCGACCAGATGGTGTTACCGTGACCCCACGTGTGGGGCCCAACAGAACTCGCCATTTTTTTCTGGAGCCGCTTTTGGCGAGGAGGTTGGGGAATCCAGACGATGGTATGACATCTCGACCCTCTTTGGAAGACTGCATGAGTGTTGCGGGTTGAGTTAAGCTTCGGGCAAGAGCACTGCAAGGAAGATCCTTGGCGCTCCGGACCAGAGTCTAATTGGTCGGTCTATAGTACCATATATATAAAATGGAGTGAGTAAATTACACTGCTGTTTACACTGTTTTGGTATGTCCGCTAGACATTGACACGAGAGATCATAAGCTACCTAGCAGGCTTAGACGAAATCTAGAATTGCCCAAATGCACAAGAGGAACATAGATACTGCTTGGGCTGAAAGACAATATTGCGTTTGTTCAAGAACAGAATTTACCTTTTGCAATATACATCAAGAAGACGAAAATCAGTTCGAATGATGGTGTCCGTTCTGACTTGTCTATCCTGCCAGCAAAATCAATTGCCAGTCTTTGTCTTCACACCAGTAATAGTACAACTGAAGCAAGGTTTCGCAGGACAAATACAAACTGATAGAGACTTGAGGCTAAAGAGTAACTCCTACAATACACAAGGATGTATGTATTCTAATCGTGGTAACGAAGGAGCGATAATGAAGTTAAAGTAGGGGTACCCGCTGCAACCTAAAGTGAGAGAACCCGCAGTGCACTTAACCTGGCTCAGAGTACCAGTAATAGTTCGTCGTCTTCCACGTGGCTGGGACAGCCCAGTATCTGGTAGCTATGCAGATACAGGAACGATGATTGGTATTGGTCACTATTACAGGCCAATCAAAAGCGAGGACTCTCGAGGCTGGACGACCTGGATGAGATAGTACTTCAAATGTATCACTAAGTAACTGAAGATCTCTGGTCTTATATTCAAAAGTAACAAATTGAAGACTTGACTGCTTGAGGTAATACGAAAGATATTTAGTTCGCTTACTAAATTTCGAGGCTGATATTCTGTGGTGTATGAGGTTTACTTTCCTGTCTGCTCGTTGAACTCGTCCAGGATGTGCTCTTGGAATTGGCGATGGAACGATCTCGTATGGAAGACCCAGTTTCCGGTATGATGGAAAATCGGAAATATACTACATGCGATGTAATCCCTGATGATGTTAGACCCAAAGAGCGCTCACGACGGGTGCACTAATATCCCCGCATCCGTATTACTCACACGCCATATGACTCACTCTGCGCAGCGGTCACAAAGTGGCCTATACATTCCGATGTTGAGAGATTCTACAAGCATTCGGACCATCCATGTACTGTGGCGTATATGTTTTTGTAAGCAGTCTTTTTGACGATGACGTCCGATGCGCTCACTGCGGGGTCTCGGTACATCAACGCGTATCTCGACACAACTCGAGACAAAATAGTTATCTGGCCAACACCGGCAACTATGTCGCTCAACCATCCTCCAATTACAATAACATGTGTACCGTAAGCGTTGAATGGGCACGCGAGTGACTTCCCAACATGCAATTGAAGGCCTGCAGCCTACGGGTTTAAGCTGTCATAACTACCGGTAATCGGATGTAGGTCTGCAGGTGATACTGAGTCTCTTTGGCTGACCCTTCCTCTCATCTCCCATCCACCTCTTCTCTCCATATACCCGTAGATAGCGTTGAGATCACGTCTGTCTTCTGGAAGCAGGTGTTTCAATCGGCTCCATCAATCTATTTGCGCGCCGCCCACCATGCCACCATCTATCCTATCTCGCCTCTCCAGCTTCCTCGGGATCACATCTTTAAACGCCGTCGGGAAAGATGCATACATCATCATCACACTGCGCTCCCTACGCATGTTCACTGCCGGTATCCCGTCTTTGGTCCTCGCGCTCTTCTTCGCCTCGCTCGACTTTCCAGACTCGCGCATCGGAGTCTTCATGACTTTGACTCTGCTTGGCGATGTCCTTCTATCGCTACTGCTTACGCTTGTTGCGGACAAACTTGGACGACGTCGGATCTTGTTCGGCGGGAGCGTGATGATGGCCTTCTCGGGAGTTGTGTTCGCCTTGTCGGAGAGTTTTTGGGTCCTTCTTGTTGCAGCGGTGATTGGCATTATCAGTGTCACCGGTGCGGATTGTGGGCCATTCAGAGCAGTCGAAGAGAGCATTTTGAGCGGGTTGACCGACGACAAGACCAGGAGTGATGTTCTCACGTGGTATGTTACAGCAACAACCATGGCGGGTGCAGTGGGCGCTGAAGTGGCAGGGAGAATGGTACACGCGCTGGAGAAGAGTAGTGGGAATGTTACCAAAGCGTATCATGCGCTGTTTTGGGCATATGCTGCGTTCGGTATCATCGGGAGCATATTGTGCCTCGGATTGAGCAAGAGATGCGAAGCTGCTGGCGAGAAGCACTCGGAGATGGTCGAAAGAGGACGAGGTGGAGGAAGCGGCGAAGAAGAAGAGGTCCTGCTGGAACCTATGACACCAAGCACTACCGACAGCTTCGACCAGGACCAGGAGCGCGAACGTAGGCAGGCGGACATCCGGGTCCAGCCGCAAAAGAAGCAAAGCTACTTCAGCCAGATTTCCCAATCCACCCGCTCCATCATGTTCAAACTCTGGATTCTCTTAGCTATTGATTCGCTCGCAGACGGAATGACTCCTTACTCGCTGATGAACTACTATGTCGACCAAAAGTTCCATCTGTCAAAATCTACTCTTGGCGATATAACTTCTGCATCGCAATTCCTGTGCGCCGTCAGCGCTGTCTTCGCAGGTCCGCTTGCAAAGCGCATCGGACTTATCAACACGATGGTCTTCACTCACCTCCCGTCATCAATCGCCAGCATGTTCATTCCCTTACCGAGTAGCGTGGGTTGGACAGTGGGCATACTCCTGTTCCGTGCGGCGCTCAACAGCATGGACCAAGCTCCTCGTACCGCTTTCATCGCTGCAGTCGTGAAGCCTGAGGAGCGGACAGGCGTAATGGGCATTACAAGCATGGTGCGTACACTAGCGATGAGCGTTGGTCCTTCGATTACCGGCGTGTTGTCTGGCAATGGCGTGTTTTGGATCGCGTTCTTGGCGACAGGAATGTGCAGAATAATCTACGACTTGGGACTATGGGTTTTGTTCGTCAACGTCAACGTCAACAAGGACGTTCCAAAAGAAGATGATGTAGACAGTGTGGACGATGAGGCTTGGAATGGGTTGCTGAGCGATTCTGAGAGTGAAGAGAGTGAAGAGAGTAGCGAAGGGAGAAAGAGTAAGGATCTTGACCGAGGTGAAGCAAGAGTATGAGCCATATAGATTCGTGAATATCACGAACTCTGAAAGTTGAGTTATACTGAGGTCCAGAGCTTTTAGTAAAGTCTGAAATCAACAGCGACTTCCAAACAATCTTTCTACAGGTGTTCGTCGTGGTCCGGAACTTTACTTATGTAGGTATTGCTCGGACACCAGCGCATGTTTCCCTCAATCTGAACGATTCACAACGTTGTCTTGGAGAAAAACCTCAAGATCCTTTCCCGCTCGTTTCTCAACGATTGTTTTGATGTGAGCGTATGCTGTCTCTTCTGTTTCCACCCCCATCCATGAAGCTACAACTGTGACCCGCTTGAGGCCTTGGAAGTTTTCAAGGGCAGCATCTACCGAGTCTAGAAGGCATTCAAAATGACATGCATCTATAACGACATGCTGGATGAGGTTGCGCTGGGAAGCACCAAGAATATTCGCGAATGTGACGGACTTGGGTTCAGGATCGTTATCCAAGGTGAACTTGTTGAGAAAGAAGACCATGGGCGCAGATTCGGATCGCGTTTGGCGACACACCTCAGTCAGACCAAGAAGTTCGCATGCGGGCTGGACATTGTCGGGACAGAGTACTGCCGTGGCTTTGGGCACCGATACGTCAGGTTGATCAAGGATGAAGCGATTTCCTCCAAGAACATAACCGTATATGTAGTTTCTGATTTCGCCGGGAAGCTGTAGGAAGGCCGACTCCTGTTCGTTCCGACTACTGCTGTGGCAAGTGTAAGCTCAAGGAAACATCTCGTAGTAAAGACTCCATGGACTCACATAGCGTCCGCCTGCTGTTGTGACGATTCCTTCAACTTGCTATGCACCTCGACGCTAGTGTCCTGCATCTTGATGTGTAGTTGCGAAGAGATTTTGTATATGCGCTTAGTGTTGTTACGATGGTATGCTGTGATCGTGTACTACGAACAGACTAGTCAGTCCTGCTCAACAATATAGGCCCCAAATACAATACTATAAATCTGCTCGCGGAGGCTGGATTGACACCAATGATGACGAGATGTTGACCACACGGTAGATGCGGTTGCCGTTGAGTAATAGCGGTGATTGAGAGCGAGGGTCTATATGCTGTGTGTTTTTGTTTGCGAGATTAGGGACCTTACTGCTGTGTAAAGCTGTGACGTCACGCGAAGCGTAGGTGAAGGGAAAGGGAAAGCGCGACAAGGCTCCTGAAAAGTTTAAGTTGAGCAAGACCTACGTCAGGCAGACGGCGAGAATAGAGACTCATAACAATAAATGCAAGGACAACGGTTTGAATTGGAAATAAAGAAAACAAGCCGTCCTTGACTAAATCTACAAGACTGAACTCCACCCATGCACTACTGCTTTCGACTTTTACGCAACATCTACAAACGCCCTCTTCCTCCTAGTCTTACTCTCTTCATCCAACCTATCCACATCCTCCAACCTCACCAACTTCGCATCGTCAACTCTCTCACCCACAAACCGCAGTGCTGCAACGTTGAATCCGATCAGGTCCTTGTTGCCCGTCAACGATGTTCTCAGGTCGGCGCGCATACTTTCCAGCACAGTCTTTAACTCCCTGCTCGAAACGATCTGCTTCTGGTGCGTCTTCAACATGAAGAAGAGGACACGGCAGGTGAGATTTATGTTCCACTGTTTCTGCACCCAGATAGATATGAATGTGAACAACGCAGGCAAGGATGAAAAAGGCAGGACCAAAAGCGCATCGTGAAGTTGTGCAGCGGGGATCTTGGACAACGTATTGAGGACGTGACGTTCAGCGGAGATGTTGCCAAGAGCTAGGTAAAGGGGGTTACGTTGCGGAGGAGCAATCTTCGGGTTTGCTTTCCGCTGAACTTCCCACTCGCGGACGACCTCCAGGTCGTCGACACCTAGGTCGAGGGCTTCTTGGATACGTTCTCCTGCTGTGAGAGTGCTAATTGTCTGCTTGGAAGCGTCTACCGCCTCAGCGCGTTCGCCGTTGAGGGGCTCCTCATCTTCCAAGGATGTTGCCAGAGTTTTCTCGTAGAGGTCTTCAAGTTCACGCTCACGCTCTTCTTCGAGGAAGATAGGCTCATCGGACTTGGTCCAGATTCGTATACTCTTGTCGTGGCTGGCTGAGACTATAAAGTCACCTGTACGCGCCACGGTCATTGCCCAGATCTCGCCATGGTGACCTTTGAACTTCTGGATCTGCTCGAATTTGTCACCGTCCCACGTCTTAATTGTCTTGTCTTTGCTAGCGCTGAAGAAGATATGCTTCTCATCACCATCGACAGGATGCGGGATGAAGGCTATCTGCATGATGCTGTCTTCGTGCCCAAAGAGAGCTTTGTGACAGTCACCAAAATCGAGACCCCAAATGCGTACGTTCTTGTCGGCGGAACATGTTGCGATCAGCTTGCTGTCGCTTGATATCGACATGTTTAGTACTGGTAGCTTGTGTCCGTATAGATTGAGGAAGAGTTTTAGTGAGTCGACAAAGAAGACTTTGACGGTGTTGTCGAGAGTAGAGACGGCAAGTAGCCTTGAGTCTGGCGAGAATTCAACACTAAGAACGTCGTCGTTGAGTTTTAGGATGCGAGACTGAACAAGCTTGAGTCGAGGCATTGTCCGCTTCGTTCCAGGTATCTCTTCCTGGACGATCTCAAAATTCCAAAATTTGACTGACTTGTCTGCGCTACCTGTAATGAGTGACTTGCCGTCAGGATGAACCTGCATAGTCCATACTGCTCCCTCATGTGCTGATATCTTGTCAAGCAATGACGAAGCAGCTATATCATACAGCTCGATATCGCCCTCTTTTGTTCCTACAACAACGATCTTGTCTCCTGGTAGGAACGCGCAGCAAAGTGCATACCCACATTCCAACGTTCGCAGGCAATTTTGGGTCTTTACATTCCAGATTTTGAGGCCTCCGCTTGATGCTGACGCCAGCATCCGATCGTCGGAGCTAAGAGCTAGTGCGCGGATATCATTCCTGTGGCCTGAAAGCTCCACGGAGAGTGTCCGACTGTAGTCAGGTGCTTCGTCTGTCTTCGTTTTGCTTTTCTGTGGGATCTCGTAGACGTCGATGAGATTGTTGTTCGTGCCAATCAGTAACTGCAGTTTCTTGCTTCCTCTGGTGTGCATCCATGAGACAGACCTGACCTTTCCTGCTGTCCGGACCGTGACGTATGGTACGATGACTTCGCCAATTTCAGCATCCGCAATGTTCACCTTCTCTTCTGCGTTGGCTTCATCCTGTTCCTCGCTGTTTGCCTCGTTCTTGGCCTTCTCTCGCTTTCTCTTCCTCTTTCTGACCAGACTTTTCCTTACTTCTTCCTCGGTCCGTATCCGCCAAATCTCCACAGCTTTTTCTGCACCGTGGACTGCAATGTAATCCGACTTCGCGTAGAAAGAGATACCCTGAGTCCTGTCCTTGCCTTGCCGGTAGAGTATACCTCTTGTGGTAAGGTAGCTCTGCTCTGTTCGTTCACCGATGGACGAACCTGCTTGTCGAAGGCCAATTAAATCGATAGCCCACACTTTGAGTTCTCCATCGTTGCCCGCAGTCATGCATCCGCTGCCATCCGGTGATACGCCCAATGCCCAACATTCTCCATTCGTTTGCGCAACGTGCGTTTCGATGCAGTGTTGTGTGCTCACATCCCAAATCTTGATCAGGGCGTCTTTACTGGTGGAGAGAAGAAATGCTTGATCTGTGTCCATATCGACCTCTTCGCCATTTACGTCTTCCTCTTGAGTCGCATTGCCAGGATGAAGGAAGCGCAGGCCAGTGATTTGTCCCTTGTGTCCTCTGAGTTTGTACAAGCCGACTTCCGAAACCAGGTCCCATATAACGATGTCTGTGTCTTTTGATCCACTTGCTAACCGCACTCCAGTCTGGTCGAAAGCTAGTGTCGTGACGGCAGATTTGTGGCCATTGAAACTTATGATGGCGGTCGATGTTCGCGCATCCCAGATGCGGATGCTACCGTCTGCGTAGCCAACGGCAAAAACATCCTGATCTACTTCGCTTCGGCATATGACTGTGACTTCTTCGGTGCAGGTGGAGTCGCGCCACCTGCTCAGAAGCTCGCCTTTCTTCACATCCCAACATAGAACTTCTTCGTTTGCGGCGGCGTATGCGCGTCCAGCTCCAGCAGCTCGGGTCGATCCAGGCTGGGTGGCGCCTTCCGATGTCCAGACGATGTTCGAGGTGGCAGTCGCGACCACGCCAAAGGCATCGGTCTGTTCGAATTTGCTGTCCTGACATCAGCAAGAGCTCTGCTTCATTGGTGCTTGGAGCTTACCTGTATTGCCTAACCATCTTGCGCCGCGAGAATGGGTATCAAAGATGGAAGAAAAATGCAGATGTGGTATTCTCAAGCAACAATCACACCATAGCAATGTTCTCTGGACGTGTGGAAGTGTGCGCCGCCATTGATGGAGGACTGGTGAACTCTGCGCGGCAAGATCTCGAAACTTTTTTGGGCAGTCGCGACCAACCCCACAGCGCACAGACCCACTGCCAACATCACTCCCGACTTCCCTCCGCAGCAGTCAACAGCTGTCTCATACCACGCCACTTTCACTGGCAGAAACTAAACCGCCGCCATGCTCCTACTCGACTACCAGAATGTCTTAATTGAGTCTCTGCTCAGGGACCGTTTCAATGGGTGCGCATTACCCCGCTGCCGCCCGCCCACCAGCAGCCAGGTAGCTGACAGGTCACAGAGGAGCTCCAGCAAACATCGACCAGGTTGTGTCCGACTTTGATGGCGTCACATTCCACATCTCGACACCCGAGAGCAAAACAAAGATACTAGTCTCTCTGCACATCAAGTGTTACCACGAATTGGTGCAGTACGGTGCACAGGCGATACTGGAGCGCGAGTATGGACCGTACATTGTGGAGCCTGAGTCTGGGTACGATTTCTCGGTGCTGGTAGATCTGGAAAACCTCCCAGAAGATCAGGGTACAGTCAGCTGTAATGCAGCCTGTGAGAGGATGCTAACGACTGCACAGAGGGCAAAGATGACCTGGTCCGACGTATATCCCTCCTCAAGCGTAACGCCATGGCTGCACCCTTCGAGCAAGCCTTTGACGAGTTCCAGCAACTGCAGGAAGAAGCCTCTAAGTACACCTCAGAGTCGGCGCCCCAGGGTATGAAGGAAGGTGGTGAAGTGCGTGCAATCCACTACCGGGAGGAGGAAGCGATATACGTCAAGGCCAGCTACGACCGCGTCACAGTCATTTTCTCCACCATCTTCCGAGAGGAGACGGACAGAATATTCGGCAAGGTTTTCCTTCAGGTAACCCTCATCAGTGCCCCGTTGCGAGGTAGAATACTAAATCTGCTTGCAGGAATTCGTGGACGCCAGACGGAGAGCTATCCAGAACGCACCACAAGTCCTCTTCCGAAACGACCCGCCTCTAGAGCTGCAGGGTGTTCCAGGAGTCGACACATCTGGCTCTGCTGACATTGGCTACATTACATTTGGTATGATCTTCAAAGTTCTTTCTTCCACACTTACTGACAGACGTAGTTCTCTTTCCGCGTCATTTGGCAAACCAACGACGGGCAGATGTCATCTCTCACATCCAGACCTTCCGCGACTACTTCCACTACCACATTAAAGCATCCAAGGCATACATCCACTCAAGGATGCGTAAGCGCACAGCTGATTTCCTGCAAGGTACGTTGATGGACAAACCCAACATGGTTTTTCGGATGCTAACGATAGTGTAGTCCTTCGCCGCGCGAGACCTGAGGCTGAAGAGAAGGAGCGTAAGACGGCCAGTGGCCGAACATTCAGGGTCCAGGCATAAGATGCATAATCTTGGAAATGCGCTCATCAGAATATAAATCACCTTGCACTCACAAGAGGAGAGGCTGTAAAGCTTGGTTGAAGTGTGAAGATATGTAGCTTGAATGTACCGGAGACCAAGTGACTTGTGAATTGAGAAATACACTTGGCCGAGATACCTACTCCACCCCGCATGGCTTGAATTCGTGACGGTGCACGGACCCACAGTCGCGACTTCCAGTTTGGACGCGTTCCCCAAGATGCCTCTTCTACTCCACTTTCCGCCAACCAACCCATTCGACTACCCCCACGTCAATTTCACACTCGAAACTCACATCACCATGGCTGAAGGTTCAAGACCCAAGTTCGACAACCTCCCGGGCATTGACACGGCTCCCGATGTCTACGAGACGCCCGACCTTGCCGAGGACGTCTCGACAATCCAAGCTTCGACAGCTGTGTCCGAGTCAGACGGTGACGACTCAGACCACGAGCGCGATGGAGTTCACCACCAAAGATTCCAGACCGCCCAAGCCCGCAGTCGCTTCCAGCCTTCGCGAATAGATGCCCATGGCGTAGACTTCTCGGACAATGTCGCACAGCGCCAGTCATACCGCACGTCCACAAGAGGCCAGCGACGGCGAGGCGAAATAATAGGAGACGACAGCGACGAGGAAAAAGAAAGCTTTTCGAGAAAGCTCTTGAGGGTGAAGAGAGAATTGCTAGAGCTGGAAAATGAGTATGAGAGCAGGATGCAGTCGGGGGATAAGACGAAGATTGAGGAGCGGGATGCGAAGGAGGCAATGGAGTTTATATCAGACAAAGTTGACATCATATATGCTATGCGACGCGGCGGCGTACGGGGCGTAGAACCACAACTTGACCGCACAATACAGAAGTTCAACAACTACGAGCCATTTGGGCCGAGCCCTAGGCTTACCAAGGCTATCGCAAACCAACCGCCGTTGCCAGGATCACAGGTCCAGAGGAATCAGTTGGAGTGGGTGTTGAATCAGGCAGCAGAGTTTGATAAGAGGATAACACAACTGGAGAACAATCTGGGGCTGAACGGGAATACTATGCCGGAGATGAGTGACAAGGCGACATTTCCTGTTTTCACAACGTTACAAAAACTGGAATTGCAACTAGGGCTTATTGGAGATGCTTCAACAAACAACATGGACGTGGCTACACAACAGATCAAGAAACTCATTGCAGAGGCTGAACAGCTCAAAGAAATACGGCAAGACGCTTCACGCAGCGACTCGAGCTATTCTGACGATAAGTCGGTTGCGAACCCAGAACAAGAGGCCAAGATCAATGCTCTCTACGGCACACTGCCCTCAATCGACAAGCTCGCGCCTATCCTACCAATCGTTCTGGAGCGCCTCCGCACACTGCGTCTCGTACATACAAGTGCCTGGCAAGCAGACGAGGTCTTGTCTGAATTGGAGCGCCGGCAGTCACAGCAAGAAGATGAGATCAAGAAGTGGGAGCGACAACTGGAGATTGTAGATGGAGAGATGAAGGCTTGCGAGAAGACCATGCACAAGAATATGAAAGTTGTGGGCGATGATGTCAAAATGTTGGAAGATAAGCTAGAGAAGTTGCTTGCGGAAGGTCGGGAGGATTGAGGCCGGGAAGGCAATTAGTAGCCTCTTCATAGAGATGAGGTGATGTGTGCATAACTACGATCATACAAGGTCGAGGACTCAGGCGAGATGTTGGACATGCAGCCTTTGCTTGCTCAAACAAGTAGGCAAACTATGCAGATCTGGGGGACTGGTGCAGTTGAAGCTGAACACGATGCCATGATCCGCTGCACATATACCCTTCCAGTACTAGACTATGATAAAGCATTTCAAATGATAGCAAGTGACCAGTCCTGCGCAACGTCTCTTCTCGCCATAAAGCCAATATGTGTAATCGCTAGGCGATCGTTCTCCGAGGAGCTCGAGTAGCTTTAAACTTCAAGCCATGAACGCACCCTCCCAGAGTGAACGTGAGGGAAGTATCCTTCCGACCAACCGGAGCAGTCCCTCTTCCGTGTAAGCGATGTGGCGCAATTGATTCCTTGATTCGTAAACATCTTGGGAATCTGACAATCGAAGTCTATCAAGTTCGGTTCGTAGCCTAGAACAGCAAGTATCCACGGGGTGTGACCAGATGGCAGCGATGACGGACGTAGTTCGATGGTGGTGTGAGGCATGGTAAGTGGCGTCAAAGCTTTGGCCGGCATACAAAATATTTCTGGGCAAGCTCTTGAATAACTGCACAGAGCCAGCGCCGTCAAACCACCCCAATCTCTTCCGGTTTTTATCCATTATGCCTAAGCGCAAGAGCGACGCGCCTGCGACTGGCAAGGCGAAAAAAAGAGCCATCCCCGACGACGAGGCGCAAAACAACTTCCGCAAAGGCCTTTTTGATAGCAAGGTGCTCGAGGGCTACACAAATTACTACGCTGAATCGCAGCCGTACGTGCACAAAAATATTTAAGCATTGGTTTTTGTATCTAACTTGCCCCCAGATATCAGCATGCTGTCATCCAGAACCTCGTCAACGACACCCTCCTTCGCAATGTCCGCAACGAGATCCGCGAGCACATTTCCTTCACGCCCAAGGAAACAGACATTTACAAGATCCACCAGTCTGGCGACTTGGCGAATCTTGATGGTCTCGACGACAAGGCACTGAAGAGGCTGCCCTCGCTTCTCACGCTGCGCGACTCGCTCTACTCGTCTGCCTTTCGCAAATACTTGTCTTCGATCACGGGGTCGGGGCCGCTGAGTGGGAAGAAGACGGATATGGCAGTCAATGTGTACACGCCGGGATGTCATTTGCTATGCCACGACGACGTCATTGGGAGTAGACGCGTCAGCTGGATTCTGTACTTGTTGTATCCCGACACGCCCTGGAAGCCAGAGTGGGGAGGTGCTCTGCGACTGTATCCCACCGAGCATTTGAAGACGCCGGAAGGCGACCAGGTCAAAGTCCCGCAGCCAGAATTTTCGCTCACAATACCGCCAGCGTGGAACCAGCTGTCGTTTTTCACTGTGCAGCCTGGAGAGAGCTTCCATGATGTCGAAGAAGTGTACAAGAGAGGTGTGGGGGAGATGGAGGAGGATGATGCAGGGCGCGTCCGCATGGCTATTAGTGGCTGGTTCCATATCCCTCAGGAAGGCGAGGACGGCTTCGAAGAGGGGCTCGAGGAGAAGCTGGCAGAAAAAAGCTCCCTGGCGCAACTGCAGGGAGGAAAAGCCGACATCTTCGACGAGCCACAAGCCCAATGGGTCGACAACCCAGACTGGGAAGAGCAGGCGAAGCAAGAAGAAGACGAAGAGCTGACCGAGAACGAAATCGACTTCCTAATCAAGTACATGAACCCAAACTACCTCACGCCCGACACCGTCGAGGAGCTATCCAAGATGTTCTCCGACGAATCCTCCCTCCGCCTCGCCGAATTCCTCTCCGCGAAATTCTCCGCCCGTCTACGCACATACCTCGAATCAAAGGACCACGAGCCCACCCCCAGCCTCCCCGCAAACCCCTACGTCGAGTCCAAAGTCGGTGTCGCCCGCCCACCCCACAAGCACCGCTATCTCTACCGCCAAGCCGTGCAGCCCATCCCGCGAGCCCTGTACCCGGAGAACGACGGCATGACACCTTACGACGACCTCGTCGATATCCTCTTCCCCCACCCCGCGTTCATGAAGTGGATCTCCCTCGTCACCGGCATCACGCTGACAAAGAGCAATATCTTCGCGCGCCGCTTCCGCCGTGGCCTGGACTACACGCTCGCGACTGCGTACGAGGAGGAAGACCCACAGCTAGAAGTCTGTCTCGGCATCACGCCGTCGAAGGGCTGGGGCGACGAGGACGAAGAAGCAGAGGAAGATGCCGAAGCCGAAACAGAGCAGAACGGCAGTAGCAGCAAGAAGCAAAAGAACACCAAGTCCAAAGACAAAGGTAAAGGCAAGGCCAAAGCACCCGTCGCAGCCCCTACACCCGCCCCCGAAGAAGAAGTCGGCGGCTACGAAATGTACATGGCCGGCGAAGACGACGAAGGCGAAGCCGTCGTCTCTACATCCGCACCCAGCACAGCGACAGGCGCGGGCCAGCGCCGCAAAGCGAAAGCCGACCCGGCCATCTACAAGTCTGCGGCTGATGACGAGGACGACGGTATCCTGTTCAGTCAGCCTGCTGCGTGGAATAATCTGGCTATTGTGCTGAGGGATCGCGGCGTGTTGCGGTTTACTAAGTATGTTAGTAAGAGTGCGAGGGGGGATCGGTGGGATGTTTGTGCGGAGTATGGGGTGGAGTTTGGGGAGGATGAGGAGGATGAGGAGGATGAGTGAGGATGGGGATGGGGATGAGCAAAACTTGATTAGTATGTGAGGATGTGATATGATATAAGATGATATGAACCTACGGATGGATGCTATGTTTGACCAACACCCACCGCTCCGTAGTATAATGCATTACTCAGGACAAAACAAAACAATTCCGAGCCCACACTCCCCAAGAAAAAAACACCACATATCCCTTGGCGCTCAAGCCGTGTTCCAAGATCCCTCGAGACGAAGGAACCACAAATAATCTGCCAGACCCGCAGAGCCTCCACACTCCCAACTCGAATCATCCCCATGTTCCCACGTCATAGCACGACATGGGGTTACGACAGGTACCCGCACGGGGAATGAACGTTGGGCGTCGATCAATCAATCAATCGATGACGAAAGCCGCGAGCAAGGACATGGACCATGCGTGTGTATTGTGTTGTAATTGCGTCTACCGCGACGAGAGTGTGAATCTAAAGAAACCCCAACCAGTATATCATCCATCCATCCCTTTGTACAGCCCTATGCCAGGCAGAATCCATAAAACATAAGAAAACACGCGTTCATGCATATGATGCGCGATGTGATGTGCAAATCCAACTTCAGGCGTCCCCCAACAAACATACAGTTACAATTGCGCGGCTCAAACCTCGGGCTGCTTTCCTTGCCCGACGCTGCCCAAGCGCTTCCGCAGCGACGATCCCGTGTTCCTGCCCGTCGTGTTTCGTCGCCCAACGCCCGATGCTTCCGCCTCGAAGCTCTCGACTGGGATTGCGCCTGGCGCGTCACGACCGTTGCTGTGGCGGCGGCGCGAGGCCATCTCGATGCCGGAGTCGCCGGTCTTCTTGTGGCCTTTCAGTTGCTTCTCGATGGTGTATGAGGGCTCGCCCTTGCCCTTGAGGTCATCTGGGTGGTAGTCCTACGCGCTGTTAGAAACTGCAAATCAAGCAAGGCTGAAGTTCGTAGACGTACCACTCCGGGCCATCGTTTATAGGCGTCGACGCCAGGCTCTCGCTGCAGGTCGGTGCCTTCTTTGTAGTGGAGAACTCGGCCGAATTGGTCGGGTATGCCAGACGGAACGGTAGCGACGCCTTCTAAAGGACGGTGCCTTCTCACTGCATCAGTAATGTTTTCTCTCGGAGTAGCCCTCAAAGCCTCTCGGTTCGAATCTCGAACAGCGGCAATGGGGCTATACTTCTTGCTAGTGTTGCGGGAGATGTTGGCCGCATCATAAGGACCCTCATGGTGGTAACTGGGGATGCCCAGCCCGGACATGTCGAGCCGGTCGATGATATCGGCGCCTGCGAAGTTCTTTTTCCTGAGGTGGTGAGCACGGTTCGCAGTTCTGGTGTCTTTACGAATCGTGTCAAGAGGCCTGTGGGATGTGTCGCCGGGGAAACGTTCGCTCAGCGAGCCTCCGCGGGAGCGTGCGGCTGTGGGGAGTGGGCTGGAGGGTGTAGAGTGAGTCGATCGTCGTGGCCGACCCTCGTTCAAGGCTCCAAAGGTTTCGGTGCGGTAGCTGGGAAACTGCTGGCGCCCGGGGCTGGCCGAGTTTGGCGGGGAAGGGTAATCATGCCTCCTCCTGCCAGGGCTGCTCAGCTCTTGCTCAGCGATAAAAGGATTCTTCACCTCAGACGAGGCCCTCGAGCGACGGTAGGGGTTTGTCTCCACCGAGCTGCCCGTGTGTTGTGGCTGGACGTGGACGGTAGATTGCGCCTTGGAGGTGCCGGTAGATTGTTGTCGAATATGAGTTGGTACCTGCTGCTTGACAAGGGGAGCAGGTCCAGGCGGAGTAATTGGTTCTTGCGGAGCAAACGTCGAGCGGAAATGTGTGTTGAGTCCCGTCTCGTCGCTTGGGTCTGGCTCGATCAGAGGAGCTATGAGGGCATGGTGTGCCTGAGAAGTCAGCATCAAGTAGGAATAATCACTTTCTAACGACAGCTTCCAATGGACGAAGTCGAGTGACTTCGAACCAAACCCCGAACATTCCAGACGCAAGGCCATGTCAAGCATGTCCCTGTCGTACGGAACCGCAGACGGTACTCACGAAACCGCGTGAGCACCATGGAGACAAGAAACCCAAAAACCACATACCTGATCAAGACTGGCCATAATGAATGATTCGATCAGAGTAATTCCTCAGCAGAAAAAAGCGTCGCTATAAATCCTCAATGGGTTAAACACAAAAGCCCTTAGATGGAAACAAAGTCAGGTGGTTTGGTTTGGTTTGGTTTGGATTGGACTGGCAAGGCTCTGCGGGAGAAGAGAAAGCAGGTGACTGTCCAGATAAAGGGCCTGGCCTAGGACCAGGACCAGGGCCACGCAACACGGAAGCCATGCATGACGTTTTCCTCCCCATTCGCACGGCTGGGTCGCTGCTGCTGGCCCTGCCCTGCCCCCGTACATCGCACTTGCGCTGACTCTGCCAATCGCAGCATACGTCATGCGAGTGGCCGGGTGCGCTAGGAAAGCCCCCCAGCTCCAAGTCGAAAGTGGAGTCCCTGGGCGCAGCGAATAGAATCGGGCCGCGAATAAGCTGAGTTGGAGCTGAGCTGAGCTGAGCATGCCCGATCGCCAGGGCACGACGCCCAAAAATAATGTCCCTGGTACAGTATTCTGATTCAGACTCCGAGGACGCCGGCGATAAGGAATTATGTCTGCCTACGCCTACGACTGCGACTGCGCCTACGGCAGCCAAGCGCAAACGCGCCGCTAGTATCGACCTCCCTCCGCTTCCCGCAGCCTTCCACGACCTCTACGCGGTCGGCGCACGTGTCGGCACCACCGACGACCCCAGTCTACACGGCGGCCGTAAGCGGGCCATTCCTCACATCGAGGGCAATTGGCCAAGCCATGTATATATAGAGTGTACGCACATCCCATCACATCACATGACCTCCCACCCCCCAACCCATTCACCCCAACTCAACTAACACCACCCCCCTAGGGCAACCCACCCCCCACGAATCCACAGCCCTCCTCTCCCTCCTAACCCACATCCGCACCCTCCTCGTCCAACACTCCCCCAACAACCCCCCAAATCTAACCCCCCTCCTCCACACCCCCCTCTCCACCCCCCTCCCCCTCCACATCTCCCTCTCCCGCACCCTGCACCTAAAAACGCCAACCCGCACCCCTTTCCTCGCCTCCCTAACCGCGCATATAACCAGCGCCCGCGTGCCCCCCTTCCGCCTCGCCTTCCACAGCTTGAAATGGGTCCCGAACGCCCTGCGCAATCGCTGGTTCCTCGTCCTGCGCCTCGCGCGCCCGGAGGGGGATGCGCTGAATAGGCTGCTGGGGGCGTGTAATGCGGCGGTGGGGGGGAGTGGGTTTTCCGGGCTGTATGAGGGGGGGGAGGGGGATGGGCCGCAGGACGCTGGTTCTGGGGGTGACGGCTCGGAGGGGCAAGACGGGGCTGGGAAGACGGATTATTCGGACTTTTTCCATGTGAGTATTGCGTGGAATCTGGAAGAGCCGCGGCCGGAGTGGATTGCGCTTGTTGAAAGTGTGGATTTTAGGACGCTGGTGAGGGACCCGGAGGCGAGGGTTGAGGCTGTTAAGGTGAGGATTGGGAATGTGGTGCATTGTATTGGACTTGATGCGCGGGGGGGTGGGGTGGGAAGGGGAAGGGGACGGGGTCGTGGACGGGGACGGGGAGGGTTGGGATTGAGGTGATGGTCTCGGAGTGCTTCTTATGAGACAGGTCGTTCGTGTCTGCGAATCATCTTATTTGTATGCCGTGCAGATAAATCGACTGCTTGAATGGAGCTCTTGGACAGCCAGGTTGAAGAGTGACGGGATGTTTGGTACGGAAAGGAAAATATCACATCAATTACCAAGAAGAACGATTTAAGAACAAAAACAGAAACCATACGCGAACCATGTACATTGAACTAACGACAAACAAGTACATGTTCCAACCCCACCAAGGATAGGGCAGAACAAAGAGACAAAAACAACCCAATGAGGTATCATACACGCATTCCAACCATAATCAAGACATACCCAGCCCAATCAAACCAAACCATATCATGCCATCCATCCATCCAAAACACACAACCGAAATTTTTGCAATCTTAACCCACACAATCTCTTCTGTCTAGTAATGACTTTCACCACTACGCTCTCCGTTCCTCGCATCAGTAGTGCCATACGTCCTCTTAGAGCGGCCCGTAATGTCCTGCCAAGTAGCGTTGAACCTACGGCCCGTGCTTGCCAGCAGACCCTCCTCCTCTTCCTCCTCCAAGTCGCGATCAAGCTGTTCCTGGTCCAATTTGGGTGTCTTGAACAGGGTAGTGACGAACACGACAATGTACACGCCCAAGAAGGCGAATTGCGCCCAGAAGAGCACGACACCGAAGAAGGGGAAGTTGATGGTGATGCGGTTGATGAAAGTACTGAGAACACTGGGGGTGCAGACATCCTTAGCGGCAGGGTTCTTGGCGAGTTCAGTGCAAGATCTGACGGCGTCCTTGTGCTCGGAGCAATCGGGCACGGCGCCTAGCTCGTTGACAGGAAGGTCGCAGTATGTTTGAGGACCCCAAGTGGCGTATTGGGGAGCTACAACCATGGCGACGGAGTAGTTGATTGCAAGGACGATGAGGGTGAGGAGGACGGTAGCCATGAGGAGGGCCTGGGGAGAGGATTTGCCCTTGCGGATCTTCCAGATGGTGATCCAGAGGAAGCGGATACCGGCGGTCGCAATGCCAACAACAGAGGCGGAGAAGAGGAAGATGACAAGGAGCAAGAACAGGATGTAGTCGATTGGGAAAACCTTGGAAGACCTGACGAGGACCCAGTTCAATGGTTGGAAGATGTTAATGTGGCCGAGAATGTAGCCGCAGTGAGCTCCGCAGATGGAGTTCTTGGCCTTGTCAATGGCGGTGATGAGCATGCTGGCGAAGATGACCAAGGCGAAAACCATCAGGAGGAGCCCGCCGATGAGCTTGAGCGGGCGGAAGATGGCCTCGATCTTAATCCAGGTCTTGACGACCCAATGGCGGTCCTCTCCGCTGGACTCGGCGACAAGACGTTCGCGGCGGATGAGGGTGCGTTCTTCCCGGTTGAGAGCCTCGAGTTCACGCCTGTCCCTAGCATCGAGTCCACCCTCTCGGCCCTCGCTGCGGCCTTCAAGCTGCCTCTGGCGCTCGCGGTTGTGCTCGAGCTGCGACGCGGTGTTGGCGGCTAGCGTGGGGGCCGAGATGGAGGGCGCAGACTTGATCATGGCGACCGGGAGCAGGGCCATTCCCGCGCCCGTGTAGAGGACGAACAGGACGGTCCCGATGGTGATGAGGAGGCCAAGGCAGAAGGAGAGAGCTCGTTCGCCATCTGGTGGAGTCAGCAGGGGTTTTGGGTGTGGGCAGTGGGCAATACGTACGGTTCTCTGCCAAGAGATGCTTGAAGAAGTCGAGGTCGAGGCGCTTGTCGTCCTTGGCCTGCTTCGCGAAGGGGACGAAGAAGCCAGTCAGGAAGATGGCGATGACGAAGAAGAGGAAGGCGAGGGTCCACTTCAGGGCGCCCCCGAAGCGCTGTCCGGCCGACTGCTCTCCGTGCTCGGCCGCGTCCTCGTCGTACTCCTCGTGCCAGAAGTAGGTAAAGGGCACGACGAGCAGGCAGAGGACGGCATCGAGCGTGTAGAGGGCGTAGTAGATGGCCGTCAGGCTGTGCACGATGGCGTCGACCTTTGCGGGCGTGGCCCAGTCCTTCTTGCAGCCCAGGCTGGAGCGCGACGTCGACGAGACGAGGGCGACGTCGACGGGGATGAGCAGCACCGTCGCGAGCAGCGAGAGGGTGGTGAAGATGCACACGATGGTGACCGAGGCGGAGCGGTCGCGCGGCGTCTGGTACATGTAGACGAAGACGGCGGCGATGACAAAGAGCACGGCGATGGCGACGGCGTAGGCGACCCAGATCAGGCTGGTTTGGATGAGCGCCATGGTGGGCGATGCCGTGGACGTGGATGTCGTCTGGCGAGGATTAGACGGTGGTGCGCGACGCTGTGACAATCGCTTACCCTTTACACTCGATGTCTTCTGGCGAGGAGCGAGCGGGGAGATGTTGTGCAGCTGCCTTGGAAGGTTCGCATGACGTTCTTCTTGCGCTGATCGACGGATGTGCAGGGGTAGCTACAGATGCGCTAGCGAGCTTTCAGACGCGTAGCTGTTTCAACGCGACACGCAGCAGCGCCGCGACACTGCCCGACACTGCCCTCCCACTCCCGGCTGACGCAGCACCGCAATGAGCAGCGGCCGAGTCGACGCAGCCCAGTAATCCCAGACGATGCAGTGCTACACGGAAATAGCCCCGCCGACGGCCGTCAGCCATGCCCTCTGCCTGCCCTTTGTGTCGCCGCGCGCCAACAACCTCGTCGTGGCCAAGAACTCGCTGCTCCAGGTCTTCGAGCTCAAGTCGACCATAACCGAGGTGACGCCGGGCGGCGGCAACGAGGCGGAGAATGCGGCAGCCAACCTCGACACCGAGGCGGCCGACGTGCCCCTGCAGCGCACTGAGAACACGGCCAAGCTGGTGCTGGTCGCCGAGTTCCCGCTCGCCGGCACCGTCATCTCGCTGGCGCGGGTCAAGGCGCTCAACACCAGGTCGAAGGCGGAGGCGCTGCTGGTGGCGTTTCGGGACGCGAAGCTGAGCTTGGTGGAGTGGGATCCGGAGACGTACAAGCTGCATACAATATCAATACACTACTATGAGAACCCAGACTTGCCCGGCCTTGCTCCCTGGTCTGCTGACCTGAAAGACAGCCACAGCTTCCTGACGGCCGACCCCACCAGCCGATGCGCCGCCCTCAAGTTTGGCTCCCACAACCTCGCCATCCTGCCCTTCCGCCAGCGTGACCACGTCGACGACGAGTACGACTCGGATATTGAGGGTGCGAAGGATGGCAAGACCGTGGCTGGCAACGGTGCAGACGGCGAGCATGCACACAAGACGGCCTACGCCTCCTCGTTTGTGCTGCCCCTCACCAACCTCGACCCGACCCTCACCCACCCCGTCCACCTCGCCTTTCTGCACGAGTACCGCGAGCCCACTTTTGGCATCATCGCCGCCTCCCAAGCTACTGCCCCCTCGCTGCTCGCCCACCGAAAAGACATCCTCACCTATACCGTCTTCACCCTAGATCTCGAACAGAAGGCCTCCACCACGCTGCTGTCGGTGCCAGGGCTGCCATACGACATCTCGCGCGTCGTCCCACTGCCCCATCCCATTGGAGGGGCTTTGTTGATCGGGGGCAACGAGCTCGTGCACATCGACCAGGCTGGAAAGACCAATGGCGTGGCAGTCAACGAGTTTGCCAAGGCATGCTCCTCGTTCCCCCTCAGCGACCAGTCAGACCTGGCTTTACATCTTGAGGGTTGCAATGTCGAGCTCCTCTCTCAAGACACGGGCGACGTTCTCATTGTCCTCAATGACGGGCGACTCCTCATTCTCACATTCACCTTGGACGGCCGATCGGTATCCGGCATGACCATCCAGACGGTCGCCACAGACCACGGAGGCTACGTCTTCAAAGCCCGCGCTTCGTGCACCAGCAGTCTCGGACGGAACAGGTTGTTCGTTGGAAGTGAAGATGGCGAGTCGGTTCTCATCGGCTGGACTAGCACATCCAACGTACTGCGGCGGAAGCAGGCCAATGTCGATGTCTCCGACGATGAAGATCTCGACGACGACGATGTAGTTGACGACATGGATGACGATCTATACAATGACACCGGACCAGCCGTCAAGAAGATCACCTCTGCCGCCGCAGAACCCACAGCCCCTGGCAGCTACACCTTCAGAATACACGACGTCTTACCAAGCATTGCACCCATAAGAGACGCCATTCTACACCCAGGCAAGGACACCGAATCTCTAAACCGGGGCGACATAATGCTTTCCACTGGGCGGGGAGCTGCGGGGGCTGTCACTGCCCTGAGTCGTGAACTGCACCCCACACACCTGGCACAAAAGGAGCTATCCAACGCAAGAGGACTTTGGGCTGTTCATGCCAGGAAGCAAGGTATGGAAGGTATCGTCACGGAAGTTGGTCAAGATGAAGAAGCCAATCTTGCCTCTGACGCTGACTACGATCAATACTTGGTGGTCTGCAAAACAGGCCAAGATGGTAGCGAAAGCACAGTCGTGTACGAAGTCAAGGGTAATGAGCTGTCTGAGACAGACAAGGGTGATTTTGAACGTGAAGAAGGCTCGACGCTCAGCGTAGGTGTCTTGGCTGGAGGCACAAAGGTTGTTCAAATCATGCGCACCGAGATCCGAACATACGATTCTGAACTTAATATGGATCAGATCATAACCATGGAAGATGAGGAGGGCGAGTCAGAGCTCCGCATCATCAACGCCAGCTTTGCTGACCCATACTTGCTGGTCTTGCGAGACGACTCCAGTGTCAAGATCTTTAAAGCGAGTAATGATGGCGAAGTAGAAGACGTCGAAGCCAGCGGGCTGTCCTCGACAAAATGGCTCTCTGCGTCACTCTTCAAGTCTGCGACTTTCACAGAAGTCTTTGCGTTCCTCTTGACGCCCGAGGGCGGCCTTCATGTCTTCGCAATGTCCCAGCTAGAGAAACCTAGCTATGTTGCTGAGGGTCTGGGCTTTCTCCCACCTTTGCTATCAGTCGACTATGTACCAAGAAGAAGCACAGCGAAAGCAGCCATTACCGAGATCCTGGCCGCTGACATTGGCGATGTCACCACAAAGTCACCGCATCTAGTTGTAAGTCCTCGTCACTTTTGGTCAACGTGCTCACGTGCTAACTTGCACCTAGATTCGCACCTCGACAGACGACCTCGTCATCTACAAAGCCTTCCACGCACCGTCTCGCTCAACTTCAGATCTTTGGACCAAGAACTTGAAATGGGTCAAGTTGTCGCAGCAACACGTCCCAAGGTATATGGAAGACGCGAATATGGGAACGGAAGACGCTGGCCTTGAGAGCACCCTGGTAGCACTGGACAATATCTGCGGCTACAGCACCGTCTTTCAACAAGGAACATCGCCAGCTTTTATCTTCAAAGAGTCATCAAGTGCACCGCGTGTGATCGGGTTAAGTGGCAGGCCGGTGAAAGGACTTACACGATTCCATACGTCAACTTGCCAACGCGGCTTTGCCTACTTGGACACCACAGACACTCTTCGCATATCTCAGCTGCCCGTTCAGACACATTACGGGCATCTGGGTTGGGCAGCTCGACGGATGCCAATGGACGCCGAAATTCATGCTTTCGCCTATCATTCAAACGGCCTGTATGTGGTGGGCACAGGGCAATCAGAAGAGTACACTCTGAACCCGGAAGAGACGTTCCATTACGATCTGCCCAAAGAAGACATGACGTTCAAGCCGCATGTCGAGCGAGGTGTCGTCAAACTGGTGGACGAGAAGACTTGGACTATCGTCGACACACATGTCTTGGACCCGCAGGAAGTCGTCCTGTGCATAAAGACGTTCAACCTCGAAGTCTCAGAGACTACTCACCAACGTAAAGACCTCATCGCAGTCGGCACCTCGGTCGTGCACGGTGAGGATCTAGCGACAAAAGGCTGCATACGCATTTTTGAGGTCATCACCGTCGTCCCAGAGCCGGATCGTCCTGAAACGGGTAAGCGGCTGAAACTTGTCGTGAAAGACGAGGTGAAAGGCGCAGTATCCGCCATCTCTGAGATCGGAACGCAGGGCTTCATGATCATGGCGCAGGGTCAGAAGTCCATGGTGCGAGGTTTGAAAGAGGATGGTACACTATTGCCAGTTGCATTCATGGACATGCAATGCTACGTCACCACACTCAAGAACCTGCCCAACACAGGCATGATGCTGATGGGCGATGCGTTTAAGGGTGTATGGTTCACCGGATATACGGTTAGTAGATATTTGGAGAGCAGACGAGTGCACTACTAACAAACACTACAGGAAGAGCCTTACAAAATGATGCTCTTCGGCCGCAGCAAACACAACCTCGAATGCATAGCCGCCGACTTCCTCCCTTTTGAGCAGCAACTCCACATCATCGTCGCCGACGCGGACATGAACATCCAAGTCCTGCAATTCGACCCCGAGAGTACGTTTCCATCCCTCTTCTCAACCTACACATGTACACAAACTAACAACGAACACCCCAGACCCAAAAAGTATGGCCGGCACCCGCCTCCTCCACAAATCATCCTTCCACACCGGCCACTTCCCCGCAACAATGCACCTCCTACCCTCCTCGCTCCAACCCCCAAACTCCCCCACATCAACCACCCCCCTCTACCAAATCCTCACAACCTCCCAATCAGGCACCCTTGCCCTCCTCACTCCCCTCTCAGAACCATCCTACCGCCGCCTCTCCTCCCTTACAGACTTCCTCGCTACGAACCTCGACAACGCGTGTGCGCTCAACCCCAAGATGTGGCGCGTCGGCCAGGGCGCAGATGGAGGGTGGGATACGGGGGTTGCGGGGCGGAGCGTGCTGGATGGTGATTTGCTGATGCGGTGGGGTGAGCTTGGGGAGCAGAGACGGCGCGAGGGGCTGGGGAAGGTTGGCGGGGATGAGTGGGGGGTTTGGGGGGATCGAGAGGTTTTGGGGGGGTGGGGCGTGTTTGGGAGGAGGGCGTAGATGTTGTGGGTTGTAGGAGTGTAGAAGAATGAATCGTTATGCTGTTTCCTTCCTTTTTTGACATGCATGGCAATCAATCTAGGTAACGAGTGGGGTTTGTTCTGCACATGGAGTTGATATTCCAGAGATTGTCTTGACCTCACATCGCTATACATACATACTCGGACCCCTCCCCGTCCAAAACACGCACTCTCCACTACCCATCAATCCACATCACTTCCCCCCAATCTAAACATCATCCACAACCCGCCACCCCCTCCCCATCAACCCATTACTTTCCCCCGCCCCCTCATCCCCCAGTTTCCTCGCCCCCTCCCCCCCCACAACCGGCACCCTAACCTCAAACCTCTTCCCCTCAGGCGCATCCTCCCCCGCAATCCTATACGGAAACGCCACCCACTCCGGCAGCAGCCCCAGTTGCATTAGTACAGTCCCCTGATCCCAGCTAATATGCTCATGGCAAAGTCTGTCCCCGCGCATCGCCACTACGGACGTGAATGGGATTTCTAACCGCCTCCCGGTGGGCGGTATGCTAGGGAGGAGCCAGGGGACTTCGGTGGTGTGGGTTAGGCTGAAGATGAATTCGTCGATTACGCGGTCTGGGCCGACGGAGCGGGAGATTAGGGTGAGGGTTGTGGACGGGGGGTTGCTGAAGATGAAGTGGTGGGTGTAGAATGAGGTTAGGGGGGCGTGGCCTATCCCTCCACTGGTACATTTCCATCTACGCGTCAGCTTTGCCCACACACATCAACTACCCGAACATAAAGTAAAAAGGGAAGGAACAACATACGTCATAGTCGGAACATGATTAACATACGGCTCCGCAACCATCGTCCCCATCGTCCGCCCCACATCCCGCTCCGCAAACTCAAACCGACAGTGCTCCTCCCACACAGCTTCGAGGTCGAAATACGGACCCCCCAGCGCGCGCTTGAGGAAGGCTAGACTGCGTGCATGTGCGATACCCGCGCTGAGCTTGTGGTATGCTGGGTCGGCGGGGAGTGTCCAGGGGGAGTCTGGGGGCGCGTCGGGGTAGCGGTGTGTGGTTGTTGGGCTGGGGGTTTTGGTTGGAGTTTGGGGGCGGGAGGGGCAGGGGGATGTGGAGATGGGGGGTTCGGTACAAGGTTGTCGGTCTTGGGGCGGGGGGCCGGCGGCGTGGAGGAGTTGTGGGGGCAGGGTGGAGGAGGGGGTTAGTGTTGTGAAGGGGGTGGGGGTGTGGGAGACTATGGCGCGGACTTTGGGGTGGAGGAGCGTTGCTGAGGCGATGTAGAAGGGGATTCGCGTTAGGTATGCTAAGGGGGGAGGGTGTTAGCTTGTGGTTCATATATCATGCCTTTCTCCCAACTCCTCATTATCCCAACTTATCCAACAGACTAGGAAATCACATACAAACCACGCCCACGCCCCCCTTCTCACCTATATCCACACACTCCCCACAACTCCCCAGTACATCAATAGCCCTCTGCAGCGGAAACTCGCCCCCATCCTCCGTCTTCCCCGGCACAAGGATCTGCACGACGCAAAACCCCTCCTCGGCCCATTTCTGCAGCGGCGGCGGGTCGAGGTGTCTCTCGCTCTTCTCGATGTGCGCGTAGTAGTCCAGGATGAGGATTAGACCTGGGCCGTGGCCGCGGCGGGTGAGGGGGGGTTGGAGGGTGAGGGAGGGGGATATGGAGATGGGGGGTGGGTAGTGGGGCGTTGGAGGGGCGGGGGTGTTGGTGTCGGTGGAGGGATTGGGGTTGGGGGGTTTGGAGGACATGGCGTTGTGGTTGACTGTTTAGAGGAGGGGATTGCAAGACGGGATGGGCAAGGCGGCAAAGCGAGGAGGTAGGCGAGGAAGGCGATGTGGGGTAAATAGAGGAATTGATAGCAGCGTTACGTTACTAGATGTTTATCTCCTTTCGTCCTAGAATGTAGTAAGTATGAGCTGGGGAATGATCACACATAAAGCTTGTCAAGTACCGGGGTGTGATGTTCAACGGATTGTGGAGACGCTATGCCATGTATGTAGGTGTGGGGCTGCTGCAACAGGTGACCTTATTTATGGACATGAAAATGAAGCGGATGTTGACGTATGCGGCAGGATAGGCGTTGAGAAGCCGTGCTTGAAAGTTGTGTCTTGTCATGTGAACACGACCACATGCGGGATTACCAGGGTGTGTGAGGTGAGGTGAGGGGTTGTCTATGCGGGCGTTGAGCTCCAGAAGACATGTTGAACACGACATTCGTAGTTTGTGAAGATGTTTAACGCTTGGCTATAAGGACACTAGGTTGGGATCTGTGAGAATCAGTTCAAAGCAATTGAATTTTCGATTGTTGCACTCGCCCATTTGCAAGAGTCGGGGGTCTGAGAAGCCATAGACTGAACATCACCACCCTTTTCGAACACCACGTCAACGCCAGAAATCCAGGCACTGTTGACATACTCAATATAGGCATGAGAACTATCTATAGAACGACCGCTCATGTACACACTGACTCAATCCGTCAAGAAACCACATATTGAAAACCCACTATCCCCTCCTCTCAAACAGCATCATACGGCGGCGGCGGATCTTCAGACAATTCGTGATATGGTGGAGGAGGCGATGGCGTGCGCCGTCTCAGAGCCAAAGCTATCATGGATTCGCTCACGGTAATGTTGAAGATAGGGTCCTCCCTTTCATGCCTGTCTTCCTAAGAAAAGCGTCCGATTGGAGTTAGATACGAGTACGTAGGCCGGCGAATTCTTGGGCGATTGATAACACTCTCACCCCTGGCTGAAGTTGAAATGTAAAGGACGGGTCCAGTTCGAGTTTGAGAAGTCGGGTCGCTGTGAGAGGACGATGTGAACGCGTTGGTATCCGGCTGAAGCTGAGAGGTTGTAGATGAGTCGATTGATTCGTTGATCGAAGGGCGTATTTCCTGAGCTCCAGATGCCTCCGTTATGAGCTCGTTAGAAGCCCGCATAAACTGAGGGTCAGATTCAGAGGAATCCATTGCATCTGCCCGTGTCTATACTGGCAGTACACTGCTTCCGTCGTCCAAGGCAGGGAGGGAGTTAGGCTTTGGGCCGGCGTCGTCGGTAGAAGCTTGCGAATTCGATGGTTGGTTCTGAGCCCCGATGTCGTCAAGCTCAACTGGAGGCTGATGCGAGTCCGTACGGGTGTGACTCGAGTTGGTATGGATGGGGCCTGTACCGGTATGACTTGAGTTGGTATGGATGGGGCCTGTTCCTGTAGGGGCAGGGGTTGTGTCGGCCGGTGTGGGATCTGAGCTGGTACGGGCACTATCACCGTCTCGACGCGCCTGATGTAGTGCCATGCGCTCAGAAATCTTGGCAGGGACCTCAACAAAAAGGAATGTGAACAGCCAAATAATACAGTCCCTCACATCGAGGATGATGCTGCGACAGTAATCCACAAACCCGAGAAGCACAACGAGAAGATAGATGAAGATGATGCGAATGATGGCGATAACCGTCTGCATCGCACAGTTATAAAGACGAGAAAAGAGGTAGCCTGGAAGAGACAAAAGTGGCGACGACTGGCGTAAGCGATTGAGGAGAGAGTAGCCGGAAGGTTGCGGTGATGACGAGTATCATACAGATGCAAGCGAATGGTGGAGATAGAAAATGATAATGGGTATCGTATTGCAAGCAATGGAAGCGAATTGTGATAGCTGTCGCCGTAATGGTATGTACGACTGTAGTATGAAGAGATACGAAGGTTAAGCAGTAGAAGTGCTTCGTCGTACTCGCACTTTCGCAGCTTCCACCCGTCCTTTAGCAGCAGCTTGTGGTTGATGGCTAGAAGAGGAAGGTTTGAGCTGCTTAAGGACCTGAACTGCAACTGCGATGGCGTCTTCGGGAAGACCTGATACGAGTCAGCACGTGTAGACGGAAAGAAGACCCGACTATGGGCCAGTATCAACTTACCCGCAACTCTCGCAACCTTCAGGGCATGGCTCTCCCGATTTACTCCCTTCCTTAATCGATGTACATACGAAAACTTGCCGTCTGGGTCCTCACGCACATCATTACAATAGCATCCCAGCTTCTCGAAGTCCTGCGTCATGTCGGTCAGTGTGTGGAAGTGAGTCGCAAACAATGTTCGACACTGATTGACGTGATACAGATGATGTAGACAGGCATAGCCCACTGCGATGCCATCTTCGGGTGTTGTTCCTCTGCCCACTTCATCCATGATGACGAAAGAACGAGGCGTGGCTTCCTTGAGGATTTGCGCTGTCTCGAGCATCTCCACCATGAACGTAGATTGGTCTTGGTAGAGATTATCTGCCGAACCCACTCGACTGAAGACTTTGTCTACCAGCCCGATTTCTGCATATTCAGCTGGGACAAAAGAACCAGTTTGCGCGAGGATCGAGATGAGTGCGTTCTGTCGGAGATAGGTACTTTTGCCCGCCATGTTTGGGCCGGTGATCAGCCATATGCGTTCCTCGTCGCCAAGAAGACAGTCGTTTGGTGCAAACTGTCGTCCTTGGTCGTTGAGACCGGCCTCCACAACTGGATGGCGACCGCCAACAATCTTGTGTGAAGATTCGGAGCTGAGGATAGGTCGTATGAAGTTCTTTTCGATGGCAAGGTTAGCAAAGGCGCATGCAACATCCAACTCATCTAGTATGGCAGCATTCCGGCGCAGTTTCACCAGATTCCGAACGACGCCTTCACGTAGTTCACCCAACACACGTTGCTCTTCATTGCGGATACGAAATCGGGTCTCGTCCATTTGCGCCCCTAGCTGCGTCCATTCAGGAACTTGGAAAGAGCGGGTAGATCTGCTACTACTCAAACTCTTCGGATAGAGAGCCGTCACACGGGAAACGTCTTTCCCCTTTACAAAGGCAATGTGCGCGAGATTGGGTGTCCACTTGAGCGTTAGTGCTTCAGCGTTTGTTTGTTGGCGCAGCTGCGTTTCCAGTTTCGCTTTCTTCGATTCCATGGAGTCCAACGACTTGTGCAACTTCACTAAAAGCGCGCTAGCCTTTCGTTTCATGATGTACACATCCGCTCGCCCGTCCGTTGCTCTCTTGACACTTGGAGCAATCATATGGGGTTTCGGTTGAACTCGCTTCGGCAAGTCTTTGAGATCTTCTTCTCCAGCTTCGCGTCCTAGTACGTCTTGGGCCAAGTCGGACATTTCCTCCGCCTCTTCCTCTTCGATGCGATGGTACTCGGAGAGTCCTTCTTCGTCAATGGCATCCTGGATGCGTTTTGCCAGCTCTATTGGGAGCTCCAGATCGAAACGATGCTCTAGCGCGGGCAAACACTGCTTTCTTCGACTCTCTGACGCATCGTTTGCGGGATCGGAAGGAATGGCGTTCCTCAATGTTGTATGCTCACGAAGGTTGTTGACGATTCCAGAGGTAGTGACAATCGTTTTGGAGAGTTCCATGAGGTCATCCGCATCTCCGCGACCATAGGTGAATTTTGTCACCAGGCGAAGCGCATCGAAGGTTTGCTCGAGAAGTGAAATTATGTCTTGCCGGAGTTGCGGATACTCAATCATCTCCTCGACTAGATCTAGTCTATCATTTATTGTCGACAACGACATGGAAGGGGCAGCTGAACAAATTAGTCATGACTTCAAAGATCGCAAGTGCTATTTGCCTACATAAACGTTGAGTGAGCAAGCGGGTTCCGCTGTTGGTAACCGTCTTCTTCAAGGAGTGTAGCAAACTACCTTCGTAAATACCGTCGCGAATAGTAGTCCTAATCTCGAGCGCCCTTAGACTGTTCTTATCGATACTCATGTGGTTGTCAGCCTGGTGCCTCACAGGAGCTTGCAGTCGGGTCCGGGAACCAAGCAACTGATGCTTGACGTAGTGCAATAGGGAGCCACCAGCAGCCACTTCGCTTGGCGAGAAGTTGGCCGTGTCAAAGTCATCGACCGCATCCTCCAGCATCGATGTCCACTCCTCCAGGATGAGTGGATTGTGAGACGGTTCCTGGAAAGTGATGACATGTCCATCTTCTTGCAAAATCGAGACCAAACGCGAGTGTTTTTCTTCCTGGAAAACGCTATCGAGAACTATCTCCCTTGGCCTAATACGAGCCACTGCCGAGGGTAGGGATGCAATATCCGTGGACTGAGTGAGAAAGTCTCCACTTGACAAGTCCATCCAAGCCAGCCCAATTTCGGTACGAGGTAGGTTGAGGACTGAAGATACACTCGAGCTGCCTGGGCTCTCCTTCAACGCATTCTCTTTCTTGAGTGCCTCTGGGTCGACGTGAATGCTGAGTAGGTAGTTGTTCTCCCAAGGATCCATGAAGTGTTCGTCGATGAGCGTACCTGGCGTGATGACACGGGAAACTTTCCGAGTATATTGAGCGTCACCCTTGGCTCTCTCCGGCGCATCGTTAGGGAATTCGTCACTGATGGCGACGTGTTTGTTGAGGTCCTGGACTAAGATCTTGAGGTAACGGTCTAGTTGATACGCAGGGAACCCGGCCTGAAGCTATTCAATACAATAAAAGATGAGTAACAATAAGGACTACTGACCATTGATACTCTGGGCTTCTTGCTCGCCTTGCTTGTCTTCCTACTGGTCTTCTTTATGTTAAGAAGTGGAGCATACTCATCTGCATGTTCGAAGTATAGCTACTTGAGTCAGCTAGGGTGCGAGGCTAAGAACCGCGCACATACCTCGTAGAAGCCACCAACCCGTGTGAGTACTACGCAGTGTTTGAATTTTAGCATGTTGTTTTGTACTTGCTGCAAGAGTGGAGGGTAATCCGGCTCGGCATCGTTCTGTGGTGGCAGTGCATTTGACACAATGGAGCCTTGTGGCATATCGTCAAGGTCCACAACGGCTATCGTCTTTGCACCCCGACATTGAGATGATTGATACCATGCTGCCTTCAACGCACGTGGGTTCGCGCATGGTCGCGTCAAGTTTGGAAGGGGGAATCTGGGAACTGTACTATATGCTCCCCGAGCAACCTTCAGGGATTGTCGTGAGCGAGCCCAGGCAATACGCGTCGTACATTGAACATGCTGAAAAATCATGATAGGAGAAACGAGGAATTGCTGGATCGGCGTTCAAGGTGGTGGAAAACGCGATGCAGGAACGCGTCTCGATATGGTTAGCACCAAAGTGATGCGGGCACGGCGGGGTACCGACTGGAGTTCATCTCGAAATCCTGAGCATATGCGCATCCGCAGTTCCTTGCTCATCTCACAGTAAAAATGGCACCCCAATTCGAGCCCATGAAGAATGATCTCATCCTACGGACAGCGAGAGGTAAACGAGCTCACCTCGATTGTCCAGAGATCATGCACTAACGATTGGCAGGCGAGAAAGTCGAGCGTCCGCCCATATGGGTAATGCGTCAAGGTACAGAGCTTCAGTCCGCTTCTGGTGCGCGTCAAGGCTAACAAACCTACAGCTGGACGCTATCTTCCTGAATACCATGAGGCGAAGGGCAAGAACGATTTCTTCGAGTGCTGCCGTAGCCCCGAAATCGCCTCAACCCTCACCCTCCAGCCCATCGAGCGCTACGAAGGTCTGATTGATGCTGCCATCATCTTCTCCGATATTCTCGTCATACCACAAGCAATGGGAATGGAGGTGATAATGGTGGACAAGAAGGGTCCTCACTTCCCCGACCCACTCCAGACACCGGACGACCAGCAGTACAAGGAAGTCCTCGAGAGAGATGTAGACGTAAAGGAGTCGCTGGACTACGTGTACAAAGCTATCACCTTGACAAGGCAAAAGTTGGCTGGAAGGGTACCGCTGATTGGGTTCTGTGGCGCGCCTTGGACGCTCCTGTGCTATATGGTAGAAGGAGGTGGCAGCAAGATGTTTATTCAAACCAAAACCTGGATATACAAGTACCCAGAAGAGAGCAGGGCGATGCTGCAGAAGATTGCAGAGCTATGCGTAGAGTACTTGGCCCTTCAAGTGCAGGCTGGAGCACAAGTAGGCAACCCGACAGTTTACCTGAACCCGATGCTGACAGTTGGTAGATGATCCAAGTCTTCGACTCGTGGGCCGGCGAGCTATCGCCATCCTCATTCAAGACTTTTGCCCTCCCGTACCTGAACTACATTGCCGATAACCTACCTGCGCGCCTGGAGTCTAAGGGTCTTGAACCTGTTCCAATGACCGTGTTCGCGAAAGGGGCGTGGTACGCGTTGTCTGACCTGTGCGACTCGAATTATAACACTATTGGTTTGGACTGGTTACATGCTCCAGCTGAGGCCTACAAGGTCGCTCGGGCGAAGGGGAAGACGCTGCAAGGCAACGCTGATCCTGGTGTACTCTACGGCACTAGGGAGTCTATTACCAAGGTAGTGGAGGATATGGTTGCAGGATTCGGTGGAGGCAAACAGGGCTGGATCGCCAATCTGGGTCATGGTATGTGTATCCGTGCAAATGTTTGACTGGGTGCTAACGATCTTTAGGAATAACACCATTCGTAAAGCCAGACGACCTGAAGTTCTACTTTGAGGAGATACACCGACTAACGTCTTCATAAAGAAATGATTTAAATTTTACGGGGGATATTTCCCACAAGTGACCTCATTTGTCTTCTTCGCCAATGTCTTCGTACCAATCCTCTGGCTTCTCCTTGATAAATTTCTTCATTAGGTCCTGACATTCGTCGTTCTGCAGAACAACAACCTCAATACCCTTGCTCTTTAGATACTCCTCACCACCCACAAAGGTCTTGTTCTCCCCGATTACCACCCTCTTTACCTTGTACATGACACACGCCCCTGTGCACATGTCACAAGGACTAAGCGTAGTGTACATTGTGGCGCCACGGTAAGACGATGCTGGGAGGCGCCCCGCATTTTCCAGGCAGGATATCTCTGCCTTGTTGTGTCAACACCGCTTGCGATTGCCTGAGACAGGCTGAGGCCAACATACATGGAGTGTCGCGCTTTTGTTCTGAATGCGCATGTTGTGTCCTTGGCCGAGTAGCTTGCCTTCTGCTGACACTAAGGCTGCTCCGATAGGCACGCCCCCTTCGTGGCTGCCTTGACGTGCTTCATGCAGTGCAGCCTTGAAACCAATATCTTCGGTGGACATGGTCGAAATTGTGGAGGTCTGTGTGAAAGGTGTGGCATGCCTCACTCAGGGTCTGGTGTCGCCAATCTTCTCGATAAGCTCCCTCGATCCGCTCTTGCCTGATTGGGCAGCGCATAGTTCATCAAATGCGAAGCTGCAAACAAGTGCAACGACGACTGTTTTGCGCATTTTCACCTGTTCATAGTGAGAATTTTGAGTTTTCAGGGCTCCCCTTATTGTGCAGGGACATGTCTGTTGTCTGAGCAGGCAGACGGGCGTTTTCAGCTGTGCAGGGGCGAAGTCGAAGCCGTGGAAGGGCGTCGAAACGCTTGGAAACTTCTGTTCGGCGCATTTGCAACAGTACCCCGGTTGGGCTACTTTTAAATACACAAAGCCGCAGCCTTTGTCCTTGACACTACTTACGACTCCCACATGCACACTGTGCCTCCACTACCTCTCACGAATTGCCGAGCCGAGTTCTCAGCGAGCACCTGTAAGCGCTTCTTGCTCGAACCCAAGGCGGCGACGATGTGCACCGTTTCTTTTTGGAGCCAAACGCAGACGTATTTTGCAGATGTCAGTTCGTAGTCTAGCCACTGACAGTACAAGAATCGCAGGATACAGTGAAACTACAGCGCTCTCCAGAAATCACCCACATACCTTCACCGAGAGCCCCACGACAGCGCTCGCAACCCCGCTAGCCCCTCGTCTCCACCACCACACAAGCAGCAGCAGCCGCAATCATGGTCAAAGAGACCAAGTTCTACGAGATTCTAGGCGTATGTAAAGCTTTTTCAAAGCAAAGAAGCGCAGTATTAATAGCAGCAGGTAGCGCCAGATGCCACAGAGGCGCAACTAAAGTCTGCGTACAAGAAGGGAGCGCTCAAGTGGCACCCCGATAAGAACGCGCACAACCCAGACGCCGCCGACAAGTTCAAGGACCTCTCACACGCATACGAAGTGCTCTCGGACGGGCAGAGACGACAGATCTACGACCAGTATGGCGAGGAGGGTCTCGAGCAGGGTGGCGCAGGCGGCGGTGGCGGCATGGCAGCAGAAGACCTGTTCGCGCAGTTTTTCGGCGGCGGCGGCGGCCCATTCGGAGGCATGTTTGGCGGCGGTGGCCAGCGGGAACAGGGCCCAAAGAAGGCGCGCACCATCTCGCACGTCCACAAAGTGTCGCTCGAGGATATCTACCGCGGCAAGGTCTCGAAGCTGGCTCTGCAGAAGTCAGTCATCTGCCCCAAGTGCCACGGCGTTGGCGGCAAAGAGGGCGCTGTCAAGAAGTGTGCCGGCTGCGATGGACGCGGTATGAAGCACATGATGAGGCAAATGGGCCCTATGATCCAGCGCTTCCAGACCGTCTGCCCCGACTGCCAGGGAGAGGGAGAAATCATCCGCGACAAGGACAGGTGCAAACAGTGCAACGGCAAGAAGACCATTATCGAGCGCAAGGTCCTCCACGTCCACGTCGACCGCGGTGTCAAGTCTGGCCACAAGATCGAGTTCCGTGGCGAGGGCGACCAGCTTCCTGGCGTGGAGCCGGGTGATGTCGTCTTCGAGATTGAGCAGAAGCCCCACACCCGTTTCCAGCGCAAGGACGACGACCTCTTCTACCAGTGCGAGATTGACTTGCTGACTGCTCTCGCGGGCGGCCAAATTCACATTGAGCACCTGGATGAGCGATGGTTGACCGTCGACATCATCCCAGGCGAGTGCATCAGCCCCGGCGAGGTCAAGGTCATCCGCGGGCAGGGTATGCCCTCGTACCGACACCACGACTTCGGCAACCTGTACATCCAGTTCGACGTCAAGTTCCCCGACAAGCTGGGCAACGCTGAGGGCGGCCCATTGACACCCGAGCAGATCCGTGCCCTCGAGTCTGTTCTGCCGCCGCGCAAGGTCTCCGACTCCATGCCGCCCGCAGACGCCATGACTGATGACTTCACGCTCGAAGACGTCGACCCCACACGGGAGAACCAGCGCGCCCGAGGCATGGGAGCCATGGATGACGACGATGACGAGATGCACCCAGGTGCTGAGCGCGTACAGTGCGCGTCGCAGTAAACGCATACAGAACATCGAGGTTGGGGCATGATTGATGATACACATGGGGTACGAAGGCACGAAGACACGCATGGATACCAAAAGTGGTTGTGGGCGTCGTAGCTTCTGGAGACGTTTGCGTTTGCATTGGGGATATGTGTTCCAAACAGCTCGGCTCGCGTGAAGCCTGGACCCGAGGATTCTCGCGGCATCGAAGCATTCATTGTCTTTTCGATTTTTCATCTAGATCGGCAGCGGTGGGTTTCCTTCGATTCTCGCGCTGAGGAACGTCATCTCTATGCTTTCTTGTTTTTTTCCAGTGCGAGTCAAGGGAGGGGAGGGGCGTTCTTTTAGAAAGGGTAGTCTTCTGTCTGCTATTGGGGATGGTTAGTAGAAAATGGCATGTGGTAATTTCTTGCTCCTGCTTGCATTATATTCCGCATATGTGGTACTTGAACAAATTGTGTCATTCACGCGAGATCCTACGGTTGGTGTCTCGAGTCACGACTAAACTGATAACTGATGAAGCGAAAGTCTCATTTAGGAACTTCACCAAGGCTTATATCAATACATGCAACTGCCCACCCCAGCCCTCCCAAGTTCAAAGAATAATATCCGTATCTTCGTCAACACGCACCCCCAAACCCATCTCCAGCTCCTCACTCATCACCTCCTGCCCTGTGCATCTCCGTACGTGGCCCACTCAGTCGAAGTCCAATGACTCTCCTGTTAGGAGGCTATATCTGGATAGACGAGGAGTAGTGGATCTGCGGTATCGACCGGCGTGACGAGGATGTTTGACTGTGTGATCATGATTGTGGTTCGTAAGTGTTGAATTGTGATTGTTGTTCCCATGCTCCGTTCCCATGCATGTGCAGTCTGCATAAAATGAAGACCTCAGGTCGAACTAAAGGTCCTTTTAATGGATATTGAACCTTTCGAGTTGGCCAGTCTGGAGGAAGTCTTTCCAGTCTGTTCCGGGTTCTGCGTTCTCGATGAAGTCATGACCCAAGCGATGGCCTGGTAAATATGCGACTCCCACCATTCGGTATTCGTCGCCGCCCAGATGATCCAGTATGAAAGGTATATTGATACCAAAGAGTCCTGCGACACGATATGAGGTTACGTTTGTGACGGTTGTGATCCCAACCATGCCGGTATCTGTCAAGAAGAATGTATACCGAAGGGAATAAAACTCATGACCAAACTTATCCTCGGCGGTAGTTGTGTCTTGCAGACACAGCCGTAAGTATGAAAGCACTTCGTCTGAGGTGGTAGATGTCGAGAGAATGAACTGATGTGTGAGAGCTGCAAGCATTCGATCAGTATAGTCTTGATCCGTCTCCTGATGGAAACTTCTATGTACTTCTTTGAGAGTGAAGGACATATTCGCGACATCCAAGGCTCCAGACCTCGCAATATTTCCAAGATGATGGCCTGCAGTATACAAAATCATGGAGTCGCTCGAGAAGCTTGCTACTGGTGCTATGCCGTGCGCCATATTTATTGTGACTCGAAGATCTTCTGAGGTATACACGTGTATGCCTTTTGTGGGATTACCTCCTGTAAATGATGCCGTGTTTGACGTCCAAGAAGGCATTGTCTGAAAATGCTTGTATGGTTTTGTGTTTCGGAGATTCCAAAACACCATATAAGGGTAGAAGCTTTCTGTTATTATGACTGACGTCGCCTGCGCAAATACTTGCTCGTTGGTCTTTGTGTAGTCGGGAGATATTGGCGTACCGTGAAAGCGGCAAATTCCCAGCAGACCAAACACTCGATCTCGAGGATCTGTCGATCTGAGAAAGATTGTGGATAATAATATGTGGGCAAGTGAGCGTTCACGACTGTATTGTCGTATCTGGGCTAGCCAATGCACTCGTATTGCCTTAAGGAACCCTATGTTTCTTGTTCTGTCCTTGTCGATCAGACTAGCGAGATATAGAGGCTGGGGTAATTTGAAGCCGTCCACCCATTCGTCTAACTCTTGGGGCTGTGTGAGCTGGACAGTAAACGTAAATGCCAACCAGTTTATCCGGCGCAGGCCGCAGTAGACAAGTGGATCTAAACGTGCGAGTGCGAGCTCCTGGGCCACCCAGATTCTTGTGAACCAATCTCTTTCTATTATGTCCTCGAGAGAACCGATGAACCTTGAGACATCATGCTTTTCAAGATCGCCTGTGGAGATAGTTTCCATAACAAAATCACTGTCTTTTCTTGCAGGCCCTAGCCAGATGATGACACGCTCCGCCGACGAGAAGATCGTGCCCATAAATCCAACTTGATGGTTCTTTTCTCGGGTGTCCTCTTGGTGAATAGAAACAGCATCGATCCACATGGTACGACTAGTGTTTTCATATCGAAGATGGCGCATCGCTGCGTCAAGATTGGCGCCAATTCGCATATGTGCCGTGATGTTTGAAGTGGATTCGATTGAAAATGTAAGATTATGTTCTGTCCCATTTTCCACAGTGCCGTCGGTGGGATTCCAAACGTAGGATAAAGCTTCATATTGTGGCTCGTTTTGAAAGTCCACGACTCGAATGATGGCAATGAGAGGATTGTCGAACCTTCCAGGCAGAATCTCCACCAGACGGATCTCTTTCGGCCCTAACGTGTTGAATCCCTCCCTGCGCTGCTCTTGTGACATGTTGGAGCATGCCTCAAGCCATGGGAGGCCTCGACAGTATTACTTCGAGTGATGATAAGAATGTCCACGATGCAGCGACGAGAGACTGACAGGATTTGATATGATGTCTAGATGTAAAATATAGGGTGATCTGACTTCATAAGAAAGCGGCAAAAAGGTTGTGCGGGGTGCTGCCTGGAGCGAGCTGAGCTGCGCCCCAAACCAAAGCTGCATGTAAGGGAGGTGTCAATCAACCATTAATGAGCCTTATTGACCAGTTTTCGCCTATTTAGGCACGCCACTCATCAGCCCCTCAGTATGTGTAGTCAAAGGCTATTGGCTCGACATGCCTAGCAAAACGCCACAAGTCAATACAATTCAACATTTGGCCCCTTCAGGCTCTTTCAGCCTTCCACTACCTTCGATTTCCTCTCATTTGTTTGTCTTGAAGTTCTGCAATACTTCTCAGAGCCATATACTATAGATCTTGATGGCATCGTCATCTGGGCAAGAACATGCGCCTCTGATTCCCGATTTACCAACGACCGGCCCTTTCACAATTGAAATGGGACGGCTAGGAACAAAACCTGGTTTACTTCAGCGTCAGTATGTACAGTAACAGGAACTTGGCCCAGCTGACACAACATTGTTAGTCGAAGAGGAGGGCTTTGATACTATTACCTTCCAGTACGTCACAAAATACTCCTAGATCTTTTTTTTGGCTAATCTATCCGCATATCGGGAGCCAACCTTGCCAACGACTTATCGCGCACAGCGTCTGCCGCAACCTCCAGATCGACGTCTCAGACGCGACAAAAGCCCAAGTTTATCAAAGGCTTTTCGCAAAAGATATCAGATGTCACACAATCCATGAACGCAAAGGCTACCTTTCAGATACGACATAGTCGTAATTAGGGGTGGCGTATGGGTGGCGTATGGGTGTCTTATTGGGGAGCTGCGCTTCTGCCTTCGTCCTTTGTTGCAATATCTGCCTTGTTATCGCGGGTGCCGTCAATCATCTTGGATACGGCAACAACGGGGTCGCTAACTTGATAGAAGATGGCGAGGAAGCGATTGAACGATGGAATACCGTCTTCCACGTTTTCATCAACGCTCTTAGCACCATCTTATTGGCTGGCAGTAATTACACCATGCAGGTCATGAGCTCACCGACGCGTGCAGAAATTGACAAGGCCCATGCCACAGGTATAGTGCTTTTCGAAATACCTTGATACCCCGTGACTTCGTTAGTAGCCTATCGGTTAATTCTCCGGACCTCTGGATTCGCAGAACTATTTAACGTAGCAAAGATATCTAATTAACCTACAAATCCTGTATACCTCTGCTGAATTGGAAGATTATTCCTATTGTTAAGTTGCTAACTTAAGTGGTTACAACTTTCTTAGAAATTCTTTTGTCTCAGAGATACGTTACTCTAGCTCCGATATGACGTACGTAGGATTGATATACACTTGAGTCATGAATTGTACTACTGATATACTAGGCACGTTGTGATCAGTCAATCAACCAATCGGCAAATACACAAGTCACGGGGTATCAAGGTATTTCGAAAAGCACCCATAAATGGCTCGACATCGGGCTTCTTAGCCCTCGGAACTTACGATTCATATCTCAAAGCGTGCAGCCTTGTGCATTGTATTAGCCCTATCGTCGATTCCACTCCATTTGTTATAAGTAATATGCAGTTCGCCTGGATGCAGTTCGCCTGGATGGTGTCTGAGCTCACAGAAACTATTACAATGCTTCTGTATTCAAGATCATCGCAGTCAAAAAATATCAAATTATACCCGTCGATATTTGGTCTGACGACTACGAACGGCGGCATTTCAATGACTCAAGCCGAAGTTGGCCGCAGAATACGTACTTAAACCTGAGCAACACAAGATGGAGGCAGGACTACAGATCACGATATGTCTCCCAATATGGGGACCTGTACCTCGCAATTGATCAAATCGCGTTCGACACACGACAGAGCACTGGAATGTTTTCGACACCTTACTATTTATCTGGAAACTTCTCTGCTAATATCACCGCTCGAAATCTTTCATCTCTATCTCAAGACTGGGTACCGTATTCTTTCGTTGGCCGTGCTACGTCAAACTTAACCACGACGAACCTAACGTCTCCTGCATCTATGCGTGTTGTCAATGGTTTCACGACTATAAACGGGATGAAAAGTCGTAGACAGTTAAGCCTCTACTTCATGGTAATAGTCATTATATTCGATTGTCTCAAGCTTGTCGTTATGATCAACGTTCTCTTCACAGATCCATCAGAATATATCGTCACCCTGGGAGACGCTGCAGCATCATTCCTGGCACGTTCAGGTCTTACCACTAACGGGAACTGTTTGCTAAAAACAGATAAATTATTACTGGATCGCTGATGCCCACCAATCTTTGAAAGTCTGGGCATGGGAGACGAGGAATTTACCTCTCAGTATCTAAAACATGCATGGCAGCCGTGGCCACAACATTACAACTCTTCGGTGCGCATAGACAAGGGTATCCACGCTATTTTGTCATAAGAATCCGTATTCTTCTCTTGAATTCTCACTGACATCAAGCAGAGCCCTGGTCTTGGCCACCGTCATTGTACTGGTTCCTCTACTCTTGAGTAATTACACGAATCCCTGGGCATGGGGAGCTGCATCTGACAATGTTCTCAATTTTGGCTCTGTCAACACCACAATCAAAGGAACACTGTTCAATGCCTGGCTAGCTAACATGCCCCAAGTGCTATTGTCTTTCTGCTATTTAAATCTGAACACGATGTGTACATCCATATCTTGTGCATGAGAATGGAATAACTTTGGGGTTTCTAGAAAAGGTCTTCGAGTTACGAAACCGGCGGGGGAACAACGCAGCACCTATTTTCTGCAACTTCCATACAAGTGGGCGATTCCAGTGATAACAATCAGTGGCATTTTGCATTGGCTATTGTCTCAGACATTCTTCTTGGTTCGTTTCGACTCTTTCGATCGGTTCGGGGAGCTCAAAGATAACAAGTCCAAGTCCGCTTGTGGAACTTCCCTTTCGAGTCTCATCGTCATTGCGTTAGCCCTAGTTGTTGGGTTTAGATGGGTGGAGCGCCGTCCAAAGTTTTCCATCACTACCAACTGCAAATTCCTGCAGTCTATTCATCAGCGCCATGTGCCATCCTCCATCTGGCGAGGTAGATCCACATTTAGGTAGGGTAAAGTGGGGAATATTCAGTAAGGAGCTGGTAGAAGGATATGAACATTGTTCACTTTCTTCTAGATCGGACCGGAAACCGGAGCCAGGCATGGTGTACTATTGATTTAAGATACAATCCCAATAGACAGGCTTGTGGGATATCTTGTGTCGGGAATATTTCCCCTAGATATCTAAACGCAAAGACGCGAGTTGTATGTTATTGATCCGTAAAGATACGAGAAAAGTTACACAAAAGAGATGACTTTGCTCACACTACACCCACTTTCCAACTACATGTCTTCTCAAGAGACTCGTGAATGCTGTTGCTTCGTCAATTACCTAGGGGAAACGATTGCACTTACAATTTAGGTTCAAAAGAGCATCTCTACTGGGTTGATCGTCTATGGAAAACGTTCAATTCTACATATACGATAGCATATGAACATAGGTAGTGACGGATCTGAAGGGCAGCCGTCACAAGTCTTACCCTTTCGATAATCCAAGCATGGTGGTGCTTGTAGTATGAAAATAAATGAAACGCACTGCTTTAGTAAGTAGCTACTCGGTAGGTAGGCTTGATTCTGAAAGCGGTGTGCATGATTGTAACGCATGTTTGTCGGACCACTCTCGCATTGGAGGAGGTGTGCTCATGATATGATAGTAATCCTAGACATCAAAGCATTCAAGAAGAACCCGGAAGCTTAATGTTCCACTGTGATTGTACAGGCGGCGCGTAGCTTAGTGAAGGCGCGTCGCGTTGACGTCACGCGCTGCGATATGAGATATGAGTGCTACCTATCTTCGTTTGTCAAGAACGAGCAACCGCGCTTGCACCGACACATCTGACTGGTGGCTGCGATGTTTTGACCTTCATGTCACTCTCATCAGCGTGGTTCGGCATCTCCTCTATCTAGCCCCACGCAACACTTCGCTGACAAGAACAGTATTACTCACACTTCGCTCCAGCATGGCGGCTGCTCGCAGCATCCCGATTGCGAGGACTATGTCTAGCCCCGCAGATCCAGGCGCGCCTTCACTTATCACCACGATTCCACCAGAGCTCCGAAATAACATCTACGACTTGCTCTTCAAATACAACTCCCATGTACTCCTCCACGATGTGAAGGAATACCGTGCACGTATCGTCTATCTCGCTACGGAAGTCTATACAGATGATGAGGATGACGAGTTTCAACAAAAGGTTGAACTACGCAAGGAGCTGGAGGAGACCGGCGTGGAGCACCTCGCTGAAGACGAGGATTTCCACCATGATCTCAATATCTCGCTACTTCTATCTTGCCGACTAATATACCATGAAGCAACGAGCATACTTTATGGCTCTAACACCTTCCTCTTTTCGAGGGTTCTCAACCAAGAAGACTCGCATTGGTACGACCAGTTTATGTATGCTCCGAAGTGGTTGTCGAATATCGGTTCCCAAATCCGTCTACTAAGGAGGGTTTCCATCGACTTCGACGCGGTATGCCCTGTTATTTGCGCACATAGCGATGCACACCGGAATATCAACTGGCTGCCTTTGCTTAGGATCATCTGGGCCAATCTGGACGCAGAATGGAAAATCAGTTTTGCTCATACTGGACGGCTCGTAGATAACGAACATTCAGTTGTATATGACGAGCATGAGAGGACGCCTACCTTCGTCTTGAACAACATCTTGGATGCTTTGGGTAGAAGAGATGTGCTCAACATCAAACGGTATGCTAAATTCGAGCGACTCATGCCGGTGGTCGTTATTCGAAATCGTTCTGGTTCTGTTGATGGTTATGCTAGCCATCCGTCGACAGGCCAACCGGCGGACCTCGACACTAGTTATCGGTTTGCGAACTATGACTGCGTTTTTCCTGATAACCAAATGTTCCTTTTCTTCCATGCAGATGACGGTGGCCACATCGTCCGAGCAAGACTTGAAGAGAAACATCTGTTACAATTACCAGATGACGTCCTTCGTTCCATCTACCGGTACACTTGTTTTTCAAAAACCGGCGTGACCTTTGATCTCACGTCGCATGTCGCACGCGGTCTTGAGATGGCCCTTCTTGGGGTGAGCCGACGCCATCGTTACGAGGCAGAGTACGATACAAGCTGGAGCAATCCATGGATGAACAATAAGTTCACAGTCAGTATGACCACTGAGACTGCCAAAACCGATTTTGGTGAGTTCGTTTTGTTACACGAGTGGTTGAAAATCGAAAATTTCAAACGCATGGTATTCGCGAGGCGCCCAAACCCGGATCATTTGCCTCGCATCGTGTTAGAATTCAACCTTGACACTCGAAAGACGTTTCTCGATATTCGCATCAACATCAAGAGTCTGCTGCATCCCATTCATGAGCTCGACAATCGATCTACCATACTCATCTCGCTCAAACATGTCATCGACAATGCCACGCACCGACAAGATACCCGCATCACTTTAGGCAAGCTTCGACGAGACATTTTCATTCTTCTCTCCGAGATGATCGCGTTTGGATGGACTCTCGACGATTCTCTTCCAGAACTCTGGTTCAATGGAGAGGGAACCCTGCTTTGTGCCAACTGCCCTGCCACTGTTACCACGCCAGCAAGTAACCTGAAGTATCACCACGCTGGTCTTGACACAACAAACATCATCAGTCGAGGATACCGGGAAATCGAAAATATAACTGCGGAATTTCCCGAGGTGAGAAACATGCGAGCTAGTAATGGGAACGCTATGACAGGCACTTTTCCTGCATGTTCTGTAATGGGTACATGGATAGCTTTACGCGACGTTGGCTGGGAGGACTGGTGGTACCAAAAACGTATCTGTGAGTGATACCAAAGGCTTACTTACAACTCCTGAGTTCACTAACAACTCCAGGAAAGGAGAATTGGAGGGTTTCGGTGATGGTCCAGGTACACATATTCAACCATCATTTACTTCAGCGAGTATTTTGAAAAGGGGACATACATCTTTCGTCACAGTCAGCGCGCATGAGCGTTACCGCTACCAATAAAATTCCGTTGAAGATGGCCTCAGTTTCTGTACATCACTTGATAGTCATGGGTACATCAAGGCATGGAAGATATAGGATGCTTTACTGTTATGACTAGTGTGTTTAAATGGTCTCATCCACTCGACCACGTGCATTGTGTCAACATGTGTATGTATAATCAATAGTTTGCTAGATGTCAGTAATAGATTTCAGCACAAACTTTCATGTGTTCGCTATATATCCACTGATGTATGTTGGTTTCTACGCAGACAGCACCCTCCTCTAGTCATCAATTTTGGCACGCTTTGACCGACTCCAGTGTTGAATTCCAAGTTTATAAAGCACAGTTTTTAGTCTCCAGATTGAAGTTTGACATAAGGTTGAGAAAATAACGTGAATATCACAAAGGTGTAGAACAAGACAAACATGAAGGTACAATGACACATTACTACCTATCAACTAACTAATCATACACTGAACAAAAGCTATTCAAAAGTCTCCAGACGCCACGGCTAAGTATTCAAAAACCGGCGAAATTTTGCGCGTACACATCCTCCCCATTGGATCGGTCCAAGTGACCAAGACCCTCGAGACAGAAACCTTCCAGCCCCCCGACCGTCCAGCTCGTTTCAAAGAGTCTCAGACACCCAGACCGTGGTATCATATCACATTATGCAACAGTCTTAGCCAAAAAGAAACATCGTCATCATCCGCTCACGCATCCTCAAGAGGAGGCGTTTACTTCTTGCCGAGCAGACCGCCGACAAGCGGGATGTTGCTCGCACCTCCACCCTTCTTCTCGCCCTTCTTCTTGCCTCCACCGAGCATGTCGGAGATGGAGCCCAGACCAAGGCCGCCGAGCAGCTTGTTGATACCAAGACCACCCAGCAGACCGTTGACAAGGCCACCGAGACCAAGGCCGTTCAGCAGCTTGCCAACCAAGTTGAGTACACCTGTGAGTAGCAGACCAACAGCGGCGATGATCTGGAACAGGGGCTCGGTGAGCAGGGACCAGAGCGGGTTGAGCTTCTTCTTGGCGTGGGGCATGTCGGAGATCTTCTTCTTCGCGTTGTCGATGGTGGTGACAACAGATGTTGTGAGCTCCTTGAGGAGATCGGCGAGCTTGTACTCCTCGGGTGAGGCTTCGCCGGTCTGCTGGCGGCCCTTGGCCTGTGCGGCGATGCGGCCATCGGGATCGAGACCACGGAGCGAGCCGTTGCACTCGTTCAGGATACGACCACCCTCTTCGATGAGGGGCTTGACGTTGTTGACAAGTTCCTCTTCGTCGAGCTCGTCGCGGGGCGTGCGGTCAGCTTGCTCAATGTACTGTGTAGATGTTAGAAAATGATATCGATGAGAAGTGAAGAAGAAAACATACCTCAGTGATCTGCTTCATGACAGGCTGGACACGCTCAAGTGTCTGCTGGCAGATACCGGCCATCTTCTCGGCAAGCTTAGCGTCCTCACGCCTCTGCTTCTCCTCCTCGGTCTCATCCTCAGGAATCTCCTCTTCCTCTTCTTGGATGTTCTCGAGGAGAGTGACCTCGCCGACCTTGTTGCCGTCGTTGTCAATAACGTAGCCATTGTCGTCGATCTCAAGGCCAGAGCAGTGACCGAGGTCACCAGCAGTGAGACGACCAAGAACGTCACCGTTCTCGTCTCGCACCTCACCCTCCTTGTTGACACGCATGCCAGACATGGGGTTGACACGGCGCTCCTTCTCCTCGGGCTCCCAGCGTTCGGCCTTACCGATCACGTTGCCGTTCTTGTCGTTAATGTCGCCTTCCTCATCGACCTTGTGGCCGGTGAGTTTCCTGACGTCACCTTCGATGACACGACCAATGATGGAACCATCGGCAGTCTGAACGGTACCGTCTTTGACAACGGTGTTGTTATCAAATCCAGCGAAGGGACCCTCGGGTCCGGAGGGAGCGCCGTGGACCAACTCAGCACGTCCGATGACATTGCCTTCGTTGTCCCAGATCTGGCCCTTACCGTCAACTTTCTTGCCAATCATGGTGGATGGGTCACCTTCAGCGACACGACCAAGAACTGTTCCGGCGGAGTCAACGACGTTGCCGGCCTTGTTAACAGTGCAGCCAGCAAGAGCGCTGACGTCGGCCTCCACAGGTGCCTCTGGCTCCTCCTCGGTGTAGGGCTCGGCGTGACCCTTCACGTTACCGTACTTGTCGATAATATCACCGTCTTCGTCAACCTGGTGGCCGACAAGCTTCTTCTCGTCACCTTCGGTGATTTGACCAACGCGGTTGCCTTGGGCATCATCAACGAAACCGTCCTTGACGACGCGCAGACCTTCGTAGCCTGCAAACGGTCCTTCCTTGCGGTTGACACGCTCGTTGTCGGGGATAAGCTCGCAGCGACCAACGACCTTGCCGGTATCACCATGGATGAGACCCTCGCCGTCAGACTTACGACCAGCCAGCTCCTTGAGGTTGCCCTCAACAAGCTTGCCGACAGGGATGCCCTCATTATTGACAAGGTAACCCTGCTTGTTCAGAGTAAGACCATCGAGGCTGGACAGATCCAAAGGCTCCTCTACGACCTCCTCCTCGTCCTCGAGCGGCTCAGCATGGCCCTTAACGTTGCCGTACTTGTCGAGGATGTCACCATCCTCATCGACAGCCATACCGACGAGACGCTTAGGGTTACCTTCAACGATATGGCCAACAACATTGCCATCTTCGTCAGCAACCTGACCATCAGCGATCACACGGAGATCCTCAAGACCGGCGAAAGGTCCTTCGGGCTTGGCCTCGCGCTGCTCGGCGGGAATGAGCTCGCAACGACCGATAACCTTACCGGAGTCGTTCCAGATCTGGCCGTTCTCGTCAATCTTCCTTCCAGCGACCTCCTTGGGGTTGCCCTCGACGAGACGGCCGATAGGAACGCCCTCATCTCCGATGACGTTACCGGCCTTGTTGACCTTCTTGCCAGTAAGAATCGAGAGATCCTCAGGCTCCTCGGGCTCGGCCTCTGGCTCAGCCTCCTCCTCAGGCTCTTCGTAGCGCTCGGCGTGGCCAACAACTGAGCCTTTCTTGTCAAGGATGTCACCGTCCTCATCAACGGCACGTCCAACGAGCTTCTTCGCATCGCCTTCGACAACTTGGCCAACACGGTTGCCGTTCTGGTCCTCGACGAAGCCGTCCTTAACAACGATGAGACCTTCCAGACCAGCGAAAGGAGATTCCTCCTCTCCTTCCTCAGGAGCGATGGTCTCGGCGCGGCCGATGACCTTACCCTTGTTGTCCCAGAATTGACCTTCGGCGTCGCTGGTGGTGCCGGCCTTGGAGAGCTTCTTGGCGTCACCCTCTACGAGCTCACCAACAATGTTGCCATTGGCGTCGATAAGCTTGCCGGACTTGTTGACCTTGAGGCCTTCGAGGATTGAGAGAGGCGGGCGGCCATCTTCGGCTGCTTCCTCGGCGTCTGCCTCTGCGTCTTCGGCGCCCTCCTGAGCATCCTCAGCTGCTGCCTCGGCATCTTCAGCGTCCTCGGCCTTGTCAGCCGCCTCTGCCTTTTCGCCTTCGGCATCTTCAGCCAAGTCAGCTGCTTCAGCCTTCTCGCCTTCAGCACCTTCGACAGCATCCTGGGCGTCTTCAGCGGCGTCTTGAGCATCGTCGGCGGCATCGCCAGCATCGCTGGCGGCATCCTCAGCCTCCTCAACCTTCTGCTCGACGATCTGGGGGAGAGCCTTGACCTTTCCAAGGACGTTTCCATCCTTGTCAACGACTTCACCCTTCTCGTTGATCTTCTTACCGGCGCACTCAGAGGCTTCGCCTTCAGTAAGTTCAGCAATGGGCTCACCGTCCTCGTTCAGGACTTGTCCCTTCTTGTTGACCTTCAAGCCTTCAAGAGTGTTGAGTTCAGGGGTGATCTCAACCTCCCTGACTTCAGGCTCCTTCTCCTCCTCATCCTCGACTGGCTGTTCAACCATCTGGGGCAGGGTCTTGACCTTTCCGAGAACGTTTCCGTCCTTGTCGACAACCTCTCCCTTCTCGTTGATCTTTTTGCCGGCGCACTCGGATGCCTCGCCCTCGGTGAGTTCTCCGATAGGCTCGCCATCCTCGTTCAGGACTTGACCCTTCTTGTTGACCTTCAGGCCATCAAGAGTATGGATTTCGGGGATGACCTCGACCTCCTTGACTTCGGGTTCCTTGTCTTCCTCGTCTTCGGCATCCTCGGGCTTGTCTTCCTCAGTCTCCTCGGGCTCTTCGGTCTCGCCAAGGCGCTCCTTGAGTTCCTTGATGGCGTCGAAGGCAGCCTCGCCAGCAACAACGTCAACCTTGCCGATGACGTTGCCATCCTTGTCGAGGACTTCGCCCTTCTCGTTGACGGTCTTGCCGGCGCAGTCTGCGACCTCGCCATCCTTGAGCTCGCCAATCTCCTCGCCTTCCGCATCGAGAACCTTGCCCTTCTTGTTGACTTTCAGGCCGTCCAGGATGCGGGTGTCAAGAGCGCCGGACGCAGCCTCCTTGAGCTTGTCGGCAGCGCCCTCAGCAAGTTCAACCTTGCCAAGCACATTGCCCTCGGAGTCAACAACTTCGCCCTGGTCGTTGACAGTAAGACCCTTGAGGTCTTTCATGTCGCCTTCAGCGTCTGCGACATGGCCAACGACATCACCGTCATCGTTGAGGATGTCGCCTTCAGAGTTGATTTCCATGCCTTGTAGGGCCTCGACGCCGGGAAGTTCGTCCTCGACGTCAGCGGCAGCATCCTCAACATCATCCTTTGCGTCTTCGGCCGTGTCCTTGACATCGTCCTTGGCGTCTTCAGCGTTCTCCTCAACGTCCTTCTTAGCCTCCTCGGCCTTGTCAGCGACGCCATCGACGGCTTCGTCTGCCTTGTCGTCCTGGTCCTCGTCGTCCTGGTCGACCAACTCGGCAGCGTCGGGGTGGATCTCGGCGCGAGCGATGACATTGCCGTCCTTGTCGAGGATCTCGCCCTTCTCGTTGAATTCCATACCCTCAATCTCGGATGGATCACCCTCGACGAGGTGGCCAATAAAGTCACCATCCTCGTTCAGGATCTGGCCAGACTTGTCGGCAGTGAGACCCTTGAGAACGCTGATATCGGGCAGCTTGGGACCATCAGCGGCGTCTTCGGTCTTCTTCTTTTGCTCCTCTACAGCGTCGGGGAGAAGCTCGCAACGACCGACAAGATCGCCATCGTCGTCGAGAATCTCACCGTTGTCGCCAATGGGGTATCCAGCAAGATCTTCAGCATCGCCTTCGACGAGACGGCCAATCGGTTTGCCGTCTTTGTCGTTAACGAGTCCCTCCTCGTTGACCTCGAGGTCCTTCAAAACGCTGAGATCGGGGCCGTCTGGGATATCTTGGCCAGTAGCGTCTTCAGCAGAGTCTTTAGCGTCGTCGGCTGAATCCTTTGCGTCACCAGCCTTGCCTTTGGCGCTTTCGACAGCATCTTCAGTGGTGTCCTCAGCGTCTTCTGTTGCATCGTCTGTCGCATCATCTGCAACGTCCTCGACATCATCCGCTGCATCGTCGGCGGTGTCCTTGGTGGATGTCGCTGCGTCGTCGGTGGTGTCTTTTGCGGTTTCCGCCTTGTCGTCTGCTGTGTCCTTCACGTCCTCAGCAGCATCCTCAGCGGTGTCCTTTGCGTCTTCACCAGCGTCCTCGACAGTGTCTTTTGCGTCTTCGCCAGCATCTTCGACAGTGTCTTTGGCGCTTTCGGCGGTATCCTGAGCGGTGTCTTTAGTGCTCTCAGCAGCATCCTCGACGTCGTCGCCGGCTTCCTTGGCAGCACCCTGTGGGTCCTTGGACGCCTTACCAGCGAGGTTTGACGCTCGGCCAGCAAGTCCGCGAGCACCACTCAGGGCACCCTCGGTCTTTTGCTGACTCTCGTCGGTTGCCTTACTAGCAGTGTCTGTGGCGTCATCCTCGGTGTTGTCGTTTGTCTCATCTTCATCCTGGTCTTCGTCACCAGCCTTCTGAGTGGCGTCATCGTCGTCGTCAGCCTCATCCTCAGCACCAGTCTCCTCGTCGTCGTCGAGTGGCTTTGGCTCAGCCTGCTCGAGCTCATCGCCCGCTTGTGAGACCTTGCCTGTTGTGTCTTCGGCGGCATCTTCTGCCTGCTCCTTTGTGTCTTCGGCAGTGTCTTTTGCCTGGCTCTTGGTGTCCTCGGCCTTCTCCTTTGTGTCTTCTGCCGTATCCTCACCGGCCTTCTTGGTCTCGTCTACCTTCTCAGACACATCGGGGGCGGGGGACTCCTCCGGCTTTGCCTGGGGCTTGTTGAGCTTAGGGGCGGGTGGTTGTGGCTTTCGTCCGAGCTTAGTGGGAGTGCGGGGGACTTCACTCTTTCCTGCAGCTGGGGAAGGCATGTTGGGTGGTTGTTGTCGTATTTCGTAAGGAGATGTGATTGTTCGTTGACTCGTACCAGACACGTTACTTGAAATAGATTGTGAACGTCTAGAACGGGGAGAGTTTCTATTAGGTGTAGGGGGGAAGGAGTAATAGGTGTAGGAGTTGGAGGAGTTTTCTGTCATGTATGGATAGACGATCGGCTCGTCTTTGTAGCTGGAGGAAAGCTGCCAGGGGGCCAAGGCAGGCAAGCATTTATGAGATCAGAATGGACACGATGGATTGATTTCGCATAATGACGTAGAATTCTAGAGTTCAATGAGGCAAATAGCAGGGGAAGCTTGCGCCGCAATGCTGCTCATTGGGTAGCAGAAACTTGTTTTGGGGGCTCGATGGTGTAGTGTGTACGACGAAAGGCGACGAACCAGAGGAGCATTGCGTCACTTGCTTGGGATTCGAGCGGGGCGAGGGCTCCATACCTTGACGAGCTCCACCCGTGAGGTGAGACAAGGGCGGGTAACAGCTGTTACAGGGGTGGAGGAACTGTGCCTAGAACTGGGATAGAAGCATCGTCGATGACAGCGGGGGGGTCGGCTTCCCACTTTGGTTCAGTAATACGCGTCTGGAGTTGCCCTGCCACAGAAAGTGGAGCTCATATGCTTGGTTCACATGTCTGAGTTTGTCAGTTCGAAGGATATCTCAGCAGTTGCGAAAGAAACACATTTGATCTGACAATACATACACGAGCATTGAACTCATCTCATGTCAGACGACATCCCAAAGACGCGTGAGCACGAGGGGGAGCTACTCGCTAAGGCATACTGCGAGCAGGAAGATGCATCCAGACTCGATCAACGCCACAGTTCTCGCAAAGTCCACCCGAGGCGCCCATCGCAGCGGTTATCCCTGACAGTACGCAAGCCAGTGTCGTATCGTCGCCCTATCAAAACTATCGGAGACCCTAGAAAAGAGCAATTGTTGCCGTGTCGCGTTCCAAACAGGTTGGCGCACCTTGCAGTGAGAACGACCTAAATGACGTAGTGCGCTGGGGAGTACCCATGTTCAGGATTCTGAAACCTGGCATCTAGACAACCCTTCTAGGAAGTAAGACGATCGCCGCATGCCGCAAGTGGGAACGTTTATCGTGAAATTAATGGAGTCCTTATCAACCATGGAACACACATGTCGGCGAGCGGAGCCCCTGCATTGCCGTCGTGGTGATCAGGAACAGTGAGAATACTGGAGAGTGGTGACTTGAGAGAACAGACGTTGTTCCCGCTTTCGCCTGCGAGATCCGCTAGCTGGACCACTGGCAGAATCGTGCCGCTACCGCCCGTTACACGATGCACTAAAGGAAATCGCCAACGTCGCCTGAACCTTATGTCACTGACCTGTCACTTTTGTCGCCTCATGAGACATTGCCATCTCGCTTGCGGAGATTTCGGTGCGAGACGCACAGTAAGTGCCTCAGGGCATCCCGCCTCACGGGACACCAATCCTGTTCCTGAAGCCAATAGCGGCGCACGATACAGGACTTTGGAAAGCTAAAGGCTCATCTTTCCGTCATGCTAATTCACCAATGCCCATTTTCCGTCATACCACAATTTCAAGCTGACTCGACGAGAAGACACATATACCTTGGTCGAAAAAGGGAGAACTCGAATACTGGGTCATGACGTCGAACCATCTCCGTCTGCGGGAAGACGCATGGACTTCGGATGTACGTTCCTACTTTCAGGTACCTGGAAGGTCATCATGACTCAAGCATCACGATCGAGCGGGATGCTTAGCCGAGCACTCTTTCGGTTATTGTACGCCAAGAACTGGCTAGAGCTTCTCGCCTATGTTTTGTGTCTGGTCGCTATTCATGAAAAATTGAATGTATAACGGCTATTCTGACAAGTTCTTGAACAAGGAGTCGATAAGCACAAAACATTACTTTGTATATTAGTTTCCAAGACGAACGCATTACTGGTTGCATTTGCAATGCAGACTTGCAAGAGGATATCACACTAAGCAACGCACAGCACTACAATACCCAATCCGCAACTATGCATGTGTATATGCAGGAACACTCAGATGTGCTCATAGCGCAGGGCCCACCACATCTCGCGTCCCTCCAGGCGGTATTCCGCTCTCCACGTCTTCCCCCGGCCTGCTCAGCCACTTCTTCCTCTTCTGCTCCTTAGCTTCTTTGCGTTCCTCATGCGTCAACCCGTCCTTCTCACCGCTGCCAACACTAAGTCTCTTCCAGATCCTACGTTTCCAGCTCTTGTCTTTCTTCTCTGCTTCCTCTTTCTCTGCTTTCTGAGCAAGCAGCTGCCTCTCTTTCTCCGCGCTCTCACTTTTGTCTTTCTGCTGCTCTTTCTTCTGCTCATATACTTCAGGATGCACAACTTTCGTCTCGGCGTCTTTGACGTGTCCGACGCCGTGTTTGAACTTCCTACGAGTCTTGACGTATGCTTCGAGCCCGACGAGAACGGCGTAAGAGCGCGAAATGGAGACGCGCGACATGTCAACGCCGTTTTCTTTCATGGAATGGACGAAAGCGCGGAAGTTCTTAGTTGGAGGACGATAGTGGCCAGATAGAGGGGAAAGGCGGCGAAGCTGGCCGTCCTTGATCCTAATAAGTCCGGCGGAAGAAATGCGTGCGCCATGGAGAAAGGAGCTGTGTTGAAAGGCGCCTGATTGCTTGATGCCAATGTAGAGTCGAAACGATGTGTCCGCAACCTGTCTCTGGATGAGTGACACTCTTTGAGTATCCAAAAACGAATGGACTTACGAAGATCCAGGAGTTTGGTTTTACTGAACTCCGCAACAGATGGTTCAAAACGGTAGCTGCGGACACGTGCTTGAGTTTCGAAATGCCCTTCGCTTGGTCCAAATCGTCATTAACATAGTGCTCCCCTTCAACGTCGCTGTGTTCCACGGAAGAGTCGGAACTTGATATGGATGATGATCTCGTGAGGACCTTACTCTGTCCGTCGTGAAGGAGTGAGCCATTAGGACCGTAGGCTGGTGTATCATCGTCCACTGGAACCACGCCGTTCACACTGTCCTTGTAATCTGGCGTCGTGCTGATTCGTTGTCCGTTCTTTGCCCAACAGAGTCGCCCATCACTGTCTATCGTGACCAGGTAGCTCAAACGCTCCTCTCGTGACAGATATCGCACTTGTTCCTTGTCTAGTCTCTCTCTCGAGACAGTAGGGTGTTCGAAGCGCCTGCCTTCCCCCTTATCGAGCCAATAGAAGAAATTCTCATTTGTGTCGGCCTTCTTCCACTGCTCATGGTATGCACGGAGGTTGCTACCGTACCGGTGCTTCTGATCCACCATCTCGAGGAAGTACTGCAAATCCATCATCTTGGCTGTCTTCTCGCGCTCAGACTTCGCATGGCCAGTCTTCTTCCGCTGTTCTGTCCGCTCCTCTGATGTAAGCTCGCCATCGGAATGTGAGCCGTCTACGGGGTCGTCTGCGCCTGCGCGTCTCGCGATCTCCCCTACACGTTTCCAGTTCTGTCGTGCCGCTTGCGAATTCGCTCGGGCGTGTTGTTCGGGTGTGGTAAGAGACTCCCGTCTCTGGGCCTGTAGGGCTCGGGACTCTGGTTTGGTTGTACTGCGCCATTTCGCTTGTACGTTTAGCATAGGCGTACTTGTAGACTTGTCACGGGTGGAAGCTAACCATCTCGCACAACCTATATCATATTAGTATGCTGTTAGAGGCTTGGAACTGGCAGCGCAGGGCGTCAGACCTCTGCCCAGCGTGCGTTAGCATCCAGCCCTATGCCTTGGAGCTGCCGCCGTTCCCTATACCCGCGATAGTTACGCTGTATCATCTGTGCGGCGTCCTCTTGCTGCTTGTCTTGGATTGGCCCCGCATTGCCCGCCGTGTGAACAGGCGCAACATCCTGGGCTTCCATATCGATAATCGCGACCGGTGTGGGTAGTAATAACTTCGAACCCTCACGACTTACGATACGCCAGTAGAGTTGGCCTCGATGATGACAAGCAGCGGAACGTTGCGCGAAGTGGTTAGCGGACTACTGATCCCTGGACAAGTTCACTCGAGTCAAAGGTGAGTTTGCCAGTTGCCGGAGAATCGTACGATTGGCTCGGCTTCCGGCCAATATTGACGTCATTTTGCAGTACAACACCAACGAACATCACCGACCTCAGACATCGACGCGTGTACATGCATTATTTGGCATAGGTGTAGACTTGTAGCACTCATAACCTTCCACAGAAATCACAAGTATGAACGTTAATATGATATTGCTAAATTGGCTGCTCGGATTGAAACACGATATAGATTTAACACGGTATCACTATCGCAATGTAACGTAAAGACAGCTTTGTTGCATAATATCGCCCGACTCTTAGCTGACTGCCTGCAGAATCAGCCCGTCCTCCATTGATTGATCGTATCGCGGAGATAAGCGAGAGTAACGAACATCACCTTCTGCACAGAAGCCAACTCTTGGAAGTCTATGAGTCTTAGTCGAACATGTTCATCGGGATCACTTGAAACAACTGGCGCTCGTACTTAGTATACCGTTGACTCAACAAAGACAGAAGTAAAGAGGCCATTCCGAACAACACAAATACACTGGCGCTTCACACACAAACCACAGTTCTGCAACTACTTCACGAATAATACTACGGCATTTTGACGAAGCACGTCGCAACTCCCAACGACGCATTTACTTTCCTTTTTCAGCAACGCGTCTCACTTCTCGAAAACGTGAACCCTTAATCCATAGCAAAGAACGATGTTACTTCATCAGCGCGACGATATTCCTTGCCTACGCCCAAAACTCGAAATACAAATACCATTAGGGGATTTTCAATTATTACACTGTTTTTCGAAGAATGTGTCCCATCCTTCACTTGCAGATAGTCAATGTTGATTCAACACTCGCTCGATTGGATGGGTTTCAAATGATCGTGCTTCCTTTAGGTTTGCTTCTCCTAAAAAAAGAAGTGTGCCCAAAAAGCGAGCAGGTTCGCCTGAATCAACAAGGATAGGAACCAGCCCATCGAAAAAGGCAGCCTAGGAATTGAAGTCAAGACAGAACGCTCTAATACCCAGGATCCACATGAGACAACAATCTTCACGGTTCCTAGAGGGAGTTCAAGCCAAGTTGGGGCGTTGGGGGTGGTGTAGGTGTTATGAGAACTATGTAGCCCAAAATAGTTGAGGTAAGGCTAGAACACTAACGCATTCTGCAGAGTGTTTCAGATTGGACAGGTCTTTGAAGCCAGCGAATGACAAGTACCCACTCTAGGTCGCTCGTTCCGTATCAGGAAATGGCTACCTCATCTCGACCGACAATGGGAGCTGTCTTTGAGTCCTCAACCGAGTAGTATATCGTGTACGCTGGTCCATCAGATTTGGTCTCGTATATTCCACATTCTCGAACTCGACATGTGGATTATGTTACGCTTTCTTCGTTGTTTATTTGCGCACGCACGATCCTTAGCGTCACGACAACTCATCCGTCGGCCTAGGGATGATTACCCTCAGCGCAACTCAACCCCAAACCTCGACCGCCCGCCACAATCACGCCCGACCATGGTTCCGCTGTCAATTTTTGCGCCCTTACAGCAGCTGGGGTCTGCCTACGAAACTTCGATGGTCACGCCTCCACCTAAAATCATAAACGAGACGCCCAAGGATACCACCACCGACGCCTTTCACGCTACACGCTTAAAGATGTGAGTTTGTCTGATGAAACTACGCACCAAAGTGTACTAATCGTCACATTAGCGCGCAACGAAACCAACATGATTCTCCACTCCTTGGTCTCCCTGCCGAGCTCAGGAACAAGATATACGGATATGTCCTATGTGGAAAAACCATCGCATTCGAACTCTTCCGAACAGTGCCAGGATTTGACGAAAACAACTTCAATCTCCTTCGGACCTGTCGCCAGATACATGCTGAAGCCCAGCTTCTCCCATACGCCAAGAACACATTCTTGATCGGCGACAGATCTCAGTTCAAACAATGGCTTCAACAGCGTACTGCCCTTCAGATTGATGCCATCTCTACAATCCACCTTCGTTTCACGCTTGGAATCAACAATTCGTCGGCCGACTATCGGTGGCGACTCAACCGCACACACATATTCACGAAAACCGATAAGCTCGAAATGGCTTTCCTCGAGATCCCTAACCTGAGGAAGATAATGATTGTTGCAAGGATGATGGTTGACCCTGATTGGAAGAGAATGAACCCCATCACATCCAGGCCAGACGCCGAAGATGTACTTAGGTGCATAGAGGTCCAAAGCAAGCCTGTGGAAGCGGCTAACCCTGGAGTTCGCATTGTTGTGGAGTACGAGTTTCTTTATCACGCTTGCTCTATATTGTTCTGATATATGGCGCACAGAAAGACGGAGCATCGCGAAGAAGTTGAGTTTGGATCGAGCTACGAGAATGTCAGGGATAGGTGGGCCTATACCAAGGCAAATTGACACGTTAATACCCTCGAAGGGTAGAGTTAGATATACATGTCGTGCTCTCCCGATATTACTTTACAGGCTTCACCATCGGCATTATCGATCATGAGCTCCTAATCCTAATTCTATTACCTTCTTTTTCAAACGCCAATATCATCTTCTAAAACTGCACTACCCACTCAAACATGGAGTAGCTGAATAAATTCATTAAGTCTATATAACTTTGGCTGAGAGATGATTGTGATATAATAGTCGCATGTGGTTGAAGCGTCTAATTTAAACTTACATCTTCCGAGAGTTATTTAAACACTCGTAGCCCTGGAAAATGAGATGTATATATTTATCTATGTTTTGACTGTAAGGTTGTTCAGTCGGCTACTCGTGCGTCATCCTTTTGCGTTTGTTCACATTCTCCAACCTCCTTCCCAGCCTCCTCTTTTAGCAAATATTCTTTCTGAGTTACGCCACCCGATTTAGAATCCATGGTCACTTCAACCACATCATCAGACTTTTCCGCCGTATTTACGAATCATCAACAACACTATTCATCCGTGTGTCGACGAGCACACGACCTCACAACTATCAACCCACCCATAGTGTCCATAAACCTACCACCGAAACCATGGCAACAAGCCTCCACTACGTGCTGGCTACTGTGGGCCTCGTCCTACTCCTCCTTAGCGTAACGGCAATAATGTTCTGGCTCCTGGGCATCGACCAAGTAATCAAAGATTTGATGCGAAACAAGAAGCGCCGCACACGATCAACGCGTGCAGAAGAGATCGAGCTCGAACAATACACGGATGTACAGAAGCGAGCGAAGGAACGGAGGAGGAAAGAAGCAGCGAAGAGGTGGGAGGAAAGCAGGGCTAGGAGAGAAGGTGGGTACTTTGCTGGTATGGGGAAGGCATATCATGAATCGTAAGCTGAGGCGGGAGTGTATGAGGAAGAGTACGAGGTTCTTAGTGTTATCTGTCGTGTAGGTTGAGGGTTGAACGTAATTGTTACCGCTTGACGAGTTTGTTTTGAGTCGTATGTACTGCAAAGTCGATATGCAGCATAGTCTTGACCGAAGTTGATGATGAATCGGTGTCGACACATTCCCAGATTCGATGGAGGTTGAACGAGATGATGAGAGTGAAGATGCTGTACTCCATACCCCTCTTCACTTTCACTCCAGCAATCCATTCACTTATGACGCGGTGTTTGCATCTTCCTCTCTCACGCGTATGCCCTATTCCACCACCCCCACAACCTCACACTTTCTTCTTGCTTCAACTACAAGTCCACTAACATGCCTGTTCTGAATCCGTCCACACAAAACACGAAAGACTTCCCTCTCGACTTCGAACTCATATGGGTTCTCACTGCAGTCGCCGGTATCCTCGTCCTCGAAGCGTTCGCTACAATCGCGTATCTCCGATGGCACGATCGGTCGAGTAAGGCTAAATGGAAGCGTTTGCGAGAGCGAGGCGTTGTCGTCGTCGACGGACCGGTCCTGATGTGGACTGATAACTTGCCGCCTCGCCCAACAAACTCGACTTTCAATCTGCATCAGACTTTGCAAACGCCCGCGCACTCGAGGCACGACTTGCGCCTGGCTACATCGGTTCCACCTAATATTTGGATAGTATAGGGAGATGGACGTATGCCTGTGTTACTTTTAGGAGCGGCTTGATTGGCATATTGATCTGGCTTACTTCTTTCCATTGCAGGAGTGAAGGAAAGGTCTAGAGGAAGTCGTACCACGTGTACAACTCGAAAGAACCACAATTTGTGTCTACTGCGATCACGAAACCGACCGGCGCTTGCCAGTTTGACTTCAGTCAAGCACTCATTGTTCACATGAGTTGTAGCAAGCCTCTCCTCAGTATTTCAACGACTGAGAAGATTTCCTTCCAGTCCTTCTTCACCCCACCTCACTCTGTTCTTCCAAATCAACATCCCACATTCCAACATGTCAAGCAACAACGCGTCCAACCCTTCCGGCTCCGACTCTTCCTCTGGCGGTAAGGGTAGCTACGAAGTCACGAGCTCTGGCACCAACGATCAGGGCAATCACTACTGTCATCGCAATCATGGCTCCGATGCTTCAAACCAGAACTCATACCACTACTCCAATACGTGAGTCTCCATGATCCCAGGGATTGTTTGTGCTGATTGTGACTAGCGACGGTTCATACTACTACTCGAATGCCGATGGATCGACGTACCATAATGATGGGAAGGGTGATGCCACCTACACGCCGTCCGATGGGAAGAAGTAGTATCTGGGCTGCTGGAAGAAGATGGGATTTCACTGCAGTATGTTTAGGGAAGGAGGACTTGTCGTCTGTTTGATAGCTCTTGAATACCAAGCATGTCTTGAGACTCATATCTTCCTACGGCTTTTAGGAAATGATCGATGAACTCAAAAGCTGGCGTGTGATTATCGCAGACTACGCCGTGGCCATGTTTTGGTCCTTGCACGCCACGTCATCCGGATCCTTTTCCGTCTGTCTCTTTTGGAGGGTTCTCGATACTGCAAATGATTAATATGAGGAAGTCGAACAAGAAGGCGGCCTGCCTGCTCTTCAGAATTGATAGAAGAAACGCAAGAAAGCTGGTCGTTTCTTCCGTGAGCCGTGAGGACACTTGTGTCTAGCATCAGGATGCTCCATCGCGAAACCTCGTGATATCGCGACAAGTGCCATCCCTGCTTATCGCATGCATAACAACACGCCTAGGAACTAAAGAGGGGAAAGTGCAGCCTCGGGACCGAAGTCTGGAGAGGGGTCTAAGAAGGGCCGTTCCTCTCCTCCCATTCTCATTCTCCTCTTGTCCATCCGAAGTGCCTCAAGCCATTCAAAACGTCAAAGAGTAAAACACCACAATGAACCAGGGATCCTCCAACTCCAACTCCAACCCCAGTTCGGGCTCCGGTAACGCGGGATCCGGCAACTCTGGCAGCGGAGGCTACACGACTACTAGTTCTGGCACGAACAGCCAGGTAATACTCTCCGAGGACCATTCTCATCACTTACTAACACGGTTGCAAAAGGGCAACCACTACTGCAGCCGTGACTACGGTTCAAGCGCCGAGAATCAGAACTCGTACCACTACTCCAACAATGATGGCTCGTATTACTACAGCAATCCTAACGTGCGTACCACTCTATGTTTATACGTGGAGGAGTTAAACTGAGTATCTCTATAGGGCTCGACATACTACAACGATGGCAACGGAAACGCCAGCTACAATTCTGGCAAATAAGCCGTTGATATGACCTGGAGGAGGACTGTTAACGGAGGGCTACTAGGGAATGGATACAAGGAAGGATACATTGATACAATAAATGGGTTTCATCCATAAGCCCGAATACAGGTTTCTCCGAATGTTTGTAAAAATTGATGATGCCACTTAACAAACGCAGATTAATTCACATGTGCTCCCTGCGAAGGGCGCTCTCAGCCTCGTCGTTTAGTGTGGTACTTCCGGAGCTTGGAGCTACCTTTGGTACACGCCGCTTTACGCGACAATGTCCGGCCCCGCAAGGCTGAATCGACATGTATGCGCGCAACTCCTGATTTGTCCATCGCCGTGTTTACGAGGCTATCGGGTGTCAGCGAGAGAAGCATGCAGAGCGAGAGCGAATGAGTCTTCCCGTGAGCTAGGTTGCTCCGTAATCCCCAGACCATTGCATGTTGGTGTTGTTGAAACGCCTGTACCTTTTGGCAGTGACAGCTTGTATCTCGCGTAAATTCTACGTTAGTTACACATTAGGCTTCTACATCTGGGGCTAATCTAGCAGGGTAGTCATCTTCTTGGCTGGTGGAGAATGCAGAAAAAGCATCGGAAATAGCAAATGCACAATTCTACAATGTCATTATGACAGGAACGTCTGATTGGCGGATAAGGCATCCTACAACATGCAAGGCGTAGAATCAGCAGGTCACATGCAAAAAGACTAGCGTGCGGATGACAGGATGCAAGAATCCGCGAGGCCCAACTGTGGCTTGAAGCTAAAAGTAAGTTCAAGGCAGCCAGGCGGCCTGAACCCTGTAAACATATTGACACCGTCCGCGGCGCAATCGTCTGGTGGCGTCGTCTAAACATAGTGACGATGAGTTACAGGCTTCGCAACATGCATTTCTCCCATTTAACGACGGAAAGATGAAGCTCTGTGAATACTGTGTTGAACACGTTCTGGAGAAGAACGATTGCTGGGACTACCATCACGCGTCTTATGCTTCGCTCGAAGCTTCGTCTGGGGACGGGTTGGAACATGGCAAGGATATCTCAAGGCTCCCCGTGCAGCAGAAACAGCATTGCTTGTTTTGCTGGACGCTGCACAATGATATCAAGAATATCGCACCAGGGCTGAAAAAGCTGGAACGGGCTGGCGCTTGGCCTGTCTATCGCTGGAACATCAGGAGTTTGGCGAGGATACGGGAGAGCTTCGAGACTGTTGTTGTGACATTTCGATATGTGCCCCCGGCTGATGAGGCGAAGGAGGACGACGTGGAGGAGGTCGAACTGCCTACTAGGACGTTTTTCTTGTTTCCTGAAGATGGTAAGGATCAATCCCGTAATTCGTACCATGCACTACATTATACTACTGGTTCAAGTGTATATATAATCTTGAACAAAGCTAATACATGTACAGATCTCAGTCCGCTGCTATCTCCACATCAACTTGGGATTTCAACCGACCCAAAGATCAACGGCGGATATCAAATACGTTCTTGGGTTGAGACTTGCGATACAACGCATATAGACTGTATGAAGCGAAGAAAGTCTACACCTAAGGCACACCGTTTTGTTCCAACCCGTCTCCTCGACATCAGCGGCCTACCAGATACCCCAATCCGTTTGATCGAGACCGCGACAACTTCCGTACATGGCCCGTACTGCTCGCTCTCGCATTGCTGGGGCCTCATCAAGTTCGTCGAGCTGCGTGATGAGAATAGGACGAAGTTTATGCAGGAAGGTATACCGTGGTATCGGTTCACTAAGAACTTCCAAGATGCTATTGAGGTTGCGAGGTTCCTGGAGGTTGGATATATTTGGATTGACAGCCTATGTGAGCCGGCCTCTAAATATCAAGATTCGTGTAACATGTGAGCTGACATCGTATCTTCATCGTAGGTATCATCCAGCGTAGCGAAGAAGATTGGAAACATGAGGCGAGTCGGATGCATCTTGTCTATCGAAATAGCTATTGCAACATAGCCATTGCAGATTCGGCGGACAGCACGGGAGGTGCGTTTCGTGTACGCAACCCCGACGCCGTTATGCCAGCGAGATACCAGCCTAGAGAGAACTCTCCTTTATTCGGTAAGAAAGCTTGGAGGGTCGTACCAGAGAACCTATGGGACAGTGGACTGCTTCAGACCTTCCTTTATGCTCGTGGATGGGTGTTTCAAGGTAATTTGCTTCGAGTTCGAGAGTAGGCGTTTGCTAAAAGCGAAATAGAACGTATGCTGTCGCCGCGTATCTTGCACTTCGCTAACAATCAGGTGTTCTGGGATTGTCCTTCGCTGAGCGCATGCGAAACGCTCCCTGCGGGGTTGCCACAACCAACTGATAATGCTGCGGGACCTGACAGGCACTGGCGAGGACGCCTGCAAGAGCCAGAAGGGAGGCATGAGCCGCTGGCTGGTGCGAACGATCAGTCATTGGCGTCCTTTTGGAAGGTGGCCGTTCTAAAGTATACCAGTTGCAATCTAACGATGGGCAAAGACAAGCTCATCGCCATGTGGGGTATCGCCAAGTTGATACGGGATGAACTAGGAGTTGAGTACGGCGAAGGGTTGTGGGAGGAGAACCTCGAAGATCAGTTAGCCTGGCGTGTCGAGGAGTGCAAGCTTACAGTACGACCAAGCGAATCGACCGAGTGGAATCTAGAGCGCAAAATCCCCTCGTGGAGTTGGGCCTCTATGGACGGTGTCATCCTCACACCTGACAGGTTGACCGATCAGAAGCATTTTACAGTCAAGGATCACTACGGTCAGCGTTTGACTTTCGATCTAGTTGGAGTGAAACGATCTTTTCGACCAGGAGTCAGGCCCATCGAAGCACCGCCGCCGTTACAAAGCCGTGGGATGAGTGATAGTGGCGCAGAACTCCAACGGCGAAACAAAGAGTTACGTAGAGACCCAATTGATACCCACGACAACAGAGTGGACATACGGATTCATAGCCCAGAGAAGGTTGATCGAGATGCGGAGCCTAGGTTTCACAGCAAATCTATTCGGATACAAGGTCATGTAGGCCGCGGACGGCTTGAGTGGGAGGAGCTGAAAAAAGGATGGGTTGTCCAGCTCGATGATGAAACGGTCAATGTAGGACTCGAAGCATTCCCGGATACAATTCCCGATCTTGACAATCCAACCGACCATTTTCCTTACTTCGTCGTGTTGGCGGCAAAGCAAGTTATTGGCGCGCAACATGCCGACTTTACTTTCAAGCCAACGACACACAAGCACCCCCAGATCAGCGATGACGCTAGTACTGCAGAAAACGATCACGCTGGCGAATACTTCGAAGTCTCGGGGCATGGGATAATGTTGAAAGACGTGGGGAACCATCATTTTCACAGAACTGGGGCGTTTCGTTTTGAGAACGTGAGTAACGAAACTTTTGTGAACTTGCAGAGGACGCACGATTGGGAACTTTTCTCATCTGATATATATCACTCAAAGCGAGGTCGGAAAATCTGGCTAGACTGAACGATAATCATTGTTCCTGATTAGAACACTGAAGATAGCAAACGCGCTGTGTAAACAATTCGTCGAAATCGAATTATGATCATTTGTTCACTCACTCTTGCTGACATATCATCATTGCCATGCCTGGGTGCCTTTACGGAATATAATGGCCCGAGCTGGGGTCTCGTCAATCGTCTGCATGATGGTCGTTGTTCTGGAGAGTTTGTAAGGCGTGACCTTGGTTGGTTGTTCGGATACAGTCTGAGGCTCGAACCGAACCTTGTTCGCAGCGTCGGAAATCTCTGGAGCAGGCGAGGTTGGCGATGAGAAAACACTGGCATCGACCTGCATCGATGCACGGTGTATCGCGCGATGATATCTCTGTTCGACATAATAGAGGAAGCTCTGATGGAAGACGGTAAGCCTCTGTGGATCATCCCGTGTTGTGGCAAGAAGAAAGCCACGCGCTGCTTCCACGATTTCCTCACCGCTGCGAGTTCTTTCTGTACCTAACATGTGAAGCAGCTCACGTAGTTCGGGTATGGATATCCCGTCGTCGGAACGTGCTGCAGCAGCCAATGCTTTCACGGCAACATCCCGTTGGGTAGCAGTTTGAGCTTCAATCCGCTTGAGGCCCAGATCGAACAAGGTGACGATGTTTGCCGGCAGCTGGTCTCTTCTCATCTCTAGACCATCAAGTGACCCTGCTTCGTGTATGAGGTCGAGTCTGGCTTTGGCCAAGCCAATGTGTCCGTATGAGTAATCTAGAACGTTATCAACGTGCTTCTGAATTGAGTTGGATGTCGTTGAACGTATAGATTTCCCGAACGTGGATAGAGGAGGCTTGTGAGCGGAGCTTCCAAGTCCAAGATCACCATGCTCACGCTCCAAGTTCCACGCGATGTATTCCTTCATGCTTGGGTCTGGGACTGACACTCTGATATTGACATGATCGTAAGGTTCGTAGAGCTGCGAGTTGTCATCACTGCGCCAAGGATGAGTATGGAGTTCTAACACGAGCACCAGAACATATACTCACCAGTCTTCACAGAGTCTATCGACAGCCTCGCATCCGAAACAAAGAACTGAGTCACAGGCGCGGCAGACTAAAAACACGTCCAAGATCTCTCTATCAGCTTGAGAAAGAACGTCGGCGTCTGGTGCCTGCCCATGGTCTCGATGATCGCAACGAGCTTCTCGTTGCTCAAAAACAGCCAGACGTGAAGTGGAGAAGACGTGTACTCCTAGACCCCGGATATTAGATAGTTCTGTTCCCAACATATAGCGCAGAGTTGGACCACAACGATCGATGCCATCTATCAACAAGAAGGTTCGGCAACTCTGGAGAGAGACGAGGCGGGAGTGAAGCGCAGTTCGGATGAGTTTAAGTCGATCTCGAATACGGCTACCTTCAGCATTCGAATACCGTTCTTGCGCATATTCCTCATAGAGGTCTTCTGAGTCATCATCCTGAGGTAGGGTTGAGTTTTCCAGGTTACGATATAGTGCTACTAAAATATCTTCGATAAGTTCGATCTCGTGATCCGGTACATCATAGTCAACAAAGATCGTTGTGATTGAGTGGTCATTGTTGGGGAAGTGAGTTTCCAGTTGTTGAGCTACCAAGGCTGTCAATGTCGTCTGTTGTTCATGGTTAACCCAGTCTGTTGATCAAGATACACTGACCTACCTTGCCTACACCGGGACCACCGATGCAGTGTAACTGCCAGGCACCGTCCCCTTCACACCATCTTTTGAATACGTCGTGACTGAACAACCAATTATAGACACTAGGCAAGATATCGGACGAGATGCCATGCGAGAGCTGCAACGCTGGATGCATCGTTGCTTGGTTGAAACCGACGGTATTGAAAACGCCTCTCAATCATCCGCAATTTAGAATCTTGTACTCAAAATATCGTAACCGGTGAGTGTCGATCGGTGTGGCTCAGAGTGACCATTGTCCCAAGGCAGCTATACCTAGACCGAATGGCTGCGCGCTTTATGCAGGTTCAATTCCTAGCTTTGGGGCGGAAATGTCCACACGGAACTCATATGCAGCCAAAACAGCCCCATCTGAATTAGGCGTCCAGCATTAACGCCAGAGGCGTGAACTGCGGCTTGAAAGCTTATACAAAGGTGCTGCATGAGTCCACGATGTGAAAGTAGCTTGTCTCGCACATCAACTCGCACCGTTTTCTAGTGCATTACTACAGCATGTTGCTTGTTCAAGTCCTCGCAGGGCTTTCCGTCGCAACCTGCGGCCTAGCCCGGTCGCTACCACGGAAACTCAACGCGCGACAAGACCCATCGACAACAACCAGCGCCCCTGATGCTCAGTCTACGATATGCGGCGACGTCATTGCTGCCGTTGATGAAGGTAGGTCAAATCCTCGAACGGTGGTGGATGCAGAGAGTGAGGTGGGAACTTTGACGAGTCGAGACAACCGAGCGCGCCAATCATTTCTCGCCGTTCCTCATCTCGGTCGACATCGTTTTCTACCTCACCCTCAGTGTCGTCCTTCTTCTTGTCTTCCTCAAGAACGTACTGACATTGAAAGGCTTTTCTGTCTTCTGGGCAAGCGATGCCTACAACTGCCTCATTAGTGTCCCGTTCAATGACGCTGTGGCTTCACGCTTCCTAAAGTACTGGAATGAGACTATCCAATTTCAGAGTACGCTTGCATACGTCAAGGACCCACCTCAAGGATACCAGCAACCCGCGAGTGATGTCCAGGCGGGACTCGCGCAAATACAACAGCGAATCGACGATGGCTCGTACAAGAACCAGTACGACTTCGAGGCAGACTTTCAGCTCCTGACTTATGGCTTGCACGATGGTCACGTATCCCTGACTGCAGGCGCGTTGTCGGCATTCTCATTTGCGAGTCCTTATGAAATTGCTTCAGTATCTATTGATGGCGTACAAGCTCCGCGGATATACATTACAGGTTCGTGCTTATTCCCGCGAATCTTCAAACTGCCAGAACGACGTGTCTAACATCTGGTAGATGACATTATCCAAAGTCAGAATGAAGCATGGACTCCGTCGCCTATCACGACAATTGACGGGATTGAAACTGTCGAGTTCCTCACAAAGTATGCCGCGCTAAACTCGTGGGGTTATGTCGAACCGCATGCTGAGTGGAATTCGTTGATGTCACATCCTACTCTTGATATCCAAGGTGGCCTTACAACATTTGCTGGCGCAGGGACTTTCTACCCTGGTGAGAACCTGACCTTCACTTTCGAGAACGGAACGGAACCCTTGGAGACGGTTTGGATAGCAATCTACAACGAGCTGGCAAACTATACAGGCCCCCTTACTACCGGCGGCGACTTCTACAACTACTTCGTTCTTGGTCTGCTCCCAGAATCTTTCGACCCTACAAAGGTCGTGCCTCCCTCCTTTTCGGGTGACCTTACAGAGGCACCGACCAACTGGACTTCAGACAGCTATGGAGCTTTCCCTGACAACCCATCCGTCGCACAATCCGATCTTGGTGTACTCCGTGGCGGGCTTGTGACGGGCTACTTTTACGAGGACATCTCTACCGGCGTGCTAAGTCTTCCTAGTTTCGACGCGATTCCTGATACCATCGGCAACTACTCTGATGCTGTGACCGAGTTCATAAACAATGCCTCTGCCGCAGGCCTGGAACGGATTGTCATCGATCTCCAGCGCAACTCGGGTGGCGCCACGTTACTCGCGTATACCACTTTCAAGTCATTCTTCCCAGATCTCATGCCATTTGGCGGGAGTCGAAGGCGCAGCTTCGAGCTTGCAAATGTTCTTGGTTCCACTGTGTCGGATTATTGGACGAGTTTAGATGAGAACAACCCAGACGACAGCATCTTCAAGGATGAACTTGCGGCGGATGAGTGGGTCATCACAACTCGAATCAACGCGGCAACTGGACGAAACTTCACGAACTGGACTGAATATCAAGGACCGATCAACGACCATGGCGACACCTTCTCGCTCACGGAGCGATACGATCTCGCAAACGAAATCTTCGACACGGTATGCATGAAGATTACATTCTATATTCACTGCTAACACAAACACGTAGGCTGCCTTTGACCAGTGGATACCGACCATGTACCTACCAAACAAAACCGAATGGGGCGTCCAGGAGCGGTCCTGGAACCCCGAGCAGATCGTCCTCCTAACAGACGGCCTCTGCGCCTCAGCCTGCTCCCTCTTCGTCGAAATGATGACCCACGCCGGAGCGAAGACCATCGTAGCAGGTGGCCGTCCCACCACAGGACCAATGCAAGCAGCGAGCGGCAACCGCGGCGCAGCCCTCTACTCAGCCTTCGACCTCGACGATGACTTCACCTTCGCGCGCAGTCTCGACGAGCCCGTCACCCCCGCCACAAACGCCACGATCCCCGAAATCCGCGACCCAGGAATGTACATCAAATACGCCAGCTTCAACCTGCGCGACCAGATCCGCGCAAACGAAACCTCGCCCCTGCAGTTCAAATACGAAGCCGCAGACTGCAGGATCTACTACACCCTCGCCAACCTCTACAACATTACGCGTCTCTGGTACGATGCCGTAGACGCTGCTTTCACCACGCCCTCCCTCTGCGTACAAGGCTCGACTGGCTTCACAAAAACAAACAGCACATCAACGCCCCCCCTCCCCTCCGCAACCCCTCCCTCCCTCTCCCCCGCAACCCTCCAACATTCCTCCTCGACAGACGCCACACCCCCAGACGGCCTCCGAAACGGCTACGGCAAGCCCATCGGCGGCAACGAAATCACGCTCTGCCCCTCGTCCGGCGTGTGCCAGGACGGAAAATCACAATGCAAGCCCATCACCATCACGTGCGCGGGCGAGGGCCAGCGCGCCGTGCACGCCTGTCTGCCGCCGTGCACGAACCGCAAGGGCAGCGCTACGTGCCCTGGTAAATGCAATATCTTGCAGACGCAGGAGAGTAAGAAGGTGGGGTTGGAGCGGACGGTGAATTTTGGGGAGGCGCTGTATTCGGGGCTTTGTGTGCCGAGTGTTGGGACGCGGAAACTGGGGTGTGCGAGGAATGCTTCGCCGTGAGGGGGAGGGGAGGTGGTGATGTGTAAATATGTGGAAATCTATTCTCTAAATTCGATCTTATTGAACGCCCGTTTCGTGTCCCCAAATAAGCAACAACGCCAGGCCATGCAGTTCAACACGATTCAATGTAAAAGTATAACGTAGGTTCTCTCAACAAACGAACTCAAAGCTCATCCGCCCTGGGAATATGGAACTCCCAGCTGCGCGGCCCAGGGACAAGGCCAATCCACCAGTTGTACAACCGCCTCATCTCGAAGATGAAGATCTTTGCACTGCGGAGCAGTATGTTAACAATGAACAGCGCACGCATCAGATGCATAAGGGATAGAACTTACAAGCGCCCCGGGAGCAGTGTCCACTGATACAGCACGTACCAAAAGGTGCGTCTGACGAGGTTGAACTCGTACTTTGTGCTTTCCCAAGCTGTAGGTTGTCTCCTAGGTGTGCGCGTGGGTTTCGCGTCTGGAAGGCCGTCGTCTTTGGGCTCGGATTTCTCACTGTCATCTGGTTCGGCCTCGGTGAGAGCGAGGCGTGTTTTCAAGGCGCCCTCGTCTGTGGCGGAGGTGTCGATTCGAGCGACGCCCTCGCGCTCGTCGACCATGCGGCGGAACTCCTTGATGGCGGAGAGCGAGTGCGAGAGGCGATCCATAGTGTTGATGAGGGCGACGAGTTCAGTGCGACGCAGCGGTGGGTCATTGGAGGAGTCGTACTCGTCGAATTCGAAGAGGATTTTCAACGCGGTGCCGTAACCGTTTGTCTGCAGCTTGCCCCAGAGACGGCACTTGTCGCAGCCGACGCAGTCCATGATGCGGCTCACGTTGCGGAAGCGGTTGCGGAAGTCTTCCTTCAGGACGACCGTGTCCGGGTCCTGGAACATGACTGTTTCGTCGAAGATCTCCGGGCCCGAGGGGAGCGCCGAGGCGAGGCGCAGGACGGAGCTCTTCGTGCGCTGGTCTTGCTCCGGGTCTTCGGAGCAGAAGGAGTAGTCCTGGATGTGCTGCTTGAGCTTGCCGACGGCGCGCATGATGAGGGCGTAGTTGAAGTAGATGTTGGAGATGCGCTCGGGGAAGTTGTGAAGGCGCTGTTCGTAGCACGTCAGGTTGGGGCTCCATTTGCCCGTTGTCTGGTTCAGGTAGTCCCAGCACAAGTGCGTCGAGATGGACGCGTGCATGCCCGAGATGACGCGGTGAAAGACGCGCTTCTCCAGACACGTGTCGTCGAACTCGACGGGGTTGAGGCGGGCGGCGGCGGTTCCTTGGGCGATGGCGGACTGGACTTTCTGCTGTGCGCCGCGCTCCTTGATGACGTTGCGTAGCTGGTTCGCCGCGAGCATCTGCTGCTGGTTGCCGAAGCCTCCGAACGGCGAGGATCCGCCCAGGGGCGCCGACTGGCCTGTTGTCTGCGCCTTCTTGGACGGCTTGCTAAAGCAGTTCTCGTGGTAAATAGCCTCCCACACCTGCTGGGCGCCCACGCCCGCGTATCCGGTGAAGCGCTCGGGATTGTCCACCAGCGACACGTAGTCGCCCTTGACCAGGGCCGACTCGTCGTCAGGCACGCAGTAGTCGCGGTCGTCGCACTCGTCATCGTACTCGACCACGCAGCTCTCATCCACATCCTCGCCCAGGCTTCCATGCAGCGGCCGCTTCGGTGCCTCCTTCTGCTGCTTCTTCCCAGGGTGTTGCGCCGTGGGGCCCTCCAGCTTGCCCAGCTCCTTTGCGCGCCACACAGACGGTATGTCCTCCTCGTTGTCCAGCGTGTTGACGGCGCAGGCCACGTTCCCGCACATGCCATTCTCGTCGTCCCAGAAGGGGCATCTCTTGCTGTACAGGCTCAGGCGGTAGTGCGAGAAGAAGTCGGTGTCCTGGGTGATGGAGTGGAGGTAAGGGTGCACGGCTTCGTTGAGCTGCTCGAGGGTGCTGTAGCTCGCGCATGCGTCCGACACAATGGCGCCGGGCTCCAACTGGACGGGCGTCTTAGTACTCTGGTGCTGGGTGGGTGAAGGGGGACAAGACGATGCGTTGCTTACATCGCAGACGTTGGCCGGCGGACTCTTTGCCTTTGCGGCCGTAGCAGGGCTCACAGCATGCGAGCTACCCAGCAGCGAGAAGACTGCCAGGTAGAAGACCTGCGCTGCTGTGCGCATCTTCACTTGTGATATGCTATCACTTTGCTATATGCTGTGCTACAAGAGTCCTTTGTCAGCGAAACGTCTGCGGTGAGCGCGAACACGGTGAAACTCACTCTCTTTCTCGCAAACACGCTCACTATATAAGGCGCGGGATCCTGAGACCCGTGTATATTGCAGTGGGGTAGGATAAGCACTGAGGCCAGAGTGGTGCAAGGGTATTGAATTGAAACCCCGTCCGTCGGCACAATTTCAGACCACCACCGCGTTGGAGCCAGCCGTTGAGATGGCCGCAATGACGATCGTCGAAGTTTTAGTTAGAAAACTAAAATCCCGAAGACGAGAAACAAGGGCCCAAAAAACAAAGTAATGGCGAGAAACAAAGACCGTTAACAAAGCGAGTGGCTACATTCAAGTATATCTATGTAAAAAAGTCTCCAGGCAAAGTGGTGCCTGTTCCGGACCACCACCATCGTAATCACACGTTCATCGGCCCACACAAACCCACGCGCAATGTGGCCACTACTACGCCCAGTGGCGTGGAAAGGGGAAGGCGCGCCCGAGAGACCCTGACAGCCATCCGCAGACTAGCGTGTTTCCCATTCAGCCTCAACCCAATCATCCCAATGACGACACCCTCAACCCACCCCGCAAAAAGCAATCCTTACATACATCCTCTCTACACATAAACGTACAAACCATGTCTGAACCCGCAGTAGCCTTCCCTCCCCCCCGCACCACAGCGCAAACTATCCCCCGCGACTCTGTCTTGTCCGACATCTCGTCGCCAGACCTCCTGCTTGTGGATGTGCGACGTACGGATTACGAGGGCGGGACTATAGCGGGCAGCATCAATCTGCCTGCGCAGAGTTTCTGCATGAATAGAGCTGTGCTGTATGGGTTGTGCGAGCGGGCTGGTGTGAAGCGGGTTGCGTTTTATTGCGGTGAGTCTAGCAGAGTCAATGTTGCATGGTAATGAGTGGTGTGAGATGGTGTGAGATGTTAGGCCGATTGATTGATTAAATGATGGATGTCATGTGTGTACGTGTGTGCTGTGCGCTGAGACCGCGATAGGATCTTCTTCTGGTCGGGGGCCGCGGTGCGCGGGCTGGTTTGCGGATTACATTGCTGAGAAGGGGGGCGAGGGAGTGCAGGCGTTGACGCTGGAGGGTGGAATCAAGGGGTGGATTAAAGCGGGAGAACCATATACACAACACGTGGATGGTTTTGAGCCGGAGTATTGGAAGCAGTTTGAGTAGGCTTGCGAGAGAACATGTCATGGGAGGGAAAAGTCAAAGCTACAACTAGACCACTAGCTTGCAATTGTCAAGTGACCCTTCTAATTCAATGCCTGGCTCTCCAAACCTTCAGATCATTCGTGTCTTTACTCATCTTCGTCTTCGTCATCGTCGACTACCCATCGCCCCTTTTTCCTAGACACAACAGGCGCATCGTCGTCCTCTGAGGCCGAGTCTACAACAACCGCCGCCCTCTTATTTGCACCCACACCCACACACGTTCTGACAAGCGGCGCATCTTCGTCGCTGTCACTACTCACAATAGCATCATTATCTGTAACATCGCTAGTAAACAGCTTCTCAGCCACTGGGCGCCGTCCCGGCCTAGCAGCCATGACGACAGCCTGCGTTCCCCTCCCAAGGCCAGAAAGATCGAGATTCGGAAGACTGGATGGTGGAATGTCATCATCATCCTCATCTTCCACGATAAAGCTCGCGAGTTCTGAATCCAGTTTGTACGCCTGAGTGTCTTGTATTTCGTCATCCCCGAATGTGTCGTCGGAGCCTATGGTGTCGGCTTGGGAAGCTATCCGGAACCGTGGATCTGTAGGTGGTGGAGACGACGAGGCACCTTCTCCTGCGAGCGCCGAGACTCGCCAGTTTGGTGTTTTCGTCACGGGTGTCTGGCTCTGTACGCTCGATGGACGTACTGGGGTTTCTACAATAGACACATCTTTGCGTGGACGACCTCGAGGAGCCGGAGTCTTTGGAGCTTCTTTTGGAGCTACTTGTGGAGCTGCTTTTGAAACTGCCTTTGGAACTGCCTTTGGAGCGGTCTTTGGAGCTGCTTTTGCTTTTGGCTTTGGCTTGGGACCAGGTTTGGCTCTCGCCTTGGATTTTGGAAGCGACTGCGACGCGGGATCGTCGTCAGCCCACATGTCTTCGTTTATCACCGGTAATGACTCTGCCTCAGATACAAGCATGTCGTTTCCTCCTTCTGACTCGCAATCCGAGTAGTGCAAGTTTCGCTGGAAGCTGCTGAGCCGATCGTCGTCCATGTCATGTATGCGCTGCATCATCTTGACGAATCTCCGTGTCACACGTCCAGGTCCAGAGAGATGTATTGTGTCGGATAAGATTCGTTGTTGGTCAGAATGCCGGCTCAAATCAAGCCCAGTGACCACCGGAGCATCGTCATCGTCGTATACAGTTTGAAATCGCTGCTCCAAGTCTTTGGTTGACTTGTCGTCTAATAAAACTGACTCTAATGGTGGCAAGTCTAGAAGCTCTTCACTGGGATATACGAGCGCGACCGCCTTCTTCCCACGACCTTTTGGTACAATTTCCTCATCCATGCGACCTGCAGTGACGAAACCAGTAAGAACACCATCTGGCATGTGGAACTTCTTAGGCGGTTTCTTGAGTCGACGACCCTTCTTTGGCTCTGGCAGCCAATCTTGTTGAGAATTTTCCGGTGGAATGTCGATCACGCGCCGGTCCACTGTGGGCCTTACATCTGGAGGCAGAATACGACGGGAGATCTCGTCATGAAATGTGAAATGCGATCCGTTCGCGATGAGCTCCTGCATCTTCTCATAGCTATCTTTAGCTTTGTTTGCGTCATTCTCCTCTTTTCCCTGCATCTGAAGCATAACAATCTTTCCCTCTCGTTTACGTCCAGTTCGGCCCATCCGCTGCAACATACGGATCGGAGATGCCTTCGAATCGTAACAGATGATGAGGTCGACTTCGCCAATATCGAGACCCTCTTCACCAATAGACGTCGCGATAAGCGTATTGTATGTGCCTGCTTTGAACTTTTCGATAACCTCCAGCTGCTCCTTCTGATTCATGCCTTCTGAGTTCTTTGCTGTCGACTGTCCGACAAATACACGAGGGCGAATCATCGGGTCATGTCTCTTCAGCACACGAGCAATCTCCTCAGCACTATCGCGGAAGTGAGCGAACACCATGATCCTCGTCTGTGTATTTGGGTTTTCACCATCTTCTGCGTTCGCAAAGTGATTCAAGATGACCTCCTGTAGAAACTCTAGCTTCGGATGACCAATGAATTCCTTGTCGGTCACCCACGCATCGAGTCGCACCATTAGCTTTTTGAAGGCCTCGCTGTCCAGGACTTGCTTCTTGTACTTTGATTTGGTCTTCTCGCTGTCTTGCTTGAATTCTTTCATCTTACTATGGAAGGGACCTATGCCGTGAAACTTGAGTAAGTCCATCCCGTGAGAAATAGATGCCAGGATCGAGAACACAGTTCGAACTATAGACTTCACGCCTTGGTTGGCATTCCGACCCGCGTCCTGCATCCATTTACTGGATGCTTGCGTGCAACCATACGGCGTCAAACTGCGCGGATCTGGGTTGTAGTATGCATTCAGTCCAGTAACAGTCTTGACCAAGGGCTGCAAAGCCTCGCTGTACAGGTCCATACACATCTCCATCTCGGAGCTGTTTGTGAAGACGTGCTTTTCTATCTTGCGCTGATGGACATAGCTGCAGATGTCCATGGAATTTTCGGTTCGAATTTCAACCTTCGAGATGTCTAACCCATCAATGACCTTCTGAACCGATTCGACATCCGCACCAGGAGTCGCCGTGAGAGCCAACACGCGGAAACTTTGGTTGAAACGTCGCAAGAAGCTGACCACTTCGACATATGCATAAGCGCCTGTCGCACGGTGCGCCTCGTCGACTACTAGAAGAACAATGTTCTTGGGGTCTGCGTATCCAGCCTTGAGATCGTTCAAAAGTGTCTGAGGTGTCATGAAGAACACTCTCTTGCTCTTCCACTCCTCTGCTCTTAGAGCTTGTGAAACGCCTCCTGTAAGCATGGTGGTGGACGAACGTGGAATACCAGCAATACCAAAGCAAGCTCCGACTTGCTGGGAGACGAGTGGTTTGGTTGGCGCGACAAACACTATCTGTGCATCCATCGTCCATCTGAACCAATTCAGCATAATAGTCGCTGCGATAAAGGTCTTTCCAAGACCGGTTGGCAACGCAACAAGCAGGTTGTTAAAAAGACCTCTTTGCACAATGTTGAACTGATAATCTCGGATTGTGCCCAGATTGGTCGGATAGACCCAGGTTTTCATTGCCTCATGGTCCAGTTTGTGGTGCGTAGGTGGCTCTTGCTTCTGGTCGACGACAAAACTGTAGCGCTTGTTCACCTGCGATGGCTGAACTTCGCCATTTACCCCCGCACGTCCGAAGAGTGTCGTTTGTCGTAGGCCAGTCTGTGGAGCCATTACCCGCTTAAGAGACGCTGAATTTGCAGCAACATCACCGTTATGCTTCTGTGGCGAAGATGATGAGGACGCAAATGCATCGGAAGGCAGGTCTGCTAAATCCTGCGTAAAGTCGTAGGCACCCACCACACCACTCGTCGTGGGCAGTCTGGGTGAGTCGTCGATCTCTATGGGTGAGTCAAACTCTGGAGAATCCATCTTCTGAAACTTGGGTCTCGCTGATGTCAGCTGTCTACCGGAAAGAGGTATGGTTTTTGTAGCGTCTGATCCTGGCCGTTTCGAGGGCTCTGACGGTCGATGCACTCCAGTGGTCATAGCAGGCTTTGCCCATATTGCTCCTCGTGGTTTCCAAGGCGGGGAGTGCTCTTGCGGGGGTTGGGTGAAGAACATGTCTGCCATATCAAGATTCGTAGTCGGGACATGAATGCGCTCCTTTCTCTTTTGCGCAACAGTCCCTCTCGCGGGGGAGATTTCTTCGATATCCTCCTCATCATAATCTTTCTGTCTTGACTTGGATCTCTTCGCGCGGCCCGCGGCTCGCTCTTCCGATAACGATTCACAGCTTGGAGGGGAGACTGCCTTACTGCTTTCGCGAGAAATGACAGGATCAAACGAATCAGAGTCATCGTCATCAGAGGAAATGAATGGCCCTCGTCGACCACTTGGTTTTTGCTTCGACGAAATGGATGAAGTCCTGCCTTTTGTTGGGCCGGTCTTTCGTCGCTTGCTGGGCCTAGGTGACGGCTGGAAAGCGGGCGTGTTTTTTCTCTCCACTTGGGTAGCGGCCTCGAAAATTTCAGTATCATCGAATTCATTCCCATAGTCGTCGCTGTCAGACATCGCGTCGGAAGCTGATGATGTGCGGTAAAGTTTGATGGGTGGCGTAAAGTGCACGACGCGTTTGGCAACAACGCGTCGATCAGGTGACAGGGCGATTGGGCTAGTGCAAATGCAGGTCGGATGCAATAATATCAAACGCTTGAACGATCTCTTACAGTGCGATGTATGTTTCAGTGTTGTTATGCACGGTACACGGGAAAATCGGTCCCGGCGCAAAGCGAATAAGGTTCATCGATCGATGTGCAGGCAATAAAACCGTTTCGAGAAGAGGTGTTCTACTTTGAAACAAGCGTACATCCATTCGGAGCGACCCCTAATAACGAGCACTTGTTAAAGCCTAGCTGGTCGCTCCGACTTGTATTTTAGAATTCACTGCTTTCCCCGTACTCGTCAGTTCCTACTCAGTCGCTCTTTTGCACATTCGTTCAAGTCTATCTTTAATAATTCTAATACCCGTTTCTGATCACCAATACCCCACTTTCAGTCTACACGTAGCCAATCATCGCGTCTTGCATCAAAATGAAGTACACTGTTGCTATTCTCACCTTCGTCATCGGCGCATTCGCTATTCCTCAGCAGGCCTCATCCATTACTAGCGCTCCTGCAACCACTGCAGCGCCTAGCAACTATACTTCCCAGCTGAGTTGCGCTTCCGCATGCGACGCAACTGATGTGGACTGTCGCGCAGCATGCCTCGGTGTCGCCCATCCCAATGCGTCCCAAGCCATTGAAACCACCGAATGTGCGGCCAGTTGCGACCAGGGAGATGGATCTACCGAGGACACTCAGAAGTTCTCCGATTGCGTCCAGGGTTGTATCTACAGCCTCTACCCCAGCAGCCAGACGTTCTCTCTTGCCAATGCTGCCATTGTTTCCTCCGCTGCGAGTGCTGTAGGCTCGGTGACCAATTCTGCCTCTGCCACTGCCACTGGCTCAGCCAGTAAGTCTGATTGGGGTTCCTTCTAGAACAACGTTGCAGGGGTTCTATTTTTCTAATTCATCACAGCTACTGGAAGTTCTTCTGGCACTGGCTCTAATGCTCAAGCGACTGGTGCTGCCAACTCTAACTCTGCGCACTTTGCGGGCGCTGGCCTCGCTGGTCTTATGGCGGTCTTTGCTTTGTAGATTTGTCATTCGCGATTATGCCCAGCAATGATATGTTCGATGATGGATGGAACCACCGACCAGCCAAGTCAACAACATTATGCCGAGATGCGGGGTCCCAGGTTGCGATTATCGACCGCTACAGATATCCTGAGATAAGGCACTTAGCAGTTAATGCGTCTTAAAGGGTCTCGCAGATGTAAAAACCGTAGGGTGTTGGGGAATACAATTCAATTCCAAGGATAACTTTTGTTAAATTCCATGCTAGTGCTCGGTTGCCAAGTGCCTCATTGGGGTGTAATACCCAGAATAGTCCTCGCGAACTGTTAAATGAGATGCTTGTTTAGTCAAGTACTCAAATATGAAGTCGAATTGATCCACTTGCATGCACTCGTTCTCAAATATCTGTCGCGTGGCTATCACAATTTAAGGCTGCAATCAACATGCATGGAGTTCCTTCCGCGAGTCCAAACCGGCACTAGAGCAGCTAATAAGGTCGCGTGAGTTCGTACTTGAGTGTGTCGCAGGTCAGAAATGACCTCATCGAACGGGCCGATGATGAAAATAACGCGGGTCGGCGAGCCTCTGTTATGAAACGGGCGCCGATAAAAGCGTCGATAACTGGAACCAACGATTCGAGTGATGCAGACCCCTTGTCATACACAGCTGTCGCCCATCATTACACCAGCATGACAAGCAATCCAGAGACACCGTCATTCTGGTGGTCGCGATTGTGTTGCATAAACTTGGATGAGTGAGGGAGTTGCTGAGCGAGGGTTCATGACATGTCGCTAGTCATACATTGCCGACACCAAGTCCAGAACTGCCGGCTGTTCTCACAATCAGCAGTTGATTCCGACGCTGCTCAACCACAAATTCTGATTGTGGATAAGACGTCGAGGAAAGAGTATGCTCAATATTTTTCTGCTCGAGATTTCAAATGCACCTACGGCTAGGTCTGGAACGAATTGTTGCGGAATCGCTACACTGATCTGCAAGGTTGACGTTATGTCCGCTTCTGTCGCAAGTGCTGGGGAGAGGGTCTCGAAACCCTTGTTCTCCTCCGAGAAGGATCAACCATAGAATACTCGCTCGTTCTACTCGCCAGCCTGTACAGATTGTCATTTGCAAACTAAATGCTAGGAGTTGATGTGTGCGCACGGCGCGGAGCGATGTGAAGTGAGGTTTCGCGCCAAGGCTTGAGCTTATTCAGCGCAGCCACACCTCAGCGAATCTTGGCTTCTCATTGGAATGAAAAACAAGCGAGACATGCATGGTGGGAAGATGCGTTGTTGTCCCCGAGTTAACATCGTATGCTGACCCAGTCCGGTTAGACTGCTGACATCTCCAGCGATCCAGACATCGCCTCCTTTGACATTCTTTGCTAGAGCCGCCTTCTCATCCAACAGACAATGTCTGATTGAAAGCCTGATGTAATTACAATGCGTAACTTTCCTATGGGACTTTCTATGATTCGTTATGTCTGCAGTCCATGTGAGCTGCTGTCCACCCACGACGTCGGCTGATTTCGATCTCCATATGAAACTTGTTTTTCTATAGACACTATAGCCTCGAAATCAAAACAACAGCGCTTTGTTGTGTGTATGTATGCATGAAGTGTACTTTCTAACAGGGGTTGGTCGATGCCTCCGTCTTGTATATAGAGTCAACGGATGAGGAATGGTGTTCCTGAACACGAAGAAAATACTCACGTTACAGAAAGAGCGCAACTCTATTCAATACCCCTCCGATGTTGTCAAGCCGGTGCATCCGCAGAGCAGCAGGACGAGTTACAGCGATACCGAGTTCCACCAGGCGGGTCAAAGGAGATGCGCGCCAGATATGAGGAACTCGAAATCTCCCAGCTCTGCGGCCGCTAACCGGTGGATGGGGAAAAAACGCTTGGCAAACGTTTTGACCCATGCCCATTCGCTCTATCCCGTCGCCCTCGTCTTCTTCTGCACAAATCCTCCATCACCTCTTACTCTTCCATCGAATCCTCGCGCTACGCGTTTCTTTGCCTAAACTCAGCCCACTCACTATCTTCGCCACTAGCTGCAACAACCAGACAATATCTCAAGATTGGTGATTCCAACCTTTCTCATCGACATTGCAGTGTGTATGCGCTGCTGGACTCGTCCATGTTACCTTGACTATTGCACTTGGCGGGCTTTCTCAACAACCGCCCTGGAGACGACCTGCGTCTTTCGCAAAAGGTCTTCTGCCGTGTTTCTGACCTGTACATTTAATCAAAACCGTTGTTAGTAGTAGGACTTTAACATCATGGACACGAGGGACAGTGGAGACGAGGCCATGTCTCCTACAGCAGTCACCCAGTCTCATGCAGACTTAACGCGCAGCGAACATGCCACGATAGAGGGCTCTCCAGATCACATGGTTGGCGCAGAAGATATGGCGCTTTCTAAAGGAACCAGCAAGGCATCGTCAACCAGAAACTCGACCCCTGCAGCAACTTCCTCAAACATCGGTCAACCTGTGCAGAATGCGCAAGATTCGCCCTCCACCACGGATTTGATTCAGCCAACGCATGAAATTGCTCAGAATGCGTCAAACTCCGAACATCCTTCTGGTAAAGAGGATGAGATTATTGCCGCGCCATATGGCACACGGTCGCGCAACCGACCGGGCAGATCACGGCCGAATTATGCTGAAGATGCGGAGATGGATTTCGAAATGTCGGCGGCGCCCACGAATGGAAACACGTCTGATCTGCCGTCGCGTAATTCTGCAGCCACCGAAAATGGACACTCCTCTGGTGCGAGTGGAAAGAAAGGTACAGGCGTCGGTCAGGGCAATGCATCGTGGGGTATCTCCGGATCCAGCCCGAAGGACGACCCAGCAACCATCAGTACTCCCAGCACATCAGCAATCAGTGCAGCAGCACCTCCGGCGAAAACAGTCCAGCCACCAACCAAACGACGAAAAAACGCTGCGACTCAAGCCACAAATGGGGGTCACGCTAAAGCCGCCGCGCCAAGCCAGACAGGACCGAAGCGTGGCAATGGGAATCATGCCACACTAGCTGTCCCCAGCGCACGCGAGTCCAACATGCTCACTTTCGAAAACAGTGGCGCGTTTTTGCATGACGGCCGCTTGGTCGCAGACGATGGCCAAACCGTGTCTGTCAATGGTAAGTTCTGGTCTCCTTTCGTTGCAGCCGCCTGTCGTTAGGTTGGACCAGCCAAGTTCTACGGCCACATGTGCGAATTCTAATTGGGCGTCTAGACCATGTGTACCTTGTGTGCGAGCCGCCCGGGGAGCCCTACTACCTGTGCAGGGTCATGGATTTTATCCACGTCGACAACGATCCGCAGCAACGCGTAGAGTCAATGAGAGTTAATTGGTTCTATCGACCACGAGACGTGCAGCGCTACAACAATGACAGTCGTCTCGTCTACGCAACGATGCACTCGGATCTGTGTCCCATCGCGTCATTGCGAGGGAAATGCCAAATTCTGCACAGAAGTGAAATCGGCAATCTGGACGAATACCGTAAAACGAAAGACAGTTTTTGGTTCAACCAGGTTTTCGATCGTTTCATCCACCGGTGGTACGATGTCATCCCCACCTCGCAAGTTATCAACGTACCCGACAAAGTCAAGAAAGCTCTGGACGAGCGATGGAAATACATCTGTCTCGAAACAAGTCGAGTGAAAGAGTTGACTAGCGCGGTGAAGAGCTGCAAACGTTGCGTTGGGTATTGTGCTTCGTAAGTCTACAGCTTTGAAGTTTCACGTGACCTCGACTTACCCATCCAGGAATGACTCGGTTGAATGTGCCGTCTGCCACAATACGTATCACATGAATTGTGTGCGACCACCATTGTTGAAGAAGCCATCACGCGGGTTTGCCTGGGCTTGCGGGCCATGTAGCAGGGCACAGGAGAAGAAGTTGGAGGCGCGACGAACTCCGCTTGTGGGTGTAAACGAGGAAGGGGACGAGGAAGAGATGCTTGATGAGGAAGAGGAGGAGGTCAGTGGTGACACCAATGCCACGACACCCGATCCTGAGACTCAGGTCGATCTTCACCCCGGGACCCAGGCTGAGATAGCTCTGGCAAAGATGTGGCCGATGAGATACTTGGGCATTCACTGTCGAGTGGAAGACGCGTTACAATACGATGACAGGGCCATATATCCGCGGGCCAGTTCTCGACTCGGGCCGCGACATCAAGCAAACGTCAACGTCTGGCACGACCATCCCGTGCAATATGTCAAATCTGCAGAGATCAAGAAACGCTATGTCAAGTCGGCCGGAAACAAGAAAGAGAGTAAGTTGACCAAGGAGACTGTTGCTGCGATCGAAGCAGACAAGGCAGAAAAGGCCAAACGTCCCAAATGGCTCATGGACGAACCGCCGGGTTTTGTTCGCCGCGGTGAAGACTTGCCCAACAAAGACTCCAAGTGCACAGCGGAGCTCATGTTCAAGATGCCGCCCTTAGGTGTACACTCAACCCGTGGCGGTGACGACAGTCCACCCGTCACTGAAGAGGACGTCAAGGCTTACATGGAACGTGCTAAAGCTCTTGCGAAACAGCACGTTGGCGTGGAGCCGTACAACACTGATTTTCTCGATAAATGCCTGGCTCTTTTCGCGAAGCATCAGTATGATGCCACTGCGGCATTGAAACAGGTCAAGAAACTCGACAAGCGAAAGGACCTGAAAGAGCCATTGCTTACCAAAGAAGAGGAGAAAAAGTGGAATGAGGGAGTTGCGAAATATGGCTCGGAAATCAGAAGTGTGCGCCTTCATACCAGCAAGACCATGCTCTACGGAGATGCCGTTCGATACTACTACATGTGGAAAAAGACGCCCAAAGGCAAGGAAATCTGGGGCTCATACAGCAACCGCAAGGGTCGGAGTAAGAAGGTTGAACCTGACGCTCAATCCCGACTTCTAGACGATGTCGCCGACAATCAGGACGACTCAGCTTTCGATAATGACAAGGCCATCCAGCGCAAGCGCAGCTTTCAGTGCAAGTTTTGCAATGTCCGAACTTCTCGACAGTGGAGACGTGCTCCTGGTGTTGCGCCTGGTCAAATGTTGCCCGCAGATGGTCGATCGAAAGACAAATCTGGCTTTGTCGTTGCCCTTTGTCTACGATGCGCAAGTCTATGGCGCAAATACGCTGTGAAATGGGAAAACGTCGACGAGATTGCTAAGAAGGTCGCTCAAGGCGGGGGCAAGGCTTGGAAGAGGAGGATCGACGAAGAGCTTCTACGTGAAGTGTATGCCGCACAAAGTGATCCCAATGCGACAAATGGTGTACTGGACCACACAGAGTTGCTTGATGCCACTGCGCAAGCTGCTACTGAGCCTGTGAAAAAGAAGCAGAAGACGGCTGCCATCGCGAATGGAGACAGCGAGACATCCACCCCTGAACCTGCATCCAAAAAGAAGGAGAAGGAGAAGCCTGTCCCAGTCCCCAAAGCGCCAACGCCTCCACCTGTCCCAGCTCAGCCGAAACTCAAGAAACTGGCGTGTGCTGTTTGTCGATCGGCAGAAGGGGAACGCCTGGAATGTGCAGCTTGTCGGATGACTGTTCACAAATCTTGCTACGGCGTCGAGGAAACTCGACAGACTAACAAGTGGTACTGTGACACGTGCAAAAATGACAGGAAGGAGAGCGTGTCATATGTGAGTATTGTGCATTCTTGGACTGCTGTGCTTTTCTAACATCCCTAGACGTATGAATGCGTACTCTGCCCACGCAAGGTCACAGAGCTGGACTTCTTCGAGCAGCCCAAGGTTTCTCATAAAAAGAAAACCGACAGAGACAGGGAGAAAGAGCGGATGGAGAAAGAACTCGTCGATAAGGCCAAAGAAGACTACCGTTCTCGGCAACAAGAGAAAGGCCGGCCTTTGGTTCCGCGAGAGCCTCTCAAGCGTACTGCCGACAATAACTGGGTTCACGTTTACTGCGCGCTCTGGCATCCTGAGGTGAAATTCAGCAATGCTACTCGTTTCGACATGGTTGAAGGCATCGGAGCACGAACACTACGATATGACCTAGTTTGCAAGTTGTGTAAGACAGCCAACGGGGCTTGCGTCTCATGCTTGCAGTGCCATGCCAACTTTCACGTTGGCTGTGCGCATGGTAGTGGCTACACTTTTGGATTCGATATCACTCCGGTCAAATCCACTCGAAGAGACGTTGTGACTACTGTTAGCTTGAATGGAGATACTGGCTCCATGATCGCTGGGATCTGGTGTAAGGAGCACACGCCACCAAAATTGGGGTTCCATTCGATAGACGAGGAGGTCAAGGATACAGATATGGCCGCCTTGCAGCTATTCGCGCGGGAGTGTAAGCAGGCAGATCTTACACTTACGGGTACAGCACGCAAAGCCAACTTGGTCGATCAATCGACACGGGTCGCTCCACAGGTCGTGCCAACACAGACGAGCCGTCGAGCATCCGCTATCGCCACACAAACACCTACGTCTGTGAGGGGCCGGCCATCAAATGCCGGCTTGTTAGTAGAGGAAGCCCCGAGCGAGCCTACATTGCCTAAGGTCGAGCGTGAATGCGTCCGGTGCAGTATTGATGTCAGCCCTCGCTGGTGGAAAGTACAGCATGCTCCTCATGTTGAACATGCTCTGTCGGCTCCCAATGGCACAGAGACGAACGGACATCCCGCTCCCGATCAGAAACCGCTTCTCGAAAACGGTCAGATTGTCAATGGATCTGTGGATGTTGCGATGGCTGACGCGCCGCCTGCCACATTGCACAACCAACTACGGATAGATACAGATGTGGCAGATGCTGACTCTGCCGATTATCTGTGTCAAAAGTGCCATTGGAGGAAGCTCAATGGCGCCGATGAGGAAGAAGAGCGCGAGAGGTCAGCTTCTGTCGTCCCTGAGCCACAGCTATTGCCTCTTCGATCCCCTCCGATACAGTCTTACGCAGCACCATCACTTTCTCAATCTGTACTGCCCTCCTGGGGAACCCAAGGCGGTCTTCCTCCTCTGCCTCCAAATCAACCTCCACCGTTACCAGCCTGGCATAGTGTTGGACCTCCTCCAGGACCTCCTCACCCTCCACCACATCATCCTCACAATGGTATTGCACATGCACCGCTACATGGCCCCCCTGTGAGCCATCATCCATCGTTCCATTCTCCATATCACCCATCAAATGGATATCCAGCATACTCGGGCCCATCAGTGCACCCACAAATGCCACTAGCTCCTCTTCGTGGTTCCTACCCGCCATCTTCGGTTAGCGGCCCTCCACCGCTCCATCTCAACAACGGATCAATCATGATCAACGGCATGCATTCGCCACGAGATATACCATATTCACCTACGCATCCCTACGGGCGCTCAAGCGAGAGCCCCTTCACTGCTCCTCCACCAGCCGTCCCGCAGTATGCGCCCCTCCATCATGGCAGCCCTGCACCCGGTCGGCCAGAAACTCCCAGGGACACACTGATGAGAGACGCTCCGCCAGTTACTTCAGCGCCAACAGAGCGAATAAGCACGGGAGCCAGTGCCAGTCCCTCGCTTCGCAACTTGCTACACTAGAGTTCCTTTTCTTCTTTTCCATTTGTACTTTTTGCAACGGCTTATCTTTGGGGCATATTGGATCGGAATCAGCAATGCCGTGGGGCGGGGTGAGCCATGTTGAAGAAGGGGTTGCCGTGGTGCAGAGACAACGTTACAGACGCGTTTCTGGGGATTCAACATGTCGCAGGTCACCTGGCGTGCTATTGGGTATGCGAATGGGGAGTTTGGTGGCATGATACCACAGTTTTTCTTTTCTTCTTCCTCACTACGGCGAATTTTGGCCGATACGAACCACTCTCGTGTACGGCGTGTTGGAGAGCGGGCAGGGGTCCACGAATCTTGGTGGTTGGTGGTTGATTATCTGCAAGTAGGAATAATCATACGTCCTATTTCAATACCGCATCGCCACCGTCTCACACTCTTCAGACTATTTTTCACGTGGTGATCAACTTCTCGGTTGCTGACAAACAGTTGCTGTGACGATGTAAGGATTGCGCGTGCGTTCGTGCGTGCGTGGCAGGGTAGCGCGTGGCATAGCAGGGCACGGCTAGGTGCTAAGCTTTTCAATAGCCCCACGGCTAAGCAGCCTCCGCGCGCCCCGATCTACGCGTTCCTTGCATGATATGATTTACCGCATGTGGGTTTCCCGACCTCGCTGCCCTGCTTCATTCCAGCCTCTGAAACCTGTCGTCAGCGTCCAGCCACACCCACTCCACTTGACGCGCACGCACCACAACACTCTCCTCCTCTTCTTGTTCCTCTTCCTTTTGTATATCATCTACTCCGCTACGCTTGCGCATCTTATCGCTTTTCGTTTTTTACTTTTCTGTTTCGAATTGCTCGTTTAGTAGATTGGTAATCTCGGTGCTCTGCTCAAAGGACTATTGGTATCGCTGCCGCTGCTATTACTACTACTACTACGGGTACTACGTGCAGTATAGCAAGGCACAATATCTGCGACTTTTTTATCTGCCATACTACTATATACCTATCATCTCCGCGCATCCTCAACCCATCACTCGCCGTCTCCTGACTACTTCCGAAACTCGCCACCCCGGAAAGAGAGACGCAGCCGAAACGACGTACGTGCGAGGCTTTCAGTCCGCGACACACGGATCTTGAACAAGCCGGTATTTGCAGGGCGCTGCGCCACACTGTTGGATTACTTTTTGAGTGTCGGGAGGGGTTGCTGAGGTTTACTTTACCTTACCTTCCTGCATCGCATCTCAGTCTGAGATATATTTTTGTTGGACGAAGAAAGATCGTCGGAGAGAAAGATACACGGAAAGACGTCAATATGGGTGTACAACTACGCAAGAGAGATTGCATTCAGTATGATGCTTGGACGTATGAGTGTGATGGCGACGGCGGGTTTTGGTACAGCGATGTAAGTCACCCCCTCCTCCCTCTCTGTGGCGAAGTGGCGAGATAGATGGAGAGAGCACGAAGCTAACACGCCTCTTTCTAGACAGGTGTAATGGTCAAATGGATAATCCTAGCCGTCCTCTTCCTAGTCTTCACACTCTGGTTTGTCGGCGGATACATGCACGCAAAGCGGCGGCTGAACAAGGGGTTACCCGTGTTGAGATACCATCGCGTGAGTCCATCCCTCTTTCCATCCCATCCCAACCAACCCAAACTCCATACTAACCCATAACGAATAGTTCCTCGTCCCCTACAACCTGCGCTACAAATACACCCAACCCCCCCAAAACCACTTCACCTTCTACCAGCAACAACAACAGCAATCACAACCATACGGCTACCCACAAGCATACCCCTACCAACAACGCCACGACGAGCCGCCGCCACTGTACGCACACGATGCGCCGCCGGGCTACTTTGCGCCGCAGGGGGCGAGCAAGATGAACCCGGATCAGCGGGCGGGCGGGGCGGTGGAGATGGGCCAGTTTAGTGGTGAAATGGCTGCTGGGGCACAGGGCGCACAGCAGAGCGGGGTGGTGGGGAGTAGTGCGGGGAACGCGGATTTGGAGGCGCAGGGTCAAGCGTTGCCGCCGAGGCCGCAGCCGGCGAAGGTTGCGGTGAGGGGGTTTATGGATAGGTTTAGACGGTGAGATTGGTGGGGGGATGTTGAGAAGGGGGAGAGGATGATGTGTGTGAGCTTGTTGTATTATCTGTTAATTGATATGGATCGATTCTGTCTATCGAGCACCTGGTTCTGTCTTCCAAGTGCATGGAACCAGTCAGTCGATGTCCATGGCGTCGTAATCATTGTCCATCTGGGACGCCTCATCCTGACGCGTCTCCAGCGGTACATGCACCTCATCCACCGCACTCCCCTGCCTCTCCCTAATCCTACGCCGCGTCTCAACAATAGCCTTCCGCACACTATCCTGCTCCGCCGGCACAGTCAAGCTAGCAGGCACATTGTACAGCACGACCTGGTTGTGCTCGGTGGGCTTGGGCGTCGGGCCGGCCAAGACGTGCAAGGGGATCTTGGACAGATGCTTCTCGATGTCGGACAGGAAGATGGGGTGTTCGTCGTCCGAGGGGATGTCGCTGAGCTCAGCGGCCAGGTCGGCGATGTAGATGCGGTGCGGCGTGTCTTCGATGTGCATTGCTTCTTCGGGGGGTGATTGGGGGCGCGGCTTGGGGGTTATGGCGGGCGGGGGTGCAGTGGTAGGAGTAGAGCCAGAGCCAGAGCCAGAGACGGGGATGTAGAGGCGTGTGCCATTGCTGTTGACTGGCGCGTCGCATCGTCAGCCTTGGGGTTGATAGATGGGGTGGGTGAGGTATGGGTAAGCAGGGTCTCACCTAGATTCAGCAGATCAAAGCGCTTGCTCAGGCGCTGCTCATGCTCCAGCGAGTTGTCGCCCGCGCGCTTCTTGCCGTGTGGTGCGCTCTGCAATGGCTGTGCCACGACGTCCGCCATCCATGACACCCGTCCGCTGTCACTAATTACTAATAAAGGTACGTGGTAGTCTTCTCAAAGCCGGCAATAGGCGCGTATCAGTAGTAGTAGTAAGGAGATTGGCGTGTGATGAAGCTTGCGCGGGTCATTGTCCGAGTTATATGGCGCGACACAAGCTGAAGCTTCTCGAAGGCGTTGGAACTAGCTGGCAAGGGGTGGGACGGACGGACGATCGGTTCGCAGCAGAGAGCCCACTAACCCCCACCTTCCCACCTTGAGCTCGGCGCGCACCAGACTTTCGTACCGGCAGTCGATGCAGTTGCTGTGCAGAACAAAAGCCCCGACGAGCCTACGTCTGACTCACCCATGGCGTAGAGCCGCCTTGTCACACTCCACCACCATCTGCACTCTTCTGAATACACGTCGACGCCAACAACACCAGCAGCAGCAGCACGCCCGTCTTCTGCCCGCTCGTGCCTTTACTGCTGCGCCGATACCCCTCCACCGTACTGCCACCGCCAACGCGCAGGCCGCAGATATGGCCCTCGTCGACGAGACACACGAGTGGAGTGCTGCTCGTGTGCGCCAGACCTTCTTGGACTACTTTCAGGAGCGGGGACACAAGTTTGGTATGTTCGCGTTCTTTATTCTGCCCTTCTATATGTGACTTTCCCTACATTGTCACTTTCCTATACGTGACTGCTCCAGAAGAATAATGCATAGAACACCAATTGACCTCCCCAGTCCCCTCGTCCTCGGTCGTCCCCCTCTCCGATCCCACCCTCCTCTTTACCAATGCCGGCATGAACCAGTACAAGTCCATCTTCCTCGGCACCGTCGACCCGTCCTCTGACTTCGCAACCCTCAAGCGCGCCGCCAACTCGCAAAAGTGCATTCGCGCCGGTGGAAAGCACAACGACCTCGACGATGTGGGCAAGGACAGCTACCACCACACCTTCTTCGAGATGCTGGGCAACTGGAGTTTCGGCGACTACTTCAAGGAGGAGGCCATTGGCTTCACCTGGGAGCTGCTCACAAAAGTCTACGGCATTGATCCCCAGAGACTCTACGTCACGTACTTTGAGGGCTCCGACACCCTCGACCCGGATCTCGAGGCCAAGGAGCTGTGGAAGAAGAACGGTGTGCCCGAAGATCATATCCTGCCTGGAGACATGAAGGACAACTTCTGGGAGATGGGCGACCAGGGGCCGTGTGGACCTTGCTCTGAGGTGCACTACGATCTGAGGGCGCCCGTCGACGGCAAGTACAGGAATGCTGCTGATCTGGTCAATAAGGACGACGCTGAGGTCATCGAAATCTGGAACAACGTCTTCATGCAGTACAACCGCGAGCCTGACAGGTCGTTGCGATCGCTCCCCAACAAACACATTGACACGGGTATGGGCTACGAGCGGTTGGTCTCGGTGCTGCAGCATAAGATGTCCAACTACGACACTGACGTCTTCACACCGCTGTTCAAGAGGATACAAGAGATCACAGGCGCGCGGGAATACAAGGGCAAGTTCGGCAAGGATGACCCAGATGGCATCGATACCGCGTACCGAGTTGTCGCCGACCACGCTCGAATGATGAGCTTCGCCATTGCCGACGGCGGTGTACCCAACAACGTCGGGCGAGGATACGTTGTGCGTCGTGTGCTGCGACGAGGCGCCCGATATGCGCGCAAGTACTTCGAGGTGGAAATTGGCAACTTCTTTGGAAAGATCATTCCTACGCTCGTCGACCAGATGGGCGACATGTTCCCCGAGATCAAGAAGAAGCAGCTGGACATTATTGAGATTCTCGACGAGGAGGAAAAGGCCTTTGCCAAGTCGTTGGACCGCGGTGAGGGCATCTTTGAAAAGTATGCGCAAAAGGCAAAGGCAAAGGGGTCGAATGATCTGGCTGGAGACGACGTTTGGCGGTTGTACGACACCTACGGTTTCCCTGTCGACCTTACCAAGCTCATGGCTGAAGAGCGCGGACTCAACATCAACGACAAGGAGGTCGAGGAGGCGCAGGAGAAGGCTCGCGAGGCCAGCAAGGGCGACAAGAAGGCTGCTGGTGTGGTTGTGAAGTTCGATGTGCACGATCTGGGCGCGCTGGACAATATGAGCGAAGTCCCCAAGACGGACGACTTTGCAAAGTACGGCCGCGAGAACATCACGGCGACTATCAAGGCCATCTACCACAACAAGAACTTCTTGAAGAGCACAAAGGAGGTACCCGAAGGCGAACAGTTTGGTGTTCTACTCGACAAGACAAATTTCTACGCTGAGCAGGGTGGTCAAGAGTTCGATACTGGACGGCTTCTTGTTGATGGTGAGGCGGAGATCAGCATCGAGAATGTGCAGGTCTACGCTGGCTATGTTCTGCACACCGGCTACATCAAGTACGGCGAGTTGAGCGTGGGCAGCGAAGTTCTTGCCGAATTTGACGAGCTGCGACGAAACCCCATCCGCAACAATCACACCGGCACACACGTCCTCAACTACGCCCTCCGCGAAGTCCTCGGCAACGAAGTCGACCAAAAGGGCTCCCTCGTCGCGCCAGAGAAGCTGCGCTTCGACTTCTCGCACAAGGCGGGCTTGTCGGACGCCGAGCTCGAAAAAGTCGAGAAGATATCCAGCGAGTACATCAAGCAAAACTCCGAAGTCTACGCAAAAGACGTCCCCCTCGCAACCGCCAAGCAGATCCGCGGCGTACGCGCCGTCTTCGGCGAGACATATCCCGACCCCGTCCGCGTCGTCTCCGTCGGCACTTCCGTCGACGACCTGCTCGCCAACCCATCAGACGCGAAATGGGAAAAACTCTCCATCGAGTTCTGCGGCGGGACACACGTCAAGAACACATCTGAGATCAAGGAGCTCGTCATCCTGGAGGAGTCGGGCATCGCAAAGGGCATCCGCCGCATCGTCGCCGTCACAGGCCAGGAGGCATACAACGTGCAGCGTCTCGGCGCAGACTTCGCCGCTACCCTCGACGCGCTCGAGAAAATGGCTTTCGGCGCGCAGAAGGAGGCCGAGGCCAAGAAAATCGGCGTAGAGCTCAACCAGCTGTCTGCTTCTGCGCTCACGAAATCAGCGCTCAAAGACCGCTTTGCGAAGATTCAGAAGGGCATCCTAGATGAGCAGAAGGCTGCTGCTAAGGCAGAGAATAAACGCGTTCTGGATGCTGTGACGCAGCACTTTAGCGACGGGAAGCAGACGTTCCTCGTGCAGAAGGTCGCGTGGAGCAGTAATGTTAACAAGGCGATTAGCGACGTGCTGAAGACTGTTGGTGGGCCCAAGAGCGCGCTGAAGGGGAAGAGCGTGTATCTTTTCGCGGCGAGTGAGGACGAGAAGAAGGTTGTTCATGGGTGTTTTGTTGGAGAGGTATGTTCATCTTCCTTTTTTTCGTTCTTTTCACACATGCCCTGTCTTGTCTGGGGGTGGATGAACGCTGTGTGTATGGATTCTGGCTAACAATTCCCCAGGATCTCAAGGCAAAGGGCGCAGATGGACCGAAGTGGGCGGCGGCCGTTACGCCCATTATCGGCGGTAAGGCGGGGGGTAAGCCTGGTGCGCCGACGGCGATCGGGCAGGGCACGAATGCGGAGAAGGTTGATGATGGGGTTGAGGAGGCGCGGAAATGGATTGAGGGGCTTAGTTTGTAGGTTGTAGCCATATGTAAGGCAGTATGAATAGATGAACAAGAAATATTTTCAAATACTTGATCAGGTGGGAGGGGCACTCTGGCTGGCTGGCTGGCTGGCTGGCTGGCTGGCGATGTGATGTTGTAGATGTTAGTTTGATATTCCTACACACACCTCATAGTACAGTATACAGTACACCATAACCCCCCCTCTTTTTTTTTCCCTCTCTCCCCTTCATACCCTCACACAAAAACACAACATCACAACTACCCCCAAACCACCAACCCCCCATACGCCGCAAACCCCCACAAACACACCGTACCCAGTCCCACACGTACCTCGTACCAAAACAGCGCAGCCCCTTTTCTCCTCTTCACTGGCTTACTCTCCCTTCCCCCATCCCCATGTCCATCCCTACTCCTATCTCTCTGCGCATGTGTGTGGCCGTAGATCTTCACGTGTTTCTCATCAACATCGGTATTGGTATTAGTATCGATGTTAATGTCCAGAGCAGGATTGTACCCAGCGTGTTGGACGAGGGGGTAAGTGTACGCATGCGTCTGCTGCTGCTGTTGTTGTGTAAACGTAGCAGCGCGAGACGAGCGACTCTGCAGTATAGTCTTCGCCGTATCTGCGGAAGAATTCGCCGACGAGGAAGTATGTAGATCCACATCCTGCGCAGGCCTAGCAGTCACAGGAAGTAACGGCGCACTTATCGCCTTCGACAAAACGCCCCCTGCCACCAGCGCAGCACGACACACGAGCGCAACAAGCGTAATGCCAAACAACACCCCATACCGAATAAACGTGCCAATCTGATCCGGCAGCAGACATAACTTCGTTTGTACAGTTTTGCGCGCGGGATCGGCGGCAACGCTCTTCCCCTGCTCATCAACAGGATTCCACAGACTGGCCAGCACGACGCCAGGGAGCCGCACGCCCATAGCCCAGCTCACGCTCTTGACGGTGATTTCGCGAATACCGGTCCCGGGGCTAGCGTACCCGCGGTGCACAAGCTCGCAGTAGTCGTGGTCGTCGCCGGAGAACGCATAGCGCACGTCGCCGATTTTCTGCGCAATCTCGGCTGTCAGCTCGCGGTTCAGCACGTTCTGGTACTGGTAGCCGCCGCGCACGGCGATGGCGTTGCGGTCGTCCGTGTCCGGGTTTCCGGGGGAGGGGGGGTGGCGCTCGCGGAGGGGGCCGCAGGGGGTGCCTGGTGGGCGGTAGAGGGGCACGTGAGAGAGGAGGATGGTGGGGAAGTCGTGGACGTCTGCGTTGGAGTGGGGGAGGGTTGCTTTGGGGAGGTCTTGTGCGGGGATGACGGTGTGTGGGAAGGCCGGGTAGGGTTTCAGGCCCATCTGCGTGCGGAGTTCGCGCTGCACGAGGCGGTGTTTCTGGACTTTTGCGTTCTCGAGGAAGGTTTTTGTCGGGCGCCAGAGGTCTTCTACTTGGTTTGGCGAGTCTTGGCCTAGCGCGGAGAGCGAGACGCTGTCGATGGAGACGAATGTGTGGTTCCCGAGGATGTCGATGCGGTTCCCGTCGCCGAAGTAGGCGTTGAAGCGATTGCGCACGCCGACTTGCACGCCCCGCGCGAATCCCAGGTCGTGGTTCCCAGGCAGACTGCTTATGATTTTCCGGCCTGGCTGGCCTGGACGCGATTGCATGCCCCCATCGCCCCAGTGATTCAGGAAGATCTTGCCAAAGCGATTGTACTCTTTCAGCCAGTAGTCGTCGCCGTACTGCCGGTATTCCTTCTCAGGGGAGCGAGTCGTGCGCGTCGACCACTCGCGGCCGCCATCGAACAGATCCCCCAGAAACATGACCGTGTCGGGGTACAGCACAGTCTGCAGGCGCGAATACACGCGGCGCATATAAAGGTCGGTGTACTCCATGGCGAGCGGGTTGAGGGGCCACGGACGGCCCGGGTAGGTATGCGGGTCGACGAGCTGCGGGTCGGCGATGAAGATGAGGCGGTGGGGATTTGCTCCTGCTTCCTATATATCCAGTCAGCCCGCATATTCCAAGTACATCAACACCAGAATACAACACACCCAGTCCTCCCACCCCTCCCAGCTGCACTTCCCCACAGCACCCTCAAACACACCCCTCTCCCCCCAGTACAACACCACCCACCAAACCAGCACCAGCGCGTTGACAAGCGTAAACAGCTGGCGGGGACTCCAATTCCTCCTCCTCAGCGCATGGTACCGCCTCACCACCGCAGGCTTCATTCTGTACACAACATAGGCCCTGACCAGACTCAACATCTGCGCGGGCAGGTTGTCCGGGTCCTGGTATGCGCCGACGGGAACGCCCCAGTCGTCGACCTCGTCGTGCGCCGTCATCGTGGCTATTGTGCGTCAAAAGAGTGGCGGCGATGCTGGCGCTGCATTTTTCTCAACGCCGGTCAAGTGTACGCGTTTGGTTGAACGAGTGATTGCGTAGGTCGTGACCAAAGGGGGTTACGGCATGTCATTTTTGTGGGGTGAGAAAGGGCCAGGGTCCAGCGTTTGTGATCTGCAGCTAAAGCCTCACACGCGTGTTTGCGTTCCAATAATTCAGATCTAAATCGTGCGAGTTTCTGGAACTGGTATAGAAGTAATGAGGTATATTATTCCAAGAAAAGGCTAAATGTACAAAACGTCAAGATATAAATATTTTAATACTCAAGCGTCACCTCCTGCCCCTTGACCCTTCCGATGACAATCTCGGGCGCGTACTTGGGGATCACTTCATCGTCGTGCAGCATCTCAAACTCCTCCGACGCGTCCTTGCCCATGTGGCTGAACAGCGCCTGAGGACCACCTGGGTGTTCGTCTGTCCAGTTGGTCACGTCCATGACAATGCCCTTTACTGCGATCCATAGATCGTCCTTCTTGTTGTGCTTCGCAATCTCCTCGAGCGAAAACTCCTTGTCTGGGATGGAGAACTTGGCCGGCTCGTTGGGCTTTGTCACCTTACCGGGGTCGCTTGAGTCGGAGCCGCTCTTCATGACCGGTGCCGCCGATAGCTGTGATTGCTGTGCGACCTTGTCTTGGCCCTCAGACCCCGAAGCACCACTGCTGGTGCCGTTGCCCCACTCGACTGAGATCTTGCCGGGTGTTGATGGGTCGATGTGCAGGGAGATCTGGCCGAGACGGTTGACAGCCGAGCCGCCAGTCGAGTTCAGCGCTTGCTGGAAGAGGTACTTGGACGCAGAGTCACCAGCTACACGACCGTAGACGACGCAGCCAAGTAGTGATGAGCCACCGAGACGGTTGGCACCGTGGACGCCACCTGCAAGCTCACCGCAGACGTACAGGCCATCGAATGGCTTGCCATCGTTGTTCAAGCACTGTGCCTGGTCGTTGATTTCAATACCACCCATGGTGAAGTGGAGCACGGGCTCCATATGTGCGACGTGGAAAGTATCGTCGATGTCAAGGGGCAGGTTGTGGAAGTACTTCTTGCCCCAGACATCCTTCTTCTCGCCCTTAGCGATAGCGTTGTAGCTCTGGAACTCCTCCTGAAGCTCCTTGTCGCTGACACCAATCTCCTTGGCGAGCTCTGCGCCGGTCATCTTCTTCATCAGGCCACGGCCAGAGTAATGCCTGGTGTGGAAGTCGAGAACGTTGGAGGCCTTGGAGTTGAGGATGAGGCGGATGGGCCATGTGCCCTTCTCCTTCTCCTCCCACATCTTGCCGGAAACGTAGTCGCGGTGACCGAGATCGTCGCAGAAGCGCTTGCCCTTGCCGTTGAGGAGAATACCGCCCTCACCACGGAGAGCTAGGCGATGTCAGCTGACGAGTTTGGAAGGAATAGCATGTTGACGCACCTTCAGCAGCCAAGAACTTTGTCTTGGCCGTAGGGTCCTTGGGGTCTACGAGACCAGTTGGGTGAACCTGGACCTTGTCCATGTCGATGCCGTTGGCACCGATCTTCATCAACATCTTGTGCCCGTCACCAGTGGCATGGGCACCGTTGGTGGTTGACAGGTCAAAGGTGTCTGGCCTGTGCTTCTTCAGGAGCGAGTCCTCTGTGAAATCGGCAGCGTAGCCACCAGTCGCCAGAATAACCGGGCCCTCGACTGTTGTCTCCTCACCGCCAAATGTGTATGTGACACCGGTAGCGCGGTTGTTCTCAATATTGACGCTGGTGACCTTGGCCTTCTTGACAAGCTGAACGCGGTCTGGCTCTGCCGTAGCCAACTCCTCGAATCGCTGCATCAGGGCATATGTGATGGCCATACCGGGGAACTTGGCATCGTGACCACGGTGAGTTCGGGGCTGGGAGTGGCCACTGTTCCGGTCAGCAAGCCGTTTTCATCCAAACGCGACAGTTTCAAACATACCCCAATCGCGAAACGAGAGTCAGGTCCAGGTTGAAGACATCCATCAACCACTCGACAGCAGCGGCGGACTTGTACGTCAAGACCTTGATCAGGTCTGGTCGCGCCTTGTCTCGCGCAGACTTGAGTGTGTCGTCGTAAAACTGCTTGACGCTATCGCCAATCTGGTGGTCAACTTGCGTCCTTGTCAGGGCACCGTTGATTCCAGATGTGGCCTTGGTGGAGTTGCCTCCCATGAAGTCTGGCGCATATCAGCCTTCGCATTCCTTAGCACAGCAAACTTTGAAACTCACTGTTCTTGTCGAGGAGAACAACATTGCCACCGGCAAGGTAGATAGTGTGAGCAGCGCTCAAGCCGGACACTGTCAACCTCGTTAGCATCCGACACCGCGTAGCATCATCCGGCAGATGGCTTCACTCACAGCCAGCACCAACAACAATAACGCGTGGAGACATCGCGACGTGTGTAAATGTGGAGACGAAAGAAAGTGCAAACAAAGTCTCGTGAGTGCAAATGCGGGAGAGAAGTGCGGAGAATGGGGCCTTTGTACGCGGAGGATTAAGCTTCCCTTACATTCTCCACTCGACGCTAGTTACCAGCCTCGGCTGTAAGGGAACGTCTTCCACACTGCCCCCCAGCGAATGACGAGCTAGTTGTTATACACCGGCGAACGCAGGCCGATGGAGATGGCTGCTCCGAGCCTGTGATGCATTGATGTTTACTTCTTTCAGTACGGCTGCGCGTCGCATGTGAAGGCGCCGAGCCCCGTCGTTGTACACATGACAGGACATCTGGGATGGGCGCGGTGCTGACTGCTGGCCAGTGACCTCGGACTTGGAATCTGGGGCAAAAGGTCACGCGTCAACATGAGCGAGTTGCAGCTGGCATGTGAAGACAGGTGCATAAACTAAATCCAGTTTCAACAACCATTATATCACAGCGGATTTCTCTTATTTTGATTTCGACTTCTTTGCCTTTAGTTGTCGATACTCATTTAAGATGTTCACGACTCACGATGCCAACTTCGGCAATTCCCTCCGCGCAACGCACGCAGAGGCCGATCGGCCTTTGGTCCAGCTTTTGCCCTGCCCTGGCACGAGCGCAACGCTCATCGAGCGGGCTGCATTGCCTTGTTTGACCTTGGATCAAGTCACAGCATGTACTTTTCTCATCTCAACATGAAGTTATCAAACTGTGGGTTCAAGATCTTGAACAATTGATCACTATGAATATGGTGACAGTATCGAAAATTGATAAGCATCAAATTGTTCGGAGCAAGCGCTACCGACATATCTGATCTCTTCGGCCCTCCTTGACGCGAGCTCGAGCAAACGCGGTATCAAGGTCCTCACATAGGCTCTTGCACGCCTTGCTGACCGACTCTTGCGAGCCAGAACGATTGCTTAGGAACACGAACGGTTACGAAATCACAAACACTAACAGACATGCACTACGCTAGAGCCACCTCCATCTTTCGAGGCTCCGGATATTGCAGGAAACAGCCAACTTTGCCTCGAGAAACGGCCCTTAAGAAATGTGGAGAACTCGGAGCGTTGTTAGGCTACATGCAGCAGGCTTAGTCCCCAGACCCTGCATGTGCATCTGCTGCCCCAGATTTCCCATCAGAGGCGCAAAGTCGATGTCGCCCAACCGCTGTGGTCGTATCTAACCATCTCAGTGACAAGCAGCCGACTTGGTCGGCGATGAATTGCTGAACATCAAGTAGCCGACAAAAGCTCCCACAGCAACAGCCAGCATGATCCAACCGTTGTATGTCATGAACAACAACCTGCACTCGTTAACTTGGAATTCTACAACGAGTCCATGCCGGCGGAAACTTACATGATAAAGAACGAGTAGAACACCTGCACCGCATACAAGATCGCTTTCACAATCTTCATCTGCTGCTCCGAGTCCCTTCCTACGTTTCTCCCTGGGCCAAGTAATGAGCTCGATTCATCTGCAGCATCTTCGCGCGCTGGGTTCAGCTTCTGTTCCAGAAGACGACATGGCAAGAAAATATGGCCTGTCTGCATCTCATGTCTTTCTCTCGCATTGATGGGGTGCAGAAATTCAAACATGCGCCTTCGAAGAACTAGCCATGTGGTCGTCTTTTCGTAACAAGTTGGAACCTCTGCATAGACCCATACAAGATGCTTTATATGCTTCCTACCACCTCTTCCCACACGAAACGAAATGCATAAACTCACCTCTCAAGTCTTCTGCGCCTCTCCTGCCCTCTGCCACCCTACTCGCGTACAGCTCATACCGTCTCGACGCCTCGCGAATCGCCTCGTAGCCCGCCGTGAGCATAACAATCGCGAGAAGAGAGAAGATAAGGGAGCCGGTGCCGTCAATGCGCCAGCCACGAAAGACGATGCAGAGATTCGTGGTGTCCCACGTGAAGAGCATCTGTGACCATAATCAGCGCAAGTTCAAACACGCATACGGTGATACATGGGATGTTCGAGGTGAATACATACGTTCATGTTGCATTGGTTGCCGTGGTCCATGCCAGGCATGCTATGGTCGCCGTGGTCCATATGGCCGTGATCCATGTGTGAGTGATCCATATCGAATTACTGCTGAAGTGTCAAGTTTGAGAAAGGGAGTAGAGTTGTAGATGTAGATGAGCAAGTTATCACGCAACCAGTTGTCGCGTGTCACACTATGGACTCGCACGGGCCGCGCGCGTTGCGGGATTGCGGGGAGCTGTCGCGGGTCGAGAACTTGTGGATGACATGCACAACTCGACAACGTCACGACTGGGTTTAGAGATTTATATGTGTTGGTTTCGCGCATAGAAAAAGTCCTCAAATATGTCAACAACAATGCGGTGCTTACGACCCGCCACTCGACTCCTGCAAAGCTCAGTGTCGCGACCACTCGTGCGCACCTCCGGAGCCCTCTCACAACGCGAATTCTCGCATACAACGCCACGCAGGTTACTTGGCCCACCGTTGAATATCCCAAAATGGTATGTACACTCAACAAACCCACAGATACTTCCAACACCCTACGCGACAACCGTATCGCCTGCTAACCTGCCGCGCACAGGATCTCCGAGAACTCCCACATGCTCAAGCCGCCCATAAACAACTACTGCGTCTACAACTCCTCCGTAACCGTCATGATAGTCGGCGGTCCCAACGAACGCACAGACTACCATATCAATGAAACGGCTGAGTGGTTCTACCAACACAAAGGCTCCATGCTGCTCAAAGTCGTCGACACATCCCAACCGCCCGACTCCCAGTTCCAAGACATCCATATCCACGAGGGTGACATGTTCCTTCTGCCGCCCAATACGCCGCACAATCCAGTGCGCTTCAAGGATACGGTGGGCATTGTGCTAGAGCAGAAGAGGCCCGAGGGCAGTCTGGATCGGTTACGGTGGTATTGCCAAAACTGTGGGGAGAAGGTGCATGAGAAGAGTTTCCATTGCACAGATTTAGGGACGCAGATCAAGGACGCGGTGAACACATTCAAGGCCGATACAGGAGCGAGGAAGTGTAAGAGTTGTGGGACGATTTGCGATACTGCGCCGCAACCAAAGGCGTGAAAGTGACAGATGAGGTGTAGAGTTTGTACGAAAATAGGTGTATTATACGAAGTCGCAGGAGAAGAAAAACGGTCTACAGCCCTTTCCACATCATCTTGGCGATGTGGTCAGTCTTCTTTCTGCTGGGTTTAACGAGACCCAGGTACTTGAGCTCGGCGAGCGCGCGTTGGAATAAAGCCCTATAGACATTAGTAAACAAAGACGACGTAAACTTTATAGCATGACCTACATTGTCCTGGACTCATTTTCGTCATCTCCATCTCCAGCAATCGCGTTGAAAGCTGCCCACAAATCAGTCACATTGATCAGGGTACCAGACTCGAGGTACATCTGATAGACAATAGCAGCGGCAGGTTGGGTTGCCGACAAGGCCGCTCCTGTACCATCGTCTCCGCCGCAACAGTCACAGCCCAGATAGTCATGCGGAGATGCCAAAGCGCGTTCGATTGCAAAGCGTGGCTTAGGCTGGAAGACCTCGGTGTGTGGCGACTTGAGATCGTACATCAGGATTTCCGAGAGGAAAAGTGTTCGTGGGTCGAGGAAGGCTGAAGTGAAGTACTCATCAAGCTGATCATGGAAACGTCCAACCAAGTCTGAGTAGGCTTTGTCCTGTTCTGAAAGTGCTGCCTTGTGCTTGCTTAGTAGCACCTTTTGCGCCACGACCGTAGTTCTGAGACTGTCATTGCGGACGTCGTGTTGAGTGCGCAGAGGTGCAGCAGTGTCGTTCTTTTCGATCAAGGCATCTAGCTCTTGATAGAAAGAGCTGATGTCCAGTGGGAAGTAGTCGCCTTTGTGAGTCTCCATAGAAGACAAAAGTTGAGACAGCTTGTCTGATGGCATTTTCCTGATGGACAACATTGTTTCGCGTAGAAGCGGTGAGCCTGATATTTCTCCTGATGCTGCTCGAGTCCAGATTGATGAGAGGCGAACAGAAGGTGACATTTGCAGACAATCCCGTAGGCTGGCAAGGACCTTGGCTGCGTGGCTCATAGTGGAGAGAGCATGCTGGCCGGAACCAACATGATTTGTAACCTCATCAAACAGGTACTGGTTCGAGGTAAGCAGCTTGCAAACTTCTTGCGCTTGTCCATTGTCCAGCTTGTCTTCTATCCACCGACGAAAAGACGGCAAGTTGCGTACAGCTTCAAACATATCCGCAGACAGGTTCTCGAAAGCAATTCCGTCCTTGAGAAAGATACTAGGGCAACTGGCGTAGAAATGTGACATATAAGCGTACTTCAACCCGTCGCAAAAGTCCTGAACGTTCTGGACATGATCTTTCTGCCGATCCAGCATACGGCGACAAAGGTTTGGTCCGATACGCAAGAAGCCATCCGTACTGGCGACTGTTGCGCTGAACAGCGTCTCAACGATCTCGTCAGATTGGGTGACATCGAATTTCTCACCCTCGAGATAACGTAGTGACTTTCCTGACAGGCGTTCTTCAAAGCTCTCAGCAGAAGTAGCGATGCCAAAAAGTAGTACAAAAGGTAGACGGTCAAGCCACGAGCTGGAGAGGGGTTAGCACAACCGAAACAAACATTCAGAGATAGACTTACTGAAAAAGATCAACCATATCCACAAGTAGTCCAGCATCAAAAGCTTCACTGTCCTGGATCGCAACAATAATACTCATGACACGGTTCTTCTTGCGCCATTCCTGAACGTGGCCAAGATCGTAGTTGAGCAACTTCGGTCCATGCCTCGAAGACGTCGCTGAGCGCTCCAGGTCTTCATCGTCGTCGTCTTCTGCACGCGATGTCACCTTCTTGATAAGATTTTTCAGAAGCGTCTTCAGATTGGGACATTCTCCGGACGTTAGCACTACATAGGCTCCATCTGTGTCTTCTGTGATCTTTTCGCCCAGACGCTGAAAGAAAGGTCCATGAGATGCGATACTAGGGCCTGCGACAATAAGACCTGTAGGGATGGCAAATCTTTGTTCGTCTGAAGAGGCCCCAGCTGCTGTGATAAAGTTGACAATCTTCTCCTGAGTCGCGCCATCAGCTTGTTCGAGCGTACTCTGCCGTTGTTAGCAACTCCCAATTAGTGATGATTGACAAACTTTACTTCGATTAGCTCCTCTTGTTGCGCCCATATCTCGCGGTAGGCTTGGAGCCGTTCTGGTAGTTGTGCTTGCGGATTGAATTCGCCTACACGCTGGCGCTTGGGCGCTCGCTCTTCCGTCGCAGATGGTTCGTAAACATAGCACCTTTGATGCTCCATTGTGAGTTAGCAGATTGGTACGAAGTATTGGGACGGGGTTGTTGATGATTGAAACCATGAAGTCGATGTCTCGACGCGACCAGCAAACACGCCAACACGTGCTACCGTGAGTCGTGAGCTGGTCAAAGCGTCGACGCGCTTTGGACGAGTATATACAGAAAATGTTCGCAGATTCATTTATAAAGTGTGTGAACAGAAAACAAGGGTTTTAAGTAAATTTTATCTCTAAGACTATTTCAATGTCACTGAAAGTCCGGTCGATATCTCAGAATCGTTATTGTTATTCTATCGATCATGCTCAACTCGCCAGGCCGTTCGTTTGCAGAGTGCCTCGAATGCAACCCTTTCTGGGGAGGCAGACGAACACGTTTATACTTGAAAGAACTTTATCAGATTCTCTGATCACCGACTACCCAGTCAGTGATCTCCAGTTCAGCTTTGTGCACAACGCTCTGCCTGCTGATGGAGTAAGTCGATGCGGGATGCATAGAACGTCGTGGTGGTTAGAATAAGGCGAGGCTGTGACTAGAGCTTCAAAACTATATGGTTGATTTGGGTTCTTCGCCCTACATGACAAGGCTCTCAGTCATGATCCTCTTCGGTCACTCCTGGGCAGCCTTCCATCTCTGCGTCGGGGTATTGATGACCACAATATAGACAGTAGTGGAACTCTCCCCGTAGATGTAGAAGGACCTTTTCAAGTCTCTCCGTCACTGGTAGAGCGTCAAACTCCGCCAACTCAGGATCTTCGTCTTCGAGATCATGCTCAAGAGAGGTGTAAAAGGGCGTCAAGTCATGGCCTAACGCTACCTTTGAATCGTTGTCCTCGTCCTCATCAGCCAGAGTAGGCAGCCGAGAAGCAAGGCTGTTATCAAGCTCGCGGCGCTGCTGTTTGTCATGCTGTATCTCGACCCTCCGTCGCGCGCGGCTGCGCCACAAGACGTTGATATCTTTCAGCGGCTTGTCGAATGGCTCGGTGGTACCTTTGTCCTCGGCTTCCTTCTCAGTCAATCGTTCCGCTGTCCTTTGTGCACTGTCTAGGTCCCTCTCCAGCTTTTTGTCCTTTTGCTCCTGTCGACGTATCTCGAGATAGTCGCCTTCTTCCTCTTTGGAGCGCTTGGCCTCTCGCTCCGCTTCTGCCCATTGCTCTCTGATTTTGCGTTTCTTGTCGGATTCCAGTCCAATGCCTCCTCTGTCTTCCTTGACACTGACTTGTATAGGCTCCTTGCGCGCATTCTCGGATTTGCCTAGCGCATCACCCTGCTTGAAGCCAAACTTAGCCATCATCTTGAAGCCTTTGTTAGTCTCGGGCAAGGCAGTCGCCAGTGATGCTTCCCGAGCTGCCTCTGCTTCTGCTTCACGTTCGGATTTAGTTTTCTGTCGCGCTTTGGCCTCGCCCTGGAGCTTCATATCAGCTCCACCAAATCCATAAACATGCTCACACACGAACCTCCTTGCGTTTGCGCGCGGCGCGCTGGAGTGACGTCTCGAATTTTGGTCCTTTTGGCGCATCTTCAAAGATCATGTTCATGTAGTCATCTTCGTCGTCCGATTCCGCCATGATGTCTGTGTAGTCGATGCTGCAGTGCAATGCCCAGTCGCGAGTTTGCGACATTCAAATTACGTCGACGAAGCCTATGTAAGCGTATCTTAGCGCGTTTAGCAGCGACCCTGCATTCTCCACACTCCCCACGACCTCTCTTTCGCCTACGCTCAACATCAACACTAAATCATTCTGTTTGACGGCTTGCCACATTTCTGCGACGATTGGTCTATTCTTAGTTGGTGCAAACCCTCGGCTGCTTCCTGATATGTCATTTCCATACACTCCCAGGGTACCGATGCTTTGAAACTCGAGACGTAAAGTTCTGTCCATGTCACTCGTGCATTGCACCGCCCGGAAACCTCAACACATTAAATACGGAATTGTCACTAATCCTGCGACCCACAGTGTGTTTGCGCATTATTCAGAATTATGAGGCGTCAACCTCATCGCAGTTTAGCAATACATACGTGAGGGGTACAAAATGCGAGGTATCTTCTCAGCACGTGTAGGCAACACCATTCAAGAGCATCTAAACAGCGGTTACCACACAGGATATGTGATTTCTTCAGGCTCGATCATCAAGCGGCCGGCCGGTTCGGCACAGGTGTCACATTTTCACGTGAAAGCGGTCGAGTGGCGATCCCCCTGGCTCGATATACACGTTCATTGGGTGGAAGCTCACCTGCTCCCTTTGAAGATCGCGTGCCTGCAAATAAGCCAGACACTTTCCGGAGAGGATGTTGCACTCTGTCACGCATAATATCGGATTGGTTGACTGTGTCACTGCAGTTGCAGTGGGTCTAACCCTAACGATCCCCGTTGCCGACGCCTAGTCTGGGGAAGTATAATCTAATGTGCGGGTGTGGCTACTCATTGAGTCCGAGCTTAACTTCTTTCATCTGTCTTTTTTCCATTCGTCTTTGGGAACTTACACCTGTCGGGGCCGCCGGCTTTGACATCTGACAACATGGACTAATCACTTGTATGTAGCCACTCACATTTTGCAATTGCTAGGTGAGCTGTCTGCCCCTTTCAAGGTACAACAAATATATCTACCAGTCGACTCTCTGTTCCAGTATGCCTCCATGATGGATTTCTTAACTGGGCGGCAATCATCTCGGAATTTTGCCATGTTGAGCGAATGTGATGAATCACAGTTGAACCGTATGACCCTGTCAGCGATCGCGCCTCTATATTACAGCGACCCTTGAACTTTGTCTGTCGGTGAACAGCCCAATACGACTTAGTTTTGTAGAGTTCCCGTCTCCGCCTGCGTTTTACTCTTCCCCGGTCATCATATGTAAAGCTTGGTTCCCCACAAGATCACCTCTCCCCGCAGACACCATCAGCCGTGCCGAGGCGTTGCAATACACATAGTCGACTACGAACGAAATTGAATACGATCATATATTTCGACGCTATCGTGCTGCGGTCATCAGTAGGACTTCCAATTTGTCTACTACTTCGATCACGATCAGTCAGAGTCTTGGTTAGATCTCTTGTTTTTGCTCTCAAATGGACTACAAAGGGGAGCAACATGTAGCGGAGGTGAATACGAATTCAACGCATCAGCGAAAACGGGGGGGCATTCTCAATACCCTGTATCCTCCAGGGCCGAAGCCAGGCGCCAAGGGACGAGTGAAGAACCACTGCAGAAAGTTCTGGTGGTGTGGTAAGTACTTGTCCTCTAGAGCAAACTGCCTTCGGGTGTAGGCTTACCCGTCATAGATCTACTTGTTCTCGCCGTCCTCGTCCTGGTCATCGTACTCCCCTTGATTTATGCCGCCGTTCCCAAGATAGCCCAGGACCAAATCAATGGCTCGACCCTGGAGGTTACAGCCCAGGACGTCACAGGCCCACGACCTGACAGTATACATCTGAAGCTTGAAAGCACAATCAAGAGTGACAGCAAATACCATCCCACACTTGACAGGTTCGATGCCTCTTTATCGCTAGAAGACAAGAAGCCATTCCTCAACATTGTCATCCCCACTACCAAGTCTAAGGAAGAAGTTTTCGTTACGGTCGATCAAGACATCAAGATTACGGACATGGCTGCATTTACTGAATACGCTATGGTGGCCCTTGCCAGCGAGACATTCGACGTGTATCTAGATGGAAAGCCGACTATTCATCTGTCAGGTCTGCCAGCCATGAATGTCGACTACAATAAGAAAATTTCCATGAAGGGTAAGTTACTCCAACGTGGCCTATCTATCACAACCAAGCTGACTAGAACTTCAGGTCTGAACGCGCTGAAGGGTCTTAACATTACCGATTTTGAGATTCTCCTCGACTTGGACAAAGTGCTAGCAGACGGTTCCAACGCGAAAGGCACCGTCTTCATCCCAAATCCCTCAGTCATGACCTTGGATCTCGGTAACGTCACCATGAACCTCGCCGTCGGAGATGAATCGCTCGGTTTCTCACTGCTTCCCAATCTTATTCTGAAGCCTGGTGACAACTACATTCCCATGCAGGCTACCACCGATCAAGCCAAAGTCATCACCCTGATCACAAGCAAGTACAAGAATGCCGTTCTTCCCCTTGATATCACTGGCAATTCGAGTATGGTCGGGGATCAGCATCTGTCGTACTTTGAGACAGCACTACAGCACAGCAAGATACGCGTGGACCTGAATGTCGGACCGGCGCTGGCGGCTGTTGGCTTGAACCTCACCGGATCCTAGTTTGCAGGGTTTGTGATATATATATACGGTGGAATACTGGGATGGTCATTGTTTGGAAGGCGCACTTGTTGTGCATGATACCTGTTGCACATTTGCACACGCGCTCATTTGTTTAGGAAGGCCAGTCTCACTCGCCTGTGCTATCTGTTGGTCTCTTGAATTGAAATATTGGTCCTACCACATCATTGTCTCTTAAGCAAGGTGTTATGCCGTACTTGGTCGATGGTTCCACATTTACATCGTTCGTTGATAGCACTAAAACCCGCATCGCTCACGGATGAAGGCCCAGAAGCGCCACGAGCATCAGGAAAAAGACGCCAGGTATTCATGACTCAAAATTAAGAAATTTAGAAGAGCTTGATCGTCTGGCCGAGAAACGGGTGGTCAGAACTGGTCACCATTACCAATAAACGAAAACTCAAACTTCGACGTGTGCTCGGTACAAGTTTCAAAACTTGCGTTTATGATTGTGTTAGGTTTCAAAACAAGTTCTGAACTAAATCCCCATCTTAGCGGCGCCAGAGGTTACTCAAATATGCCGCGACACTAGAAATCTGTCTGTATATTTGATTTCATTATGCCAGGTAGCGTTGTCTCTGTCGGGGAATTGTAGCTATAACGGTAAAGGGATATAGTTACAACTGTATATATCACGTATACCCCATACTAGCTAGATAGGTGAACGGTGATAGTTTAGTGAAGTATACGTTGAAAAGTCAATCTCTCCAAACTCCAGCCGGAGTTCCGACATCCACGTCCGATCCAGACTCTTCATTCTAAACCCTCAGCCCTTCCATGGCCCTTGATAGCAAATTCCCAATTTCTACTCCACCTCCCACTCGCCATCGAAGAACTCTGCGACACCCACTGCAGCCTCGCCTCCTACAGCCCGGTTCAACTTGTCTACGGATTCTGAATGTCCGCTTGCAGCGCTCAATGCGAGTATGACAAGCTCCTTGAGGTTGCCAACAACGTCAGTCAAGGCGATGACCTGCTCCTGACGCATTGGTGCTCCATTAGTACAGTACGGCAAGAGACTGCTGACTGCGTTTTCTGGGAGACAAACATCTTGGCGAACAGGTATTTGCGTAGATGCAATGTTGCGCGCTTGATGATGATGTTGGGGTTGGTGTCGATGATGAATTTGATGTTGGTAACGAGACTGAGGCTGTTGGGAGCCCAGATGTCGCATGGTCGTAGGGACAATCTGCGGGCGGTAGTCGGATGGTCCGTCGAGGTGTGGGATAGACGCATTACGAACAGATTTCACTTTGAGGCCCAAAGTATGTTCACCGGACGGAGGTGCTTGGACGAGTTTGTCGGCCCACACTTCGTTGCTAGGATACTGAGAGCAGACCATCACTCTTGCCGATCAAGGTGAGCAAGATAAGATGGGTCAAACTAGAGTTGGGTTGGCCGTCAGCTCAACCTTGATCCACCCAAAGTGATAAATGTAAGGATATCTTACCGAGCGACACCAAAGTGGCAAGCCGTGATTTGGTGAAGCACACTCAAACTAGTAGAGTTATTTAAGAAAAGACACGTTATTGTGATCCCTTTTGTGTTTTTCCGATAGGCTTGACAAGTCCTGGTAAGCGTTCGACGACGATGTTAGCGGGAAGTCTTCCAGGCTGCACTGCAGGCGCGCCTGCCAGAAACGGAAGCGACGACCATGACATGATAGCTGGCGGCCCGAAGCATACCTAGAGGCAGATTGTTCTGCTGCGATTCGAGAAAACTCTCGCACAAAATGCACTCTTGATTGCTTAGCCTGTCAATCTCTCAGCAGGCTTTACAGCTTCACACTGCAATACATACTCAGCAAGCACGCATAAAGAGACCGATCATGCAGTCTTGAGACGAAAGCGGTGAGCCAAGAAGCGTTTGAGTTGAATATCTTGATGTTTTTTATTGATCTTATACCATGTATGGTAGATGTACAGCGTCAACAGAAGACATAACCAGACCGTCCAGTGACCTGTCATGCACACGGTGTAGCGAGGTACCAAGACATGAGTCCATGATGCAACTATTTATGTGCCAGAGATGGGTATCATGAGAGGAGAATACGTGCACGACGTGCTGTGTTGATTTACAAGAGAGGGGCAGTGGTATGCGAGTACAGCTGGAATACCATAAACCGTTTGATGACAAGAGCAGCGAGCATGGATAGGAAGATACTTGAGCTACGCGAAACTCTATTCCCCAGATGGTGGCTCGCTAGTCGGTTGTAGCTTATTCGCAGACCCTGAAACATTCGCGGTCGGTATAGGTTTTGTAGGCGCAGCTTTGGTGTCTGTTCGCTCTTTTACTGTCTTCTTTTGTTCATTGTTGCTTTCCTCGGTCTTCTTCTCCTCCGCCCTCTTTTCTTCTGTCTTGCCGTTCCCTCGCCAGAAGCCTAGCAGCTTCCCTGACGGCGTAGGTTCAGGATGCTTCACCTTGAACTCCTCCAACTCTGCCTTGACAGCTTTCAACTCATTTTGCATCTCGTCCAAGTCTTCTCGAATGTCGTCTCGCGCATTCCTCGCTTTCCTTCTTTGCCGCCATTGCTCGACCAGAATGACACCTATCCCAACAGCGAAAATAAACGTTTCGGCCACGAAGTTTGCGCCCGTCTCGATCGCCTTCTGTTCCGATAGAGGCCGTATCCGCGGCCTCGTTCTTTCTTCCGCCTTTTTCTTGATATCTGCTCTCTCTTTCTCCGTCATGGCCTCTTCTGCCTTCATCTCTGCCTCCGTTTTGACTGTGGGTGTTGCAGCTAGTCTTCGTGCTGCTTCTGCCGCTGCAACTTCTTTCTTGATTTGGCGGTCGATAACGGCGGGGTCTTGGAGCAGGCCGAGACGCATGTGCATATCTATTCGATGCAGTCTTTGCGCGAAGCTAACGCATATTTTTCGGAATCGCTCGTGTTCGTGGGCATTGCGTTTGATGGCATTCTGCGAATTTCATAAGAAGCAGTCTGGGAGTATTGAATGCAGCATCGCATACAGCCATTGGCTTGGCCAGTGTCCTGACGAAGAGAGAGGTAACCTTAAGCGTGAGAGACATGTTGGACTGTAGTGGAGTAGCTCCGGAATGGTTTGGGAGTTTATATCAAGCAATTGAGTTGGGATTTGCGGATCATCGCAGTTCCTATCAAAGCAGGGACATCTGAAGAGTCATGCGACAGCTTGTGGAGACGTCAAAAAGAGCAGTAGAGGTGCTGAAGATAGATCATGGTTTGAATCGAAGTTGCCTTGAGATCGCATTTCGGCGGATCCATGACACCGACGTCACCCGCGCCTTCCCAAATCAAGCGTGTTGTCAACAAGGCCAAATGAGTCTGAATTATCGCGCAACCAGGACCCAGACATATCCTCAGCCGTATTCCTCGAGTCGAGAATCCTTACCAGTGGTGGAGCGACACATCACTCACCGGCATCGATCGGGACAAGCGCACAATTGGGTCCGTGCTTCACCTAGCAACCATCTAGTGCAAAACAAACACAGCCAGAACTCCAACACCAGCTCTCACGTCACTTTCGACACTCCACCACGAAATGTCTGCCCCATCCATCCACGCAGACGCGCCGCCCGACCTTGTGTGCGATCCAGAGGGTCTGCAGTATGAAACAGGCCCGCAGCTGGGCAAAGGCGGCTTCGCCATCTGCCACCGCGCGAAGTTGTTGGGGCATGAGCATCTCGGCAGCAGCACAGTCGCTTTGAAGATCGTCAAGAGCAAAATGGAGCCGCCCAAACTGGCACAAAAGGTGCAGCGATCCCAGCAGAGAACATGGAGTTCATACTGACGCGCTGCAGTTTGTGACCGAACTACAGATACATTCGAAACTGTCGCATCCCAACATTGTCGAATTCTTCCGCGCCTTCTCCTTCCACTCGAGTACCTACGTCGTCCTGGAACTGTGCGAGAATGGCTCCCTTGCCGATGCGATCAAGAAGCGAAAATACTTCACCATGCCCGAGATTCGACGATTCATGATCCAGACATGCGGCGCTATCAAGTACCTGCACCAGCGCAACATCGTACATCGCGACCTCAAGACTGGCAATCTTTTCTTGGATCGCGACATGAACGTTAAGGTCGGCGACTTTGGCCTTGCCGCTCTCCTCGTCTCACAAAACGACTATGGTGCCATTCGCCGCACAACGATGTGCGGGACGCCCAACTATCTGGCACCAGAAGTACTGGAAAAGACAGGAAAGGGTCATGACGAGAAGGTTGACCTCTGGGCTATTGGTATCATGATGTAAGCGCAATCAGCAGAGAACTTGCAACATACACTTACAAGACTAGGTACACACTCGCTGTAGGCAGGGCACCTTTTCATGCTGCGAAGCGCGAGGACATTTACCGAAAGCTGAAGGCGCGAGAATACACCTGGCCAGATCTTGCGAAGTTCGCGAACGAGATCACCGACGACCTGCGCGATATTGTATCGATGCTGTTAGTGCACGAGGACGACCGGCCGACTCCCGACCAGATCGTTGCCCATCCCTTTTTCAAGCTAGGATACATTCCGTTGGAGCTAGACAGTGGATGCACCTCGCGGATACCCAAGTGGGCAAAAAATAAGCCTCCCACAGCCACGGTTGTGAAGCGCGGATATACTGAGGAGTGGTGGACAATGTGCAAGGCCTCTGCTGTTGGCGAATACGAACCCGGGAAGTCTTTCGGGGCATACGGCAGCCGAAGAAACAAGACAGTAGCTCGCGACTGCCAAAAAGAGATCGAGGCGGGCAAGCAACCGAACATACCATTTGGCAAAGACACCGTCTATGTGCCTTTCCCCGTACGCGTTCAATGGCCACACCAAGTTGCTGGTGGCTTGAGTGAGATCTCAGAGGAGAAGGAATCGTCTGCTGAGGGGCTGGCCCTCGCAGAGACGACTGGGAACGACCGCATAAAAGCCCGCGTCCCCCGCATCACAAGAAAAGAACAGGCGCCATTGCCTGCATTGAAGGAGAACACGGAACCAGTACAAGAACCTGAAGGGGCGCGGAGGATAATGGACAAGGGGCCTACACGTCTGAGGGCTACTCGCAAGATTTCAAACCCTGGTCGAGTGACCGCGACAACAGCTGCAGCGCCTGCCCCATTGCGCGCACCGCGAGCCAACACACGAGCGCGAACCACCAAAGAAGTTGCTCAAGAGGCACCAAAACAGACGGAAAACGGCCTCCAAGATTTGCCGCCACTGAAGATCGCCAAAACAAGTACCCGAACAATCGAGGTACCGGAGCCAGTAGCCTCTCAGCCATCCAGATCGCGGAGTGGGCCACAATTTCGCACAATCAGCGCTGAGATGCCTACTACCGATCCTGTAGCCGTCCTGGCGCGTTTGTATACATTCCGGGATAATCTGGCACGAGCCCTTGACAAGAAGCCATCTAGGTCACGAAGGGACCAACCCGCAAAATTGCCATACGTGGCGAAGTGGGTCGACTACTCTCGTAGATATGGCGTGGGCTATGTTCTCGACGATGGCAGCATCGGCACACTATTGACGGCGGATGGGCATTGTCCAGTCACTGCTGCGATTGCCACAGACGGATATAACCACCTGAAGATGGCTGGAAAGGACCGAGACCTAGCACGAAACGTACCGCTTGATTTTTACGCGACTGCAAAGAAGAACGGGGGTCTCTCCCGCGTCGAGGTGCTAGAGCGTCGACGCGTCGAAGAGATACGGACAGTATGGCACAAGTTTGGGAAATACATGTGTGCGACCTTTGGGGACGAGGAGTTGCCTTTCAAGAAAGACGCCAAACAAGGGAATTTCGTCAAGTTCTACCAGCGACTTGGTAACGTTGGCATTTGGGGTTTTGACGACGGGTCCTTCCAGGTAAGCACTGCGACTGTGAGTGCGGTAGCATTTCTGACTTTATTTAGTTCAACTTCCCTGACCACACCAAGCTTGTGTTGTCGTCAGACGCCGGGCACTGCCACTTCTTATGTCTTCCGCTTGATGCCACATCGCTTCTGGAGGCCACTGGAAACGTACCATGGAAGCATGTGAGAGCACGCGCGAACCTGCGAGGGTCTCTACAGCAGCTCTTGTACGGTTCTGCCAACAAGGAAGACGGGTACAAGGAGATCACTGAAGCCAACCACCTTCGACTAAAGATCGAGTTCATGCTCTCTGTGGTCGAAGAATGGGTTCAGAATGGCGGCCTGGGCTGTCTCGTGGAACCGAAAGATTATTCTTGGACAGGGCCGCAGCTGGAAGAGACGAAACGCCTGGACTGGGCGAGCGTTGGGCGGTTTGGCGGTGACGTCTTCTCATGAATTTACGAGCATTTTTTGGGCGTTTGGGCGGCAAGCGAAGGCGTTTTGATTACGGGAATATTTCTACCCACGGGTCGCATTTCCACGGTGTCTGCTTGTCCCTTCTGGACAGTGTTGTTGAGTACGGTGTTTCTTCATTTTCGGACGCTCCTTCATGACGGTGTGAGTCAGGGGCGTTTGATTCGTAGCACTGCGTTTGCAGGAGAATTGAACTTGGTCGCAGCTACCAATCTCGGGTTCTTCAATGTTGATGCCTGGTCGAGTGCCGCGTAATTGATGTACGAATGTTTGTGCCCAGGGATGCTGGGCGTCTTGTCTTGTTGCACTTGGTTGTTAATCGCCGTGGCAGATTGCGCGTCGAACGGTTCAGTTGGTGGCTGTGCCTGGTGGCCTAGTAGTGGGGCGCGTTGTCCCGACATGACCGACCCCGTCATCGCAGGTGGCAGCGTTTCGAGGGCTGGCAACGTAGCCCACTCTCTTGCGTATCAGGAATCGCTGAGGCACCACACCCCTCAAATACTCTGCACCCGCGCTGCCTTTCGTTATATCCTCCGACGTGGATCCATTCCAATCCCATCACGCGACGGTTCCCCAACGCAGGTCACAAGCTTGAGCTCGCTGTTGGGCAGCAATCATGGTAGAACACGCCACAACGGTTGATTTGCCTACGCTGACAGATATGTGCAGGCAGTTTCAAAGCGCGCTGGGCGCAAGAAGGAAGGCGGTGGAGCAGCGCCGAAGCAGTTTGCAGCGAAGGCTGTCTTTGAGACAACTAAGAAGAAGGAAGTGGGAGTCTCAGATCTGACCTTGATCAGCAAGGTGTCGAACGAGGCCATCAACGAAAACTTGCAGAAACGTTTTGAGAATGGCGAAATCTACGTGCGTCGACCCGGCTGCGCCGACCCCCGCGCCATACCGCGATACAGCAAGATAGTTGAGGACGGCGACTGACGCAGGCGCAGACATACATTGGACATGTGCTGGTGTCCGTCAACCCATTTCGCGACTGTATGTGGGAGCATTCGCGTTATATGGGAAGCTGCTGACGTGGAACAGTGGGCATATACACAGACCAAGTGTTAGACAGCTACAAGGGCAAGAATCGGCTGGAGGTACGGCGCATGACTGTCACTGAGTGCTCAGAGCTGACAGAACCAGGTCCCCCCGCATGTCTTCGCAATCGCCGAGTCTTCATACTACAACATGAACGCATACAAGGAGAACCAATGCGTGATCATTTCCGGCGAATCCGGAGCAGGAAAGACAGAAGCTGCAAAGCGATTGATGCAGTACATCGCGAGCGTTTCAGGCGAGGGCAGTTCTCAGATTCAGGAAATCAAGGACATGGTGTTGGCCACGAATCCTCTGCTCGAATCCTTCGGAAACGCGAAAACGCTGAGGAACAACAACTCTTCGCGATTCGGAAAGTATCTCGAGATCCACTTTAACGCGCAGGGTGAGCCGGTGGGAGCCAACATCAACAACTATCTACTGGAAAAATCACGAGTAGTAGGCCAAATCATGAATGAGCGGAATTTCCACATCTTTTACCAGTTTGCGAAGGCAGCGTCGCCGCAATACAGAGGTATGGCCTGCTCAGTATAATTGACACGAACATGCGCTAACAATGGCAGAATTGTTCGGCCTACAGCAACCTCAATCTTATCTCTACACGAGCCGATCCAAATGCTTCGATGTCGACGGCATCGACGATCACGCAGAGTTCAAGGATACTCTAAATGCCATGAAGGTTATCGGTCTGGAACAAGCGGAGCAAGACAACATCTTCCGCATGCTCGCGACAATTTTATGGCTAGGCAATGCGTCTTTCAAAGAAGACGACTCGGGGAATGCTGCAATTGTGGATCAATCGGTAGTTGATTTCGTGGCATATCTCCTGGAAGTAGATGCTGAGCACGTCAACAAAGCCCTCACAATCCGAGTCATGGAGACGAGTCGCGGTGGACGGAGAGGCTCTGTGTATGATGTGCCATTGAATTGCGCCCAGGCAATTTCAGTACGAGATGCGCTTGCAAAGGGCATTTATTTCAACCTGTTCGACTGGATCGTACAGCGTGTCAATGTATCACTGAAAGCTCGAGGTGAAACAGCTCACTCTATCGGTATCCTAGACATTTACGGGTTTGAAATTTTCGAGCGCAACAGCTTCGAGCAGCTGTGCATCAACTACGTCAATGAGAAGCTGCAGCAGATTTTCATTCAGTTGACTCTGAAAGCAGAACAAGAAGAATATGAACGGGAACAGATTAAGTGGACACCGATCAAGTACTTCGACAACAAGGTCGTGTGTGAGCTCATCGAGGAAAAGCGCCCGCCAGGCGTCTTCGCTGCGTTGAACGATGCTTGTGCTACAGCACACGCCGATCCCACTGCTGCAGATGGAACCTTTGTTCAAAGACTGGATGCGTTATCATCAAACCCTAACTTTCAGCCTCGCCAGGGACAATTTGTTATCAAGCATTACGCTGGTGATGTCGCGTACGCGGTGGAGGGCATGACAGACAAGAACAAGGATCAGCTTCTGAAGGATTTGCTGAACCTCCTAGGCCAGAGCGCAAACCCCTTTGTCCACACTCTCTTCCCACATCAAGTCAACCAAGACGATAGGCGACGACCGCCGACGGCTGGAGACAAGATCAAAGCTTCAGCGAACGACCTCGTTACAACTTTGATGCAGGCTCGACCATCGTACATCCGAACTATCAAACCAAACGAGAACAAATCACCAAAGGAATACACCGTATCAAGCGTATTGCATCAAGTCAAATATCTTGGTTTGCAAGAAAATGTTCGCATTCGGCGAGCTGGTTTTGCGTCTCGTCAGACATTTGATAAGTTCGTGGAAAGGTTCTTCTTGTTGTCTCCCAAGTGCTCGTATGCTGGCGAGTACACTTGGACAGGCTCCTACGAGTCTGGTACCAAACAGATCTTGAAGGACACCAACATGCCGGCCGAGGAGTTCCAGATGGGCGTAACGAAGGTTTTCATCAAGACGCCCGAGACGCTCTTTGCGCTCGAAACAATGCGCGATCGATACTGGCACAACATGGCAATTCGGATCCAGCGTGCTTGGAGAAACTACCTGCGATACCGGGCTGAATCCGCAACCCGGATACAGCGTTTCTGGCGAAAGCTAAACGGCGGTAAGGAGTTTATTGACCTTCGTGATCAGGGCCACAAGGTTCTCCAGGGCCGCAAGGAAAGACGAAGATACAGTCTGGTCGGGTACCGAAGATTCATGGGCGATTATCTCGGCATTGGCAATAAGGGTGGCCCGGGCGAGGTGATTGCTAATGCTATCGGACTGTCGCCCAACGAGGAGGTGCCTTTCTCGTGCAGGGCCGAGACACTTGTTTCGAAGCTTGGTCGCTCGAGTAAGCCTGAGCCTCGAATGCTTATCCTCACCAACAAGAACGTATATTTGGTCAAGCAAGTGATGGTCAACAGGCAGGTCCAGATCCAAGCTGAGAGAACAATACCTGTAGGCGCAATCAAGTTCATCAGCGCTTCGACCTTGAAGGATGACTGGTTCTCCATCGGGGCAGCCTCACCCACAGAGCCTGATCCGCTCGTTAACTGTGTGTTCAAGACGGAGTTCTTTACGCATTTGGCAAATGTTTTGAGAGGAACATCAAACCTCAAGATTGGTGACACGTAAGTTGTGGCCTATACGCGAACATTTGTGTATGCTTACACATTATAGAATCGAATATAACAAGAAGCCTGGCAAGCTAGCCCAGGTGAAGGTAGTCAAAGATCCTGCAGTCGCGAGAGACGATCTGTACAAGAGTAGCACCATCCACACCGGTCCAGGAGAACCTCCTAATTCACACTCAAAGCCCACTCCTAAAGGAAAACAAGTTGCAGCAAAGCCCATCACGAAAGGCAAGCTCCTACGGCCCGGCGGTCCAGGAGGAGGCCCCTCGAAGCTTGCCAGTCGTCCTGCGCAACCGAGAACAGTACCGATACCTGTTGCGGCGCAATCACGGATACCACCCGCGCCGGAACTACATCCAGCCTTCACTCCTGCCGCACCGCAGGCGCGAGCCATTCCTGCCGCTCCACCGATGAATATGGGTGCGCCCCAGCCCAAACCCGCCGTTCATCCAGTCGCAGCGCTCTTCCATAACACGAATCACGAACGTGGTGCATCGACAGCATCATCGCGGGTACCGCCTCCGCCTCCGCCCCCGCCGCATCATCCTTCTGCGCCACCACCTGCGCCTAAGGAACCTACATACAAAGCGTTGTACGACTTTGCTGGACAGTCAGCTGGTGAACTGAGTATCATGAAAGATGAGATCATCCTGGTTGAACAGAAAGGGGATACTGGTTTGTACTATCCTTCCCTTCCCCCAAAATACCTTATTAATTCAATGTGTAGGATGGTGGCTCGCCTCTCGCCTTGATAAATCTGCCTCGGGCTGGGCACCTTCCGCTTACCTTGAAGAACACGTCAGTAAACCAGCGCCGCCTCCTCCTGGTCGACCCAAGCCTCCTGCTCCGCCTGCCAAGCGCCCTGCGGCGAGGAAACCGGCTGGGGAGGCGGCAAGGGATAGTGGGTACTCTGGAAGTGGATCGGAGACGGGTGCGAGGGATAGCAGTGGAAGTATTGCGGGGGGACTGGCGGAAGCGTTGAGACAGAGACAGGCTGCTATGCAAGGGAAGACTAAGACTCAGGAGGACTGGTAGGGTGGATAGGAAATGAGGAGTATGTTGGTAGAGGACAATAGAGAGTTGTTTCAACGTTTCTTAGGGGGTCATGTAGAGGGGTTCATCTGTGGGGATTGGTTTGATTGTGTTGGTTGAGAGGTTTACTATGGAAAACGCAGTGCGGTGCTGATGGAGAGGCCCAAATTGCAAATAACCACACACTGGGACGACAGTTGCGCTTGTCTTCATCGAATGTGTCTGAGGCTAACTTAACATCGCTTTGGTCTGGCTGTATGTGGAGTGTTATTGATAAAATGAAATGTGACCGTTGAAAGGATGATCGCTGTACTGTAGAAGCCTGCCCAATTGCAGCACCGTTAGCAGGGACCGTGGCTCAGTCACTGCGTTGCGGTCTAGCGATACTGCAAGTGAGCAGATTTTACAGTATCTGTCTCACATGAATGGGGTCTGGAGATGGCACTCTAGAGAAAACCCCATGATCTCGAGACTCAATATGCAGGTACTCAAAGGTGTTGTTAAAGGCACCGTGGCAATCTAAGGTTTTAAGCAACACCTGATTCTCGGTAGATGTGTGATGGGAGGATCAGATATTACTTGGAAAGACCACGGGACTGTGACAGTTTGCTTTGATGAAGGGAAATTTGGTGAGGAGAGTGTTAGTACGATCGATACTCGAAATGTGAGGGATGTTTGTATTGGATATATATTTGATTTGGCATAGATGTTTGGTGTATCAGATTTAATCGATATACAATAACTTGGGTTCGTATATTTGATCTAACACCGACTGAAAATATGGATGCAATAAATAGTAAAGACGTCTGTCCGTTGCCCAGACATAGCATCTCCACAGGACAGGGGCACGACGCAAAGATTTCTCTTTCATCAATCAAGACAAAACGGGCGATCCAACCCGGTTAGCGGGCCGATACAGAGCTTATCGAGGCGAAAATAGACGGTTCGCGGGCCTGTCGTCCGCCACACTCCCGAGCTTCCGGACGCCAACAACGCCATCACCACCTCACACTACAGTTTCTCCACCACTCGACCGCGCAATTAACCCCCGGAAGCTGCCCTAATGCGTTCCAGACTAGGTTCGGAGCATCCACTTCCGGCTCGCAGTTCAGGACCGCCATCACCGTGTGGATGTACACATTAGCCATCGAATCAGAGACCTGACAACTTACAGCGGCGTGGGATGGATTGGCATCGAAGCCTGCGCTGACTGCTTCAAACTGTATCCTGTTTGTGCTCCTTTGCAGCAATTTTGACCGTAGAAATGAGTGAAACATTGAGGAGGAGAAATGCGAACGACTGCTCGCATGCACTCTTGGAAATCGCCACAGTTCAGCCCTCGACAGGGTCCAATCTGGATTGACATAATCGAAGAGGCTCTTTCATCTGCAATGAGGACAAGTCCGCGTATGCTTCGGAATATTGCCGTCCCGCCGTCCAATAACCCCCGTGTTGTAGATCGAAGGCGAGCCTGCGAGCCGTCGCTGGGATACCAGGATATACCTTAATACGTGCGCAGATTCCAACGTATCCATCTGGGGTCACGTTGCGGATGGCCTATGCGTTCGATTTGATGGTCGTAGTCCCAACGACGCGCGGGTACTAAAAGATGACAATCTACTGCGAATATTCTTTATTCTTGTCAATTAAGCCTCTCATTCTGCTTCCTCACTTCTCAGCTTGTTTACTGAAAGAGTGGTAACGGCGGAAAGTGCGGCTCTTTGCCCAGATCTTTTCAATTATTTTTGTTCTTTAGTTCGGTACAAGAAACCATGGCTACTGTCGATATGGGCCACTCTCATTCTGTGGAACGAGACATCAAACACGTGGATGTCAAACAACCGACTATTCAAGTACAACCGGTGACAATCGATCCCCCGTATCTAACACCTGCAACGACACCGGATCAGAATTCTCCACTGGACGACGCGATGGCGGGGGAAAAGCTTTTTTCTCTAGAGAAGCCAAGTGACAGGGCGAGGGAGTTGGCTGCTAAGTTGACGCTGGAGGAGCAGGTATGTGCTTTTGATTACTCAAGAACACACCCCTGGGGTACTCAAAAGACGCTCGGGAATGAACCGTTTCGGGTCGTCACAAGATATTGCCAGCGGAGAATTTCAAAGCAAGACTATGGCTTGGATCTGTTCACGGAACAGTGACTCCAAAGTTGCATGACTGAGATCTCCTTCTCGAAAAGCTCTTCCCATCTTACTTGAACACAAAATCTACTCTCTCATTCTGGCCTACCCAAATTAGGATTGTGGAAGATGGTAGGCTGATGCTTCGCAGATCTCGTTACTGGCAGGAGCAGACTTTTGGCGGACTATGCCTATCCCAGCCAAAGGCATACCATCAATCAAAACGACAGATGGACCGAACGGTGCCCGAGGAGAATTCTTTACCAACGGTACACCTGTAAGTTTTGTGTCACTGCTCAGTGCTGGGTTTCGTCTGACCTTGGAAGGCTGCGTTATTCCCTTGCGGTATTTCCATGGCATCTACATGGAATGTGGATATGATGGAAGAGATCGGCCGTCACCTTGGAGAAGAGTGCAAAGCCCGCGGTGCTCATATGCTACTCGCTCCTACAGTGTGCATGCACCGCTCACCTCTCGGTGGACGAAACTTCGAGTCTTATTCGGAGGATCCCTATCTCACTGGAAAGCTTGCAGCATCCTATATCCGGGGCTTGCAGAGTAAAGGGATTGCCGCCACAATCAAGCATTTCGTTGGGAATGAGCAGGAGACTGAACGACAGGCGTATGATGCCATCATTGCCGAGCGACCGCTCAGAGAAATCTATCTCAAGCCATTCGAGATTGCTGTCCGTGAAGCGTCACCATGGGCACTCATGAGCTCATATAACATGGTGAACGGCATCCATGCCGATGAACATGAGCATACGATCAAAGATATTCTTCGAGCCGAGTGGGGGTGGGATGGAACAATCATCTCTGACTGGACTGGAACATATGCTACCGCTCCCTCGATAAAAGCCGGTGTTGATGTTGAGATGCCTGGACCGTCAAAATGGCGGAAACCCGACCAGGTCAAGGCTGCACTTGACAAAGGAGAACTTCTCTTCAAAGATATCGAGGAGGCGGCTGCAAGAGTACTCTACCTCGTCGATCGAACAAAAGGACTCGACAATCAATCCCCGGAGCAACCTGAACAATCGGTTGACAATGTCGAAACACGGAACTTGATTCTTCAAGCTGGTATCGAAGGACTGACACTTTTGAAGAATGATAACAACGTGCTGCCGATCAAAAATGCTAAGAAAATCGCAATGATTGGACCCAACGTCAAGCGAGCAATTGCCAACGGTGGAGGAAGCGCAGGTCTAAATCCTTACTATAGGGTCAGCCCCTGGGACGGCATGCAAAATCGGTTCGACGGCGAGGTGACCTTTGCTCAGGGCTGCGATAGCTCAAAATGGCTGCCCCTTGCTACTCCATACTGTGCAGCTCCAGATGGCCAACGTGGCGTGCGATTAGAATATTACCGTGGTGACAGGTTCAAAGGCGAGCCGGTAGTGGTACAGAACAAAGTTAGCACAGATCTCTGGCTTTGGGATTCTGCGCCGATGGAGCTCCTTCCAGATTTCTCGTTTAAGGTCAAGACAACGTTGACGCCTAAATCGACAGGGAATCATAGTTTCAGCTTTGCTTCAGTAGGTCCTGGTCGGATGTTTTTGGACGGAGAGCTCTTCATCGACAACTGGGACTGGACTGAAGAAGGCGAGGCAATGTTCTCCGCTTCTGAGGATGTGCTGAAATCGATCCAACTCAAGGAGGGCAAGCCGGTCGAGATTCTCGTAGAAAGCACCAGCGAGGTTCGCCCAGCGTCAAAGGTCTCCATTATCGGCCGTCGTTATGACTACGGCGGGTGCCGCATCGGCTACCAAGAAGAAGACAAGATCGATCGCTTACAAGAAGCTGCGGACATAGCATGTGAAGCCGACGTCGCCGTGTTAGTAGTTGGCCTTGACGCGGAGTGGGAGTCAGAAGGCTACGATAGACAGACCATGGATCTTCCCAAGAACGGTTCACAAGACCGTCTCGTCGAAGCTGTTCTAGCCGCCAACCCGCGTACCGTCGTTGTCAATCAGTCTGGGACACCCATCACCATGCCCTGGGTGCACAAGGCCCCTGCGATTTTGCAGGCTTGGTATCAGGGTCAGGAAGCTGGGAATGCTCTTGCAGACGTACTCCTTGGTAATCAAAGTCCTAGCGGCAAGTTGCCAACAACGTTCCCGGTCCGCATCGAGGACAACCCAGCTTTCCACAACTGGCCGGGTGAGAACCTGAAAACTGTTTATGGCGAAGGCATCTATGTCGGCTATAGGCATTACGACCGCTCCAAAATCACCCCCCTCTTCCCATTCGGTCATGGGTTGACATACACAACTTTCGAATACGGAACACCAACAGCGGACAATCTCATCCTCTCGGAGTCTGAAGAAGTCGTCATCACCGTCCCAATCACCAACACCGGATCAGTAGCCGCCCACGAGATCGTGCAGGCTTACGTGAAGGACGTAAGGTCCACACTTCCGCGTCCTGAAAAAGAACTCCAAGCCTTCGGCAAGGTGTTCTTGCAGCCTGGTGAGACTAGAGACGTTGTGTTGAAGCTAAACAAGTACTCTGTTGGGTACTTTGACACAAGTCTGGGGCAGACAGGCGCGTGGATTGCGGAGGAGGGGAGTTTTGAGGTTCTGATCGGGGCGAGTAGCGCGGATATCAGGTAAGTGCTGTCCTTCATCGAAGGTTCAAGCAGTATGCTAATGAGATGCGCAGGACGAAGATTAAATTTGAGGTCGAGGAGTCCCTTCAGTGGATCTTCTGAGCGTGGGATGAATGTTCTTGGGCAGTGAATGGGTGCCGGACTGAACTGGATGGAAGACAGTGGGCGTTGGGGTGTTGGAATCCTGACCCGAGCTTAATTCACGTAGAATCTTTAGGGTAGTATACTTGGGTTGCGTGCCAGAAATGAGGTGAATACGATGCTTCTTGTATGTTCAGAATGACGTGTCTCGCGGATTGGCTCTGTCTTTGTCTAGTGGCGATGGAGAGAAGAGTATTCTGGCCCCAATCCTTGGCCAGGTTTTCACTTCTTGGTTTGGAATTTAAGGGTTTCTTCGTGCAACTCCTGTTGCGAATCTCTCTTTGTGGTCTTTTACAGCATATCTCGAAGTCAGGTTAAATACGATAATGATACCCCATTATAGGTGGTGGTTCAACCTCGTCAATTTATGGGGAGCACTAAAAATCTCTTTGTTCTGGGGAGGAGGAGAACAGCGCTCTCGGTCAAGTGCAAAAGCCGAAGGTAAGCTGCGCATCCTTCTTGGGACCAACACGCAGCGACAATACAAGAACGAATTCTTTCAACAAAAGCAGATTAGGCATATAAATGTCGTATTCAAGATAATCGAGTTTACCAGGACTTTGTATGAGGTTGTAAAGCTGTTGCAAGATTTCGCTGCAGCTTACTTGCAGCTTTTACACTTGACCAAGAGGAGCGATAGCGCACCGATGGAAATCAGGTGGATGACGTTTGCTCCCTGTTGGGTTTAGCTCTCGGAGCGGAACAACATCGGTCAATCTCAGGGTTCAGGCGCTTTTGAACTCCTCAACCATCGCTATTTACCGCCCTGAATATCTGCTTTCTAAGCTCCGCTAGAGTCGCATCACATGGCCGTATAGACTGGTCGCTTTGTTTTGCCCTCTTTTGGCGGCATCTTTGCGCAAAACCGACTTTGCGCCAGCTTGAGCTCCTCCTAACCCTCGGCGACTGGTCTAGCTCCAGCTTTCGGACCACCACGACCCCAAACACGTAACCATCTCACCTGCAATCCGAGCTTCGATGAGCCGCGGCAGCCTTTAATACCACTTTTCCATCGCAAACGCGTCCACGGCTCCGAGTTCGCAACCATCTTAACGCCGACGGATCGGTAAAGCCGAAATGAATCCAGCGCACCGCGACGGGTGGCCGCCGTCACAGGCCGCCGCGCCTGGCCAACAACAAACGGAACACAACCAGGGACAGGGTCCGCGTCCACTTGGGTCATACGGGTGTGTAGCTTCCTCCCACTGGTCATCTTGCGTTGCGCCAGCAGTCATGGACCGCCCAGGCGTCGCGCGAGCACGCACGCCACTCTCTGATGGCCTGTATGCTGACGACGAGAGAAACAACAGACAGAACAACGCGAACCCACAAGCCCCGCCACATGCGTCGCCTGCTCAAGGCCCGGGGTCGGTGCTCCCTCCGCCATCTGGTACGTCACGTCTGCGAGCGACGCGTTTGTTTACGATGCTGACTTGGACGCAGCGCCCTCTTTCTACTCGTCAAACGCCGCGACAGCCCATAATCAGAACCTCCCTGCGCTGTCAGGACTGACGGGACAGCCCCCTCACACTTCGCCCCACATGTCTGCCCAGAGACCGCCCTCGTCGGAGGCGGGGACCATGGCGCAAAGCCACCAGGGCCCTCCCCCGGGCCCACAATACTCGCTACCTGGTATTTCTCAAGCGCTACAACAGCCACACATGCAGCCTCAAGAACAGACCAATGCAGACCGAGATCGAGAACTGCGCGAGGCGCGAGAACGCGATATCATGGAATCGCATGCTGCACAGCAAGATGAGATCGTGAAGCGTGAGGCAGAGCTGCACGAGCGTCAACAGCGTGAGCAGGCAGCACACCAGAACCACTCTGCGCCCATACAGATTCACCAGCCCGTAGCAGTAGCACCATCGACGCGGACGATCCATGGACCCAATGGCCTACTTGGGCAATCGGGGCCTCTGGGCGGACCAAATCCACTCACAGGACCAAGTGGCTCTGGACTCATATTTGGAAATGCGCCTGTCCAGCATGACCAAACTACACCCAGGATGCAGCATGCTGTGCAACCACCAACCCAGGCTCAGATGCTCATGCCATTTGCAGGCCCACCAGGTGCGATGGGCATGGGCCAGGGCCAACAGCCCATCCTGAACGACGCACTGAGCTATCTCGACCAAGTCAAGGTTCAGTTCGCCGACCACCCTGATGTCTACAACAGATTCCTCGACATCATGAAGGATTTCAAGAGTGGCGCAATCGATACTCCAGGCGTCATTGAGCGAGTTAGTACCTTGTTCGCAGGTAATCCGAATCTAATCCAGGGGTTCAACACATTTCTCCCGCCAGGATATAAGATTGAATGCGGCACCAATGGCGACCCGAATGCGATTCGAGTGACGACGCCTATGGGAACGATGGTTTCCACAATGCCTGCCCCAAGACCTCTTTCACCACCGCGTGGCAATCTTGTCAATGGTAACGCTGCGCCTCAGCATGAAACCACCTACTACGAAACGGCTCAGGGTCGACCTTGGCCTCCACAGCCAAGAGCTCAAGGTCCTGAGGGGCAGGATACGATGTTCTCTCCAAACAATCGTAACCTAGGACAGTCGTTACTGTATGGCGTACAGCAAGGTCAGCAAGGTCCAGCGCCAATTTCACCAGAAGTCACCGTACGCCCTCTTCCCGACGCCGTCAGCACCGCTGCTGCTCTCGCGCACCAACAAGAGCAAAGGGGAGTATCACAGCTTCAGAATGCTGTCACCGCTGCCACTGGTGGCTCTATTCTCTCGCCGAGTGCGGGCAACGCTACGCCTCTTCCGGTTCAGGCAATGAACGGTGCAGTTCAGGTTGCACAGATGGGGAGCCTTGGAGCTGAGAAACGAGGTCCTGTCGAGTTCAACCATGCCATTAGCTATGTCAACAAGATCAAGAATCGCTTCGCCTCGCAGCCCGACATCTACAAGCAATTTCTGGAAATACTGCAGACGTATCAACGCGAGTCAAAGCCAATCCAGGATGTATACGCTCAAGTCACCGGCCTGTTCAGTTCTGCACCAGATCTTTTGGAGGACTTCAAGCAGTTTCTCCCAGAGTCAGCTGCTCAGCACCGGGCACAACAACAAGCGGCGAGGAATGCTGCTGAAGATGCAGTGATGCTGACTAACGTTCGAGGTGACGCTGGCTACGGTCAGACGCCAAACCTCCAGCAAACCCCACGCGCAGACACTTCTCGACTACCTCCTATGGGTAATTTTGCGCCTACGCCAACAGCAAACCGTGATAACAAGCGGAAGCGCGAGCGTCAGGGCCCTGTGGCGGCAGCCATGCCTGCGCCGATGACCCAGGAACCGCCGACTTCGAACATGCGTGGCTCATACGGACAAAGTACCGTGAACAAGGTATGCGACTAATTTCATTTCGTCTGGGTGTTTTCTTTTGCGTGGGTTGGGTTTGTGCACGTGCCTTCACTCCCATCAATCTTTCCTTTTTATACCCCCACGTGTTGTCCTGACAACATTGACTATCTTGCACGTCTTGTCTTCGCCTGTCTTCACTTTGTACGAGATGCCGTCTACGCCTCGCGTGACGGCGAACATATCCTACAGAAGGAAGCTATCTTTAGCGAACAACAACAAGAACTACGATGCGGATACTGACACCTCTAAGCGTACGAAAACAGGCCATGCTGCCAAACAAGCAGTACCTGATGGTCCACCAGTTTCTCCTACACTCACTCCCGCGCTGCCAGAGCCCATGCCGCCAACGAACACCACGACCCCGAACCAAGACGAGCTGGCTTTCTTCGATCGCGTTAAGAAGTTTATTGGAAATAAGAACACTATGAACGAATTCTTGAAGCTGTGCAACCTCTTCTCCCAAGATTTGATCGACAAGCAGCTGCTGATCTACCGAGCACAAGCTTTCATTGGTGGAAATCAAGAGCTGTTTGCGTGGTTCAAAAAGTTCATGGGCGAGGACGAAGAGCAACAAAAGACAAGACCCAAGACTGTCAACTCGCGAGTTTCGTTATCGAATTGCCGCAGTCTTGGACCTAGTTATAGGTTGCTTCCCAAGCGTGAGCGCGAGCGGGTTTGCAGCGGGCGCGATGAGCTTTGCCGATCTGTCTTGAACGACCAATGGGCGTCTCATCCGACCTGGGCTTCAGAAGATTCTGGATTCGTCGCCCATCGCAAGAACGGGTTCGAAGAGAACCTGCATCGAATCGAGGAAGAGCGACACGACTACGATTTCAATATCGAAGCATGCAACCGCACTATCCAACAGCTGGAACCGATTGCCAATCAACTGCTCACCATGAAGAGCGATGACCGAGCGACCTTCACACTACCTCCTGGTCTTGGTGGACAGAGCGAGACCATCTACAAACGCGTTATCATGAAGATATACGGCCGTGATAAGGGACGGGACGTTATCAAAGAACTCTTCGAGATGCCATGGAGTGTGGTTCCTGTCTTGCTGCACAGATTAAAGGTCAAGCTAGAGGATTGGAAAGCCGCCCAGCGTGAATGGGAGAAGGTCTGGCGTGATCAGACTCAAAAGGTCTTCTGGAAGTCTCTCGATCATCAGAGCATCACAGTCAAGCAGACAGACAAGCGACAATTTCAACCGAAGTCGCTCACCAACGAGATCCAAGTCCGGTACGAGGAGCAAAAGCGACTTCAGACGATTCAAGAGATCCCTCAGCCTGATTATCAGTTTGTGTTTTCGTTCAAGGACGAGGAGGTTCTCTTTGATGTGGCTCGCATGATGCTTACGTTCGCGGACAACAACAGTGGTGCCGATTTTGCCAAGGTCGTTCCATTCATCAGAGAATTCGTACCATTGTTCTTTGGGCTTGACACCGAAAAGTTTCAGCAACGGGTGCAGCTGTCGGGTCGCAACACTCCCAACGAGTCTGGCGAAGACACTCCTAGTCCTGACGATGACGTTTCCCAGCGATCCCAGAAGCCAAAGAAGGGCGATCTCCGTCGCGACGTCCTTGATCCCCGTGGTAAGTCACGAAAGGACAAAGATGATGGCGTTGCGTCAGCAAGCAGGGACACCACGCCAGAAATTCCATCTGGCGCTGAAGACGAGACCACCGCCGAGAGCTCGAATTCAAACCGCAGTGAGCGACCATCTGGCCACTGGGTGGACTATTCGGCTGGTCCTACGGCGCTCGGCGACAAGGAGTTTGAGCATGACGAGCACTATCAACGCACAGAGTACAACATGTACGCCAACGCCTCGATCTACTGCTTCTTCCGCATGTTTGTATACCTGTACGAAAGGCTGCTCAAGCTTAAAGAGAGCGAGGAGGAAGTTCGAAAAGTCGTCAATCGCGCCAAGGAATCCAAACCTGCGCAGAGGCTCAAGATGCTCGACAAGCAGCCTGAAGATTTCTTCAAGGATACGTCTGCGTCGGCAAACTACTATCAGCAGGTCCTCGACCTCTTCCAGGATCAAATTCTTGGCGAGACGGATATGAACTTCATTGAAGAAACGTTACGCCGGTACTACTTGCAAATAGGGTGGCAATTGTACTCGTTTGACAGACTGCTCAGCTCGCTGGTGCGATCCGCGCTGGCAGTTGTAAGCCAAGACAGCAAGGACAGGAGCCTTGATATTTACAATCTCTTCAGGAAGGACCGTATCAACGACACCACGGCGCACAAGACCGAGATCAACTACAGGAAAGCTGTTGAGAAGTTTGCCAAGGATGCCGATACTTACCGCATCACTTACGTGAGTTGTTTTCATTCTTCATGGAGTAACGTTTCGCTAATACCTCAGCAGGACCCCGCCAAGATGGAAGCATATGTCCGGTTATTCAAGAAGGACGACCCAACCTTCGAGTTCAATTCTGTCGACCGCGTCAAGCGGTGGAGAGCATATGTAGCATCATATACGGCCGTCGAGCCTACCGAAGAGGTCGACATTGCTCGCGTCCACTATCCATACCTCAAGAAGCGCCTTGCGAGGAACCAAGATATTTCGGACGCAAACCGGTTGGACCATGTCAAGCACAGTGACAAGATCACGGTATCCATCAACCCGGCCGCCTATGTCATGACATTCATTCACAGCGAACCTTCCGGTACCGGTGGTGTTCAGTACTTCCTCCAGCCTGATGTTGTCCGTGCAGGTGTCAACGAGGTCTTCCCTAATCCTACCGAGGAGTTCAAGATCCTCAACGACTCGAGGCGTGATCTCACCCAAGAGAAGCTGGTCCGGAACAACACATGGATGAAGGACCTCAGTCGGGATGATGTGGACACGCAGAAAGCGGCTTTCAAGAAAGATCTCGAGCAGGCGAGGAGTGTTGAGGACGATGAGGATGTTGAGATGGCGGAGGTGTAGTTGGTTTTTTTGGTTCAAATGTTTCTTCTTTCTTCGACGCACACATATATACCTTTTCTTGTTTGACGGCTTAGGGATGTCCGGCGCACAAGGTGGGTATGCGAGATGAGGTTGGATGTGTTGGGTTTTTGACGATGGGGTAGGTTCAAGGGGGGTTGCATTGTGGGGTGCATGAGCGAGCAGCGATGCGGTGCGATTCATGGATTTGTATATGCTTCTCGCATGGCGTTTGGTCTGATGCACCCGACTCAAATTTATATCCACGTTCTAGTCTCTCAATCAAAAAATAGTACTATTCTAATCATGTTCTCGAGTGATATAAGAGCGTAGATGCTAACTACAGAGGTATTATTGTTCTCTCCAGCCATAACCTATCTCATCCCATCTCAAAGCTTCTCCTTCTGTTTCCTCCCGCCATCCAGTCACACAACGTTCTTCTCCAACCACTCCTCCCACTGCTCCACTGTCCACGAACTACTGATATCATTATTCACCACGCCGTCAAACACCACCGTCGGCGTGACATGCACCCCCGTCAGTCGGTTCGTCTTAACCTGCACCTTAACATCGACCGTCACGCCATTGCCCGCATTCAAGCTCCCATCCTCTCCCGGCTTATCGCCAATCTCCAACAAGCCATACACCTTCGCCTCGTCGACGCCCACCGACCCCGCAATGGCCGCGAGACGCTTGTACGTCGCATTCCGCGTCTCATTCACGACATTCTCATCAAAGAAGTCCTTCTGCTGCGCGAACAGCGCGGCACTGAAGGGGTAGAATTTTTCCGGCGAGGTGCGGAGGACGGCGAAGGCGGCTTCGTGGACGAGCGTCGAGGAGGGGTGCCAGGGCTGGATTTGCTGGCGGAAGATTGTTACGACGGATTTGCTGTGCTTTTCTAGGAGGGTGGTGCGTAGGGGCGTGTTGTAGAGCGTGTTGAAGAGCTTCGCGCTGAAGGGGCAGACGTAGTCGAGGTCTGGGGGTGTTAGTTTTGAGGGGGGAGGTGGTGGGGAGGGGAGGTGTACAGAGTTCGATGGTGTGAACGGCTTTAGGTTGGATGGCGGCTGAGGATAGCTTTTGGCCGGCGAATTTGGGTGCGAGGGCCATTGTTGCTGTTGGTTGGGCTGTTGAGGGTGGTGAGGTTTTGGGTTGATGGGTTATGGTGGAGGGGTTACGTTGGGAGCAATGGTCGATTGATAAAACGTCTAGAAGTGGAATCTATTGGAGCTTTATGCTAGCTGAGCACATGTTCTCATAGCACGCAATCTTAATATCGGATACTACTAAAGAGTTACCTTCCTCATGAGCTCGACGTATGACATCATTGCTTTCCATGTGAGTGTTCCAGCTCCAAACTGCTGACAGCACGATCTCGATGGGCTTCTGATAATCAAACAGCCAGGGAACAACAGGCGGAATAAATGATGTTGATCCCTCGAGCAAGTGGATTGATGCTACCCCACACCCCCACCATGCTTGAATCAAGCTCCATGTTTCAACCAAGCTAAACTCCGCACACCTCCGGGTTCCATGCTACGTCGCGCGTCAACCCATTCAACACACAACAGTGCTCTAAGAAACACACGATAGGGTTGATGTGATACAACCCACAACCTCTCACACAAACCATCATGACCTCGCCTGCTTCCGGCTCATCCGATGACACGCTGCTCGCCCGTCTCAACGCGCTCAAGAAGTCCTCCGTCAGTTTCGACACGACATTCAAATCGCCTGTAGCTCCCGCAAGCTCTCCAAAGCCTACAAACGACCTCGCTGCTCGCTTTGCGCGCCTCGGCTCTCCGTCTCCCTCGAGCTCTCCACAGCCGTCTCGAACAACGTCTACGAACGATGCCCGAGCCCCGATAGTAGCACCAGGCGCGCCTAGCTATCTCGAAGGCATAGCGCAGGGTATTGGTGGGGGGACTGTTGAGTTCAATGAGGAGGATGAGAAGAGTTTGGAGGAGTTGTTGGGGGAGCTGAATGGGGCTGTTGGGGAAAGGAAGGACTGGGATGTTAGTAGGAAGGAGCAGCAGGATGTTGGGAAGCTGTTGAAAGAGATGAGGGGGATATTGCCGGAGGTTCAGAAGGGTCGCGCACAAGATTTGAAGAAAGCAGGACAGAAAGGAGGTGAAGAGCTTACGGATTGGGAGAATGTGGAGGTGGATGTTGGGAATGGGAGTGTAAAGGGAAAGCGAGATGAGTCGACAGACGACGAGGAAGATGAAGGCGACGAAGGCAAGAAGAAAACAGAGGACGACGAGGCAGATGATGTGATTGCGAGAGCCATGGCAGAGTTGGAAATACATCGCAAGTACGATGCTCCCTCGCCGCCTCCAGAGGACGAGAAAGATACGGACTCGGGAGACCACAAGCAAGGACAGACTTCTACGAAAGAAGACAACACAGATGATGGCGCTCTATCTCTCCCATCTGCACCGACATCCCTCCCTGAAGACGACCTCGTCCGCGCCCAAGCCTTTGAGGATATCTTCACCGCGCGTCTAGCCGCTCTATCCGCCCCATCAACACCACAGACCGACGCCCTAGGTCTCCCCTCTGCGCCCTCCTTCCACCCCACCAACAAACCACCCATCCAGTCAAATCTCCAGGCCAAACTGGATGAGGAGATTGACACGTGGTGTATCATATGTCAAGACGACGCCACACTAAGATGCATGGGCTGTGACGACGACTTGTATTGCCAGAATTGCTGGATGGAGGGACATAAGGGTGAGTCAGCGGGGTTTGAAGAGAGGAGTCATAAAGCGGTGCTGTTTGTGAGGAAGAAGAAACAGGCTGCGGCTGCGTAACCCCCGCTTTTTCAGGCAACAACAATAAAGCCTCGAACATGTCATATCATCGATATAATCTCGATCTCGTACCCTCGACACACATATTGCACCTCGACAATCAACAGGTTAGCGACTAAAGTCTAGCATCGTAGTGCACAGTTCTTTCTAGAAAAGACAAGCCACAATTACATCGTCATGGAAGATCCCGACGAAGAAGTACGTGCTGCTGCTATGTGAGTAAAATTATCCGATCAAACCAACCACGGCCTTACTAACCATATACCTCCAGCACTAAACGCAACGAGCAAGAGTCTCCGCTTCTCCGTCTCCCCGGTGAACTGAGGAATGCAATCTACCGCCACGTTCTGCCCGGAAACATCGACATCAAGTACGGCGGCAAAGCGCGAGACAAGGTCGACATGGTAGCTCTTAGCACCGCGTGCCGCACATTACATCAAGAGACTGCTCTCCTGCTCTTCTCACAGAGCACTTTCCGCTTCGATTCCGTCATGCAGATATACCCCTTCAGTGGCTCTTTGACCGCACGCCAACGGGAGGAGGTCCGCAGCATTGCTCTACCGGGCTGGTTGCTTGTCGACGAGATTTTGAAGAACAGGCTCTTCCCGAACAGGCTACCTCGCGTGAGAGAAGTGAGTGTGTATCCCATAGGTGGCGGGAAAGACGAGAACTTGGAGGAGCGTCTTATGGCTATTGCAAAGGACGCTGGTCTTGTGAAGGGGAAAATCGACCAATTGGACGCGTGGCTGTGTGGTAACAGGCTGGAAGTGGAGGGCGATGTTCAAGAGGGCGAGCAGAGATGGAAGGCTATACGGTGGTCTAAGATGCGAGTCCTTGGTCTGAGTAGGCTGAGCCCGAGATGGTAGATTGATACATTAACAGGTACTCAGACAATTGTTTAATATAGCAAGGTGGAAGTCGGGTTGTTGATAGAGTTAGCACGCAATTGCAGTTTTTTTAATAGGGTGGCGCGCTTGTAAGTAGGGGTTTATCTTTGGTTTCTGCGTGCTGAGGTAGGGGATGACTTGAAACGCTTTCTTCTCGACTCACGGAAGAATTTCCCACTTTGTCAGGGATTTTTGGTATGTACCAGGTCTTGCGTGTCCGATGACAACGTAGCATAGAAATTCAGTAACGAAGTTGGTCAGCATAGAGTTGGTTTCTCCAATGCGAAAAGTGTGTGAGACGTCAGTACAGAATCCATATATTTCACGCATCCACCCGCTCCTCCTCCCACGCCAGCATACTCGCCATAGCCCGCTCATAAGTCCACATGGTAACCGCACTCGCCGGCGCAGCCTTAAGCAAACTAACCGTCAACCCCCTATACAACCCCCTCCTCCCCTCATGTCTCCAAATACTCGTCACCGTACTAACAACGCCCTTATACGCCGGAATCCTCCCATCCACATACCGATCCCGCATGGGGCCCTGAACCTGCAAGCGCTTCCTCGTCGTATCGAGCGGGTAAACAGCCGTCTTGGACAACACGCTCGCGACAACCCCCGCAGCAGCATCCGACGTGCCGAACGGCAGCGGCACGGGAGACTCAGCAACAACCGGCTTCAGCGCCTCGTAGCTCGCGAAGAATAGCCCCATGTACGGCACAATCTGGCTCACGCCCGCGCCGAGCCCGCGGAAGAAGCCCCCCGCCCCTTCGTGCTGCGCGATGTGCGCCACGCACGCGCGGATCGACGGGTAGACGCGCGCCCTGCCCTGGGCGGCGAAGCGCGTGCGCAGCAGGTCGAGCGGGTAGGTGGCCGTGGTGGCTGCTGCGCCTGCTGCGGCGCCGCTGAGGAAGGAGACGCCGGAGTTGGGGAGTGTGTAGGGCGGTGGCAGGCTCTCTAATATGTGGGACATGGATGTGTAGGCGGAGAATTGCACGCTGCCGTATGCGAGGTACATCAGCTCGGCGGGGATGTTGCCTTTCCATAGCCCGGGGAGGCCCTCCTCGTGCAGGATCTGGCGCAGGGTGCCCAGCGTGCTGTGGGTGAGGCGGCCATGGGGGTTGGTGGGGTCGGAGAGGGAGTGGATTTGCAGTTGTAGGCGGATCTTTATGACGTCGAGGGGGGCGATGACGAAGCTGGAGTGGTTGCGACGTGTCAGTGGAGATATTGTGGTGTGATATTTTGTGGATGTGGAGAGGGAGAGACGAGATAAAAAGCGTACCGCGAGACGAGGCCTGCGATTGCGCCCGCGACGACAACCTGGCGCTGCGAGCCCTAAAGCAAAGCAAAACCCACAAATTAGCCAGTCTGCTTCCCCCACACGGTCCACGTGGAGACGCAGTAGGATGCCTATTCACCTCATGCCTGAGCTGAGCGACGCCCTCCGACATGCGCAAGCGTGATCGCTAGGTTGGTTACCTGGCTGGCCCCAACTAACTGCCGCCCGACGTAAAATGAAGAGGGAGATGTCCGGAGAAATAGAGTCGTCCGCGCGAGAGTGAATGCCTCGGGGCTCGGGCCAATGCTGTCCCTCGCAGGTTGTCGGCTTTTGAAAAGGAAGCTGGACCCCGCGACCAGGAAAAGGTGCCTGCGACTGACTACTGGTGCAAAGAGCTGCCCATTTCCCATTCGACCATGTCCCTGAACGCCAACATCAACAACATCACCGCCAGACTGCCCCTGCGCACCGCCTCGTCCTGTGCTGTGCGCCCCCGCTCCCACACCCACGCTCACGCTCACGCATCCAGGACGCAGCGCCGCGCTTTCTTCCTCAAGTCGTTTTGGAGCAGGGCGCCCCGCGCCGCTGAGCACGCAGAATGGAACTGGAACCCCGCCATCAGCGGCCCGTTCCGGCAGACGAAGCAGCAGCTCAAGGAGCAGGAAGAGCAGGAGCAGAAACAGCGCGCAGAGCAGGAGAGTCTGGCTGAAGCGGCGGAGCAAGTTGGCGCCTTGGACGGCGAGCCCGCGCAGCACGTTGCGCTTGAAATCGACGGGCGGCTCAGGACGTTCGACACGGCGTTCCTGCGCGACAGCTGCGCGTGTCCGCTATGCAGGGACCCCCACAGCAAGCAGAAGCTGTTCCAGACGTCGGACATTCCGGAACATCTCGAGGGGAGCGGCAGGGCGGTAGTTGACGAAGAGAAGGGGCCAATGGTGGAATTCACGTGGAAGAATGACATCGAGGGATATGGGCCAGAGCACCACACACGACACTCGATCGACTGGCTGCGGCGCGCGCTGACCATGGAAGTCGACCTGCGAGGCGGCGTGCGCCACGACGAGCGCGTGCTGTGGAACAGAGACCGCATCACGCGCGACAACAAATGGGTCGACTACAAGTCCTACATGACGCAGGACGACGTGCTCTTCGACGCCCTCTCCCACCTCAACAACTACGGCCTGCTGTTCGTCAAGAACGTGCCCGACTCCGAGACCTCCGTCGTCGACCTCGCCTCGCGCATCGGCACGCTCAAAGACACCTTCTACGGCCGCACCTGGGACGTTCGATCAAAACCCCAGGCCGAAAACATCGCCTACACGCCGCACTTCCTCGGCCTGCACATGGACCTGCTCTACACCTCCAACCCCCCGCACCTCCAACTCCTACACTCGCTCCGCGCACGCACCCCCGGCGGCGCCTCTTTCTTCAGCGACTCCTTCCACGCCGCACACCAGCTCCTCCGCCACTCAGCCTCGCACTTCCGCGCCCTCGCCACCTTCCCAGTCACATACCACTACCACCACAAAACCCACCACTACCACTTCACCCGCCCCGTCCTCGAACTCTCCCCCTACCCCAAATACGCCGACCCCGGCTCTCCCGCTATAAAACGCGTCAACTGGTCGCCCCCCTTCCAGGCCCCCTTCGAATCCCGCATTGGGTCGAATTCTTCCACCGCGCTGCGCTCGTTTATCGCCGCGTCGCATGCGTATGAGAAGGTGCTGGCTGCGCCGGAGAATCTGTTTGAGTATCGGCTTGAGGAGGGGGAGTGCGTGCTTTTTGATAATAGGCGCGTGCTGCATGCGAGACGGGCGTTTGATGCAAGCAAAGGGGAGAGGTGGCTGAAGGGCGCGTATGTGGATGATGATGTGTTTTTTAGTAGGTTGAGGGTTCTGGAGGAGGGGGTGAGGGGGCAGTGGGTTGCTGAGGGGACGGTGAGATGTGCTGTTCCTTAGGGAGATGCGTGGGGTTGGTGGTTGCATAGCGTTTTTTTGTTTGTCTCGATGGATGGGTAGGAGGTGATGGTCTAGCATTTATAGCGTCCTTGGTACAGAACAGCATTATCATTTTGATCAACTTTCAGCGCATTCAGCCGTGTTGTAAAAGTAACTTGACACAACACAGCGAAATCCCAATATCCTACTGAAGTCTGGAAGCTAAAAACCAACCCCTTCACGCACAGTGCCTATTAGTAATATTGCATAGGAAGAGTAACAGAGAAGCACAGCCACTCAACCATCTCCTGACGACTGCATGGCTGCTCAATGTGCCGATGCGAGTATGTGTGTGCGTTCGAGAGCCTAGGCCGTCGTTGACCGAACTTTGATTCCTCAACTTTGGGTCGTGAGACTTTTCGTACGGGCGCTATGTATGTATATTTGTATATATACTTCTACCTTGTGTTTCTACGAGATGCTTCTTAGAGATCTTGAATATGGCATCGCATTCTTCTGCTTGATAGACCTACTGTGCTTACCCTTAGCTGAAGCCAAGTGAAACATGAGGGTATGCGTGATAGACGCAGTGCATACAAACGAGCAATCTGGAGGTAATCCACATATATGATCAAGCATATGAGTAATATACATTTACCAAGTTCAGTAAAGAGTCTTAAGATGATATGGTAGTAACACCTTACTTACGACGACGCTTTCATCGTCCTTGGCCCATCCGATTCCTCCTAAGTGAAAGACGGATCAGACTTAGGATCTACAACTTACGTTGGAGACAATTGCAGAGTTTGCCGCCTAGGATTAATGCGATTCCACTGACACGCCCTTTTCAGAGTACGCGATGCGCCCGAAATTCTCTGGCAACGTACTGTTTGCAAACACCCGGTGGGGCGGTGAATCAACACTGTCCTTCACCATCAGCAATTCGACCTTCCCATTGGCCAGCATCGTTCTTTCCCCATGCTCCGACATAACAAACGCAACGGGAAACCGTTCACGGTGAGGAAATGACTCACGCGTGAACAGTCAGCCGCGTCTTTGCAGCGCTTGCCTTTCCTAGTTGCTGGATTTGTGGTTCTTTCCTGCTTACACCACACTCGCTCGTCCTCAACTGTGTTCAAATATCGCGATAGTCCCTCCCACTCTGGTTGTTATCATTGTACGATTTCAGACATTGCCTCCTTGTACGATTTCACACATCATGGACTCGACGACCTTGACTCCGCTGCGGAAGCGTGTCGCCTCAGATCCGTCGGAATCGCCGAGCCCGGTGAAGCACCGTCGTTATATCATCTCAACTCCGCTCGATGCCTGCATGATCGACACGCCTCTTGGTAGTTCAGAGTTCCATACTATGATCGTGCAGAATTCAAGAAGTCCACCACTCTGCCTCGATGACCTCCCTGACGAGATACTCCTCCTCATATGCCAGAATCTGTCCGAAGACCTCAAAGGACCTGGGTATCGAAAGAACACACTGGCAAGTTTGTGCCGTACCAACAAGCATCTAAACCGGATTGCGACCGAGTTGATGTACGCGTGTGTGGACTATCGTCTGCCCGGAAATGCTGGTATGGTACAGACTCTGACCAAAAGCCCGAGACTGGCCGAGCTTGTGAAGAAGATTAAGTTTCGTCTCCATGACGACGGGTTTGTGTTCAATACACCCATAATGGATCGACAGTACAGTCGTGTCCTTCAGTTAGCTACGAATCTCCAACATCTCTTAATCTCCGACCACTGCAACGTTAGGCAAGATCACGATCCTGTTACAAGCCAGCCGCAATGGCTAAATATGTTCAATCAAGCTGCACGCGGCATTCCCAACCCGTGTGTGAGTAGGTTCACAAACCTCCAGTCCCTCAATCTCGCTGTCGATTGTGGATTTATGGCCGCAGACGTCTCTTTCGTATTTCGCCTGCCATCACTTCGGGCCTTGTCATTGAGGCTACTTCTTGGACCAGACAAGATTGACGACTGGAGCGTACCAGAAGCAAGCTCCAACATCCGATATCTTCAGCTAAGTTCATGTTTCCTGGACAGCGCAGTGGTTGCACAACTACTTTCGTCCATCAAAGCACTTGAATCCTTCGACTACGAATACACCACTAGCAACTGGCAGCCGCTGGGTCAAGGAAACAACCCGCACACGCATTGGGCAGAGAGCGTTTGGGACGAGATCGGTGACGGACTGCGCAAACACCAAGATTCCCTGGTCTTGCTGAAACTTCAGGCACACATGGACAGTGACATCTTAAAGATGGTCTACCCTGATGGTCGGGACATCCGGACGCTGGGCTCTCTCAAGGAATTTCATCAGTTGAAAGTTCTGGCTTGTCAGCTCGAGGCTTTGATCCATGTACAACACGAAACCGACTTGGCACAGAAGCTTCCCGATGGCCTCGAAAAGCTCCTCTTGGAGATCGAGCCGTCAGAAGAGGATTGCCACCTCCATCGTCGTGCTCTGATATCCCTCAAAGATGGAATCTTCACTAAACCCAAGAAGGAATTCAACGCATCTTTGTACACCAACATTTCCGTCGGCCGCTTCCATTTCTCCGATACTTTTGACATCCTGACACAAGCCGGTATTGGTATCAATATACTTGTAGAGACGGATGAAGAGTTAAAAGTCTTGACGTTGGAGGATTTGCGAGAGATGGAAGATGAAGAGGATAACGGTGAGATTGATGCCCAAGACGAGCACGACGACTCTGACGAAGAATGAGACGGCTGTATGACGAAGATAATCTGGAGGAGTTCGAAGAGACGAACAATAGCGAAATGAAACACAAAGCACAAGGTCTCGAGACTGATGATGGTGGTGGAGGAGTTTTCGCAAAGCAATTCTGGCATTTATCATGGACCACGGAGTCTCATGTGTAGTGTGCTTTCAGGACAGGCATAGCAGTTGTTTGATGTGGTACCGGCGGTAGTTGTTTGTGGAAAGCGGTTCGGTAGGTTTTGGTGGTGATCTGTATCTGCTTGTTTGTTTGTGTTATAAAGAGTAGGAGTGGCTAGGCGGGTCGGAGATGATAGGAAATATGTTTCTGCAGAGTCTCCATACTCAGATTTGTCTCCTCACTGCTCGGGAATCTTGTCACAGAGTCGGATGTGCAAGTAATGCATAGTACAGTTGTTACCATTTGTGTATTGCAAGCAGCTCCGTGAGAACAGGATCGACCATCGAGTGTGACGGCAGAACAATCGACGTAGGGCCAGGTCGTCGAGAAATTCGATCAAAGAATAATAATTCCCGCCTTGGTGCAGACTCGTGGCGCGCATATGTCTCAATCTGGAGGTCTGGGGTACGACGCGCTGTCATCACTCCTATGAGATCGACTGATGGTTTGGTGCAAATGACGTCAATGCATGCAGTAATGAATTGCCAGGCATCCTGCCTCACCTGCGCACGACAGGATTCAGTGTAATGAAGAGTAACTTTTCAAATTGTACCGGAGAAGCTCGTGGTTATGTGGTCCCGGGTGGGAGAATTGTCTTAGAGACAAATGAGATGGTGATCATCCACGCTAGTACTTATGGGGAGTTGCACCTTCCCATTGCCCTCCTCCTTCTATCTCACCTCTTTCCATCGTCTTCGCATCTCAAGCCTGCTCTTTGGAATGAATCATTCCTGATCTCTTCGAAGTGAAATCGCAATGTGGTTGGTAATGAGGTTTAATGCCGTCGTGCCATCCGTCAGTGATCAGCAACTACTCTGTCAATATCAAGGATGGTCTCTAGCTATGACAATGGCGTAAGCCGACTGTTGTACATCCACGTTCTTCTACCGCACTCTCGTCATTCCAGGATCTTCACCCACCCAAATCGCGGGTGGTAGCAGTGACATGACACGACCGCGTGCTTCTCGCTTTGCAGAGGCTTTGCCACATGTCCCCACACATCAGATCTGTTGTATCACAGAACAATATTTGCCAAGATGCAAGTCCATATGTGGCTCCTGCCTAAACTGGTCTTTTCCAACATTTGCATCATTTGTTGACCAGATGTCGAAACTCCGGCTCGGTTCCGGGAGGCATAATAACGACTACGAGCTCCGAAGTCCGCGGCCCCAACAGTGCTACTTTTGCTCTATCTCGCTCGCGTTCTGGCAAAAGGTAGATGCATAGCCATGCTCTTCATTTCGGAATTCAGTTCTGGCGGTCATACAATACGATTATCCTCTTCATTTGACCGCTTCGGCTTCTGGCTGCAAGGCCTCTAAACGTCACAAGGTTTGGCGCCGTTCATTCTCTATCGCGTATCCAAAATAGCTTGAGTGCCAAGTTATCATAAAAGAGTTTAGGACGCTTCGGCCGGATCCTTCCAAGCCTTTCCTGACCAACCGCGATCGTGAACGGAAATCAGCCAAGCTTCTCCGCCAGGGGTTCCGTAGCCCAATGCAACGATCACCGTCGTTTTCATGGGGCAGATGTATGTCATTTAAGTCCTGAAGTGCTCACCTTCCTGGAAAAGCTAGAACTCCAAGACATTTGACCTTCCCAAAGAAGCCTAAACGCTAAGCATCGCCCAGTACGTATAGACAACTTCCAAGACCAAGAAAGCAGCCGAACGATTGAACGAAGATGTAGTAGTTGGCGAGAAGACTATGGTAAAGCAAGGGTGGGTATACAAGTTGTATAAGTACCACTTACGGGTCACACCTTAACTTGCGCATACCAGCTCAATCCTTCTCCACCGCATTCGCTAGGCAAGATGAAGTTCTCTCTGGTGGCATTGGCCTTGCCTATCGCAACTCAGGCTGCTTTGTTCTCCGCCGAGCAGTACAGGTCGGGTGCGGTTCACCAACAGCTTATGAAGCTTAAGAATGTAAGATCCAGCTATCATATCTACGATAGACCAAGTCATACTGACTATATGGCAGGATCAATGGGATCTTGATGAAGCAGAGGGTCGACATGACCTTACTCAATGGCCGTCTATGAAGAACTGGAAGGGTGATTCGGCAAAGAAGGATCGCATCCAATGCAAAAAGGGTCTCGCTGTCGTTGAGGCTGGTAACTCCAACCAGACCTTCCGATGCGACAACATGGATCTTTACGACTTCGTAAACCACGCCGATCTAGGTGGGCCCGAAGCCGCTGGATCTTCCAGCTGGGGATGGGTATCGCGCAACGGCCGAGAATTCGGTATTGTTGGTCAATTCAGCGGTGCTGCTTTCGTTGAGATTCTCGGCAATGGCAAGATTCAGTACCTGGGTCGTCTCCCAGCCCAAAGCATAGGTTCACGCTGGCGAGAAATCCGTGTGCTCAAGGACTGGGTCATTATCGGAAGTGAGGCTGTTGGACACAACGTTCAAAGTAAGTGACATCCCGCATACCAAGAATTCCTCGCTCTGTAGTACTAAGAACTGCCCAGTCTTCGATTTGAACAAGCTCCTGCAGATCGATCCCAAGAGCCCGGTGACCTTTGATGTCAACAAGGATCTCGTCGGTCTGTTCAAGGACACACTTCCTATTGGACGTACTCACAACATCGTTATCGACTGGGACAACGAGTACGCTATTGCGGTCGGTGCCCAACCTCGTAACCAGACCTGCGCGAGTGGCCTCCAATACATCGACCTGTCCAACCCTAGTCTGCCAACCTCCCCGGGTTGTGCTAGCCAGGACGGTTACGTGCATGATGCTCAGTGCGTGACATACAACGGCCCTGACCGCAGGTTCCGTGGCCGCAACATCTGCGTGGGCTTCAACGAGGATACCGTCACCATCTACGACTCAACCAAGAAGAACGGCAACCCCGCTTCCGAGGTTCTCTCCCGTCTCAACTACACCGGTGCTTCATACGGTAAGTCTACTTGCAATGTCTGTTGACGAAACTTGAGCTGACAACTACACAGTTCACCAGGGATGGTGGACCGAAAAGAACTGGCACCAATTCATCTTGGTGGACGACGAACTTGATGAGCAGAGAGCGCAAGGCCCAGCGGCTTCCGGTCGCCCAGTCACTCACATCATGGACCTTACCAATCTCCGCAACCCCAAGTACACCGGATTCTTCTACGCCACTGACCACAAGGCCATCGATCACAACCTTTACATCGTCGACGGTCTCGCCTACCAGAGCAACTATGGTGCTGGTCTGTGGGTTCACGATATCCGTTCCATCAGCAAGGACCCCACCGGAAAGAGTGTCACAGTTGAGGGCTTCTTCGACATCTACCCTGAGGATGATGCTGTTGGTGGCACGTCTGCGTTCGTCGGCACATGGTCGCACTTCCTTTTCCCCTCGGGCTACATCATGGTCAACACCATTGAACGTGGTGTCTTCGTTGTCAAGCTCGCTAAGGGTCGCGGCGCTGGAAAGGGTCCTGGGCATGGTGGCAAATCTCGTGGCGGCAGCAGGTAAAAATCGTGTTCTGAATGTCACGATGTAGATGATGGTAAAAAGTAGCTCCTAATCAATAATTGAGACGCAAATACAATGATGTGTCCCAACCTCCAAGATTGATGATGCGTAAAAGCCTTTCAGCTTGGTTTCAACTACGTTCATGTAGTCAGTTGTTAAGACCAAGTCCAGATATGTATTTGCACAAGCTTTGTGATAACATCGCTATGTCTATATGGTAGCCCACACTCAATATTGTGATCACAGAACATATCATACTCAACAACGATGGTTGAACGACAGATCACGACAGGGAAGAGAGGGCGGTGTTTGTCCTGGAGGAATCACGTAGACATGATAAAGTGATGTGTGGCTGAAATGTTAGTGAGAAGGTGAAGAGTAAAAGATTGAAATTCAAGTGATAAATTGGATGAGATTACGTGCTCTGTAAAATACGATGAACCCTGACTCGGACGAGCATTCGTCAACAAACGTTGCGCCAGAGCAAATAGAGCGATGATGTTACAACAAGATATCCAACTCCGCTGTTGTCGAATATTCCAAGGAAAGTCCAATAATCTCGTCTCGATGATCCTGAAAGAAACCCATATTCGAAAGGCAGAGTGACTTTTAGCCAACCTACTCTTCAGTATAAAGAAACACAATCCGTAAACGAAACGAAAATCAAACTACCGCCCAAAAGATGACGCCATATGAATGCATCAAGAGCGTTCAAAGCCAAAACACTTTTCAAAACGCTGACTATAACGACTGAACTTTCTCGTGGACAAGCACTCAGAGTGAGTTCTCAACTTGAACGAGCTCATCGAAGGCATCGCGCCACTTCCGTGTATCCTCCTTAGACGGCCTGGGAAGTGGTTTGCGAGCATATCCCCCATAACCAAAATGCGCCATGAGGCCTGCCTTGGTGCCGATGATTCCACCTTGAATCGCTGCCCAGTCGCCTCGAGCTACAATGGCTTGCATCTTACGGGCTTCCTTCAACTGGCCAGCCTCGAATAGCTCGACAATCTTGACGCAGACTTTTGGCGCGATGTTGGCCATCCCTCCGATGATGCCAGATCCGCCGCCCACAAGTGTTTGCAGAGTGAAGTCAACAGAGCCACCCATGCACATAAACCCTGATCCAGGATCAGAGACAGTTGCAGCTCGTGTGGCGGCTGCAATGCGGTTGAGCTTTCCAGTGTTGCCACAAGTCAACTTGCAACCGACGATATTCGGGTGCTGGGCCAGTTCAATGATGACATCTGAGTTGAGGTCGAGACCGGAGACAGCACCAGGGTAGTTGTAGATGAGTATCGGAATTGGCGAAGCCGTAGCAACATCGCGGAAAAACTCTCTGACTGTGTCCTTGGAGAACAAGCCTTGATAATATGCAGGTGGCAGTACCAGCGCGAAGTCTCCGCCTGCGGAGGCAGCTTCTTCGCAAAGTTCAATGGCTTCATGTGTAGACTGGGCTCCACATCCAACAATTATGGGCACGTACCCGAAGCCAGCGTTGTCCAGAGCTTTTCGAGTGGTGTTGGTAATGAGGTTGCGTTCTCTGTGCGACAGGTGAACAGCCTCGCCATTGGATCCTTGGGTAGCAATGCCGGCGACACCAGCTTTTGCCAGGCGAACGGCATGGTTGGATATGGTTTCGACATCTACAGCTTCTGTTACGTGGTCGAAAAAAGCTACAGTAGGTACGTAAATGCCTGGGACTAGCGTTCGGCGAAGGCCTACATCGCCCGACTCCATGGAACTAGTTTCGTAGTCATTGTAGGAATCCATAGAATAAACAGATTGAACAGGCTGGTGGAACTCTGGAGAGGGTGCGTCGTTGTGCGGTGACATAATAACAAGAGGCTGTAGGTAGCAGATGGAAGAGCTTTTATAAAATATTTGAAAGCCGATGATTGAAAACAAAGTGGAGGCGCTAGACAAACAAATTCTCGAGCGTTGGACAACGAACGGGACAAATACGTCAATGATAATAGTTCAGTTACTGACTGAGGATAGTCCAGATACTTAAATGATTCGAATACTAGGGCAAGGAAGTGTCATGGCGGAGGGCGTGGGGGTCCAGCTGACATTCCTGCACAAATGATTACAATGGGTCAGAACCATACAGGACACGAAAGTGTCCGTTCGTGAGGGGTGAGCCTGGGGTAGATGCTCAGGGAGCGGTGACTTCCGGAACACACGAGAGGCGTTCTGGGCAGGCGATGTCAGGCGTCAGGCACAGCTATTTGCTCCGAGCTTGGCATGGTAAACGTAACCAATAGACTGAGTACGTATTACTGATTGAAGCAGCGTTTGTTTTTCGCTCATGTCGCACCAGAACTAGTCAACAGGGGCTAGGGGATTGCGAGTAATAATGTAGCATCGGATCTCGACCAGACGTGGACAAGTCGAAGACGCGCCTGGTGTCGATCTGGAAACGCTCTGAACGCTGATAGGACGATCGTTGCCACAGCTGCCCCATGCGAAGGGTTGGCGGGCTCGCAGGAGCGTTTTTGGATGCCGTTCGGGGATCTTGGTGTGGGGGTGGGGAAGATGTAGCGCCACGACGTGGAACGACCGGCTCAGCACGCCCGCTCTTCTGATCATCTGATCTCGCTCATCAACCCTGGCAAGTTGTCGCGCATCGTGGTCCCAGTCGCTATGCATTTCATGCCTCGGCGACTTTTTACGGCTGTGCAGTAGAACGATCCAGAGGTAAGAGAACCAGGGACGTCTCAAAACGTGGCAAATCCATCACAAGACCATGCAACCTCAGTACGATGGGGGATATTTGGTAGGTAGGTGACCGCCGTAAGGGCGAATCACAGAGAAATCGAACCAAACGGGATAGTCTGAGTGGTGGCAAAGGGGTAGCCAGCGGATCCAAGGGATACCTCATCATGAAGGTTGTGACGATCTTGACGCGGTGTAGACCCCCACGCTAATGTAGCTGAACCCAGGCCCGTGAGGCTCTTCCAACATCATACCTCCCAGACAAGGTTTGATATCCTAGTTACCAGCGTGGCTTCGTTAACACCTCACAAAGGTGATCCAGCGAAGCTTGATCGCCGGTCCGCATCACTGTCATACGACGACCGAAAGAGCATCGATGCCGAAGCCGAACGTTGACAATAACGTGCATCGGTCCAGAATTGTAGAATCCTGGTCGCCAACTCCACATCAGAATTGGACGTTTGAACCAAGTCCTTTGCGGTGCCTGGTTATCGGCAAGCCTTGCTTTTCTTTCCCCACGTCGTCGGCAGTGGCGACCGGGAAGACGGAAAATTTCGACACAGGGCAGTCTTCCGATACCAAGGGGAACACCAGGAGCCCATTCTATGTTACATGAGATCCTCCCTTGTTCCATGTTTGACTGTTGAATCTTACAGGGTAGCGCTTTTGTCGACAGCCTAGGCTCACTAGAGAAAATTTTACCTGCGAAAGCTGCAACCACATGCAGACGTCGCGTAATGGCAACCTATACACGAGTTGTTGACGTTGAAGGATATGTGTAATTTCGTTGTTGGCTCGCACAAAACGGAGCCAGATATGGTCCGAATACGCATGTTTGTCGAGGCTGCATGACTACTTCCCCACAATTGAAATCAACAGTAGCGCACCCCCTCCCCCGCTTCTTGGCCAGACTCAACTTTGGATCACTGGTTTCAATCGTGTGTTGCTTTGATATGCACGGGGCGTTTTATCATTCTGGCAAGGCCAGGATAAAGAGTCCACCCCGATAAGCAAGCCATGAAGATGTTTCTAGACAAAACCGGGAAAAGACAGCGCGATTCCAGTATACTGTTCTTTGTGGGAAACATGATAGGTTGAGGGTACCTAACCCTGAAGTATACCGTTTTGCAATCTCACAATACAGAAGATGTACATTGATCTCATCCGTCACTGGCTCATCAACCGAAGCTCGCGAAGAATATTTGAGTAATCGCGGCAATTTGTGTCGTTCGTTGCTTTCATGGAGCTCCACCATTTTACATGGAGGTACCCTGAATCATTCCAGAGCCCCAAACGGTGGGATTAACAATTGCACGGGATAGGATCCACATCTGTATTCCCAAAATAGTTCACAGCGTGGGATGCCAAATAGGTATACCCGGTCTTCCCCAGCTCAACATCAGAGTAGCTGTTTAACCGCTCACCACTCATCCTTTCCTCAACACTTCTGGACGAGGAACAATCGGAGCATCAAGCCGCGAGGCCACTTCACTACTCTCAACATCCCACGCGAGTCTGCATATGAAGTTCTGCGAAACGACAGCACAGATGAAACCTGTTTTCAGATAATACGCAAAGTAGTATGTTGGGCAGCTACACTGAAAGGTTGCATCCATCTCGATTCAATCGACGTAGCATTTATAGGATCTACGGTCTCACCTGCATATATTCGCGAAAGCTTACTATGAACGACACGCTCCGCTTGGGTGGGAAACGTCAAGTATTGCTAAGAGAAAGAGCCGGAAAACGCATCGTTGCTCCAATACGAGAACAATGGCAGCTCACCAGCGCATACATCCAGCTAGCTGAAGCTCTGCGATCCACCATGACGCGTATCGTGCCAAAGGGATACCGTCTTACAACACACATGTGGTTGATATGCGTCTCACCCTGACGGGCAAATATCCCTAGACCAAATTCGCCAGTGTCAGCGGCGCCTGCCCCGCATATCTCCAAAACCTTCTGGGGGGCGAACCTTCAGCCAATGGTCGCAGTATTTCGGAGGGAACACGACATTGCGCCGCATCGATGCATAAGTACCTAAACTCCGAGCAATGTTCAGAGGGGATAGAACTGCGTCATCCGCGGCCACGGAACTTCTTCTAGACACCTGCTAATCACTCGATCTATCCATTGCTCGAGAAGCTTTGGTTCACGATCAGTCCGACTTCAGTGTACAGTAGTTTCTTTCGCGAAGCACCACATTGAGAGACAGAAATTGGTAATATGACAGCCATCACCCCTAAAAACAGCGCTGTAACACATCAAGTTCACAGTTAGACACAAATCGGCATCTGACTATCTGAATTCTTACTGGTTGTTAGTCGAACCCAACATTGCCGCTTGTTAGCTCTATCGAAGCCACTGCTACGTATCTGGGCCTCCTCAGGCAAGGTGGTTCGGACGAAGGGAACTTGTACGAGTCCGTTTCATGCGGTCACATACATTCGAAACTCTTGTTGTCACAACACAGATGGTGTACACAAGCTGCATATTGTACGTAAGTACGGAGTACGAAGGCTCAGATGTTGGCATTTTCACATGCCGAACCGGCAACGATCCATCGGCGCCACCACCGACTCGCATTCAATTTCCCACCAATTCGCGGAACTCGGAACGCTTACCGACACCAACCTCGCTTGCTGCAACCCTGACAAACAACCCCGGTTGTTTTTACAAATCGTGGGGTACACATGGCTTTCTCCTGGTTTACCCGCTTCCCCATATCGACAATATCGATGTTGGTTCATTCATTTTTTATGCCGCGACTCATTTGTCTTTTCTTGGCGTCCTGTTGCTTATGTGTTTCTCCGGAACCTCCGAACAGCTGGTAGGTGAATAGCGATGGGATGAAGACGTCATGATGATAAGGTGAGCGTGGTCGCCAATTGTTGACTCGGTGTCGGAGTTGGCGAGATTCGAAAGTCAGCTTACTGTGCCTCTGTTAAGTTCTTGTGATTGGTCAAATGCATTTCTTTTGAGAGTTGCTCGATAGATAGGTTGTTCTTGTTGCTCGCTTTTAATCGTTGGTCGTTCGATTTCCATGAGTGCTTTACTATCTGGCAGACAATGAGGCATGGAAGCACATTACCCTCTACACCGCTTTCTCAAACACTAAATCTCTCTTTGGCCTGGTAGCGAACCTGTTACATGTTGTCATCTAGACCTCCTTCCCTCAAATCGGATTCCTTGCGTATCTCTGTCCTTCTATCTTTTACAATCTCGACCGTGGAGGTACCAACCTGTCATACCGCGTATAGTCTTGTCTCTGCGGTAAGGTTCTTATCAGTTCGTTCTTATTCGACAGGCTTTCCCTGTACTGAAGTTCCCTGCGCACGATCAAATGCAAACCCCGAGTTTTCGGCCCCTGACTTGAAGGTGATATTGGCTGCGCTAGCCTTCTACGCAATCAACCAAGACATCCCACCCGGATAGCAAATATATTAGCTTTGGGACAAAGCCACTGGATTAGCATAGCCTACTTGAGAAGGTGGCTTCCCACGTGCTCAGATCTATCAAAGCTCAAGAGTCGGTGAACTCGGTTTTCAAGAGAACCCCCATCCACCTATCCACTCAAAGAAAGCCGTGGGCATTACGTCTTTGCCGGTAGAATGCACAGGGCGAGCATCTACATTAAGTAGCTGATCTCACAACACCTGAACTTCCAACAGATTGCGGGTCATGACATCAACTCGATTGGAACATACGTTACAGGCGTATAGTTCATCTCGCAAATTGTCTTCACTATCTCCACCATATGACTTTAGGTGCAACAAAGATTCTACCCAGCCTGTAAGCGTATTTTAGTTACATGTCTTGTTATCAACTTCATTCAGACCTCTATTGGACATCGAGAACAAAGATGTTAAACATCGCAAAAACGCTACAAGACGTGGGACTTGCCGAGATGAGACCGCACATGACGTTCACCAGAGAGCCTTGCTTATCGCAATCTCACGCGACGTTGAACTGGAATACGAAGGATAACCCCACGCAGTAGATCATACGAGACTTTGGTACAAACAACAAAAGCAGTTCATTGGAGGAACCCCCATCGAATAAACAACAACAGGCCACGGTTTGAGATAGTATACAAGTCATGATGAAAGAAAAGTCCGTCATAATTACCAAGTTGCATGTTTCGCCTCTTCACTAATACTCGCCAGATTCATCCTCGCCAGCAAGACCAAACCTTGGAGGCCACGCATGCGCCGAGCGTTTTCTTCCATCCCGACTTCCACTCGGTGTGCGAGTTGCTGAATCGACCCGAGGACGCGACCGCGGTGGAGTTTTGGATCTGGATGGGGGCGGCGTAACGACAAGGTTATTGAAGTGGGAGGTTATATCTTCGACTGGAGCAAATAGTCAGCGCTGAATGTTTGAAATGCAAGGCAACTTACCCTTTTCTTCTTTCTCGGCACTTTCACCTCTTTGTGACATGTATTTACGAGGCTGGGCATGTATTCTACTCGGTCGTGAGTCCTTCGCTCGGATGGATGGGTTCATGGCTACACCAAAGTCAGTTCCTTTGTGTGTCTGCAAACTATCAAGACTGCTTACCGATGTGCTCGTATAGAACAGATTTACCGCCTTCAAGAGCACTCAATTTCTGTCTGAGCGAGTCACGATCGTGGCGTATCTCGCTTGACTCTGAGGCAATAGCATGCAGCTTGTCGTCGTCCAAGTTGGCGATGAGTGTTGGAGAGAAGATCGAAGAAAGGTCTTTGATGAGACAATTCTCTATGGCTAGCACAGCAATGTTGTTGATGAAAACTGAGATAGCTCTCTGAAAAGGAAAAGTCAGTATTGCCCGGAATTGTGCACTTGGAGGGTGAGTAAGTATTACTGACCTTGTAGTATGTTTGCATGAGGTCGAGAATCTCTGAGTTGGTGAAGTCATCCATGGATTCTGTCAAAAGATGACCACCAAAACCTCGAGACATTGACGCCATGTTGGACTGTCCGTGTGTACCAGCAGTGCCCTCTGCTTGAGAACTAGATCGAATGTGTCGTGCCATCCTTGTTTCTTCAATCTCGAGAATAAAACTGGGATCGTAAGTTACAGGATCCTGTTCGGTGTAGGGCACTAGCAATTCCTCGAATTTGGACTCGACGCTTCGCCATCGCTGATCGAGCTCAGGCTGGATGTGCTTGAGCATCAACATGTTGCAAGTCCTTGTATCCATCAGGGAACCAACGGTCTCCTCGATGTAGTCTTTTACTGCCTGAAATATGCGTTTCAGGTGATGTTGAGCAATCTCTTTCCATGGTTGGGACTGCTGGCGGAAAACTTCTCCAATGACCCATGGATTCACAAGTGAGGGTAGGCCTGATGGTCGACTATGTCGGACATAATCGCCTACATGCTTCTCGAGGAACTCGGTCCGGCTTATCCAGGTAGGTTCCTCAAACCAAGCGTCGTATTCTTGGACAGCGAGAGGTGAAACAGCTTCAGTATTTGACAGTAGCGGACTGATAGTCCGCTCGTTAGAAATGTTCCAAGTGTGGCCTTTTTGATACATAGCACGGGCAAAAGCGATGTTGAGGTTTTGAATCTCAGTGCGCAGTCGCGTAGGTGTCTGTTCGTTGGGACAAGACAACGCGAAGAAACGGTTGTTGTATATTCCCCTCAACGCATCGCGAGTGAGCATCTGGAAGTTTTCGGCGTGTCCGGTTAGATATCCGCGTTGTTGCCTGCTCGTTTCCCGAGCGTTGCCCAAGGCTTTCAACCCAGATTCAGTCGAAGTGATTGCATTCTGAACAGCAGCCACAAGCGAAGGGAGCTCTTTGCCGATGTGCTCCAGTAGCATGCGTGATAGCTTGGTTCGAAGGGTAGTAATTCCAACGTCATCCTTGGGTATAATTGCCCATTGTCCGGTGGCGAAAAAGTCTCGTTCCGTTGCATCACGCTCGATGTCCGACTGCTTTCTCGTTGTAAAGTCTCGGTTTTTCACGGCATGCCAGCCGTGCTTGAGTGGATATTTGTCGTTCTTCACTAACCGTATCATATCTTGTTCTCTCTCGCCTCCACTTGCAGCCCTGTCAGGTTTGGTAATGATGCCCAAGGTCCGGATTCCCTTTGGGTCGAACTCTTTGAGGTACCTGAATACTCTCTGCAACTCCGCATCATAATCGGCAGATATGACAGCCATGATTATGGACGCCTCGTTGCGTACATAGCTTGTAACAAGTTCAGCGACTTTCTCAGCACCATTGCCGCCATTGAGCTGAGTGTCGATGAGACCCGGGAGATCGACAATGGTGAGGGAAGGCAAATCGGGACCAGAGTACTTGATTCGCAACACATCTTCAAAGAAGTTGTTTGGGTTCGCTGTCACACCAAATCCCATATGGTCTTTTGCTTCGTTGACAATGGAAAGAAAGGGAAACTCCTCGCATGAGGAGAAAATTCGTTTGAACTTGGCGAGTTCGCGTCGCTGAGGCTGTGATCTAGACTTGCTAGGCGTGATCGTACACGATATTTCGACATTCGGTTCTTTCCTCAAAACAACTTCCGTGGCGAAGGTGGTACAAAGTCCCTCCTGGGTCGGAAAGCGAAGCCTTGTCAGTCCTTCGAGTAGGGAACTCTTCCCAGACGATTGGTCGCCACACACAACCAGTTGTGGAAGGCTAATACCGTGATATCCCAATCCTTGATTGCGTAGTTCGTCGATTTTGTCCAGCAATTCGACTTGTTGTGGTGTTTGTAATTGGTCAAGCGAGTCAAGCTCAGGTGCTGGTTGAGCCATTGGAGTAGTTGGAGAATTGGTCTCAAAGAAGACAGTAGAAGTGGGAGAACTTGAGTGCATGACTCGAGGTATAAGCGGAGTGTAGAAAGTGTTGACAGGTCAAGAATGTTTTGTCCATCTACACATCACCGCACCTTGGACTTATATATCTGTGGCATCCCTATCTGTCTCGTGGCATCCTATTTTTGGGTTGGTTCTGCTATTACCATAAATTTGAGACGTGAGACCGCTCTTGCCGGAGATTTGGAACAAGACTTCCCTTGCCCTGCCAGGCTTGTACTGGAAAGTATTTTGGTGCAGGTACACTCGTCCAGAATGGCCCATTGCCAGTCGATCTACATCGATGTACGCGGCTGTACGCATAACCGCCCTCAGCATCCATGAACTCTATCAGACAAGCGATGCCATATGCCTGTCGAAGCCATGCACGAGTGAATGGCCTGAAGCGTTTCAATGAAACCCGGCTAATTATGAAGTCTTCTCGGAGGAGATAAGCTTAGCGGTTGAAACAGCCTTGGAGTGTTATACTATGTTGCTCCATTGATTCCCCATCCGTGGACGTCTCAAGCGATTGTATGTGAAAACACATATTGGCGAAGCTCTAACTATGCAATCTTCAAAAATCCCATAATCGCAAGCACTAACAGACCATAACATTACAATAGAACCTGCTATGGTTACGAACCGGTGTTCATTGCTACGGCCCGAACCATGCGGCCGTAGACGCTGTCCTGACGAAGTGGAAACATGTGGCGCATGCATGAGTGCGGCACAGCAGCCACATGCTTTACACCCATGAACGTTCAGAGGACCAACCGCGTTGGATTTTGAATGATACTCCGCAAGCGCCGCATTAATAGAAACGAATCATCTGGCGCGAGAATGATGGCGGGACAGCGTCATGCAACGGCTGCTTCAGCAGCTGGTCTCTCGTATCTTTCAGAGCAAGGTGCAGTCGTTCATGTACCTCGACCCTGTATGATCAGGATTAACAACGAAAGACACGAACCTTCTTGGCTAGTGCTTGTTATTCTCCTGGATTACCATTGCTCTCTCCAAGCGCTCCTGCTCTTTTCTGAGTTTGCCGATTCTTTACATGCTTTTTCCTTTTCTTTACAATAGTAGCGCGTGTGGCTTCCAATTTCTCATCGAAATACATCTACCTTGAGAGTCTAGTTGTTTGGCTTTGCTGGTTGCGCCTGATGGACGTTGTTCATTTTTGAGCTCGTCAGTGTGGCTATTAATCGCATACCAAGCTTGTGTGAATGAGACTAAAGATCGTAGCCGTTGAACACAACCATACTATGTAGCAATATTACTCTGTCCAAAATCCCTTTGGTCTAGCGATCGATTTGATATGGACGTAATGTTGGTGAAGGTGTGAGAGAAGGGCATACTGTAGTCCCCCTAAGTATAAGCCATTCGCCACCTCAGGGTCCTTTCAGCGCGCTCACCGATTGGTCACTATTGTTTTGATCAAATCTGACGAATTAGAGACTAGAACGTAAGGTGAACAATGGCTTATACTAAGGGAACCACAGTAGTCTCGAATTGCTGTCTGCCTCGGAGCGCTCTCAACCCACTCCGACAAGCCGGGCGACGGTCCGATAGCTCTCCATAGGCAAACAAAAGCCAGCACCACGATAGCAGCATTCACTGACTCTGCGATTATGGTATCCACGTCACCTTCGTCCTGCGATATGGCTATCACACCGCCATCGAAGTCTCTAACAACTCCACTGCCGGACCCATGAACGACCGTGTCCGACCAACCCTTCCACTCGAACTCCTACCTGCTGCCTTCTATGCGCATACGAAAAACGAATTCCATCCAGACTCTGAAGAATCTACTCGGCATGAAAGGCGACGTGTGTCGCGAGAGCTAGAGTCGCTTCATTTGTACAGCGCGTCTACATCAAATCATCCTACCATACGATCGCGCAATGCGCCTCTTCGGAGCGGTACCACTTCGCGAGAGCACCTGCAGCAACGCGTTTCTACCACAAGTGATGTAAGCACGCAGTCGAACGTCGATGGTTCCCGAGGGGAAGACGATGCTTCGCGAAAAGAAGGAAGAAAAGAGCACTGGTACAACCCTATCGTCAAGTTCTGGACTACACACGTCACTCTCACAATTGACGAGGGGGCGCATAGGGATCACCTGGGTACATATCCGTCAACCCCCCAAGTATAGACGTTGACTCTGACTCTGACCCCGCGTAGCGCTCGAACGCACCTTTCTAGGCTATCTACGCACGTCTCTCGTGCTCGTTATGACTGGCGTCACAACCACACAGCTCTATCGACTCCAGCATACTGCGAATACAGACTCGGATATAGGATTTTATGTCATAGGTCTTCCACTCAACATGGTTTTTATTGGTATGGCTATTGTAGTCATACTGATTGGGGCATTTAGATTTTGGAAGCTGCAGCTGGCAATGTCTAGAGGAAAGACATATTCTGGGGGCTGGGAGGTGATGACGATTATGGGGTTGATCATGCTGGTACGTTAGTGGGTGTTCGAAGGATAGCAGGTGAAGCTCCGAAGTGATTGCTAACAGCTTGCGTAGATTCTTGTTGCAACGTTTGCGCTTGTTTTGGCGGTCAACATTGACAAGAGCTTGGATGCCAGTTAGGCCTGTCGAAGTTGATTGATTGAGTTTGGGAACTGCGACTCAAAACGCGATCTTCTCCGCCATCATGCATGTTCCGTAAGCCCAAGTCTGTCCTCAATTCGCTCAGGTGGCAAGTCACATCTGAGTGCACCAATCAATGTCTCCATCACAAGTGGTGAGAGTCTAGTGGTGAGTCTTGGATCGAAGATTCTGTCGCTGCAGTATTCTCCAAGCAAGTGGTTTGTAATCACATGTATGTATCGAGTATAGCAAATAGCGTTAAAATCAAAACCCTCGCGCGAGTCAGAGTGGCATCATCGCTGCATAGAAAAGATGTTTGTCAAAAGAACAAATTCTCGTGAGCTTTGGGAACAGACAAACAGTTGAGTTGCTCGTCTCGATTAGGCAACGTGTCTGCCATTCTGGGCGACAGGCTTGACGTAATCGGCCGGTGGTCGGAAGTGGCGCTCTCCTTGGCTTCTAGTCGCGACTCCCAGGTTCGTGGCAGGCGCATTTCTTATTCTCATCTCAGGACCCTGTACTTCTCCCCAACAACACGCTGAACGCTCTGCGACTGAGGTGCTTGCAGCGTCTCACTTGCACGACCGGCCTTCAAGGCCTCACAACCTCACTCGTTTTCCGTCTCAGCAAAGTGTCGCGCACACATCGCAGTCATGGGGCTCTCCAAGTCGACGCGCATTATGATCCTTCTAGGGATCGACTCAGCCTTTTTCCTGCTGGAGCTGATTGTCGGATACTCGGTGCACTCTCTGGCTCTCGTTGCTGACTCGTTCCACATGGTAAGCTCACCCCGCCGCGCTCCTGCTATTGCCACTGACATGAGGCGTAGCTCAACGATGTCATCTCTCTCCTCGTCGGGCTGTGGGCAGTCAAGGTCGCAAACCAGAAGACAAACTCGAAGACGTACACATACGGGTGGCAGCGCGCAGAGACACTCGGTGCCCTTGTCAACGGCGTGTTCCTCGTCGCGCTCTGCCTCTCCATCTTCCTCGAAGCAATCCAGCGATTCGTCGAGCCGCAAGAAGTTTCAAACCCCAAGCTGGTCCTTATCGTCGGTTGCTTCGGTCTAGCGTCGAACATTCTTGGGCTCGTCCTGTTCCACGACGTCGGACACAGCCATGGCGGACATTCACATGGCCACGATGAGCATTCGACCGCCGAGGAGGGACATGCACACGGGACCGACGTGCACGACCACGCTATTACGGATGAGACATCTGCGTCGACTCAATCTGCACGTCGCAAGTCTGTATCTGGAAAGCGTGGCAAACGTCACGCACACTCGCGTTCGCAAGGCTACTCCACGCTGGACGAGATCTATGTGCACCCTTCGTCTTTTAGGAATAGCATAATCGAGTCATCGCGCCAGAATGACGAGGACGAGGCGGACGACGAACATGACACTAATGCGTCTGACGTTGAAGAGCCTTCAGAGCAGTCTCCACTACTGTCTGTACCTAAGGGCAAAAACTCGCACGAGCATCATCACGAAGCATCTAAGAGCAAGGACAATAAGCACACAGGCCACAAACACAATCAACCCAAGGATCAGAAATCTGGCGGCCATGGACACTCACATGGCGATCTGAACATGCGCGGCGTCTTCCTCCACGTTCTGGGCGACGCGTTGGGCAACGTAGGCGTCATTGCGACTGCGCTGTTTATCTGGCTTACAGACTACTCCTGGAGGTTTTATGCGGATCCTTTGGTCTCCCTCATCATCACCGTTATCATCCTCCTCTCCGCCATTCCTCTCTGCAAGGCCGCATCGCGCATTCTGCTTCAAGCAGTCCCAGAAAACCTCTCTATCGACGATATCACGGCCGATATCACCGATCTCGATGGTATTATCTCCTGCCACCACCTGCACGTTTGGCAGCTTTCGGACACTAAACTCATCGCCTCGCTTCACGTCCAGGTCGACTTTGACTTCAAGGGTGAAGGTTCGGCGCGCTACATGGATCTTGCCCGCCAGATTCGCGAGTGCCTTCACGAGTATGGTATCCACTCTTCTACTATCCAGCCTGAATTTTGCCTCGACGCGACACACGATCATTCAGCTGCTGGGTCGGATTTGAGTGGCGATGAGGTCGCGCATCCGGATGGCCACGGAAGTAAGGTGCCTAGCGTGAAGGGCGAGCCTGATGCGTGTCTGTTGGAGTGTCCGGATAGCTGTGGGAGCGCAACGCAGTGCTGCGACCCCGTTGTCAAAGGTGCTAACGGCTCGTCTTCTTAGCTGTTCTCTTGACTATCCTGTTGCTTGATATCGGTTCTTTTCTTCGACCTTTATTGTACCATATTAAGTTTTTCATTGCTTTGCTCGGGTATCCCAATCGCGCGTATTAGCGTGCGCATCTCTTATGTTTGTAGGCTTTTTGTGGAATGGAGGCTGGGCAGTCTCTTGTTGAGCATGAACAATTGTTGAGTTTAATAGATCACGTCTCATGTATAGACATGGGGTATTCGATATCAAAAGCAGATCCAGAACGGCGGGAACGATTGACATACCCACATACCTATCTAGTTTCTCACTCGTATTCGCTGCAAGCAACTTGTTCAGGCGTACCCTGTTTCTTGGCCGACTAATTTCGTTCCAGAAGGTGGCCATGAGGCGAGGGAATGTTGAGTTTGCTGCTCTTTCCTCCTCGAGTATACACCTTCCAGTTCTAGCCCGCCAACCTTAATTCCATAACTGATCTTGTGATCAGTATACACGATGATCGGTTGCCGAGGATGACCATCCAGCGAAGCGCTTTGGTATGGGGAACTCGGCGAAGACAGGCCTAAGTCTGGAGAGCCGTTGTAAGAACATATGATTCTTGAACATACAGATAACACTGATGCAGGGTGACAAGTCTTTTTTGTGCGGTCTGGCAAAAAGCAAAAAGCGTGAAGCACTCTGCGATGTTCCAGCGCACGTCCTTCTTTTCAGGTTCTCGCAGGGTGGTCATCCTCTGTAACCGATCAGATACCATACCGCCATTGACGTGCGGCAAGGATTTAATTGCAGGTCGGTGAGTAGCGGCTGTTATCGTGCTTGCATGCGGCACAGAAAGATTGTACGAGTGGGTCCAATGTCAGCCGAGGTGTTGGAGTGGGTGGCACGACTGCAAAGCGAACCTTACAGGCGCGTGTACACACCCTACATCTGCGGCGCTGACCGAATCACACGATGGCAACTCCATTCCAGTAATCTGGCACGGGTGATAGGCTGCGCATGAAAACCCTCTCGAAATCATGCACGTAAGATCGCCCGAAGAAGTGGCTGCTTGCGGAAGGTGGTTCAGGCGGATAGTCTTCTAGTGTATCTGGAGGCGCGCCTAACACGCCAAGATAATGCTTCGGCAGGCTTTGTAGCGGACGTTTGCACCGATAAGGCTAAAGGTGGCGCTATCAAAACGTTACATCGGCCATGGCAAGAAGCTTGTGCATGCTTGACTGCTTTTGGTGGAAGTGGTTGGTAATGAAGGGTCACGGTTAAAATGGAGGGATGTTCCACTTGCTGGAATGCAGGTGCTTGGATCTCTACGCTTCAATTGTCCTTTCTCTCGTTGACTTGGACGGATCGCGACTTGATCCAAATTCGTCTGTAGCAGCCATGGCGCACATCCAGGAGCAGTCCCCGTAGGTCTACTAAGCTTTGAACGTGTGGGGATGTGATACTGATTAGACGTCAGGGCGCTTAAATTGCAGCATCAGCAAGAGGAGGCAGACCACAAGCCCCATCTCTTTGGCGCTTCGCTAAACAACGACAATGTTGGCGCCAACGTCGTGACCCATGAAGATGGCCACGACATCCCCACTCACTACGACGAGAAGACCGTGGTTACCCCACACAACCTGGAAGAGGATGACGGCATGGGAGGTGTCAGACCGACTCCAGAGGAACTCAAAACCTTGAGAAAGGTGGGAGAACCACTGCCCAAGTCTGCTTTCTTGGTCGCCATTGTCGAGCTATGCGAGCGTTTCACCTACTACGGCGCCTCCGGAATCTTCCAGAACTACATTCAGCGTCCGCTTGATGGTAGCGAGGGTCGTGGTGCTCTCGGTATGGGTCACAAGGGAGCTACTGGTCTCTCTACCTTCTTCCAGTTCTGGTGCTATGGTATGTTTTCGCGCAATTCGAGATTCGTGTAGCAGTCACTAACGAGCGCAGTTACGCCAATTCTCGGTGCTATCATTGCTGATCAGTACCTGGGCAAATACAACACCATCGTCATTTTCTGCGGTGTCTACATCCTCGGTTTACTCATCTTGACCTGCACTTCAATTCCCGGCGCTCTTGAGCATGGTGCTGGTCTTGGAGGCTTCGTCGCCGCTCTCATCGTTATCGGTCTCGGAACGGGAGGCATCAAATCGAACGTTGCTCCGCTCATCGCGGATCAGTACAAGAGGCGGCAAATGGTTATTGGCACGGATAAGAAGACTGGCGAGCGCGTCATCATCGATCCTGCCATCACCATCCAGCGGATTTACATGATCTTCTACTGGTGCATCAACATTGGTTCCCTGTCTCTGATTGCAACTCCGTACATGGAGCGCGACGTTGGTTTCTGGTCCGCGTACCTCATGTGTCTCTGCGTCTTCCTGGTCGGTACTCTTGTCCTCGTTCTCGGCAAGAAAGTCTACGTCGTTCGACCTCCTCAGGGTTCCGTCATCACAAACGCTTTCCGTGTCATCTTCATGATGATCAAGAACCGCAACATGGACGGCCCCAAGCCCTCGTTCCAGGCAGGTCTTGGAAGACCCTCCAACCTCCGCTGGGACGACCACTTTGTCGACGAGGTCAAGCGCGCTTTGATCGCCTGCCAGGTCTTCTGCTTCTACCCCGTCTACTGGGTCGTGTACGGAAATTTCTCCAACAACTTCGTCACCCAGGCCGGCCAGATGGCAGGTCACGGTATCCCCAACGATCTGATGCAGAACTTCGACGCCATCTCCATTATCGTCTTCCTGCCCATTATGGACCAACTCGTTTTCCCCATGCTCCGCAAGGCGAGGATCCCCTTCCCGCCCATCAACCGCATCATGCTTGGGTTCTGGATCGGTTCCCTCGCCATGGTCTACGCCGCCGTGATCCAGAACAACATCTACAAAGCCGGCCCCTGCTTCGGACAGCCCTTGTGCGATGCCAGCAAAGACGCCGACGGTGTTGCCCAGGGCAACAACATTCACATTGCCACGCAAACCGGTGCCTACATGCTCATTGGTATTTCTGAGATCTTCGCCTCGGTCACGGGTCTCGAATACGCCTACACCAAGGCCCCGCCCACGATGAAGTCCTTCGTGCAGGCCATGTATCTGCTCACCAACGCTTTCGGATCTGCCATTTCTGAGGCATTGAACCCGCTTCTGTACGACCCGGCGATCGAGTGGATGTTTGTCGGTCTGGCTGTTGCCAGTTTCATCGCTGGATGCCTTATCTGGGTTCTGTTCCACCACTTGAACGCCGAGGAGGATGCGCTGAACTCGCTGGATCAGGATGTCGACCAGGAGGCTATGATGAGGCGGAGCAGTGTGGAGAAGGCTTGAGTGTTCTGGAGAGGATGTGTAATGGATGAATGAGGGTTTAAATGTTGATAATTAGATGACTGTAGTGACTGAATGTATCTCTAAATTCTGATTTGACCGGCTTTGTGATAAACCTTTGTTTCGTTCTCGTTGTCCAGTTTTATATCCGCATCTACACACAGTGCCTTGGCATACTTTCATGTTGATTTCCATACGTCCCCCTAGCAGTACGCCTGCGCACAAGCGCAAGACAAGTGGTCACAGCATCCGCAGCTCCTAGGGCAAGTACGCCTTTCTAAGCCGACGTTAGCCAATATCGGCTTTTACGCGATACCGAACTTACTAAGGCCTTCCATCTCACTAAACCCCATAGTTATGCCTGCCGAGCTAGCGATTACCGCTAAAGAAAGGATTGCAATGAGCAGGGCGAAAACGGTAAAGAGTTCACATTTTCGTAGTGAAGAGATTTTAATTTCTACGAGAATTAGGGATGTAATCTACGAGGTTTGGTTTGTTTGGTGAACTGATTTGAATGTTTGATGGTGATAAATGATATTTGGTGTGACATTTTATATCACTGACGGTATTCTTCACAACCCGATACTTTATCTTGTTAATGGTTCATTACGAGTAATGTGTCTCGGTAATCAAGTTTTGTAAGCGCAGTAGGGAGTAGTTGGGAGATGCGTTCTTAGATTGTGAGTGAGGCTGTTCTTTCTTGGGGCGTATGGTGACGGATTACAATGTGATAGGACAAAAGAACAATATCTGTTCACACGGGACCGATGAAAGATATTTGGTATGGTACTGAAATGATCTACTCACTTTCTACTGTGGCATTTCAGTTGATGGTCAAGAGTTAAAGACGCTGCAAGGTTTCGTTATACGTTTTGTTTACCAAGCGTTTCTTGTCACCCACCAGATGCCACTTCGAGGTCGCTCAAGAGGTGAAAAGTCAAGCACCCATACCATCAGTATAGACATGACGCCATAGGTGTTTGGTTTTATTTGTCTTACTATCGACTTTCCCCATGAAATTACATAATGACATAGCGAACCTAGTCGAAGTGAAAGCGACTCGTCACCGCCCATCTGCCTAGGCAACGGCGCACTTTCCTATATAAAGGTCACCCTCACCTAAACACTTATTTTCTCATTACATTCAACCTTCTGGTACACTCAAGTCGGCTACTCTCCATCGCACAATGTCCGCCAACGATCCGCCTGAAGAGCCTCCAGCTCCCGTTGAACATGTGCACACTGTCCATTTTCATGAAAACGGTCTCGTGAATGTCAGGAAGACGCCTGAACACCTGGTTCCCATGTGAGTATCGATGTCAATATTATGGTGCACATCTTACTAATTACCATGTAGTATGCATCGGAACATCACAGAATCGTCTCTTCTTCGCCTTCCACCTGAGCTGCGCAACCGGATCTACGAGTATGCACTCGGAGGAATGAACATCAATATTGACTATGGCTATCTTGACTGGGTAGTGATAGATAAGCTCCATAATTATGACATCTATCCTATGGATAACGCCATCATCTGGAACACCAACTACAGTCTTTTTCATGTGTGCCGTCAGGTCTACAGCGAAACTTGTCTCCTCGCGTACAAGCTCAACACTTTCATCGTTTCAGATGACCTTGGTCTCAGCATGTGGGTCCATATGCGCAAACAGGCGCAGCTAGACGCAATTCGGACGGTTCGAGTCTCTTCTTGTGTTTTGAACACTGGTTGGGGGCCTTGGGAGGACTTCGTTGATATGTTCAGCAGACTAGAGACACTTGTCTTAGAATGCCATGATCGCCATTACTTAAAGGCAGGGCCTGGAGATATCCAGGCTGGAGTCAATAAGAGGCAAGGTGGCGACCTTGAGGTGATAGTCTTGACTGACGAAAGCAAACACTACGGGCCCACCTGGAGGCGATTTTGCTATCTATGTGTGTAGTCAACCAGGCTGTTATGGGATCTCGATTACACGCTTCAACACTGTAGATTCAGATAGCTTAAAAATTTCATGTCTTTGCGAAAGACATACAGTCACCTATAAGCAAGCGTTAGGTTTCGTTCGACTCTGATCTGTGGTAGTCCATCACTTTAGCGTGCCTTAGAACAGACTTATATTCACAATAAAGATTCCCGGTCACCCATCTCCAACATGAGTCGCCCACATTTCGTCAATGTCGACGCAAATACTAACACGAAGACTTACAGTGTACAGCTTAGCGTCGACTTGCGTGTTTCAGAATTCTCCCCAGACATTTAAGCATGCCAAATCTCTCGACGCAGATCTGGTCTGGAACTGCGTCCGGTAAGTGTTCACGTCAAGCTTTCTGGGCACTCAGATTGTTGTAAAGTGGTTAGTTGCTAAACATCACAATCACCTCCATTCACACCCTTTCTTACCTTTCACCACCAACACAAACACATAACAAAGTCGAAATCACACCTCCCCTTCCCGCATCAAAGCAAAAGCGCGGCGCAAGACCACCAACCCATAAAGTACTAATTCGATAAATGGGTATGTGACAAACACTAGCAACTAAAGAAGCAACAGATCTATATGCCCTAAACAGACCCGATCCAATCCAATCCCTCGGAAAGGAAAAGACCGAGCCGTAACAAACGGAGGAATAAGCGCTGCGAGTTTGCCGACCACCACCGAGATACCTGCGAAAAAACAGACAGAACAGATGCAAAAAGCGGGGATATAGTACAAAGCGGTGAACAAAGCTCCGAGTAAATGCAGGGGTATGTGTGTGTATGTGTGAGTGAGTCCAGTGGGGCCGTCAAAGTAAAGTGGATTTTGCGAGAGAGTTGTGGGGAGTGGGTTCGGGAAGGTAGAGTCATTCGGCATGGTGTGAGAGCGTCGTGATGTCGAGAATAGGCGCTGTTTGAGTCACTGGTTGGACTGGTTATGGCCACCAGCCCATCCTCTTGTAACTGTCAATGACCTTCTCGACTTCTTCTTTTGTGATGTGGTCGCGAGTGTATCTGTCTCTCATTAGCTCGATTCTACATGGCATGTCCTTCCTCTCTTAAGCGCAAGACTTACGTAAACCCTGTTTCCCTCTCGAATGCGCTCCCATCCAGATTCAGCGACTCGTCTCTGAGCAACTCCTTCTCCATAAAGGGACTCAGCGGGGTCGAATGGCTTATGCCAGCTGCATTTTGTAGGTCTGCCCACGGATCGAGAGTTTCGTCGTTTACTTCGTCGACTACGTGGTCGAGATTTAGGCGTGCGAAGGCAGAGATCAGGGTTCCATGGAAACCTGTTTCGATTTTGAAGATTTCGGCTGCGAGGCGGGCGGAAGTTCCTTGGGCTATATGAAAGTCAGCTTTTGTCCAAGCGCAGCGAGATGAACGGCCAAGGGGACGCAGAACTTACAGGTATTTCCGTGATCCGCAAGATTGAACACAGGCGCCGGTCTCCTCCCCTGTGGTCCCTTCATATACCACTCTGCAGCATGCCACATAGCCCTCACCATGTCGTCCACATGCACTGTGTTCGTCTTCATATCCTCTTTCCACAGCCACTTCATTTCCTTTCCCTTGCTTTGATACACCCTCGCCATGCAAAGCAACGTGGCAATGAACTTGTTCGCATATGGCCCATACACATGCGCCGCCCTCAGAACCACGAGATTCAGCCCATCGATCTTAGCCAGATCTTCCTCAGCCTTGAGTTTCCATTTCGCGAAGGCGGTTGTAGGTTTCAGCTTGTCTGTTTCTTTGCGGGCCACGCTGTCGGACTTGTACACCATGCCTGTGCTCTTCTCGACGAAGCATTTAATTTTTCGTTTCGCGGCTTCGCGGCCCACGGCCATGGACAGGCCGTACGTGCGGAGTTCGTAGACTTTTTCCTCTTGGGAGTAGCGCTTCTCACCGCCGCAGTTGAAGACGTAGTCAAACTCCTTGCCGTTTGCGCGGTCGAATATGCGGGGGAGGGATCCTGACATGACAGGTTAGCTCTTGCCCCAGACCAACACCGCTCCTTCCCAATGCGTGGTGCAGAAATATCGGGTACGCACGTTCTTGCGACGCATCTGCCTGTATGAAGCGCTCTCTCGAGCAGGCTTCCTTGAACTCTGGTGCGAGCCATGCGAGCTCCGGGAGCTGTTTATCGACGATGCGAATTTCGGATGTGAGTTTGTTGTCGTACAGATATTTTGTGAGGTGTCGTCCCGTGTAGCCTGGGACTCGTCAGCTGGTTCGTCTCCACGTGCGTTGGGCTCATGCGCACCCAATCCACCTATGATCAAGACGGCGGGCTTGTCGCCAGACGCGGGGTTCCCGCCTTCAGATGCCATGCTGAGAATAGCGCAACTTTGCCCTGGTGGTTTCCGGTTCGCGAGAGGTTCGTACGTGTGCGTTTGCGGGTGCTGTGGGTTGGCGCTATCTTGTAATCTCAAATCCAAGGTGGGAGATGAGCGTTGCCTGATCGTCAGACCCTGATCCTGAAGAGGCCGGGCACCGGACCTAAAGATGCAAGAGCAGAGGCGAGCTGGTCTAGCGGTCACAACAGCTCTGCGAATGAGAAAAGCGCAAAGTTCAAAAAAATAGACATGCGCGGTGGGGTGCAAAGGAATGGTGGGGCGTGGAGAAAAGGAAGATATTTTGCTCAAGGTCAATATGGCATGAAAGCTGCGGCAGGCAATACGAAGTAATGCCGTAGGTACAAGTTGCACGACTCGTCGACGGGCAATAGCGGCACGGCCTCGAACCAATACAACATTGAGCGTAGCATCGATACGGCGGACAAAGAGACAATGTCCACGCTTGTAGTCACACACAATGATGCACATGCGCACCGTCAAAGGGCCGCGCCGTAAGCCGACCAGACTTGAGCACCATAATTACCTTTCGTCTCTGCACAACCAACCGGGATCCCCTCAGGATGTGGCACCCCTGACATGCTGATGCAGGTACGGCTGGTTGAAGCACTTCGCGGCCCGGCCAACTTTGCCTGTCACCCAGCACGCATGTGCGTCTTTTCACTTCCAACCCGCTTCGGCGCCTAGCCGAGAACGACGGCACGCTCCCGCTTTCCTAGACCTTGATGGCGGGTTTGAATTGGCAAAGTTTGGGTCGGCTGACGGCTTAGGCGGGGGCCTGGTTCTGGTTCACTTCAGGGGCAGTTTGTAAGCCACGAGCGAAGTTTCTGATCAGCGCTTTCTTGTCTGCAACAGTCTGGGAGTAGCAAACATGCTTGCGACATTGGTGGCTGGGGCCGTGTGTGGCATCGGTTGAGCTTCCGTGTGAGGTTCACCTACACTCCCCACAGTCGATCGTCTATCTACCACCAATAATATCTTCCTCAACAAAACCTGGAGGAGAAGGGTTGAACCTCACAACAAGTTTTGTCTCCCGATCCTGCACCTTGAAACTCTATCGCCATCGATCCTGCACCTAGAAGGTTACAGGCAGCATCAAACCATGAATGGCCCGTAGTTTACCCACCTCCCAGACCCGGTGTTGAGCACAAAACACCAAGACACTGCAATGCGGGTGACTAGCTCGTCGTTCAGCAGACCCCCTCAAACAATATGTCTCAGACACAGCCCCCCGGCACAAACACAGATGGAATGATTCATACGCTCCGTTCAACGCAAATCTTCAAGCCTCATTCCCAATCGATGAAACGACCCTGAGTCTTGTGTAGCCACTCCTTCCGTGTAACCACTCCTTCCGTGCCGACCTCCACATTCCGCATCCTTTGATATACCCAGCCCACATCCCGAGTACCAAATCTCGCACACTTTTTCCCAGCCTATAAGCAAGTTACAAGCCACCATTCAAACTCTACAGCTCCTTCAATCCTCTACATATCTATGCACTCATAACTTATGCCATCCCCCGTATTAGATCCTGCCTTAATATCAATAATCCAAAGCAGTGCCTACCCGTAAACAACTACTTACAACAACATTTCTCCCAGAAAGAAGTAAAGAAACCTAATCCAAAAGCCTACATACTGCACGTAAACAAAAGACCCTAATCCATCAATACCATTCACCCTACCATATCCCACACCCATACACCACCCTGTTTCAAGATATCACATCACCCAGCCCACAACGAACAAAAGCCCTAACCCACCAGCCATCCCAACTAAACCCAAATCCCAACCCAGCATATCCCACACGCAACATCCCGCGCCCTACACCTTAGCCCCAGCACACCAAACAATCCCATAGCTAACTTCCCTATCCTATCCCAGCCCACTACTAAGCTAACACTTACTAAACTAAACTACCTACCCCTCCAGAAAGCGCCTGTGCACTTTAGGTTCAAAGTACATAGCTCCGTACGTACGTGCGTACTAAGTTACTAATATAGACAGACAGCAAGGCAAGACAAGCCTATTTAGAAATACGTTATATGCACTAGACAGCAATAGGGGTATATACACCTAGGTAGGTAGGTACACAGACGTATACAGTAGGGTAGACGCGATTTACGCCTGTTATCCTGCAACGTACCCTACTAGATTAGCTACTAAGCGAGATTTCTGCATCTACATCTGCGTTTTTTAATCTTAGGTATAGTAGGCAAGGGAGGGGCAGATTAGGCGGGTTTTATTTGCGTAGGAGGTAGTAGGGCTAGGGCGTTAATTAACTAAGTAAGTAAGTAAGTTCTACGTTAGGGGGTAAAGTAGGTAAGATTACTTCTTATTCTCTGTTGTTATTGTTATGCAATATGTAGTGCAGTAATATGCAGAAAAAACCACTTCTATATATACTAGATACCGCATAAACTAGTAGAATTTTGCTAAGCTAGGCCTAATTAGGCAGAAGGTTAATACTAATTAGATAGCAAGGAATTACTCCTAAGATAAATATAATATAGCTTAGCAGTAGTTTTAAACTCTAGAATATTATTAAAATACCCCTATTATATAAATTTATTAGACTATAATATCTACAATACCTCTAAAGGGTAAAGAGCTACTTTTATTTAATATTTATTATAATTAGGCTAAAAATTATTAAAATACTACTTATTATTATATTCTAATAGTATTACTACTACTATTACCTATAATACTACCTCTATTTATATAGTAAGCTAATACTAGCAGAGAAGCTATATATTAAGAAAACAGTAGTAGTAGTTTACTACCTATATAAGACCTTAAATTATAAGGTTAGTATTATATTAAGGCTATTAAATTAGCTATACTGTCCTAAGTACTACCTAATAATACTCTACTAGTATAGTAATAATTATTTAATACCCTAAATAAGTAGTACTTTATTACCCTAAAGGATCTTTTTACTAGTAAGCCTCTAACTATACTACCTAAATTAATAAAATATAAGTTTAGGACTAAGTTAGATTTAAATATTAAGTTTCTACTAAAATAGAGAAGAATAGAGCTATAGATAAAGATACTAGCTAAAAGAAGTAATTAGTATATAAAGCTATTAAAAGTATATAAAATAGTGTCTTAGAAGAAGAAGATTAATATATATAAATTAATTAATAATTATAGTATATAGATTATTAATTACTTATATATACTAATTATATATAAGAGATATTAGCTAAAGGGGAATTACTAACTATTAAATAATTATAAGGTTAAAGCTATTTAGGAGATCTATTATAGACTAGCCTTAGATTTAAGCTGTAATAAGTATTAATAATAGTATTATATTCTCTAAGGAGTAGAGAAGGATCCTATATATATATATATATCTCTCTAGTCCTACTAAGCTAAGACTAAGGTATAGGCAAAGCCTAAGCCTATTATATACCTCTCTACTCTACCTCTATTTTTTTTTTATATCTTGTTATACCTATTAGGTAGGCTTATTATTTTAGTGCTGTTCTTTCTGTACTATACTAAGCCTTATAACTACTAGTAGCTTATTATATATTAGCGCTATAGCTACTTATACTTATTTTTATTTTTATACTAACTCTATACCTTCTTTTTATTATAACTATTATACCTATAAAGTACTACCTTAACTTCTTTACTATGCCCTTTCTTACCTTTTTCTATTATACCCCTTTAGCCTCTTTATATAGCTAATTGCTCTTTATTATAGTTAATATTACTTTTAATAGTACTTCTAGTATAGTAAGTACTAGAGCTCTTAGTAGAAGGCTACCTAATAATAACTAGAGTAGTCCTTTAGGCTATAATAATTCTATATATCTAGTTATTATCTCTTTATATATTTACTAATTATTAAGTAGAAGAAGCCTTACTATTATACTAGTAATTTTAGTATATAGAGAGATTCTAAAAATAAGGCCTATAATATAGCTCTATATTATAACTAATTTTATTATAAATATATTTCCTTAATATACCTCTTTAGTTATACTAAGTATATACCTAGTTATAGCTCTACTACCTATAAGGCTTACTATAAGAGTAAAAAGACCTATATTTTTAATAATAACCTCTTTTCTATAAACTTTACTTTTTAATATATATTTTATGCTTAGCGTAACTTCTATAATATAAATTAGGCTAATAATAAGTACTATATTAAGACTCTTAGTATCTATAGTACTAATTAGAAGAAGCTAATAACTAGTATATATTATATTTTTACTTAAGAGTTTTATACTCTAATACGTACCTTTAATAATATATTTAAGTATACTATTTAGAAGTAGAACTTTATAGTTTTATTTAATTCTATTACTAAGACTTATTATAAAGAGGTATAGTTTCTTACTACTAAAGAGGAGTTTAAGTCTTTACTCTTTCTTTAGCTTTCTATAACTCTATTATATTTTTATAATAGGCCTAGTAACTAGATAACCTACTAGATTATATATACTGCTAGAAAGTAGTTCTAGTACTAGAACTAATATATTATAGGTTTAGAGAATACTTTAGGTATAGTAACTAATAGCTAGACTATAATTATAGTAAGTTCTTTTCTTTTTTAATATAGTACTATTACTAACCTTAATCTAAACTACTTTTAAGGCTCTTACCTACTATATTAAGGCTCTACTCTTATACTGCTGTATTAAGTACGTACCTTATATCTCTACTTATTATTATTACTTCTTAGAGTATAATAATACACTATCTTTATACTATTACTATACTAGCTACTATAGGTCTAGCTCTAGTAGTAGAGTATCCTTCTAAAGGGCTAGTAGTAATTTTAGTTTATTACTTCTTAGAAGTAGTTATATACTGTCTTATTATCTCTTTCTATTTATACTTTATCCCTTTTAAGCTTCTTATATACCTACTTTACTTCTTTACTATTTTATAGTAGGTAGTTATACTAAGGACCCTATTATTATAAAGAGTATAGGTAAAACTAAGAAG